GAAAGTTTATATAAATTCTGTTCTTATATATGCTGATAAAGCAGGATAATACTGTATTTATAAGACTCAATAATAATCCTTATAAAAGCTAAGAAGAATGCTACTGAAAAAGATGATAGGCCTTCCACCTTCAACATCAAATAAAGTTATTGATTTCTTAATTCACTTGAGGAAAAACCACAGATTGACCACGGAAATAAGAATGCTCTTATGTAATGGGGGTAATTTTTGTGCTACTCATTAAAAAAGAGCACACTATTAACATGTACTAGATGAACATTTATAAATAAGTGAAGACTTTTTGTTTGATTATTTAAGTGGAAAAATTAGAAGTAAAAAGGCAAGAAAGGAGATAAGGAATAAACTATTGGATTTAACCAAAATTGAAGTAAAGAAAATAGATATGAAATAGTGATTTTTGATTATAATTTACGTGTCTAGTTCCTTAACAGGAATAATAATAATAATAATTTTTAAAATAAATTACTCAAATAAATGATAAAAATATATTATAAATTCTATTTAGGAAATTAACATGCCTACATAATACAATTCGAGTAGATTAATAAGTTATTCAAAATGATAGAATTCAAGTAATTAGGAATAAACCTATTCCTTACCAATAAAATTTTTCGAAAAATATCAAAATCTATTTAATTTCATTTTGATGATATGTAAACTATTAACAAATAATTAAGCCAAATATGAATATATAAATCAGCTAAATTAAAAGAAAATTTAATGAAAATTAATAATTTCAAAATATATGATAAAAAAAATTTCTTATACAACCAACTTCACCAAAATATGAGATCAATTCTAAGAACTTATTTAATCGTTAGATAAGCATTTTTCAAATTTAAAATTAATAGCTTCTAATTATAATTTCAAAAGAAAAAATGATTATTGGTAATCACACTATAGTATTAGAATTAAACGAGAATGTCATCTGATAGGTTTATAATTGGAATATATATAGTAATTACAATAGGGAAGAAACAAATATGATTAAATATTTATATTCATAATATTTCTAATAAAATCATGTGTTATTATATAAATGATGAATGTAAATTTGAGAGTATAAGTGGAGGTTTTGCCAATCTAACAATATAGAGATTCACTTTGATTAGATTTACAAAATTATTTTAGAATTTAAATCTTCCTATAGTAATTTTAAGACTAAATCTATATAAGATCAATTAATCATAAGATTAAATTGAACTATATGATAAAGTCAATTAATCATTAAGGCATTAAATGCTCACTAAAATGATGACTTTACATGAAGATTTCAGCAATAACATGAGTGTTGACCAAAATCACAAATTCCAAAATATATTTTATAAAGAATAATTTAATATTAATTATCTATAACTAAATTTTAAGTTTAAATGAGTAAAAATGTAAATGAAGAGTTTAAGGAAGAACTAAGGCAATTTATTATAAACAATTACGTTCACACCGTATTGGAGCAATTCAAAGGTCCTAAACATTAGTCTATATACTAAGTTACACTCACAATGGATTTATCATTAATCATTGATACTCGACCTTTGTTAGGATCATGGATCATAAATTTCTATCCTCACTTCCTTATATCAATCCATTAAATAATTTATTCAATAGTGAAACAGATGGATATTGGATATGATGAATTCATATGTGAGACCAAATTTATTTCAGTTCCAACTTTTGAGACAGCAATACATGATCCTTAATATAAGTTATTATTGATGTAGAAACATTGTGGATCACTGGTGCACTTGAAGAATTGCATAATAGTAGGAGTTGATAAACCAAAAAATTACTTATTTTTACAAGAATTTTAGTGCAAATGCAGTGATAAAATTTCAATTAAAGGTACTCATTTAATCCAAAGGTTGTAAAATTAAACAAATAAGGAAAATGTTTGTGAAGAATGCAATGGAGTTAGACATGAAATTGAGAAGAAATACAAACTATGTCAAAAGCTATAATTATATGTTTCGGATTTATAACCTTTAAATAGAAAATATAATAATTTGAGATAAAATCTAAACAACAAATATAAACATTCATTTTAATTGCTTGATATTTACGTTGAAGGCAATAATGTGAATAAGTTTAATGTTGGAAATTAGATATATTCGTTAGCATACTATACCTTTAACTTATCCGATCAGTATAGACAAAATAATACATTTATTTTGGCTAATGAGTATTGCTATGCAGTGACCATTGATTAATACACAGCAGTACAAAATAAGAAGTACTTCTAAAAATTGAAATTAAACTATAAATTTAAACAATCTTAACAAATTGATACTGATGAAAATTATAATGAAGATATTAAACTATTCTTGGATAAAAGTAAAAGACATTACAATTATGGTAAAGATAATAAGAATTATATTTATGAAATACTCAATACAATCTATTATATCATAATATCTTTTGATTACTAATAGTTAAAATAGCATACACTATCCAATTCATTAATAATGTTAAAATTGTCCTTACTTTGTAGTATATTTTTGGAGAATAGTTCAAGTTTACAGTATTATCTCTCTCCAAATCTATGTTAGAAGTCAAATTTATTGATTTAGAGATTGGAAGAAGAACAAATTCAGAGACATCTACACATAGCAATAATATATGAAGACTATGAAATAATAATTGATTTGATATAAAACATGATTCAAAACTTAGAAAACTGTTTGGTTTTACCTGATTGTGATGAGGAAACCTTTGATTACTTAATAATGAGTGTGGCTAAGAACGGAATTTTAATTTTGAAAAGAATGCCAACCAAAGGAGTATAAGAAAAGATAAAGCAAATACTCAAGGGAAGTCCAATTATTATTATGAAAGATAAAAAGATAGAAATCAACTGTTCAATATGGTGTTTATTTGATATTTAAGATTTAAAAGTTAAAAAATCAGATTTCACTTATTTAAATGAGAAATTCCCACATGCAACTGACTCATTTGATATTGTATTAGATTTAGCTTATTCTAATTTAAATTATAAGCAAGTTAGATTTAATTTGATTGCAGATTATTGTGAATATTTATTTAAGAGTTCTCAAACAGATACTTCAAATCCATTTCAAACAACAATAAAAAAGTAACCAACAGCAGATAGGTCCATTCATGCTCCCTCTTCATGTTATTTATTATAAAAGAGAACAGCAGACAAAATTTATAATTCAGATCTTGAGACTTGGATTAATAAATTGTTAACTATAGATAGTAGTTCTCTAGAATTGCTAAAGAAGTTCTATCTGAAATTAAGGTAAAATTATTATTGCACATAACACACGCTAGATAGCTTACTTAAGATTAGTTCTGCTATCTCTATGATGAGGTATTTTGCTTATAGTCAAATTGATGACAACGATGGGTTATATCAATATATGATAACATAAATGAGTACACTTCCCTTAACATACTCAGATGCATTTCTAGCTATCTTGTTTGTGATTGAAACTAGAATAAACTCATTAGGTCCAGTAGGAGCATTATTTGGAAGTGATACAACAAAGTAGAATTCTTATTTATTTTAGCTACTTATTGAATTGTTTGAACCCGGAGTTTGCTTTTGCTAAAATCAATCTTCATCAGGATGATAATGAAACAAAAGATAATATGTTCGAAAACTTTGTTTACATTTATGAAAAATTAATAAACTTCATTTATTGATTTAATATAATATTTAGTGCGATGATTCATTTTAATTAGTGTCTGCATACAGGGCATTCCCCTTTCTATTTCAGCCATTAATTTATGCATTTTGCATGAAACTGATGCAAACAATGCAATATTCTACAAATTTGTTAATAGAACTATTTACTTAACATTATTAGATTTCTTAAAATCTATCATGCAAATAACACAATTTTTATTTTTCTTATTAGGAATATACTTTTATGTTGGTATCCCTTTAATTTCACTTAAACTCATCGGTTATGCTTGTCTTATTTACTGGACTTCTTGTTCTTAACTTGGATAAGATTAATATTCTTAATCAGAATTATCATCATCATCATAAATGAATTGAAAGGTAGGCATATTAAAAAATTATTATACTTGGATTTCTGGTCCTAAGGTTCTTATTTATATATGCTATCTTTAATTCCCATTAGTTTATAAATTTAATTGAAATAAATCAGAACCAAAATTGAGACTAGATAACGCATAGAAGTTTACTTGATATTGAAAGCCTCATTCATTTAATGTCTCATATTCTCCATAGATCGTTGAAAATAAGAACTAGGTCCAAAAATTTCTATATTAAACTATTTAAATTGTATTACAATCAAAGTTTGGAAATTGTGGAATTCCTTCCAATTCGCTATCAGAACTATCCTGGCTATATTAAATATTATAATTAAAAGAATTATTAATTCTTTATTAAGACTATCTTTATTGCTAATCTCTTTATTATTATTATTATTGTTATTATTGTTATGTTCTTCTTTATCGTTAACTTATCAAACATTATGTTCTATGTGAAGCCTTACATAGAATTCTTGAATACCATTCTATTTGATTTGATTTGCTTATGGCAAATTTAGCAATCTTAATGTGAATGTCTTTACCTATTCATAAAAATAAATTATAGAAGAGTATGAATTGTTCTAGATTTAAATCATAAATTAAATTTCATGACAACAATTTCAATCAAAATCAAACACGGAACAGATCAGATAGAAGTTATTGAAATCGACCCAAATGCCACAGTGAAGGAATTAAAGGAAAAACTTGCTCCAAAGTTTACCGCAGAAATCTCTTAAATGAAGATTATATTTTAAGGTAAAATTCTTAAAGACAATGATGTTCTCTAAAATGTGAATGTAAAGACTGATTCAACAATGCATCTAGTTGTTACAAAATGTATACAATCCAATAATAAATAGAATAAGCTTAATAACCACCTTAATAATAACCCCCAGGTCCATAATAACAATAACCCTAATAACCTTTAGGAGGATAATAAGGTGGATTTCCAGGTTTGGGAGGACTAGGAGGTGCTCCTGGAATGGGAGGCATGGGAGGCCTCGGCGGAATGGGAGGCCTTGGTGGAATGGGCGGACTCGGAGGAATGGGTGGACTCGGAGCAATGGGTGGATTAGGAATGGATCCATAGATGATGGCCTAGGTCTTATCCAATCCAATGTACTAGTAATAAATGACATAAGTATTTAAATTCTTTTCAAAATTTTAGATGATGTAAAATCCACAATTTAGATAGCAAATGATGCAACACCCAATGATTGCCTAAATGATGTAGGCTAACCCACAACTTTAATAAATATTTGATAATCCTTAGCTTTTGTAGATGATGATGAATCCTCAAGCAATTTAAATGGCTCTATCAGGAATGGGCGGAATGGGAGGCTTTGGTGGAATGGGAGGTTTTGGCGGTATGGGAGGCTTTGGCGGAGTTGGAGAGAATCCTATTCCTCCAAACCCTAATAATGCATAAGTACCACCTCCTGTCTAAGGAACAACTGGTTAAAATGCTTAAAATCCCTTAGGAGGTATAGATTTACAAAGTCTAATGAACATGATGGGAGGTACCTTTATTAACTAAATTAAATAGGAGGCGTCGGAGGAGTTGGCGGTGCCTAATTAACACCTGAAGCTGCAGAGTAGAAATATGCAGCTTAATTATAATAATTACAAGAATTGGGATTTACTAACAAATAAGTGAATTTAGAAGCTTTGATTGCCACTGGGGGAAATGTAGAAGCTGCAGTTGATAGAATCTTAAATATGATCGGACCATGATATATTATTATTAGACATTCATAATCAAATTTTTATGTATTCTATAAAAATGTTTGATCTAAATAATGAAAATAAAGGATCATATCATATTTTATAATCTCAGATATGAATTTTATATTATCAGAATATTAACAAGAAGCAGTAAAAGTAATTCTTAGATTTAAGTCTTCCTTATCATCAAAAAGAGATGATAAATTCATTTGAATTGATAGAGCCTGTTTTGAAATTCCGTATTAAAAAACCCAAAAACCCACCCGAATATCAACAAAAATTATTTCCTATGGAATAATTTGTATGTCCTTCCACATTTCATGGTGAAGGCAAATGCTATAAGTTACAAAATTTAGGATTATCTAAAGATTTTACATTTAACACTTAGAAATCTTAAATGTAGATTTCAATCAATTAATATTATGATAAATAGAAAATTTACTTATAATTCTTATTTATTTTTGTTGAAAAAATATAGTTTATTTAAAAATGAGAAAAGAGATTAAAAAAAAATATTGAGTTTATTTATTTAATGAAAATATTTATCATCAAAATGCATAATAGGCTTAGATTTTAATTAATGCCATGAAACTATTTATAGTATTACCACCTTTATTGTAGAATCTTATTTTTGATACTAATTAATCAGGAAATTTTAGAGTATGTACTCCTGGTTATACAAAATCGTCAAGTATCAGAGTTTCAGTTTACCTGTCTGAACCCACGATATAAATTTGCATAGTTGTCACTCTGGCGTCAACATCCACCATCCAATATCTAATTTTGTTAATTTCATATGCTTGTAAAAATTCTACAATTAATGATTAATGTAATGCAAAGTAAACATGTCCAGGTGCAACAGCGTCGGTAAAATAAATTGAATTTCTAAGAGGACTATTATCAATACTAGGTCTGGCAAAAATATTTGCTCTAGCTGATGATATAATGGCTCCATTAGATTATGATGCTACATCTTTGTAGTACCCTCTTATTATTGATCTTTCCTCTAAAATGTGTAAGTCGTTTTAGCTAAATTTTGCATTAGCATCCCAAGCTGGTAGGGATGTCAGCTCAAATATATCTATTAATATCAAGATAAGCAAAATTTTCATTATTTATTATAATAAAAACTATTTTAAAAGAAAATATGTGATTAGTGATAAAGTAATAGTAAATGAATTTGATTTTCATAATTTATTCATCCATTATGAAGTTAAAATATGAACTGTATTATTAAACTTCAGGGCATTTCGATGAAACGCATTAAATTTCTAAATTATTAGTTTGTAGAAACGTAAGTCTTCGATGAATATATTTATAGTAAAAATAATGAAAAATTTAATTATCTAACATCTAATATTAGATTTAGAGGAAGTTCATTATTAATTGTGATGAATACAAAGAAAGTACAACATAAGCACTTCTATAAAATTTAAAGATGAATAAATTATAATAATTCTATAAATATATAACAAAAAATTAAATGCCATCATAAATTGATGTCTTTTAATTAACTTATTCATCGACTGATGATGAAATTCAATTATGCGTTGAGTGGATCAAGGCTTAATTGAAAGCTAAATAGACTGTTACGCTGTTAGTTAAGAAATGTTAAAGACAAGAATTAATACCATAAGTAACTGTAGATATAGTGACAATGATTTAATAAAGAATTAAACAATTAAGTTAGGATCCCTAAACTCGTTTGAGTGAAGTTTAAGAATTACTAAAAATCTATAACTAGAAAGGGGTGAAGAATCAAACTATTTTGATTTAGATATATGTAAAAAATTGTAATTAGCAATAGATTGAACTTGCCAATGCCAAATAACCTGAGGCTTAAGATAAAGCCATTGAATTACTGTGCAAAGTAGAGGAGAAAATAAGAAAGCAATTTACAACTTAATTTTCCTAATTTCTAAAAGAAAAAATTAAGTAACTCATGGGAAATGGTTAATAAGAAGCAAATCAATAAAATTACAAAGAGGCTTTGGCTTTATTTTAGAAAGCCCAAGAATTAAATAATTATTATGAAGAAAAAGACACAACTATATAGCTAAACGTAAAATTTTAATGAAATCTAGATTCAATTAGGAAATGCCTATCATTCCTTAAAATAATATGACGATGCTCTAAATGTGTGGGAGAAGTCTATCAAATACATTTAAAGTCAATCATAGCAACAATAATTCCAAAATGAGTTAATTTACATGTATAATACTGTTGGATAAATTTATTATGACAAAAAGCAAAATAATAAAGCTACCTAATATTGGGATTCAGCGATAAGCATTTTGGAATAACAAAATGAATAAGAAAAATTGGAACAACAATCGAAATAATTATTAGGACACCTACTAAACAATGTAGGGATGATATACTATTAAAAAGGGGAAGTAAAAAGAGCCATTTAAAACTTTTAAAAAACAATTGAAGTCTATGAGAGTATTTATGGAAAGGGCCACATTAGTGTTGGGAATAGGTTAAACAATTTAGGTGAAGCGTATAGAAGCGATAAACAATATGATAAGGCTTTGGAGATGTTCAATAAAGCCTTGAGGATAAAGAAGGCTGAATTACAAGTGCAACCTTCAAAGAGTTTAGCAAGTACTATAAATAACATTGGAATGACTTTACAAAATAAACAATCTTTTGAAGAGGCTATTGATTATTTCAAATAAGCGTTGTAAATGTATAATGAACCAGGAGTGTTTAGCGATCCTAATGCTGGAGATGCCGCTTTGCAAAAGAGTAATACTATGCATAGTATTGCAGAATGTTATAGGGAATTGCATAATTCAGAATTGTGTATTCAGTATTTTAGAGATGCCTATAAATACAAAGCGTAGGAGTTGAAAATATTTCATAAATCAACTTAACACACAGCTATTTAATTGGCTTCAGCGTTATTTTAACAGAACAGATTTGAAGAATCTTTGAAGATATTTGAGGTAGTTTTGGATGGTTAGAAACAAGTCTATGGATAAGATTCTTAAATTGTGGCTTAGACAATCAACAACATAGGAACAGTTCTATCTGAATTAAAATAATATTAGAAGGCATTAGAGAAAGTTCAAGAAGCAATAAGAATATTCGAAAAGAAACTTGATAAAAGTGATCCTTATCTTCAAAAAGCATATGAAAATATGAAAAATATCAAATAAAAGCTACTGGAATGAAATTGAAATAATTTTAAATATAATAACAAATTAAACTACTATTTGATAAACATATCTTCTAATTATTCCTTACCCTATAGAATTAAGAAAGAAGCAATCTATAATGATGAAAAACTTACCTTTATTTTTTGCAGAATTTAATAAAGTAGAAAAGTGAATTAATTACTTAATTGCTTATATTATATCCTAAATTCTAGCTTCGAAAGAATATTTTATCTATGCATAGGCCAATACCCAGTATTTGAAATCAATGTTAAAAATTCTTTTTTAATGTTTTTTAAAACAAAAATACATAATCTTAAGGGGAATAAGGGCAACATTTGTGTGGTTTTACTGATAATCTATATAATCATAATCAAACTTAGTTAAATTAATTAGTTTGTAAAGGAGAAATAAGATTCTGATGGGATCAAAATTATGTTTAATAAAATGAGAATACTTTTCGATAATTAAATGAATTATATATTCAATGAGTGGATTCTTCCAGTTTTTCTAATATAAACTATTTCTTTTTTAATCTTTCCTATATTAGCTCCTACTCTGATTTTTAAGTACTCCCTTTATCCTAAAAATATTAATTTTCTGATTACTAATTCTTTAAGATTTTCATCGTACTATTATGTTAAGGAGGGTAGTACATCATGGGGGTTCTTCTTTTTTACAGATAGTATCTTTTCAATTCGATCATGATTGTCTCCTTATAATTTATATGGTTCAGGTTTGTAATTTACTGGTAGGTCCTAAGAAGATATCATTTAAAATGTAATACGGCCCCATATTTTTTCTTAATGTAAAAGGAAGTGTAATTTTACTTATGGATTAAAACTTTGATGTCATGTGCTGCTCTATCGTATTTATTATGAACAGCTGGAGATCTTGGAGATGAACTGACTGTATCTTCATAAGTTGATGAGTTTAATTATTAGATCTTAGGAGTCATAGTTCTTTTAGTATCTCCTATAATGTAATTTTATATTCTTGCTCTCTCCTTCATTCTTTTAAGTTCTCCTTCTTTTTCTCCTTTTCGAATTGCATGCTGAGTAGCTGAGGATTATATTCTCTCGATCTCATTGCTGTGTAAACCAATTTACTTTAATAGGACATTATATTCCTTTTTAAGTTAAATGATTAATTTGTGTTCTTACTCTATTAATTTAGCTTTTAATTGCTCCATTTATTTTTGATGCTTGCGTTATAATTCGTCCTTTTGACTTTCAATACGATTTTCCTACTCTGAAGCCACTCTTTCTTATTCTGCTTTTTCCATGTTTTTTAGTTCTCGACGAAAGTCCATGGCTTCTTCTACTCTTTCATCCAAGGATACTAATTTTTCCTATGTTTATAAATCTTTTAGTTTTCTTTTAGGCTTTACCTTTAAAAATTCAGTGTTTTTTGATAATTTATCTTCCAACTGTCCCATTTCTTCCTGCTATTTCTAAATCTGCATTTAGCTAAATAAACATCATGGTAATCTATACATTCTTATTTTTTTCTGGTTCTCAAATTATTGGAAATAATTATAGTACTTCTCATAAAAATCATCCAGTTTTTCAAGTCCAATTTCCTTATAAGTCGCCACTTCTTATTTGTAGATCTTCTATCTTAAGATGTCTTAGTATTCACAGATATTTTATTCTAATGTTCTTATGGCTTTCATCAATTATTTGAAAGGAACATATTATTATATTTGCAGCAATAGATTTGCAACTAATTGCATTTTTTCTTTTATAATGCTGAACACTAGAATTTATTCATCTTCATTTAAATATCTAAATTAAAATATAATTTCATTACCCATCATTGTCTTAATCGAATAAATCAAAGAAATCCTTTCCATTAGAGATCTTTAACATCATTTAAAAATCCTCTTTACAAGCATCAAAAACTTAAAGAGCTGTTTTATATGGTATTTAAACTTATGTAAAATCATTTCTCCTAAACTCTTTCCAGATGTTTGCGCATTTTTAAGGAGCTGCCATAAATATTTCGCCTAAACAATTAGTAAAATTTGTTTACCCTCTGCTTACACTTGTCTTATGTATGTTTTCGGCAATGATGAAAGAGCTGAATAATTTGTCTGTTAAATTAACTTCGATGCATATAGAGATGATTTTGTTTCAGTCTAATACATTATTATTATTATAAATTATATAACAATTTAATAAATTCTAAAGTAATGAAGTGATCCTATTAAATCTAAGAACTTTTCAAATTTTTATTGATATCATATTAATTATATAGTTTTATTCAAGAAAATCTAAATCCATTACACATCAAAGATTAGTTTGTCTAATTTGTTTGATTGGTTCTATATTCAACTTAATCATCCCATGTTGATCTCTATTCACAATATGGATTCTCGTTTATAGAAATAGAATGATTCCTAGATCGCTAAACATTAATTTGTATAAAATACATTTTTTATTTTTTGAATTGACTAACGTATAAATGAAGTCTCTTGTTCTGTAGTTGTGGTTAACTTCTTTTTTGTGTTATAAAGTTTATTTTAGATATCTTTCATTTGTCTTTATAGGTTAGGATTAATTCTATTTAAGAATCCTGAAATATCAGTTGAATCTTGATTTGTGCAGGTAGATTCATCAAATTTATTGTTCGAAATTTATTGTAGTTATTGTTATTGTTGACTCACCCTAATCCTGGTTGTTGGGTGAGATGGGCTCTAATTTCTTTTTCGCTATTGAAGTGCTTTTTCATCATCATATTATTGATTTACTTAATATTCAATTATGTTTTAATAATTAATGTTTTCTTTATTGCAAGATAAATACTCTAATTCTACAATTCTTTTTTGTAGTTTCTCAATTTCTTTTTCATAGCTTTTTTAAATTTAATTAATTTGATGCTCTTTTTCAGCCAATTTACCCTCGAATAACTTAATTTAAATTTATTAAGCATTTATAATGTCCTACTTTTTTTCTATCTCAACCTATTCATAAGTTTTTTAGAACTTCTGAACAACATTTTCATTTTATTGTTGATTCAATGTATTAATGAAGATTTCATTCATTTTTCTTAAGTTCTCCTCTCTTTCCTTAGCTTCCTATATAAACATCTCTTAAATTTAAATTTTCTATTGCAAAATCGCTTTTTCATTCTTCCATTCTAAAAACTAAATCCTTTCATCATTCATTTCTTTTAATTTTGAATATTTATATTAATTTTTTTTTACTGTTATTTTTATATTTAACTTGAATTGCAATTATCAAAAAATCTTTGGCTTTTGACTTGTAAGGAAAGATTAAAATTGGTAATAGTTGTATAAATAGGAATATTCTTAATTAGTTTAATTTAGAAATTATAATAATCAATTAATAGCGAAAAATGAATGAACAATTTCTGAATTGTAGATTGTGCTCTATAGAGTTCGATTTAGTCATCCACTTGCCAAGGTTGTTAAATGAATGCGGACACACTGTCTGTGAGAAGTGTATAAAATAATAAGAAGGGCATTTCAGATGTCCTGCAGATGAGTAATGTTCATTTTTACCATTCCAGAACACTTTATGAATATTCGATCGATGGCTTTCCTATCAATACAACCTTATTTAAATTGATCTAATTAAAATAAAAACCAAAATTGAATGATCTTTTTGAAACCCCTTAACTGAGTCTATACAAGAATAACTCATCTTCCGACTCTACAATTTCTAAAAATAAATTTTAAGATTCTTAATTAACTCCTATCTCTTTATAAAACACCATCTCTGAAAGTTAAAAATAAAGAGATGAGATATTATCGAAAATCGAAAATAAATTTAATGATCTCATTACAAGATTAGAAGTCAGAAAAATGGAGTTATTTAGCCAGATAGACATGAAATATGAATAATCTCCATTTTGTTTATTACAAATTGACTTTTAATTTTAGATGGATGTGCTTGTACCAAGATATGGTATTTTAAGAGAAGAAGTATATAATGATATTCAGCTTAGTAATTCACAATAGAAAGAATAATTTCTTACATTTTCTAATAAAGATTCAATAGATACAAATAGATAAAGATCTCCTTAAAAAAAGATATTTGAGGAATTGAAATAAATCTAAATTCGTCCAGCATTGTCTTAAGAAAAAATGAATGAATTAAAAAAAATCATTAAAGCAATGAATAGATCAGAGAATCTTGAAACAATTAACTTAAAGGCTAGAACTTTAACAGATGATGATATTAAAATATTCTCTGAAGCATTGTCAAGAACAATTTCAAATATAAGAGCACTAGTTTTATCGAGAAATGAAATAACTGATTAAGGATTCTAGTATCTCATAGATGCATTGTGGACAAATAACACGATCAAAATCTTGAAATTGAAGAACAATAAATTAACAAATGAATCTTTGAAATATTTAATCGAAATCTATGAAGATTAGAAGTATAATTCATTATAATAAATTTACATGCAAGGGAACTAAATTAATAATGATGATCAAGTGCAGGCTTTGACAAAATTGGGTTTATTAATATATATATGATATTGGAGGGAGGGTATTTATTTTTGTAAATTTAATAAAGAATTACATATAATTAATTTATTAATTTAACATTTGCATGGGAAAACTACATGGTACATTGGCAAAAGCCGGTAAGGTCAGAAAATAGACACCAAAAATTGAAAAATAAGTGAGAAGACACAAGATTCCAAAAGGAAGAGCCTACAAAAGAATCTGCTTTAATAGAAGGTAAAATAATTGTGGATAATATTAAATAGATTTGGATCAGCCGCCACCTCTGCTTAAGGACCATAATAAAAGAGAAAGGGTCCAAATTGGCATGCTGGAAGAAAAGATCTCATTGAAGAGGAAAGAAAGAAGCAAGTTGAATAAAGAAGACAACGCAAGAAGTAGGATAATAAATGATAGCTTTAATGTCCTTAACATATAAAATAGTCAGATTTCTTTCTTTTTTTTTCAATTTTATTTATTAAAGAATATATTAACGAATAAGAGTATTATTAATTATTAAAACAAATTTAATAGAGAATTGCTATCGGATCATTTTTACTAGAGTTAGAACGACGAATTCAAGGATATCTAATACTAAAAGAAATATGAATTATTGTTAAAATTGACAATAATGTAAAATGATAAAGAATATGGAATTAGGAAATTGTTTGTAAATTTTGTATTTATTAACTCATTAGATAATATCGACATACTCTTATCTTAAGTTTTGTGTGAATTTTTAGGTAAATCCAAAAGCAGCTTCATGGACCTATTTTACTTCAGGAATTGAAAGGATATGTTTAATGTATTTATGAAGGTGTGGAAGAGGAGCAAGATCAATATTTAGCAAGAATAATGATGCCAATTCACAAATTGCACTAAAAAATTATATATAATTATTTACCTCAAATCAGCAATTGTTGGCTCGGCAAATCCCAATATGTATTGATGTTTTCCATTTCCCAAGAAGACCTCTTCAAAGGTCTTAAGATACCATTCTAATTCTTTTAATCTTTCCTCTTTATTTTCTGGAGCTGGCTTTCCAAAGAGTACGGGAAAGAATACAAAATCTCTGGCTGTTATAGTAACATTTCTGGTTCCTGTGTGATGCCAATCAAGATATTAATCAAGTCTGGCTTGTTCAACAATATCAGATGGATATAAATTTTCAAGCTTGAATTTCTTAGCTAAATATTTTAATATAGCATGGGATTCAAACAAGACAACGTCTCCATCGACAATTGAAGGCACGTTACCGGTTGGGGATATCTTTCTGTATTCTGGTGTGTTTTGCTCTTGTTTCATCAAATCAATGACGTGTAAATCATGGGGGATTTTACCAAGTACCAATATTGCATGTACGGCTCTTGATGGCTATGAGATTGGATTGAAATATAATTAAATTGACATTTTATTTATTCAATCATCTGACAATTATTTCAACTTAAATAGGATTGGAAATTATTATATCGAAAATAGATACACACGGAATTTATTTGTATAATTATATTATCTCATAAAAAAACTGTTTAAATTTCTTTATTCAACACAAGAGCAACTTGGACAAGGACAATATTCTAATTTGAATTCATTCTACAACTTTGCAGTCAAAGAAATCTGACGCTCTAATTATTTCCATATATAATTCTTTTAAGAAATATTTTATATTAAAATCTAAAAAAATATTCTTTGTAATGAGATAATTATTTGGCTAAAATTTTAGTTATTTAAGTTGGGTAAGAAGTTAAATCAAATATTAGTCTTTGAATCCATATATTATAATTCAACTTAATCTAAGAAACTACCTCTATATTAATTATAATTTAATCAAATAATTTTAAAGTATGAACTTTAATATATTCGTTATATTTTACGAAAAGGATAATTATTCGAAATTTATATGAGTTTATAACTGACCTGACCAAATAATTAAGCTTTTAAAATTTAGAGTTTAACGAAAATTATCAATTGCTTTGAAATTTAATAATTTTAGAAAGCCAATCAATTAGTTATAGATTTTTCATTTTTATAATTAATTTATTTAGACAACAATTTTGGTTATTATATTAAAATATTCGAATAAACTCTTACAAATGAAAAAGGTGTACCGTTTTCATTATAAATTACCTTATATTTAGTCATTAATCTTGTATAATTTTATAAATCCATGACCAATCTTAATAACATAACTTCTATATAATAATTATTGATGAAATCCTGGAAAAGAAGATCAAACTAACTAATTGAAACATTTAAAAATATCTAAATAAGCGTTAAAATGAAACTACATACAAACTAAATAAACCCTCCAGATGGGAAGATTATTTTTGGCTTAAACTAGAGAATTAATAAATAATAGCATTAAAATCAAAAATAATAATCTCCTTAAAATGTTTTTATAAAAGAATATGTCCTTACTGCAATATACTAAAATCAAAAATTTAGTTCTTCAAAAATTATTTATTCTTTTTTTAAGTAAATTTATTCTATTTATTTTTAACATAATTTGTATCATTGTAATTTTACCATCATAGAAGTTTGGATAAATACTTATTCAAGAAGATTGATCGGCTTTAACTACATGATCAATTCAATATAAAGGTTATTATCAAAGTATCATAATAGCATGAATTATTAGTTAAAATAATAAATAATTGATTTAAATCATTTTTATACTAAAATCAAATAAAATGTTCTTTTCGATGAAAATAATTTTACATATTTTTTCTATCAGTAATTAATGTATATTTTTCATTGCATAAAAGTATACTAAAAGAAAATAAATTGTTCTAATCCTAAATCCTCCTTCTTCCATACTCAAGAATTTTATTGAAATAAATCATACGAATGCACAAAAATAATATTCAAATCTAAAAATATATTCTTAAGACTGATTATAAGTAATAGAATTCAAAATAATATAATCTAAATTTTTATTCTTTTATTTTGAAGGCATTTTTTATAAGGATAATTTAATTTTTGATATAATTTCAATTTGGATAAATTTTTTTATAGATGTAGGAAATACTTATCTCATTATATCAATTATCTAATAAGCCATTCAATGGGCTATCCTAAAATCTTTTTTAGAATCCTTGGTCAGTCTACTAAATCTACAACAATTAAAATATGCTTTAAACATTATTTTAAGTCTATGAATCTATCAAAAGAGTAATAGGATATAAAAAGAATCTAAAATTAGAAGAACAAATTAACAAAATCTTTAGAAATGGCTCAAAATAATAATCATTTACATAATTAGATAAAAAGAAACAAAATTAAAGAAAATTAAAAAGTAACAAGACCTAGTCATTATATTTTCCCATATTATTGTCTTAAAAAGTCGGTTTAGTATTTAGTAATTACTATCTGCTTTTTAGTATTCTTTTTAGGCGAAATTGAAGTATAATTGTGATTGTTTTGATTAGTGGATTGAAATGGCTATGAGGAATACTTTTCTGGTATGTTCATGTACTTCATTCTCACTTAATTATTCAATAGTTTTACTTTATTCTACAATCTTTCTTAATTCACTAATTTCTTTCAAATAATCATCTTCGTTCTCAATAACAATTTTTCTAGGACTGTCCTGTTGATTTTCTTCTTCAATTTGTTCTTCAATAGCTGAGAAATTTAAATTAAGTAGTTTACGTGATTAAGGAAAATACAATGCAGTTTTCTCATATTTAGGAGATATCACTATATCAGCCTATTAGCTTGTCAATTATTTATAAGCCAGAATGAGATCTGAAGCAACTTCTGATATATTTAATCCATCTTTCCTCATCGTTAAATTCTAATATTATATAATAAATAATATGATTCCTGAATAATAACAGGGAATAACAAAGGAGGAGAAAGAACTCATCTTAATTGAATGAATAGTCTTTTAAATTGGAAGCCTTATATAAAGAAACTAAATAAATAGGAATAGAAAATTTCTAATTGACAAATATACTCGGAGAAACTTTGAAGATTTACAGAGAGATGACAGATAGGAAATACAAAATAGAAAACAAAAATAAAGAGTTAACTAGTTAAAATGAAGTAATTAATTGTTGGATTGTATTAGACAATTTAATTGAAAAATAGGAAAATATGAAATTGCTCAATTTGAGAGTGTTAATTCCAAAAGCAATAGATTAAAAGGAATAATAAGACCAGATAAAATAGTAGAAGCATTAAGATTAATTTAAAATTGAAACCATTCAGCAATCTAGAAATTAAGATTAAATTTTAATCAGGAACCTTGATTGTAAGCATATTTAAATCAATAAGACATTTTTAAAATAACTTGTCAATCATCATAGTGAATAAATAAATGTGTATTAAGGATTGTAATAAGATGTTCCAAATAAGAGTAGTTTTGAAAAACAACTAAAATAAATGATTAGTAAAATATTAATGTCACATAAATAATAATCATACTACGAAAACTATGTTAAATATTTTTGTGATATAAGATTAGTTTATTTTCCCATCATTTTTTCAAATATAACCTTCAAGAATCACATAGTAATAACTTAATTATTATTATTATAAATTAATTTCTTAAAATGATGAAAAAATTAGTACCTTTGGCTTTATTTACTAGCTACAATAAAGGGTTTATCAAAAATGTGAAACTATAAATTCTTAATGGAGCTTAAGACGATTATTAATGCTTTTAGGTTGAAAAGGGTCATTACTTGAATTAATTTTTAAACAATATTGAATAGTTTACCGCAAACGTTATAGAGACACTTAAAGATTGTAAATCTAAATAGATGAAGGCTATTTGGATTCAATTGGATTAAACTTAATTAGCTCTAGCTGAGAAATTGATTGAATAAGGTTTTTAAATGCATCATTGCACAGAAAATTATCTATTATTTTCACAATGGATTATTGAAAATGAAAAAAGCAGATTACCAAATTATACCACTCATTCAATTGGTGCTGGAGGTCTAATTGTCAATAACAATTAAATATTATTAGTGCAAGAGAAGAATGGAAAAAAAGAAGGTTTGTGGGGTATTCCAGGAGGATTGGTTGATGATGGAGAACTAGTTGCAGAAGCAGCTACGAGGGAAGTAAAGGAAGAAACAGGTTTGGAGGTTGAACCATATGATTGTTTTTTCTTTAGAGATTTGCCAATTGCTAATGACTATCAAGGTGATATCTATTTTGTAATCTTCATGAGATTGAAGAATTAATAATAAAATGTGTAGATTTAGGAATAAGAAATAAAAAATTATAAATGGGTTGAAATTAATAAACTCTAAGAAGTATATAAGTGATGACATTTAATTAGTTTTTATTACAGAACAAATTCGGAATTACTTAATAAAAATTAATGGAATCTATCATCCAGTATTCGAATTCTAATAGATTTGGTACACAACTTTTTACTATGGATATGAAACCGAGAGTAATGTATGGGAAGGAGAAAAAATATTGTTTATTTAAGCCTAATTTATGATAATATTAATAAAAATAAATAAATGAAATTTACAAAATATCTCCTTAGGATATTAATTCCTGAATGGGTTAAGTTTTATGTTAATTTTAAATTGTTAAAAACATATTTATCTATAATGACAATACTGAAGACCTTTTTACTAGAAGTAAAGCAATAAAAGCAAAGAGATGAATATCTGAATATTAAATAGGATGTTTTGTAAGATTGTGATCTAATCGATAAATTGAGGAGAGACTCAGCAAAGTTTATTGAGATTTTGGAGTATGAGATAAGAAAAACTATATCTTTCTCCAAGTTCAGATACATAGATGTAATTAAGAAATATGATAAATTAAAAGAATAAATAATAGGCATGTAATAAGAATGGATTTCGCTTCCAAAATTGTTTAATTAACCTACATTAGCGATAACATGGAACTTAAAATCGATGACTGAAGCAGAAAAACATTAATTAAAGTTAATTAAATAAAATAAGCCCAAGCTTAAATAATATAGAAGAAAATGTGAGGAATTGCAAGACAGCATGTTTAGGTTCTATGTAGAAGTACAACAATTATAATCATTCTTAAGTATTAATTATGAAGCAACTAGAAAAATAATAAAAAAGTTTAAAAAACAGGAGATAAGAGGTATAATGGATGTAAATGAGAATATTTTTGAAAAAGTTATTGAATTTTAGAATGAGATTCGTGAATTGCCTAAAAGGTTAAAAATGATAAAGGACGAAACAGAATCAGTAATTATTTAAAATTTCTATAAACATGATAAGTAAATATTATTATAAATTTAAAGTCCAAAAAAGTGTAGAGAGTTTTTGAGAAGATATACAGAAAAGAACCAATTATCAAATGAGAGTATATTTTATTTTGGATTTTTTGCTGGATTTGCTACTCTAATGATTATAGTCCTTTTGTTAATGAGATATGATGGATATTTGGATCCAAACTCAGATAAAGTTTTTAATAAAGTTTTTCCTTGTTTCAGAGGAGTTGCATTATTCATATTTTATTTTTGGATGATATCTCTTGATGTAGCAGGATGGAACTACTTTAATGTTAATTATAAGCTCTATTTGGGATTCAATCATCATTATTCAACATTGTCTGAGATATTAAAAAGAGTGACTATTTTTAGTACAATTTATTTATTAATTTTCATAATTTATTGAAGAGGAAGATATCGGGAAATTAGCTTAGGAACTATAGGTGTTTGATGTGAGACTCTACCCTCTCCTAATATGGGTGTGTTTGTTGATATATGTGTTATATCCATTCAAGAAGATCTTTAATCCAGAAGGAAAGAAATATATGTACTAAATGTTATATGGAATGTTTTGGGGATTCTTATTTAATTATGAATCGAGATATACATTCATGGCAGATTAATTCGCATCCTTCACTACTCCCATAAGAGATCTAGACTATACAATCTGTTATTACTATTACATTGTAAAACCATATCTTAATTCTAGATATTCAAAGGTTATGAACATGAAGGATAATGTGAGCCAAGGACAAGATTTACCAGTGCCCTTCCAGCTACAGTACCTTATCTGATTAAATGTGCTCACTATCTCGTTAGGGCAAGAGTTAAAGGCAGATTATTTGGAACAGATGAATGGTATAACTTTTTAAAGACCGCCAATGCTGCATAAGTTGGGGTCTGGTCATTTTTGGCTAGAAGAAATCCTGATGTCACTGAATTCAGAGTCATTTGGATATTTGTAGCTATAATTAGTACATTTTGGCAATATTATTGGGATTTAGCTAAGGATTTTTTATTTTTCGAAAAAGATTCAAAATATAAGTTTCTTAGAAATGATTTAGGGTACAATAGTCCAACAATCTATTACATTTTTGCTGGGGTAAATCTTGTATTGAGATGCACTTGGGTGTTATCACTGTCTCCAGATATTTGTAAACTATTTGGGATCAAGAATGAATTGTTTGTGTTATTGGTTGGATTCTTAGAAATGAGCAGAAGATTTCTTAATAATTTTTTAAAAGTGGAAAAAGAACACATAGTCAATCTACGTTCATTAAAGGTTGTTTAGGATCTAAAGTATCCATTTTAAGTTCAAAAGGAGTTAGTTGAATTTAATAATCGTGACCATTGGTCTGTTTCCTCATTTCTTCAGCCTAATTCAGGATTTCAATCTTTAAAGGATGAAGTAGAGTTTGAAAATAGACCTAGTGTTGTACAATTATTCAAAGGGCTTACTGAATAGATAGGTTAAGCAAGACAACCAGCTCAGTCGATCAATGAATAAAGAATCTCATAATATACAATAAATATCAATAGAGCCCCGAATGTCAAGCTTCCTCTTAAAAAATCAGAAAGCAAATAAGAGATGTATTTTGAGTATCAATAGAGAGAATCCAAATATTCTAATGGAACACAATTCTTAAAGGTCCCTCTGATGAAGAATGTTAGTTAGCTTAATTATCAATCTGTTTAATCATCTTATGAAGATAATTTATCAGATGTTGAAAATAAAAATAATGCTGATTAAGAGAGAGACACCTTGCATGATATTAGATTGGCGACTGAAGAGAATTCCATTATAGAAAAAGGAAAGAAGAAGGAGAGTTTGGAGCGACAATGGATTAAAGAATTAAAGCAGGAAAATAAAAAATATAAAAAATAAATCTATAAAAGATATGAAGTATATAGAGTGTAAAAAACAACTGAATGAAATGAATTATTTAAGATATTGTTAACATATTAATAATAGAGTAGATATCTATGATGGCTAAGGAATTATAAATTATTCAATTAACAATTTTGAGTTTTTATTTATTAAAATGAAAATTCAAAAATCAAATGAATTTAATCCATAAAATTAATGACTATTTTAAATGAATATCAATTTTAGAATGCTTAATGTCTTCTTTAACTTTTTGATTCTCTGTTGTTGGTAGATTTCAAAACTACTCTACTAGTTGATATTTAATTAGGCTAAACAAGGTAAATCTGATCTAAATCAATAAATTTTTTGGGTTTATTATTCTCTATTACGTTACGATTACTTTTGGGCAGAACTAAGGTATCTTAGTGCCGTTTTTTGATTTTAGATTTAATGAATTGCACTTCAGCATAAGCTGGACCCATATCTAAAGAATTAGGAGTGAGGAGGTTGTGTAAATCGTATATATTCTGATACTCTGACCATTCTGTGTTAAATATTTTATTGTATTTATCCTCCGAATGATGAGAGGTATTTTATATTGTAGTTTTTTATTATTAACTTTTTGTCAATCTCCTTTTGGATATAACTGAATTAAACTTATATGATTTCAAGACCTTACTATTAATTGCGATTTAATCCTTATCTGATTCAGCAATTTTATAGTTTTCATTAAATTTGATTAATTTATTGCATAACTTTTAGCCATCAGTAGTTTACAATAGTGGAACCTTGCATTTGAATCTATGTGAATAATCGCTTTCTGCATTTTCTCCTTTTAAAATAGAATGAATTTTGGTTTAAATATCTTTCACCAATTTATTATCATCTTAGATCGAATTAGAAGTAGTATAGAATGTTTAGGTTCTCATTGTAGTATTAAAGGAAACCTTTTTATTGCTATCCATATTTGTGCTGTTAAAGTAAATGAAAAGAAAATAAAATTAAGTTGTTATATATATTATTAATTATATAATTTATAAACAAATTCACATAGTATCATGTTGGTGGTATTCAAAATTTGGCATATAATCAACAGCAGGTTCGTCGCTTGGACTAATTTCTCCTGAAGATGAATCCTCTTGAAAATGATCAAATTTTAGATTTTTTATATTATGATTAAATCTAGGAGATCCTGCATTGGAATCACAATTTTTTATGCTTGTCAATTGAGATTCATTCTTTTCCAAAATAGGTGCTAGAGTAAACCTTGAAGCCTTAGCTGGCTTATTTATCATTTGTTAAGTAGTTGGACTGGTGGGAGCAGAAGTATTGACTTTGCAAGGTTCCTTCTTATTATTGTTCATCATCAAGGACTCAAAAGACCCAGTTTTGTCTCTGAGTGACAGTTCTGAAGTTGCTGTCTACTCAGCAAGAGGCTTGAATACTTCAGACCAATCAAAATTTTAATCTTGTTCTTATCTTCCTAGATATTGAATGAAGGGTTATTTAAGTATTTCATAATTGGGAATTTCTTTGAATCCCAATTTGAATACAGTTTAAAAGAATTACAAAAATGGTTCAGGGTATTATTTCAACTCTTTTTCAGGTAGAAATTGTCTTTTGAATTCCATATAAAATTTATCTCTTATATTTTAATCCTTTGATTGACATTTGTTAGGTAGTTTCCCTTAACTTAGAAGATACAACAAGAGATAGCCAAGAGATTCCAAATCGTCTCTTGGAGATGGTACTAACTTATTATGCAATTGAATTTACTTTATTGCAGATGTTATCCGATACTGCTGAATTTATTTGTTTTTATATGGATTTATTTTGATTTGTTTGTGATTTTACCCTCTTTATTAAGAAACTCCACATAGTCATCGAAGTTAGTGATTAGTAGATTTGAATGGTTCGTGGTCATTATACAGGATAATTTGAGACTTCTATGCAAAATGTTCAAATTATGAATTTACTATAAATTGGTAATCTTCATGCTAGTTGTTAAAGTATAATTACCATTTTAAGTGCTACCAACATGATAGTTTTCAGAGAAAATTTATATTTCATCAATTTAAAGCACAATTTTAAGGAAGGTCCACTCTTCTACCACGCAATGTAGTGGTAAGTGATGTCCTAAACTACTAAAGTTCCCATCTTATAGATCCTTGGAATTGGGATGTATCTGGACATTCTGTTATAATGATCATTAGATTTATCTCTGTTATCAATCACTATTCTTATTAGTATAACAATATTACTCTATTCCAGACGTTTAAATAGTTTGCATATACATAGTTAATCAGTTATCTAAAATGATAGGAACTTCATAATACTATTTATATAAGAATCTATTTTTATTCCTGTTATGAATCCACAGCATTGTAAAAGTTGGAATGACGTCCTTGATAATGTAGAGTAGCAAGTAAATATCGATTATCAATCAAAACTGGGTGATCCTTGTTCATGTATATAATATATATTAATTAAAAACAATCATAATTCTCATATGTGTGTGATAAAGAATTTTAACATTTAAATAGTTTTTTTAAATTCACTACTGATATTAATATAGATCAATGTGAGTATATTTCATTTAAGTATTTTTCTAATCTATTAATTTCATTAGTAAAGTCTCATTCACTTAAATGACTCTTCTTTAATATTGGTATACAAGTTAAATATAAATGTTGACTCAAAATTATTTATGCATTTATATAAATACAATATTTCATAAGAAATAAGGAAGAACATTCTTTGGATTAATGCTTTTTCCACTTTCTGGTACCTCTCTGAATGTCTTCCAATTAGATTACAATTAATTGTCCAAACAAAGAATGGAAGCAATGTTTCCACATCTATAACAATAATTTGGGGCTGACCACACTGTAACCAAATTTTAATCCTAAATTAATTGATATGATTACAGGGAACCAATATTTGTATCCTTCCATCACCAATTAATGAGCTCTACAAATTAAACTCAGGTCATTCAATCTGCAAAACTCCTTTGTTACTTAAGCTCCAAATAAATATCCTGCTCCTCTTGAATTCACAGCCCAGTATTCGACTTCTTCTGGATCTGACCACATCAAGTCACAGAATGGACCTTCATGTGGGATTTCAACCTAAAATTCAAATGATGTTTTACTTTTCTATCTATTGTTCTTATTTGATCTACTGTTCTCATATCTGGAGACAAACCTCCATGAACACACAATATTTAGCCTTCTATTAATGCAGCCAAGGGTAAACAATCGAAAACATCCATAAATAATCTCCAAGGACTGCTATTTCCATACTTCCTCAAGATTTCTTCGTAGAATCCATAAACCTAAGTGCATTGTCTTGATTCGTGATTTCCTCTTAATAACACGATGTTTCCTGGATACTTGACTATTCATCAATACTACTTGCAATTACCTTTTAAACATAGTAGATACTCCATAGTTTCAACACTATTGTATCCTCTGTCGACGAAGTCTCCAATGAAGATGTAGTTATGTTCAGGAATATCACCACCTTCTTTAATCAAAGCTTGTAAGTCGTAAAACTAGCCTTGCATATGTTAATGTATTCTTTATACCATGAATGTCACCACACACATTGACTGGTGCTCTGACAGGCTAAACATTTGATTCTTCAAGGAAGATCTCCTTGGCTCGTTCGCACACCAGTTTGAGATCTCTTTCTGGGAGACATCCGCCTGTAAGAAGTGATGATATGTGTCGATCGATATCCATTAATAATTAAAGATTTTACTTATTTTATGTAATAAAAATTTAAGTCAAACCTTAAAAATATCATTACCGAATGTGAATAACTCAAGGATTAAAATGCTAGCTTCAATTTGGAAATATCCAACTTTACCACCAAATATCGCATGAGATTTAGCAACATTATAAAAAGGGCTTCGACAGAAGAAAATAAGAAGTTGCAAGAAGAAAAGTCATTAAAGTATGATTATCAATACTTTTCAGAATGAATATCAAACTCCATAATTACCTTTGTAAACAAATCATTGATTCAACTCAGTATAATCTATAGAGGCCCAATAGAAAGGCCCAAAAGTATAAGTTATAAGAAGAAACCTTTTTCGATCGCAATCCTGTTTTGTATCTCAAATAACAATTATAATAAGATAAATAAAGGAGTCTTAAATTATCAATTTAAGCTCGACATTTTTCTATTCAATAACAAAAATTTGTATAAAAGTTAGAAAACTATAAAGACTTCATTGGCTTAAAATGAGTTTTAGTATTAAATTTTATTAATTGATTATTCAACATCCAATTATGACTTATGTATCATAATATTCTCATAAAAAAAAAAAAAATAAAAAAAATCAATTTTATGGATTACCTCCATAATAATCCTCATTTATAATTTGAGGTAAAGAATATTAAAAATTACTTAACATAATTAGAAATGATGATAAATTGTACAATAAGAACTAAAATTGATTGAAGTTAAACACAACGCTCCATCAGGATGATTGATTTAATGTGAACATGCAAAAAAATTATTCATAAATATGATTTCTTTAGTATTTAGAGACTAATCTGAATTAAGAATGTTTATCTATTAACAGGAATGCCAGTTCATAAAAAAATATGAAGATAACATACATATTATTTTAGTTTTAAATTAGATAACAAGTATAATATCTAAATAGTGATGATAATATCTTGATCATAAAATAATCAATTAAAATAGCTGCATAACTTACAATTAGTTAGGCAAAAGAATTTAGGGACACTGGATATAATGGCAATAGCTTTAATATATAAAGATACAATTAATAATTTTTAAAAGTTAATTATCTCAATGTGCTTCCTCTATATTATGTAAATTCTATATATTAGCTGATTCTCTAATATTGATTTTTTCAGGTATAAGTATATTCTTTTTAAAATGAAGGCAGTCTTAGGAATTATTACTTAATAATAATCTCCTTCAAATCCAAACTCAGTTTGAGAAAATTCTTGTAGTTAAAGATATTCATCTCTTACCAAAAATTATAGAAGTAGATATATAAGGCAACGTATTTGATTAAATTACCTAAAAGGCAAATTGAAATATAAAAGATGAATTTGAATTGATAGAGTATTTCAAAGCAAATTGATAAGCATAAATTGGTTTAATATAAATATTAAACCTTTAATCATAGAAGATTATATATTTGAGTACAATATTTATTACAGCAATAAAAATAAGAAGCATAAAAAAATGTAAATCATATCAAAAATGATCTGAAAAATTGAATTAAGCAAGACCTCTGGTTTCTCAAAAAAACAGAACTTTAACAAGTTTAAAGAATATTAAAAATGGATGATCCATATGTTCATTAAAACGAAAGAGAAGGATTTGATATTAAGGCAAGAAATATATTATTAAAGTTTTAAATATTTTAAAGCGAGGTTAAGTTACCAATGTTATCTTCAAAGATTTAAAGTACATCTTTCTTATAGTGATCATTCATAATGAAAAATGAAATTTATATGATTTAATACTCACTTATTATTTAATTATTGTATGTAAATTCAAGAAATCTTTGAAAATAATAATCTTTAAATTTTATTTATTTGAAAATAAGTGAGGGTTTTATGTAAATTATTTCAATATCATAAACACAACTTTTGAAAAATATTGTGAATAACTATGATTATATTAACCTTAGTGCTTCCTATTAATTAAATTAATAGTTTTCTTCTTTACTGCATTTCAATGTATAAATTGAATTGAATCCAAAAAATATAAAAATATTAAATAATATATAATGAATTTATCTGAAGAAGATATTGAATAATGCCAAAGAGCGTTTAATGATTTAGATGATGTAACATTCTCAGTTTTATAAATTATAATAGAGAGGAGAAGGAGAAATCATGGTCGATGATTTGGAGATTGCCCTTGAAATGGTAGGTTTGAAGTAGAAACCTCATAAAGTCCACAAATTGATAAGTGAGATTGATGATGGCAATCGTGGACGCATCAAATTTAAAGAGTTTTTGAGTCTCTTTGCCAAACTTAAATATGCTGGGTTATAAGATGATGATTAAGATATGATTGATGCATTTGTAGCAATGGGAGGAAATGAAGACACCACAGGAAATGTTGATGCAGAAAAGTTAATTCGAATAATAAAGAATGAATTTGAATTAACGATCGATATTGAAGGATTGATTAAAGAAGTTGATACCGATGGATCAGGAGTAATAGAGTTTGGAGAGTTCAAAGAACTATTAAAAACTAATTACTTATAAGATGATGAAAATGACTATCCGTGATTTTTGACGCCATATGTTTAAATATATTGCTACAATTCTAAGCCTATAATTATAAATAAATAAATATTCCTCTTAACTCTCCAAAGAATGAATCATGCCGCTCATATTGTGAAGTATGAAGTTCATCTAAGAGAGTTCTTGCAAGCTTAATTACTATATACTAATAAATTATCTATTACTTTTATGGTATTTAAAAATAGGATGTTTTCCTTTATAATCGTAAGCTTATTCTTTAAAAATATTGCTATTAATAATAATTCTAATTTGCAAAGGAACTCATAGAGGTACTTTGAAAATTGTAATGATGAATAATATTGAAAGATTTTAGCTTGATCTTTGATAGTATATAATCCTTATATTGTTTAAATTTAGAATAAGCTGTTTTCTGTTTTGCAAACTAATAATATACTTTTCAAAAGGAAGATATTAAGTTTTTTGGATTTTCTATTACATATTCTTACTTGTTATGTATCTCTACAAGTAACAAGCTATCAATTGAACCAGTTAGACTTTACTTAATATTAGATTTTGCATCACAAAAATAGATAAAGGATACTATATTTTACTCATAATAATATACATATATCAGTTAAACTTTACAAAAGGCAAATTATGATCAAATGATGATTTAGATATAAAACCATTAGGAATATAAATAAAGTCTAATGCGTTTTACAAAATATCTTAAAGAATTATATATTGATTTAGACTACATAATATAAAATTTAATATGAATTGAAAAATCATGGGTAGATAATAAGATTATGAAAACTAATAAGAGTTTTGGTTTAATTCTGGATATATCTATGTATTTTATTATTAGATACATTATTTAATATAATTATTTATAAAAATTTTATTAGTGAGGCGTTTTAAATTTATAAAGTTCTCCTTGCTTTAATTCGTTAGTTTTATAATAGATTTATAATTATTTGATTTGAAAATTATAATTGCACATCAAAGTATCTTCAAGAATTGCACTATAATCGCACAAATTTTAATGGTTTTAATATTTAGAGTCTCCAATCTAGCCCACTACTATTTTAATAAAGTAACAATAGATTTGAAACAGCTATGATAAACAAGAACAATCCTATTAATTTGGTTGTATAAGAAGATACAATCTGGGTTAATTCTTAATTCTACTTAAAAGTAATGTTAATCCTAAGATTATCTAAATTAAATTAATAACATCTCATCTATCCGAATATTTTACAATCAAAAACATCATTTTTATATATTAATTCAAGCTTTCACTGCTATATTTCAAGAATTTAGTTTCTCAATTCTAATAACTTAATATTTTTTAGAAAATCTATTTAATTTATTGCTTCAATAGCATTAAAATCATTGAAGTTCCATCTCAAATTATATTAAAAACTCTCTTGTGTTATTTATTATTAAATTATTTAATACTCCTCCAAAAATGAAATTCTTATTAAATTTCCCTCTTAACCATTTTGCAAAATATTTCTTAAGATGAAATTTACAATTTCCTTTGATTGCAAAAAGAGATCTTTAAATTTAATCATAATTATTTATGTATATTTATCATAAGTTCATTTCTAGCATCTCTCTCTTTAACTTTTCAATGACTTTCTCAACCAATTAGACTAGTGTTTCTTCAGTTTTTTCTCTTTCTCCCCTTGTTTTTCTTAATTATTCTTAAATTCTTCCTGAAATTTCCCTCAGACTTTCTACAATTTCCTCTTCTTTTGTTTCTCTTTCTTTTTTTTCTCTAAATTATTAAACAAATATAAACCTTTCAAATAATTCCCTTAGATCATTGAGTTATTCGACAAATTAATGGTATATCTTTTCTTCAACGTCTTTTCTTTCTGTAATTTCATTTTATAATTCATCAGCTATTTTTGGCAAATCTTCATTTAAATAAGAATCAATGTATTCATGAGATGTTTGTTAAGCCTACTTATTAACTACATTATCATTACCAGACCCTCTTTGATGACATCCTATTATAAATTCTCAATTTATTGGCCAATTGAATAAACTATTTTTTTTTCTTATTCTACTCTATCTTTTGAATTCTGCTCTATCAATCTTCTTGCATGTCTTTCTAAATCAGTTATCAATTTAAATGTTTCACTTTCTTATCTCTCACGACTACAGAAATATAAATGCAACTTTTACTCTTCTTATTCTTATTCTAAGAATTCAGTAATTTGTCTAACTTTTTAGGCAATATAAGCAAATTTCTCCTCTTTCTAATCAGATTGATGTTACAATTAAGCCTCAAAAGCCATTATCAATTGACTTATAGTATGAAAACGATTATTTTTTCTATTAGGTATTATTTGTAACTTACTCATCCTAAACACTAGTAGAGATGTTGTTGAGCTTTTCAAAGATTGATGATACTCTATTTTAAATATTCTCAGACATTAAATTATTAATAATTTTTATTTTTGTTTTATATAAATTTTTATTTATGAAATAAACAATTATAAATTATAAATTAATTTTATCACATTAAATGATCATTAATGTCAAAAGTGTCACAATTCTTATACTTTCTATGAAGCTATTAGTAATTTATATGTTTCTATTGTAAGGGCTCTACCTAATTTAACTGTATGTTTATGTCTCTTTGACTGCTGTTACAATCCAAAATGCTAGAGTCTTACAAATTCATTTAATTTAATTCTTGTCTTGTTTATTCAAGTAACTATCTCAACTAATCTATGTTATCATCAAAAGATATTTCATTCTTTGTCGTGAAGCAAACCTTATCAAAATTCAATCGCTGTTATACAAATTGATTTGGATGTTGCTCTTCTATTTTCATGATATCCTTTTTGAATTGCTCATATTTAGGAATATCGTTTTTAGGAATCTCAGATTGATTTAAATTACTAAACTCCTCCTTTTAAATTCTAGAATTTATAAAATCATTCTCCTTATTTTGAAATTGCAGATTTTATTGTTGTTTTGTATCTTAATTGAAATTCTCAATAGTTTATTACGCAAAGCAATTCTCCTCCTTCGGGTAAAATTTGTTTTGAGTGTTATTAACAGAAAAATTAGGAATTTCTGAATAGATTGTCTTTGTATCAGTCAAAGCTGCATTACGAAATGGGTTCTCCTCTTTCAATTATGAAATTTAGACTTCCTAAGAATGTAATGTATTTTCAAGAAATGAAATAACATTGTCTAGGTTTTTCATACCATTAAACCCATAATTTTCTTAGCTTTACTATTACTTATCTTCATTCATTTGGTTTTATTTGGTTGTTGACTTTTTTATTTCTTATTTACTTTTATCAAACGATTTCTCTTATTGCGCCTTCAATATTTTTTCTGGTTTCTTTAATCTCTAAGCCTTGCAATAATGAATGTATATGCTACCTTTGCAACAAATGATTTTGTATCCTCTAAGTCCTACTTTATTTTATGGAGAAAATTAGGATCCTGGTTTTGTTGTCCTCTTTCGCTTTCCTATAGCAACAGTTTAGCTTATTCAAGAATGTCTGGTTTAAATTAACTTTATGAATGGGCTCTTTCAGATTTCTCCCATTCAATCATTTATGTTAAATTTCTTCTTTTTGAAGTTGAATTATTCAAGCCTTTAGAATGCAATGCAGTCAAATAAATCTATTGTAAATCACGAATAACAACCTTTTATGTGTCATCATCCATAACATTGTGTTTTAATTTTTCTTATACTTATTGCCATTAATCTTTAGCCTCCATGCGATGTTTTGACATTAAACTAATTTTCTTTTACATCAATTCAGCCTACGATAACTTGTAACGATCCTAATCTGCGAATGATGAAACCCACTCTGGCTTTCCCTTTTGATTCTTTTATTTCGAATACATTGATTTCAAATTAATAACTGAAAAATATTTTGCTAAACTTATTAAAATATTTTTATTGATTATATTGACATCTCATAATTTTGATAATAAACTCGAAATTAGCTATAAGAGTGTTATGTCCTTCCTTATATTACAAAAATAGCATTTTCAGAATTTATACTTCCAATTTTCTTTAGAATTTAGATGTTATTTTTCTCCCCATCATGTCAACTTATTAGGAGTGCATTATTAAATTACTAAATTTTATATTTATAATAAGTAGGTCTAGTATATTTTAATTACAAAGCAAATTTATATTTAGAATTAATGCTATTTAATATTTCAATTTATGAGTACTAAATTGCTATTCTTTTATTATAAAAAGGCATTCAGGAGTATTTATGATATTAAACCAATTTTATATGTATGTCATGTTTATTAAAATTTCAGTTTAATATATCAAATTTAATGATGTAGTTCAATTTTTATATTATTGGTAATTAATAATTTTAATTATTCAAAAACTATTAATTGATGATAAATAAAGTACATCTAAATAAAATTATAAAATACCTAGATTTAGTAAATTAGGAAATCTTACTTTAGTAAATATATACAAAAATACTAAACTATATTTTATCAATTTATATATATCTAAATTTAAATATTATAATCTGTTTTTGTGTTAAAATCAAGTCAAAATATAATTTAAAGTTAAAGTTTAAGATTATTATTTCAAAATACCTCATCATATAATTAAACATCCACTTTTTGACCAAAAAATAATATTTCTATCCTTATTACTATATTTATTATTGTAATTCTTCCATTTTTCAATCAAATCGATTTATTTTAAAAAATAACCATATTATAGTAATAAATATCTGTTTTATAAAATCCAAGGCTAGAAATAAATCGATAACAATAAATTTAATAATATATAATTCATTGAATATAAATGAAACTTTCTGATTGAAACTTATAATGACTCACAAAGTGTGAGTTCATATAATAATAAAAATTGTAATTTCTTAAAATAAACAAAAATTTCACTATAGTTCTATTTAAATTGGTATTTCTTTTTTCTTTCTATTTTATTTTATGCACACCAGAGGTTTGGATAAAAAATACCTTGTTATTAGAAATTTAGTCTACTGTTACTAATTAGGATTAGGAGTTTCTGATTTTTATTATTAAATAGATCTAAATTGGGAGAGTTGAATGGATTTATGGATTTACCCATCTAAGTTAGATTTAAGTTTTCTTGAAGTTAGACAGGCAGGTATTCTTTTTTTTTCAGAAGTGAAATGTTAAGTTTTTTCTAATCGTAATGGTAATTAAAATCGAAAAGGAGAAGTGTGTATTTGTTAATCCAAATAAGAGTCCATTTTAACTTAAGGGTTTTATTCATATTTTCGTATTGTTTCAAAGGTATCGCAATTCATCTCAGTTTTGATTTACTTTGAGATACTAAGTGAACTCTCCTTATATTTGGAAACTGATTTTTGTGGAGTTCGACAAATTTTTCTCGCTTTTTACACAAAATCATCAAAAATGCTAAAATCATTTGGTTTTGGTTATAAGAATATTTTACTTTAGTAGTTGTTGTTTAGCATTTGATAAAAATAATATAAAAATGATTTTAGTATTAATAATATTCATTTTTAAATTAATAAAAGGTATTAAGAGACAATACCTTACAAGAATCAGATCAAATGAGCTAATTATGTAGATTCTGATACATATATCAATAATTAGATAAAATAAGTAAATTAGGAATAGAGTTTAAACAACAATTCTTAGAAGATTGTTATCACCATCTAGTATTCTAATGGTCTTTAAAATTTGTAAACTTTCTGGATGTTAGTTGATGGACATCTTCTTAATACAACTAAGTATTGTTGCCATAGTCATCAAGTAAAATAAATATTTTTGAGAAGATATCCTATCTTTTTTTTACTTTTTTGGCTAATTATTAATAATATTCAAATAAAACATGGTAGACTTATCTTCGATATGAATTATAATAGATTGATGTTTTATATCAACCTATTAGATTTCTCTAATTAATCCACTTAAGAATTGAAATATCCTTTGCGTGAGTTTTTAATTCGATTCTTAATAAATATTATTAATTTTGGAATTACCAAAACACCATAGATGTAGCAGCAGCAGTACACATAATCATAATTAAATTAAGTTAATTTTCATGTCCATGCTCATATTGTAAGAACAAGAAGGAACAACAATAGCCATCTGTTCATGATTGTAATTAAATTGAAAGAGAAAATGAAATTTTGAAAGGTGAAATCGCAAAGCTTTAATAATTTGCCAACTCGAAAGGTACCAGATTAGCAATTATATCGTTGTAGTCCCTGAATTCTAATAGTTGCTTAGAGACAATCAATAGATGAAAAAAACATTAGATCAAATGAATTAATAGATAAAGGAATATGAGGAAGAAATTTAGAGATAAAAACAAGTTATAGACAGATTGAATTTTGATTTAGACAAATCCAAGAGAGACAATGAATAGTTGCTTTAGGCTTTGAATGATATCAAGCAAAGAGGGTTATCATAGGAACAATCTCTTTTGCAGGACAATCAAAGAATGAAATCTACAATTGATTCGCTGAATAATGATCTAAGGAGTTTGCAATAAGAAATTTATAGATTAAAATCGATTAATGATAAATCCAGATATGTCTAGGATGAATCAAACCGTTATTAACAGGAGAATTAAGCCAATCTAGCCAGAATTCGATAATTAGAGATGTAGATCAGGGACTTGATGTCAAAGGAGGAAAGCTATCAACTCCAGATAACTAGAGCAGCCCAAGGAACAAATACAGAAAATCAACTATTGAAGGATCAAATAGCTCAATTGAATTAACAATTGCATATGATGCAAAAGCAATATTAAAAATAATTGGATGATGTGAGATAGGATTAGGATAGGATGATTTCGGAACAAAGAAACACAATAAATATCTAAATTAAGGATTAATTGCAGAGAGATTAATAAAAGTGGATGGATGAAAGAGAGGCGTTGCTTCATGAGATATAGTTATTGAAATAGCAGTTGGCTTAGAATGAATTATAAGTTACAAGGAAAAGACAATTATTGGAAGATGAGGCGAATAAGAATTAGTAATTCATAGTAGAAATGGAATAGGCAAATGGTTAACTTTAGAATAAATTGAGGGATCTTCAAATGCAATTGCAATAGTCTGAAAAGGACAAAATGAGAAATGATTAATATGTGAGAAAAATTGATGAGTTGTAATTGTAAGTTGAATAATTACAAAGACAATTGTATGATTTGACGAGCAAATACAATAACTTATTGAGTCAATACGAATAGAAGAAATATCAGATTGATTAATTGAATGGATAATTGAATGTCAGTTAGGACAATGAAAAGTAAAAGATTATGAATTTGGAGAGATAAATTAGGGAATTATAAGATTAATTGGCTGATACGTAGAGATTAAGACAGCAATTACATTAGATGAATGAGAATTACAGTGCTTTGTAGATTACATTTAAGAATTCATAAAAGTAATTATCAGAGGCGGATGAGTTGAGACAAGAATTAGATGCATTATTTCAAGAATTGGAATATTATAAGTAATAGGATATGAAGAGTAAACAAGATTTAGATAGGTATAAGTAGCAATTAATAATAATTGAGAATAAACATAGTTAATAATCGAATTATGAAATTGAAAAATTAAGATAATAAAATCAATAATTGATTGATGAATTGAATGAGTGGAAGAATAGAAATAAATAATTAGAGGGAAAACTTCAATAATAAATAGTTATGTTGAATCAAGCTTAGAATGATTTGCAAGCCCATCAAGCATTAAATGAGAAATAATAATATGCTTTGAATGAAAGCAATTAATTAAGAGTCAAGATAAAGGAACTGTTGGATTAGATTTAATACTTAGAAATGGAATTAAACAAAAAGGATAATCTCATTTAGGATTTATAAATTAGTTTGGATTAGTTTAGTAAACAAAGAGATTCATTGATTATAATCGAAAAGGAGAAGAAAGATTTTGAATATCGTATAATCTAATTAGAGAAGCAATTGGCAGAATTAACAATGTACAAAACACAATTTTAGGATCTCTAATTTAAATATAATAATTTAGGTTAAGAGTATGAAAGTTTAAGAAAAGATTACGAATTATTGAGATATAAATACGATGAAATCAACAACTAATATATATAATCTAAAAAGTAGATTAACATTCAAATCAATAGTGAAGTAGAAGCATTAAAATCAGAGATTTAGACATGGATTATCAAATGTAAGACATATGAAAGTGAGATCAGTTTTTTGAGATCCACAATCAACGATTATTAGGAAATAGAATAAGAGTCAGAAATGTTGAAATAGGAATTAGAAACATGGTAGATTAAATTTGCTGATGCAGATAGAGAGAGGATTCAATTGAGACAAAGTATTTAAGAGTATGAGAAATTCAAATTCAGAATAAGCGAACTTGAAAGGGAGATATCAAATTACAAGTATAAACTTGAGAGTACTGAAAAAGAAAGAGATGGTGCCAGATAATAATTAACAATATTGTAATAACAAAGAGTTCAATTTGAATAAATTAAAAAGGAGTATGATTCACTTGTATACAAATTCTAGGAATAGGAAAGGGACAATTTATCATTACGTAATGAAATTGAAAATTTGAGACAGCAATTGATCTCTTTGTAATAACTTAAATAACAGTTAATATTAATTGAACAAGAGAAATCATAATTGTTGTATAAGATTGAAGAATTTGATAGGGAAAGACAATTGTTAAAATAGCAGATTTCTAGTGCTAATAATATTAAGATGGAATCTGAGAGTTTGAAGAGAGAGTATGAAATGCTCAGAATGAAGTTGGAATCAAGTGACAGAGAGATTTCGACCATGAGGTAATAGCTGACTTTGGCAAGCAATCAGAAAATAGAATTTGATAGATTGAGATCCGAATATCAATAGTTGAGAATGAGTTTTGAAGATTCAGAAAGAGAAAAATAAGGATTGAAATAATAATTGTAAATTGGAATCAATGTGAAGAATGAACTAGAGTAATTTAGAAAAGAGTATGATTTAATAAGATTAAAGTTTGAGGAAAGCGAAAAGGAAAAAAACTAATTAAGAATACAATACCAAAGTAGCCAAAGTAATGTAAATGGTTATAAAATTTAGATAGAACAATTGAGTTCGCAAATTAATCAATTTTAATCATAAGAACTAGTAATGAAGAGAGAAATCGAAATGTTGATTTAATAAATTGATGTTTATAAGAAGGATCAAATAAACAAGTAATAATAAATTTAAGAATATTAATTCAAATATTAGGAAATCATGAAAGAGTATGAAAATTTGTAGGGCAAACAGAAAAATATAGATGTGGATGCGTTGATGTATGAAATATATGAATTGAAGAAGTAATTAGCTTAAAAAGACAAGCAATATGAGTATGAGAGACAAGAAATCAATGAACAAAAGTTTCAAATGGAAAAGAGTGTGAAGATAAGATTGGAACAGGAAATACGCATTTTGAATGAGAAATTTAATAGTGAATTGAATGAATTGAGAAGATAAATTTAAATTGAAAAGTAGGAGAAACTAAAGTTGGAATCAGAACTGAGAATTAAGTATGAGTAATAGATTATGCAACTTTAACAATAAATTAAACCATCTGTGGATGTTGATGCTTTGATGTATGAGATATTTGAGTTGAAAAAATAAGCAGTTACTAAAGAGTAAGTAATTGAATAAATGAAGAAAGAACAATATCAATTGAGAGTACAAATGGAATAAAGATATAATGAGTAAAAACTGCAATTTGAATCTGAAATTAGAATGAAATTAGAAAGGGAGTTGAGGATATCAATAGAATCAGATCTTAGATACTAGATTGAGAATGAATACAACTTTGAATCAAATATTTAAGATTATGTTCTATAGATTGAAAAGTGGAAGTCTGTTTGTTAAATGAGAGATGAAGAGATAGCACATCTGAGAGGATTGCAGTAAGCATTAAAAGAGAAATTAAATTAATACACATCTGAAATTGAATCATTGAGGACATAATTGGCTTTGATGCAAGGAGATAGAAGAACAGTATATTAAATAAAATGATATCATACAATATTTTTAAAAAGGAAATATTAGTAAGAATTTTAATATTCTATTTCCATATATAAAAATATTTAAATATAATTAAATGATTAAGATTAGACAGACTAATACATAAATGTGTTTTTGATAACCAGATTAAATTTGCAAGATTGCAAAATAATAACAGATTGAAGTGGGCGAATATATCAGAAAACATTATGCTATAAATTCTTATTATTCTTTTTTTAAATAAAAGATTATGAAATTCATAAAAAAATAGAAGATCAAATGAATTGCATTAGATTGTTATTTTGAGTTATTTGTACAGATTAAGTTTATTAGAAAAAAATAACTACAATAAATTTTAGCCCATTTAAATGGAAACCCTCAACTGATTATTGGAATTATTTGTATCATCATAAGAATATAATACTCCTTGCTTGGTTTCTGAATCAATTTCCATCTTTTGATGCGTGAATTTTCTTTGGTAACATCCTAGTCTTAGATGTGATAAAATTTTATAGAATATGCACAAAATTATCGATTTTAGGGATATACAATTAGTTTCAACTCTTATTGCTATTGTTTTCCAATTGAAAAACCTACTTGTATAAAAGTCTACTATTTTTATTATTAGAAAAATAAACTACGAAATTACTCTCGATTATTTAGCAGGAATGTTATGAAAGAAACCATAACTTGAACTGATATGAGGATAATGAACGACTTAAATGGGATGGCAAGACAAAGAAAATATGTATATTTTACAGTTATATGTAAATAAAACCATAGGGATTTAGATAATAATATATGCAAGATAATATTCTAACTGTTGAAATCAAAATCCATCTAAATACCAAGTTGACATTAATTTATATACAAGAAATAAAATTAAAATGATCCCCCCCCATTATAGTATCTCTAGAGTGAGAAATTAATATTACAATGTTACTGAACAATATTTTGTATTAATTTGGTCAAATTAATTGCATTGAGGTGTTTTGAGCTTTTTCTTAATTTTATTAACTCATTACTTTGAGTCTTCTTTGGGTACTTAATTCAATTGATTATTGCTTAATTAAATTAAGTTACGAGATAAATGTTTATTTGTTTGAATTTTAAATTAATTATAGTTCATAAGATAAACTTGTTTTCATGCATTGCTATCTGAATCCCATTTAATTCTTTTGCCTTGGTACCATTCTCCAGGTCTTTCGATTTCTCCATTTATATATACACCTTTGCCATGCTATTTTCCATTTTCCCATTCTCCTTCATACTTCCTACCATCACTCCATTAATATATTCCATATCCATGCTTTTGATCGTTAAAATAATGGCCCTCATACTTTCTTCCATCTGGCCACTAATAAAGCCCTCTTCCATGCATGTTATCATTTTAAAATTCTCCTTCATATCTTCTTCCATCAGGCCATTATAGGATTCCTCTACCGTGTATTTTATTTTTATACCAATCTCCGTCGTAAACTTATCCATCTGCCCATTTATACTTTCCTTTCCCATGCTTCAATCCTTTTTAAAAAAACCCTTAATACTATGAACCATCCGCCCAGGTTTCTACACCGTAACCATGTTGTTAATCACAGAACCACTGTCCCTCATACTTTGGACCGTTGAAATGTTGATAAATTCCAAATCCATTGGCCATGTCGTTTTCCCATTCCCCATCAAAAACGTCGCCATTTGCATGTTGAAATTTACCTTTGCCATGAGCTTTGTTATATTTCCACATGCCATCATATTTGGCTCCATCAGGCCAAATTTATACCCCATAACCATCTCTTGCCTTACCTTTCCATTGTCCCGTATATATAGCTCCTCCTTTAAATCTTATAAGACATCTTTATACTTATGAGGTCCTCTGTCTTCTTGGGGAAATTCATCCTGATTCAAAGTGACACCAGACGAAAAGAAAAACTCGCTGGCATCCATTTTAGAATTATAACTATTTAGAGTTTCCCGTTTCTTGAGTCTCATTTATTTCAACTTTTTCCGAATAATGTAACCCCTCCAATAGGATTAAATGAGGATAGCTTTTTTAATTTTTTTTTAATGCACAGAAGAAGAGTCAGAGGTTGCTAAAGTCACATTATCCTACTATCGAAATAAATTGGTATTGCTTACAGTTTTAAGTATCTCATTTTTTGTGTTGACGCATTTGCAATTTGTACATTGTGATCCCATGAAGATGAGAATTTTCAAAAAAATATAATATAAATGAGTGATAATATATAATTTTAATTCCAATCTTATTATTTCCATCATACATATATCAAATGAATTCATCAAACTAACTTAAGAATTTTTCAGCATTCTCCTCGACCTTCTAATTCTTCACATTGGCTACTATCGTTTTGAGTTCCTTTAACCTCTCACTGACAATAGCTTTATTGTCCTTCCCTTCATTTCCAGTAAACGTGTAAATTTTTAAAAAGTCTATCAACACTTGCAAAAATTCGAAGGACTCAAAATATTTCTTATTTTTGATTAAATATTAATAATCCTTAATGAATATTTCCTAATTGAACTTGTTAATCTAATAATTGGTGATTTCCTAAAATAGATTTGCATACTTTGCATTCTAAATGCATTTTGCTCTATAAATACTATTCAGAGCATGGATATTAATGGCATTATCATACTGTTTTAATCTCTAGATACAAATATCTGTGATTTCTGTTAAATAATGAGAGGCCAAAGTGATTTTCAGTAATCCTGAAAACATCTTCCCTATAATAAAATCATTCATTGGTATCTTCTTCAGGATCGGAATAAAAATGTCAATATATCTCGGTGTACATTGATTCCCTAATGTGTTGAAGAACATGATGAATTATTCTGCCTTAGGGATGTCATCAATTTCAGATGAATCATTTAAGAATGTGATGATCTTGTCTTCTAGTTTTTTATTGATGGTGACATTTAATTCTGGTTTTGCATAGCAAAATTAAAACAAATGAGCTAAACATAACATACTCAAATTATTAGCCTAAATTAGTTGTAATTCTAAGAATGTTAGGAAGTCTTAATTAATTTCTAAGGGCAGAGTGGCTAAGACGTTGTAGATCATCCCTATGTATTTGACATGCAACTTAAATGACTATTTAATCATATAGGTTTATAAAAAGACAAAGACTGTTTGGATTACTTAGTCGAATTTCTTAGTTTTATCACTGATGTGTTTAAAGGAGAAGAATAAACTAATAGCATCCTTTTAATTAATGTCCTTATTTTCTATGTATTGTAGGGGATGCAATAGTTTTCCAATTAGATTTTCATTAAAGCTTCTAAATTTAGATAAGGAATGCAACAGTTTGCAACTACTGTGTGGAGTTAATTGATTAATGAGAGTTCCAATGAGAGCCCAATATTCAATTTCTTCTTCTTCCGTTGGATTCTAAATTTTTAGTCATCATCGTAATACCAATTCATTAATTTGTGTGATGCATCGTAAAAGAACGCTAATTTCATCGATATTACAATCCTTTAATCTATTTTCCTCTTTGATTGATTTGATCGCTAATTTGGCACTTCTTAAGAATTTGTTCTGATTTTCTTGGTCTTTAGATCTCTGAAACATTTCAACACTTAAAGACAACAACATGATGAATGATCTTTTGTGATCGGAAATCTTATCCTTATATTACAAATACTATTTAGTATGGATCATTTCTTGCACTTGATTCAATACAGAATAGGCATGTTGCATTTCGAACTCATCGTCAACCTGAGAATTAGAAATCATGAAGTCTGTGTATTTTCTGATATAACTCACTAAATTGACCAAATTCAATGTCGCTCCTTTTAATTAATAAAATTTAAGCAAATCATTAGTGGATTGAGCTTTGTGAATGGTTTGATTTTGTTGAATCTTTTGAAATTTGAAGTTGTTTTCTTTGGGAAGTGTTTGAAACTTAACGAAATTGTATATTATTTTTCTTATCATAAATTAAATATTATTATATTTAAAATGAAATCTAATCATCTTAGATTAAAACCTAAATCAGAAGAGGAGCGATTTGCATAAAGATTATAACAAGTGAAAAATACATATTTAATTGGAGCAGATGAAAAGAACTTGGCACCTCGAATCACAGCCAAATCATGGATTATTGTGGATTCATTCTCTGGCGATGTTTTGTATTCCTTCAACGAGAATCAAAGAAGAGAAATTGCCTCAATCACTAAAATCATGACATTCTATGTTGTACTAAATATGTGTCGCACCATGAATGTGCATACTAATAATACATATGCGGAAGTTAGTCTGTAGGCCAGTCTAGTTGGTGGCACTACTGCAGATCTACTAAAAGGGGATGTGGTTTCTATTGAGGATTTATTTTATGGTTTGATGTTACCATCCGGAAATGATGCTGCAATGACATTAGCTGAAAATTTTGGTATATATGCTATGTATTAAAATAAAATTAAAGGAAAGAATCCTTTGATTTATTTTATTCAAGAAATGAACAACAAAGCCAGAGAATTGCAAATGACTCAAACCACTTATGCCAATCCTCATGGACTTAATAATAAAAATAATGTCTCATCAGCTTATGATGTTTCGAAGCTGTGCAATCAATTATTAAAGGATGAATTCTTTCGGAAAGTAGTAAATACTAAAATCCATTTCACTACAATTCAAGATGAAGAAGGTATTACACTAAATAGATTTATAATAAGGATTTACTAGAGATGTTATATGGGAAAACACAAATAAATTATTGTATTAAGGATTCAAAGGAATCAAAACTGGTAATACCTCTGTAGCTGGCCCTTGTTTAGCTAGCTACTACTAAACTGCTAGTAGATCTTTTACAATTGTTATTTTGGGATGCAGAAATTAAGAAGATAGGTGGTCAGAAACTATGTAGTTGTTACAATGGTGTTTATCACAAATCTAATGATTTTATATATAACTTAATATACATATTGCAATATTTCATTCGAATAATAATAGATTCTTGATGGCCTCAATATTCATATGAGTAAAAGGATCAAATTGTATTAATTTGAAATTAGAATTCAAAATTTGATGCTCATATGTTATATTAAAACAATCATTCATAAATTTTATTAAATAATATAATAATGAAAACATTGCTGTTCATGATTTGTGGTACTTAGAATTTGTATTTGATTTGGTTTAGTTGTGTATACATTGGCATCACATGCTTACTTGTATCCATTTAATGAAAACAATGCAAAAGATCTAGAAGGGCTAAATTAGAAGTAAATTGCACAATTGATCAAATATAATATTGGGCTAGTTGAACATGTCTCACAAGATTAATAAAAAGCATATGAACAATTGATAATGTAAATAATGAGATATTATCATGTAGATCCTTTGGTAAGCGTAATGTCTTGACTCCTACAGAGATGAATTATTTGATTCTCATAGAAAGTGATAAATTGTTCTCTGGACAAGAAGCCAAGCAATAAAGAATTACTGAAGGATATGCTTAAAGTTTCAAGGTGCTGGAGAAAGAATAAAGATCCATTATGGAAACTTTGTTTGGACATCAAGGTATTTTGTAATCAAATAATGCAATAGCTGACTCTTTGATATAAAAAGCTAATGCATTATTTAATAACAACAATTTGGGTTTCAAAATATATCAAAATGAAGATGATTTAGATATCAATTATTTACAATGGACAATAACACTCTATCTTGGCAAAAATGTAAAATATCCCATAATCATAGAATGAAGTCTATTTCTACGAACCCAAAAAAGACAAATCTTACAAAATTGAGCAATCATTGGAGAAATGTGTTGACAACTTCTTTGGAACAACTTTTGATTATGCCCCAAAAGACAATAAGATCTATAAATATAACACAAACGAGATCTTAGATATAACAAAGGATAATCAGGATCATGTCACAGGATTTTTAAAGGACATTTGTGCTATGAATAAACTTGCAACCATCTTCAAGAAAAGTATAACCCTTACATAAATAAAACCTTAGACAGCACCCCAAATATGTTATCAATCATCAATAAGTCTATTGCAAAATTAGAGAAGATCTTAAACGAATAAGAAATTGATTTGGTCTACGATATGATGAGAATTGCTCATAAAAAAGTAATTATTATACCGATTATCACTTAGCTCTCCAAAAACTTCAGAAATACCTTTGAAAGCGAAGATTTATTCGGATTGATTTTAATTGAAGAAGAGAAAAATCCTTAAATCACTACAACCAAAGAATCTGCTTAAGTTTAGAGGATATTGATGGAAACAAGAACCAGAATGCTTAATTAAGTTACTGTAATTTAAATGTATTAATATTCTCTAGCAAACTAACTCGTCAAACTATGTAATGAATGCAACAACTTATTAAATCTATGTGTGGTTTGGAGTGTTCTTTGTAATTGTGTTAATTGGTATCATTTATTCTATGGTAACCATGGATATTCAAAAGGATACATTATTATATGCTAAGTTTTTAACAACAGATCAAAGAAATTGAGTAGTATATGTAAATATACACCACACATGTTTTATAAAAATTAAAGATCTTTCTTCATCTTCATTTGTAAACTCATCTCCTAATCTCGCTATATTCATTAAATTTGATATTCAGATTTTTGATATTAAAACAGAGATTTGAATACATATGGATTATTTTCTTTTTATTACATGTTATCGTAATTAATTAGAATTCTTATTATCTGTAAATGATATTGTAGTATTTTCAATATCAAGGGAAAGAAATTAGATTATCTTTAAATCAAATTATTAAAAATGAAGGACATGTGTATGATTGTATAAATGTTAATAATAATAAATGATAAAAATTTAATTATATTAACTTTCTATAATCAATTTATCATTTATCAAACTATCATAATTTTCACTCTACACTCTATGATTATTCATAAAATATATTAGATAAAACTACTTAGTTATTTCCAATATATAACAGCTTTGTTTTAATACATTATAAGTTATTTGAACCCACTCCTTTGATTATCTATATCAATTAAAATAATAAAATATAATATAGAGAATAATAGTTATTAAGATATTTATTTTCCTTTTAATTATTTTTAAATATAAAATCGAATGGCTGACTCTTTCGAGATCAACAAGGAGTGTATAATAAATTAGATAACTAAAAAATAGTTAAGATTTGTTTTAATCATTAAAATATTCATATAAATTTTAGATATACGCAGGAATGAGTTTATGGAAACTGCATATTATTCTCAAGAGGTTGTTTAAATATATATATGACTGAAGAATATATTGTTTCTAGTTATATTCTACAAATAATTTTTATATTTATCAATTATTTTCATTTGTTATGAATAATTCTGATATCGAAAAACTTATTGAAAACTACGAAGATGATCAATAAGTTGAAATCAATGAGCCTGTTACTCTTGATTTTAATTAGGATAGACAAGGTCAAGTCCCTTAACAACATCGATTCTCATCTTCTAAGTTTAGGGAGAGATTATCATCTATAGATCCTATGAATTGGGCAAAAAATATTAAGATGCCAGAAAATAATTATTATACCTATCCTTGTAGTTTAGAGTAGGCTGAGCTCCATAGATAATGCCACTATATTTAACCAGATTAAGAATTTCTTGACAAAACCAATGCCACAGAATGTCCTTGTTGCAAGTAAGATGATGTCATTTATATTAGTAAGCCATTAAACCGTAAACGTATTAATTTTCTCACTGTCAATATGTGGTAATTGTTAGTCTAGGATTATGGCATAGCAGCCCCGCTATATTTTACTTTTCTCAAATTTTAGATGTTGATTTTTGTCTTAATTTTTTGCATCTATGGCATCTTCTTCATATATGAAGTTAACTCAACATGTGCAAATTTTAAAGAGCAAATATGTTTGACTGATGAAGATCTAATTATTGAGTATAAAAGTGCATGTGAATTAAATACCATCTACACGTTTGTAGCCATGGATCCTTTTCTTTCATAAATCGAATGTTCTGCTAAAATTGATTTGGATAATGGGGGAAGTGGATTTAAATTAATCTACATTCAAATAGCTGCATTCTTAATTTTTGTCATCAACATAATGATTCCACTACAATATGAAATTATAATAAGATACAAACAAATTAAATACTGGGACAAAGAACCAGTTAATCATGTCACTGAAAACAAAAAGTCAGTTTATGTAAGACATCTGCCATACAAAATGACATCTGAAGAAATCCAATCAACCATTTCTAAGGCCATAGCCCTGAATACCTTTGATGAAGTGGCCAAAAAGTCAGTCCTATTTTAAGCCAAGAATGTAATCTAAGAATTGGTCTATATATATGATATCCACGAAGTAAACGAGATGAACATAGAGAGAGAAAGTGCATTACTTGATTTTATGATCACCTTGGAATAATTGAAAGAGTTAAAAGAGACTGGAACTATTACCACTTATAGCGAAAAGTAGGCTAAGACATATAAGACATTCACAAATGAATTGCTTGATAATCTATTCAAATAATAGTTGAATGATATTGTGTACAAGACCCAAAAGATTAAATCCTATTTAAAGAATGGGCTACCCTTTACAAACAAAGTGATCATTAAATTTGAAACTAAGGAACAAAGAGAGGCTGCTTACTTACATTACAGGAAAAAATGGTATTAGAATGTAAATATATGATATTTATGATATAGTTATTAATCAGATATGAAGTTATGAAATAACAAACAAAATTGAAAGAAATGCAGAAAACTTAAGTTGCTGATACCTAATCTTATGTTGATAGTCGATCTGTCTCGGTTGACGACTTATAGATTCAGAATCAAGAGTCTGAAAATTAAAAAGCTAGAATTAGTCTGTTTAATCAAAATACCTACTTGGCTAAATAATAGTTCGATTATAGCAATAAATATGTAGAGTAAATTCACTATTAAATGGGAGTCAAGAGGGGATTCACTATTAATGGAATCTTTTGGGAGAATTTGGGTATGGATACTTTTAAGAGACTAAAATTTCGTTTAAAGGCCATATTCACAGCTGCAATTGCAAGCTTTTTGTTGATGGGAAGCTTTGAATTAATTTATTTTTACCAAAATAATCCAAATTAAAAGGATAAGAAATCATCAGGATAATTATCTACTTGGGAAAAAGTATTTGCCAACTTCTTAGCTATTTTAGTAACATTTCTATCTAGTTACACAACATTGACTATATTAGGTTAAATGGCAAAGAGTAGAAGAAGTACATTTATAGAAGTTGAGGAAAGCATTATGCATTTTTTTGTCATAATTTAATACTTTCTAATTTAATTTTTCCCCTATTTAGCAACTTTTGAGATTTGGGGAGGTAAACACCAAATTGTTGCTTGCTATGATTTAGTCACTTTATCATTACACAGAATCATATTCAAATAATTGTTCCATACCTTTCACATCAGACACAGTAGATTTTGGCTTAGAAAAAGAAAGGCTTTGAAGAATTTCACTCCGAAAAAGTTTTTCCAAGGGTAATTAAATTAGATAATGACTCCAGCTTTTATATCATAGAGAGGAAGATAGTTTAATATGCTATTTATATTAACAACAGCTTTATGCCTCATTTATATCTGTCCAGTTGCGGTTATATTTTGTCTAGCTTTTACAATTTACATTTTTTTTTTTGATAAATATGCCATCACTCACAATTACTAAATTGATAAAAGATTCACAATTAATTTATTTAGTCATCAAATTAAGTGTTACTAGATTGTAGTCTTGCCATTTAGCATTTATTTGTTCCTTAGGTTGTTTTGGAGATTCAGTTGGGTTATTTATGGATCTTTAAGTGCAGGACTTGTCATGATTGTTATCATCATCTTCAAAAAGCCAATTGTGAAATTCATTATTTTTAAAATCTGTGGATTGAAAAAGAAGAGACCTCAGGTTGAATATAGAGAACAATCCTTCTTTAAAAGTTATAACAAATTCTTTGAAAGTAGATATTTATTTTATACAATTAGGTTTAAGAATAGAATCCTTGACATAAATTTTGGTTAATTCACTCAAAATGAACGAAACAGAATCAACAAAAAATGATTGATTAAGGTTGATCATATTATGAGCAATTTCAATTTTATATGCATAAAATAGTCTTATTTTTATAATTAAATAAAAAAATTGAGTAACAATGTGAATTCTATAATTTCATTTTAAACTAGCGCTTTTTTTCAATTTTGATTTCTGATCTAAATTGACCTTCTAAAATAAATCTATTAATCCTTATCGACCTCTTTCCCTATTTTAAGTTATAAAATCATGTCTTAACAATTCTCTTAAAGACGTTCTTTTGTTGTAGTTCTAAAATAATATGAATGAATACTTTGATCAAGCATTTTGAAGTGAAATCCTAAAAATTGCAACTTCTATTTTTGCTAATCTTTGGGGCAGGCTAATTTACAATGTTGTACATAACTCTTATGGGATGATCATCGAAGTGTGGAGGATTCCGCTCTGATAACTCATAGGCTATGATTCCCAAACACCAAATATCTGAAACATCTTCTATTATTTATTATTCTATTATTTCTGGGGCAATCCAATAAGGATCCTTGTCTTTTTTGAATTCATTCTTGTAATCCATAATCAACAATTTAATATCTCCTTTATCATTCATCAATACTTTCTTAGAACTTAGATGCTTGTGGATCTTTCCTTTAAAATGTAAATATTTTAATCCTAACAAGATTTGATAGAGTATATATCCAATTATGGATTCATCAATCTTCTTGTCGAAGAGTTTAATGAATTTTCTGAGACTTCCAAAATTCATATGCTCTTATATGATGAAACTAATAATATTATTATATCTTACAAGCATCCACTATGAAGATAAGTCTCATGATACTTTACAATAAATGGGCATTCTAATTGACGAGTAAAAGATATTTCTCTTTTCAATCGATAGCAATTAAAATTATCATAAAATTTAAATACTTTAGCAACAAAAACCTGATTTAGTCGTCTATCAATAATTTTATAAAGCTTACAATTTACCCCTCTTTCAATCTATTCATAAAATATATATTTTTGAGCAGGGTTTTCAATCAAAAACTCTGTTTATGTCATGACCTCATTAGAGTTTTATTTTGAAGCTAATTCTTTCCCATCATATATTTCAAGTATTGAGATGAAGCTTACTGTGTCTTTTACAATTTCATTCCTACTCACTCCACTATTGTATATTTCTTTTTCCATCTCTACATTAAGACCGGCTAAACCTAAATTTGCACCTTTGTCAATTTTCAATCCTTGTTTCAAATTCTTTTGGTTTTCTATGGAATTCTGGATTTCCAGAACGCGCTCTGGCAATCTATGAGTTCTCACTTCTTCAGGTAATTTATTTGTCTCAACAATTTATTGTTCATCGGCATCAAGATGAGTGGCCCATTCCTTTGGAACCCCAATCAATTTTCCAGTAATGGGATCTCTTCTAATACTGATGCATTTCTTAACATCTAGAGGTCTGGTATCCGACTTTGACTTTGAAAAAGATTCCTAAAATTATTTGTTCCCCATTTATTTTAATGAAATCATATCATATTGAATTAATTCATATTAATTTATATTAAATTGCAACATACACATGTAAAAATTTAGAATATAATAATATATTAAAATTTCACAAGAGAAAATAGTGTTAACAGTTAGAACAAAGATTGAATTGACAGTCAATCATTCATTCCAATTGAACATATATAAACTGGTAAGGTATAAATAATATAAAATCACTTGTTTAAATTAATTTCAAATAGTTCAATAATTTTATCATAGAGTTACAATAAATTGGAATTACTACTAGTATTTTTTTAAGGTCTTAATTAATTAGAGGAATGTTTAAAGTCATTTAAATAGTGTTAAGGACTCTCAACTTGATTTTTTTCTGCATCTTTTAAAAACACACCTAACTTAGTTATGCATAATTTCAAAAATTATTACCAATCCTTTTTATCGTTTTAGACAAATGATACTATAACAAAACTATCTTCTAGTTAAGCAATTTTATTGTCTCTTTTTGTAGATGTAAAATTAATCAATTCTTTTAATAAGTCATCATAAGAATCTAAATCTAAGATAGATTAAGAGCAAACCCTTTTAAAGCTTTTCATCACTGTTATAAAGTCTTCCTCATCATTTAAAATAAAAAATAAATCAATTCTCAATTATTCAAGAGAAAAGATAGGTTGCTATTATTTTAAATATTTTTAGAATATCAGATCTAATTCTTTAAAATCCTCTAAGTTCAACTATTTTCTATAATTGTGCAACAGATTCTTTACATTCTCTAATTGCTCATGGAATATCCCGTTATTTGGGATTCCTTCCAAAGCCTTCTATAAAGGAGTAAATTGGGATGATTCATTTTAATAAAATAAAACTAAACTGTGAATTAGTTCCATGTATTCTTAGTTCACTTTTATCGAACCATTAATGTGATATTAAAATTCAGTATAATAAGCAGCTATTTGCATACTGTAGGTAGAATATTATTGAATAAGTTTCATGGCTTTAAGAGTTCTTAGCAATAGTTCATCAAATAATTAAGCAGATTCTAAATATGGTTATTTTTATTGTTTAAAACTAAATGGAGACTTGACCTCTATAGATTTATGTTCTTTAAGCAGTAATTCGAAGTCTTCTGAAAAGTTTTTCATTCTTCTAATATAGTCCTAAGATAAGGGAGCACAAATAATGTTTCTCAGAAGATTAATTTGATTGATAACTGAGAAGAGATGCTGAGAAGCTTTAATCCAAAGCAAAGCTTCATTAAGTGGTTCAATGCTCTCCTTGTAATGATCATCAAATTTAAGTGATAATCTCAATTTCTTTAATTCACTAAGCAAGGAGGGATCTGGTGTTTAGGAATTCTATAGGGATGATGAAATGATATCTAAGATTTTAAAGACATAATCATCGACAACTTTAACTTGATCTAAGAACTCCTAAAGTTTCATCTCATATTCTCTTTGAGCTCTTATTTTAGATTGGAATATTTCTTCTTCAAATAATTTGCCATATTCTGCGGTGTTTCTGATATCTGGGACGACAACTTTATCACCTGTTGGGAGGAATCTAGATCTCATTTGAAATTTGTTATGAAAATTAATGAATTTGATTAAGCAATTGGGATTTTAATAATAATTAAAAGTTGAATTAAAAACTATTATAAAAAAGGAATATTTATATTCTTCAAGGAGTGGGAGCAATAGAATCAGTCGGAGGAGCACTGCCAATATGGAAGCACAGAAGATTGATAAAATGGACATCTTGAATATAAAAATTTAATATTGTTCTTCGTTAATTAAATATTATTTTTAATTTATCTGTTTGCAAATGTTCCACACTTATTTAATGCCAAAATTAGGAGGTATTGAATGTGCACGAATATGATAGACCCCATGAATTGTATAATTTAGGGTTAGAATGGGAGAGGAGGATTATTTTTAGGGAATATCGAGAGTGCTGGTAATGGGAAACTATTAGGCCATCATGACATTGGTGCAATATTGGCTGTGATGAGCACAAAGGATTTCACGTATGATGCGCATATTGCTCATAAGGTATGGAGTTTTTATGTATAGAATAGTTTATTAGAATCGACGATGCTGACTTTGTAAATTTAAGTAAGTTTTTTGAGGAGGCTATTGATTTTATTGATATCAATCGATAGCAAACAAATGTATTAGTACATTGTCATGCAGGAGTTTCAAGATCTGCAACAATTGTAATTGCTTATCTGATGAAAACTTAAAATATGTCGTTGGAATAAGCATTTAAACATGTTCAGAACCAGCGACGAATTGTAAATCCCAATCCTGGATTCATGAGACAATTGAAGCAATATGATTAGAAATTGTAGGGATCGAATTCCCTAAGGACTTCAACAGTGAAGTAGAAGGAGAGATAACACTCATAGACCAATCTTCGTTAAAGTTAGTTTGTTTAACAGCCTTCTGAGAATTACAATTCTCTCTACCAGCAATACCAACCTCATCGTCAATATCAGAGTGCTTCAGATTTAATGAGATAATCTCAGTACAATTATGAAAGACTTAACTCAAGGTAATCATTTAAATGATGAATATCATTAGACAAATGCATTATCCCTATATGCCATAACATTATGCACCTTATGTCAGAAACTATAGTGTCCCGTATGGATAGAATCCTCTGCACTTTTCTACTTACAGATAGTGATTTTTTATATAGTATAAAACTTAATAATTTGTTGATCACATCATACTTTTGGAGAATACAAATTATTTTTCTTGGTCCGTCTTTTCGCATTCTATTTGGGTCTTGAATTGCTCGTACATTCTCAATTTCTCATGATTCTCTTTTGATGGCCTTTTGGTTTGTTAGTTCTGCTCCAATTATTGCATCAGCACTTAGATGAAATTGTTTTCTTCAAGTACTAATTATTATATGGAACAATAGATTACCAGAATCCTCGTCTATTATTTTCTGTTATTTTTCAAAGTGTTTAGAATATTCATTCTATTCGCATAATTCGATGATTGTTTTTAGTGACGGTAGATGTTATTTCCTTCTTTCAATTTTGGGTTTTAATTTCTATTTGATATTAATGAACCAATGATGTTTGATTGCTTCTTCTAATTTTATTCTATTCTCTTTTTTATCGAGTAGTCTTCTCAATAAGTCCAATTGAGAAGCACAATACACCATTTGATACTTATCTTTAATTAAAACGTTATTACATTAAGTATTCTTATTAAGTTATGATAGGTGTTCTTCTGCTTTATCAATTAATTCCATTTAAATCCGATCCACTCTTTCATCCTTCCTTTTTTGATGAACAAAAAATGTCAAAAAATACAATACAATTCCTATTTAGTACAAATCGCTGTCTATCGATGGTTTGGCAATCCCTTATGAAATCTCAGGGGCTATGTAACTCTCATGGACATTCGATAGATATTGATCCAGAGGTTCAGAGTCAATACGACTGATGAATGTCATGTTGACCAGGAAGAGTTGAAGAAAGGAAGATTGAGTGTTGATGAGGATGTTGTTGGGAGTGATGTTGCCGTGATAGATGTTATTCTTTCTTAAGAATTTGAGAGATTACAGCAATTGCAAGATGATCTAAAATTAAGTAAGGCTAAATTACAGATGCTAATTGTGTTTGATCCAAAATCAAGCCTTAATTGAGGAGATCCAAGAGTTTCTCGCATCTGAAGTATTCGAAAATCAAGTAGATGTAATGATTGTCGTCGTATACCCATTTCAAATCTAAGAGAGACGGATGTTTGATGCTCCTCAATGCTTGAATTTCGCTATGCAAAATATCGACTGGTGATGTAGCCCGTATTGAGTGAACGTATGATGTGTAATACTTTTTGGTTTTTTTGTGCTGGATAATATAATAATCTTTGATGATCTGTTCCAAGAGGTTAAACTTGTTTGAGAAATTGGATAACTTACAAAAGCATTTCAATTTGGGCATCCATTCCAAATATTGCGATTTGTTGTTGAAGAACATCAGGAGATGTCCTGTTGAACTTGATAGTTATATACCGTAAGCATCAAATTTGTAACATTGTTTCAATTTTGTAATCTTGCAATTTGACAGTACCAGGTATTGATCAGCAATCACAAGTAAATTGGGTATGAGCAGTACAGTAATGTTGAGGAAGCTTTCCTAAATACTAGAATAGATAGTTAATTGCGATTTCAGAATGGGGATGGTTTTATTGATTTCATCGATCTGTTGCTCTGGTAATTTGGTTAAGCAGCACTGTTTAAAAACGTGAATAGGTATTTCATTTACTAGATTGAGAATTCTTGAAAAATCAATATTCATAATTAAATATTATTAAATTTACAGATTAAATTGAACAAAAACTTTTAATTGTTATTTCTGTCTAGTTTAGCAAACTAAATCAATGGACAAAGCAAATATAATAATCTCTTATTATAAAATTATATATTTATATAGCAAAAGGGGGTAGCCACACTTTGGGTTTTTATTTAAAATAATAAAACATGCTTTTAAGGGGTGGAAAGCAAAACACAGAACATGATGTATTAAATATGAATTAATAAAAATGGTGGTATCCTATTGTGTTTTCATAAATATTAATTTAAATAAAAATATGGACGTGAAGAAGAGTAAAAAGAAACCCGAATTGAATGAACAGTTGTTTGTCGGGAATTACATTGATGTTTTCCATCAAGGAAGCAAATAACATAAGTTGGCGTACATTTTGTCGAAAAGTGAAAAAGAAATTGAGATCACATATGATGGCATATCTAGGAAGGATAATGAGGTATGATGTGTGTCCCCTAAGTATAATAGATAATCAAGTTATCACAAAATAAGATCAATTTTGCTCGAAGGTTCACCATAAGTAAGTTATTATCTACATAAAGACTACACTGGAGATGATTTCCGATAAAGCAAGACTTCACGTGATTACCTAAAATATTCAAGAGACGAATGCGACAAATACATCAAGGAACTAAATTCCATCATGTAAAATAATTTTCAAGGTCTCTCGCCAATCGAAATATGCTTATCTGTCCGTGTGAGACAATTTATTTGGTTGGACATGGTGCTCTCTAGCGAATTTCCATCAAAAGAATTGGCTACACCATTGGAATACATTAAAACTTATTTCAACTTCATTAAGTGGTATTTCGAGCAGTTCCCTAAGTACTTTGCAGATGTAAGCTAATATTCTCACTAACTCAGTATATGAGACTCCAAAACAACTAAGAATTATACATCCTTGATGAACGAGCCTCTATAGCAGCTTGTCTTACCGAAGTGTGCGAAGCCTTCTGCATGCTCTTTGGTTCCATTTGGAGAGTGTTGAAGCAAGAAAACTCCTTCTTCTATGTACTCCTATTCAAATTAAATTTAAGCTAAACTATGACAATCTGTAATCGTAATTGGAAAAAGTCTTTCCTGCACCAAACTTTTAGAATTTTACTACCAATCACAACATTGATGACTGGAATCTCTACCAAGGAGCAACAGATATAGTGAAATGTATCAAGAAGACTTGGCCTTTTTATTTGAGAACTATGTCATACTTCAAATAAATAGGAGGACTTCAAGCATGGGAAGGATTGTTAAAATTCTAGGACAATGCTGAATATAATTATATTCCTCTTAAAGCCATGCAAAGAATTGTACTAACATAAAAATATTTGTCCTAATATTTCCAATCGTCTGAATAGGCTTAAATGGCTAAAAGGACATTTGAATGGCTATAAAATAGGGTCAATAACATGTCTGTTTAAGATATAAAAGACACAGACATTGATTAAGTCAAAGACCTCACTTCAGATCATTAATACTATTTTCAAAAGGGTTTCACAGAAGATCAATTAAATAGATTGACTGATGAGATTTAATTATAGTTGTCTCTTAAATTTTTGAAATCCTCCTTTTTGGAAAAGAGAGTGAAAGGCATAAGTGAGATTAAAGATTTCACAGAGAAGCTAAAATTTGATTAGTAAACTAACTTAAAATTCAGGAGTTCAATCAGTAAGGATGATTTAATCAAGTGGATTTAATAAAATAAAATTCTAGATTAAACATTGCTGGGAGACTCAGTGCATCCAGAATTGATTAAAAGATCAAGTGATGTGGCAGTTTTTTTATGTCGAAATTAAGCATTTGAAGTAGATTACATTGATAAAATATGGACCAATAATTATGATAAACATGAAACTACGCAATTAGCATTGTACGAATTCTTCAAGACTGTTTCTCCATATTTGAGCTTTCAAGGGATCGAAAAACTATACAATCATATATCTGCTATTCCCTACTCTAAATATAATGAAAATATTGTAAGCATGATCAAAACATTCACTGAATCTGCATTATCTTAAAGGTTTCATGAACAACAATTGTCACTGAGCCCAGAGAAGAGATTTATGACTTTTAATCAGCTCTGGGAGTTATTACAAGATAGGGATGATCAATTAACAAATAGTGTTATTCAAGAGCAGTGTTTTTAAGCAGCCAGAAATATCATCTCTTAAATTCCCTAGACTAAACAATTCATTTCTTGCTATTTTGGCAAGTGTTTTGAATTGATTGGTAGCCATAAATCAGTTTATTAGGCCATTAGTTTTGTACATTACTTCCTCGATAAATAATTCAAAGATGATTTCAATGGCAAAAGAGAACTCATTCAATCCACTGATGATAAGTATAATATTATTGAACTCTTCGTATAAGATATAGAAGTCTACATGGAAAAGGTGAGATAATACTTTAAAAATGATATTCCCCAAGACATCATCCTTTATGGAGTCCAAAAGTTGAGCTAAAATGTCTTCTTTAGATTATAAATGTTAAACTATCTACTTTAATAAAATCACCTTAAGATTACTTATGAATAAAGTGTAAGACTTTGGGATACTTTATCTTCCAAAACTAAAGGCGGCATCTAAAAGAAGGAATTGAATAAGATTCTAATAACTAATTACTAAATGGATACAAATTAATTTAGAATTTGCCCAATCTACTTCGATAAAGAGGGTGAATAGAAATTCTTCAATATATGTCTTATGCAATCCAGACAGAAATGATTACGAAAAGTAAATCATTCTCATATATATTTAGTTACACCATTGAGGATTTTGAGTTGTTCCAGGTGTTCTTTAAGCAATATAATCAGTCTCATCAAACATTAAAATATTTTAATAACCTATATATGGTTTTTAGTTAATGATCATAATTTTGAGGGGAAATAGGCAATTTGGAATATCTTTGCTTAAGTGAAGGATTAGTTATTATTAGAACAAATCTCCTATTTCATAATCAATCTGTATACCTAGCTGAATTCAAACCTTGATTAATAGTGCGATGCAATCTATTAGGAAATGATGGACAAATGCTTAGATTTGATTCAATAGCAATGTCCGAGTTTGACCACCAGATCGATCAATCTTTTATTGCAATTGTTCAACTACTTTTAGAGTGGGCCTCCATCTAAGAAGTCTGCTAAACCAATTAATTCTACTCAATTCAAAGTGTAAATTTAGTTACAAAATAATGTGATTAAGTACATGGAATTCAAAGAAGGTGACAATACTACAATCAATCAATGGAAATAAAAGTTGGCTGAAGACTTAGAGGTTGCATATTTACAATTAGATATTACTATAGAGAATAAGCCTATTGAGTAATAATTTGATGTGGTTGAAACTTTTGTTAGTTAAGCCTTCTATTAGTTAGCAACTGTGAAAGTGAAGATCAACAATAAGAACCATCCTAAAAATTACCTTTCTTAAGAATAACGTACTTTCGAGATTTTATTTAAATTGCTCGATAAATAAGAGAGCATCGAATTCTTAAGTTAAGTTTGGGATTTAATTAATAGGTTGCCTATCAACATTATGAAAAAAAGGTAAGTAGAGAATTGTAAGGATTGGAAATAATACTTAGACCATCAATTTTTTGATATGTTTTATGTATTATAAATCATCTAAACATTATTAGAAAATGAATAATGGTGTGAATAATTTAATAATAGTGATGGTGTTGATTTGATTACTGAAAGATTTTTTGGGCAGTCGTTCTAGTTTTCATAGCGTCCTCTTGAAATCAAGTGCTTTCTGGCTTATTTAGAAATTTTAAGTCATCATCGAATCAGAATTAAAGAGGCTTAATTTATTGAATAGATTAAGTCAAAGATAATCGAAAGCATTCAACAATTTAGTCTCTATGTTAAAACCAAAAAGAAGTTAGAAGCTGGATAAAAGAAATCTGCATAATAAAAGGAAATGAATGAGGTAGAGTTCCGTCTTCTTAGAAAATGCTTTTAGTATTTGGATTAAGATGGATGCAAATAATACATCAAAAATTCTGAATTAAATTAATAACTCTATGCTTTCTTTGTTGAACATGAAAATCATGAACTAAAGAAGGAATATAGTTTATAATTATTAAACCTAAAAAACACTCCTGAAAGCAAATTGCTAATTAAAATTGTTCTAGAAGATGTTTTGAAGGATGTGATATAAAATAACAAATAAAAATGTGATCATTTTTTCGAATTCTGTTGTAATTTAATACAGCAAGAACAAAACTTGGCTATATAGAAATTAAATTTTGAGGAACTCTTGGTCTACATTAGATAGAAATTGGAAGAGTTACCCTTTAATGAAAATACAGTGAAGGATTAAGATCAAATCTTGATTGGTTTATTGAAATTGTTAAATGTTTTAATAGATAGAATCCAATAGTTATCAATTCACTAAGGATTATTCGAATAAATATTAAGTTATTTATTTGAAAATGAAGGAGAGACCAGATGTAAATGCAAATCACAGTAATCCAGGACAGCTGGGTTCAATTGTTTCTTTACTTTTGTTAAAGTCTCCTCAAAATATGCAGAAATTCCTCAATGAAGTATCTCCTCTGCATTATACTCATACTTGGAGAACAAAGAACTTCAATGATTGGAATATTCAAAGTAGATTTCATGAGAAATCATCAACTGGTTATGTTGGCCTATATAATTTAGGGTGCATTTGCTATATGAATTCCTTGCTTTAATAGTTATACATGGTTCCAGCATTTAGAGAAAAATTACTGTAAATTGAGGACAAAAGTACATGCGCATAAGAAGAGAATTTATTACATTAATTGAAGTGTTTGTTTTTGGCCCTTAAACATTCGCAAAAACAATATCACAACCCAAAGAAATTCTGTCATGCTTTTAAAGATTTTGATGGAAATCCAACAAATATTTTTGAATAGATGGATGTTGATGAATTTTGTAATCTTTTGATGGATAGAATAGAGTTAAACATCAAGTCAACTTCTGATGAAGATTTAGTTAAAAGAAACTTTGGTGGAGTGATATCTAATGAAATTATAGGCAAGACTTGTCCTCACTATTCAGAAAGAGAGGAACCATTCTTCGCTATTTCTTTTGCCAGTGGCTAATAAAAAGAACTTGGAAGAGTGCTTATAAACATTGGTTCAAGGTGATTTGCTAGAAGGTGAAAATGCTTATAGTTGTGAACAATGCAACAAGAAGGTGAGTGCCTTAAAGAGAACTTGTATTAAAAAGTTACCTGACCATCTTATCTTAGTTTTGAAGAGATTTAATTTCGACTTTGATTTGATGGCAAAAGCCAAAATAAACGAAAGAATAGAGTTCCCATTTGAATTGGATCTTTTACCTTATTCGCAATAAGGATTAAGACAATAGGAGAACAGAGCGAATCCAGAAAATGGATAGGATAACCCATCAGAGTACTATCAATATAGATTGACAGGAGTAGTCATTCATATTGGTTCAGCTGACTCTGGGCATTATTATTCATTCATATAGGATAGATGTGATTTCAATAAATGGTATGAATTTAATGATATATTCGTATCATCTGCAGATGTCAAGGATGTCAAAAATGATGGTTTTGGAGGTGTTGATAGATTGCTGAAAACTAAATATCCCAACTAATTTAAGGATAAGTAGAAGAGTGCTTACATGCTGTTTTATGAACGAGTTAAGCCTTTAAATGGTAAGGAAGAATTGATGGATATTGAATTCGATTAGAAAACTTCTCAATTCTTAGATGAGATCAAGGTTGAAAATAGGAAATTTTAGATTCAGAGATTCATATTCAGTCCTGAATATTTCATCTTCATTCAGAACTTGATAAAATTTGAACTGCAATCCAATGAAGTTTCAGAACAGATCGTTAAGACCTTAGTGTTCTTTTACTTGACTTGTGCAGTAAGAGAGAATGATAAAACATTTATTTAAAATAACATTTTGGATATTTAGGAACTTCTAAGAAGAGCTCCGAATACATGTGAATGGCTATTGAAATGTTTCAATCAATATCATTATATCAGAGAATTCCAATTTGATTGCTCTAAGAAAATGGTGAGGAAGTTTGTGATTTCTCTGGTTGTGACAGCAATTGAAACTGTGCAAAAGAAAGAAGGATATAAGGTTTTGGATGAGTAAGTGGATGATAAGCCAACGTCTTTGGTTGCCTCTTTAATAAATTCGTGGATTCGAGTGTTGCCAGATCTAAAGAGGAGTCTCAAAAATTCAATTGAATATTATGATCTATTTTATAGATTTGCAAGGTTGAATGAATAGAATTCACAGTATTTGATTTCCAAAAAGATAGTGGGGAAACTCTTGGATCTTTTTATGGACACTATGTAAATAAACTATAGTAAATTGTTCATTCCTTATAAGGAAAGTGTGAGAAAGCAGGATGATCTTAAGTGTAAACAATTTAGCGAGGATCCAAATAGTTTCTTGGGATAACAAAACATCTAAAATGTAGATATAGCGTCTAATTATTATGATGAACTTCTGGAGAAGAAATTTGAAAAGTCTATGAATTCTGGTCCATCTTCAAGCAGAGTCTACATGTGGAGACTCATAGCCTTCTTGCTCAAAACTCAAGGAAAGAATGCTTTGAGTATGGAGGAATAAAACCTATTACAATTTGACAATTCCATATTGATGGCGCTTTTGGAAGAAGGGGATTGCAAACTGGCCATTAGGATGATATCTGACATTCTTTCGATTCTATCCTAAGACAATTAAAAATAGACTGAATAGATCATTTAAGCAATCATTAAACAAATAAACGATAAAGAGTACAAGGAGTATAGAAAATATTTGGTTGTTTTGAAACGATTATTCACAGTCAAGGATTCACTACAATAAATGAGAGTAAGCATATAATAATTATCTCTTTTTAGATTCACTAAGGAATGAGTAAATTATTGGAAGTCATGTAAAAGTAATCGCAATACTTCTTTGAGACGGATGTGTGCTAATAATATATACTGAGGGTACATATAATCCACATACTTTTAGATGGTATTTAGAAATCAAGCAGTCTATCAATGGATGGTCAAGAACCAAAGATTGTGGTAATGGATCATCGAAACAAACAATACCTAATCAAATCCAAATGAGAAACTGATATCAAATAATTCTAATTCACAAAAGTGTAATCACAGATTGCATAACATTTATTTGCCTATTACATTCTAAGCCTATGCCAAGTTCTTGAATTGGAAGAAATTGCAATTCTTGAATCTGGCCAAGGAACCATTTAAATAGAATGAAGATTTTGATAGTGACGATGATTTAGCAGACAAAATTGTTAAAGTCGACGATAAAATAGATTACTAGTAATTCTATTAAGTATATCCTTTAGTGATTAAAATTCATGGATTACTGCCACTGTGAGTAAAGTGATGGGGGATTATGTTCATCTTACTTTCAGTGGAAAAATGGCCCCTCAAAACATCGATATAGAATTAGATTGTGAAAGACTCGCTCCTTTTAATACATTGTCATCCAACAATAAAATCCCAGGTATTCTCTATATATGTGACATTGCTAGGATAAAATAATCAGGAGATGGCAATAGAACATTAATCCGACCACGACAATGATACGGAAGAGGGTAACAATAATTCCATTAATTAAACTGATTCAGATGAAGAGTGAAATTAAGAATCAATCAAGTATTATAATAAACAGTTAATATAATTAATAAATATTAATATATATATCAAATATTTAAGATGTCTAAATCATGGCAAATTCATCAAAGTTTATAAGATAGCTTATGTTCCTAATTAAACAAAGATGAAATCCTTGAAGAATTTTTATAAGTTTGTAATCATATTGCGAATGAAGATTAAAATAGTATCAAAAGTTTGAATTCAAAATTATAAACTATTAAAAAACACTATGCCTAACAAAAATGCAGGATTGATCATCAATTTAAATACATCCAGACTTTATTGGAATAAAAAAGAAAAGATTTAATCACTTAATTAAATAATCATGAATAGGAATTGGATAAAACATTCAAAAGTCTCAGAGATGAGGTCACTCAAATCCAATCTGTTGTCTTTAACATCTAGAATGACATACTGAGTAATAGATAAGAAATTCTAACAGAAGTAGATGAAGAAACCTTTCAGAATATCCTCACACAATTTGATTAGTAAATACAAATGGCATAAAACTATAAGAAAGAACTCTTATCCACAAAGATAACTCTAATCATAATTGAGGAGTGGACAGCAAGCCATCAGGATGTAATAAAGCATCTGCTCAATTAATCAATTACAATAAAGGATTACTAAAAATAAATAGAGCCTCATCATTCAGAAATGAGTGCTTCAACTTGTAGTGATAAGATGTACTCATCCAACAGATCAAGTTAAGATCTTCCAATTAAATAGACTCCCTTAATAATTAGTTTTGATTAAAAGTACTTTGTGCAATCAAAGTAGAATGACAACACAAAATCTGAATCAGATATCCATGATAGTTGTGAATCAGACTTTTTAGAAGAATGGGCAAATCAATGATCAGCTTACTGAAATATTTAATTTTTTTTTGTATTATATAAATGAAATACTAAAATTAATTAATTCATTTTTTTTATTTGATAATAAAATCCTTTCTACCACTTTATTTTTACAGATTCACTCCAGGTATATTAGGTCTAATAGCTTTTTCAGCCTTTTCTATTTTGGATATATTGATGGCAGCAGGTACATCTTATTGTTATTCTTAATCATTTTCACCTTGCTTTTAGCCAAATCGTTTTGTTTTTGAGTTCATTTAGACAGCTGTTCTCTCATTTCTAGGTGGTTTCACTTCAATTTGCAAGACATTGTTGTCAACTTTAGGTTAATATCTAGGATCATCTGCCCTATCAGGTTGTTTTTCAAAGTTGACATTTCCAATCACCCTTTTTTCAACTTGATCGAATTTAGGTTCAATAATAGCTTCTTATTCCTTAATCTAAGGTCCTTCTGGACGTTCTAATTGTTTTTCAAAATTAGGAATATTTTTAACCCTAGGTTTGACTGGAGCATAATCAACATTCAATAATAATTCAACTTCTTTGACCTCAGGTTCTGGTCTTGGATCTGATTATTTTTCAAAATCCAAGGTAGGAATATGTGGTTTAGGTTTGTCAGGATTCAAAATCAAATTATCTCCCTCTAGAGGTCCATCTGGCTTTTAGATGGGTTCATGATCAATTTCTACATACCTATTGAAATTAACAGTCTTTGGATCCTTATCAATCTGATTGAATTAGACTTCATATTCACCAATTTCTGGCTATTTATTTCTTCTCTACATGTACTTTTTAAACATAGTCATATCATCGAAATAATTAAGCCATTCTTTTAAACCTCTGCCTTTCTTACCAGCCAATTGAATATCCTAAACTAATTGTTCTCTGACAGCATCCATATTCACATCATAAAACTTGTGTTATTCAGGAAACAATTCTTTATCTGGAGGATGCATTGGTTTAACATCTGTATTTTCATGATACTTAAAAGTTTATATCTATGGTTTGACTCCATCTAAAGTGGGATAGAGTTGCTCCTCATAATCGTTGAAGTCTTTCCCCTTAGTAGGATCTATCGCATTTATTCTATCATTCTTTTCATTCAAAGGAGCTATCTTCACTCCTTTAACTGCTGGATCCACTTGGACATGAGATGGATCATAATATCCTGGAGCTACCTTGTCCCCAATTTCCAATGTCAATCTTGGCTTAGTAGGTTCAATATCCCATCTGACAGCATCAGGAGCCTTTGGTTTTACAGGATCTACATTCACTTCTAGATCGGGCCTCATATCTAAATCTTCCTTCTTTATTTTCTTGATTCTCTCTTCCTTTCCAAATTTCACCTGAATGGGGTTGGGCTTAATATAATCATCTTTTGAATAATAATAATCAGGCCCTGGTACGGGTCTATCAGGAGGGATTCTTCTTTCGGTAGAATGGCTTTTGAATACAACCATACAAGGCTGTTTTTCCTCGTGAATCTCGTATTAGCCTGGCCCAACTGTTATAGCTTGAATATCATCCAATAACTTTCTAATTAAAAATCTTCTCATCTTTGATCCTTTTGGATGTGAATTAAAATCATTATATGCTTGTTTAATAACAACTCCTGCTATATTTTATCTTATTGCTTTGTCTAATTCTAATGGTCGTCTTCTATATTCTTCTAATCTCAGTTGTTCATTCATGCGATTGATTTCATCTTTTTGAATTTAATATTTGTTTTTCTTTATTGGTTTACTAATCTTGGGAATTGGGATATTGGGACGAATAGAATTGTAATTTGGATTAATTGCTTCTTGATTGTTCGCTTTCAATTTTAAAAATCTTTCATCTTTAGCAAATGTTCGATTTTATTATTTCTTCTCCTTAACTTCCACATCATAGCTTCCTGGTCCAACTGTTATCATTGATGCCTGAGTTGAAACATCATCATCTCTAATCTTGGATTCAGAAATTACTACAGAACTCGCTTTTCTCTTAATAAAGTCATAGTTAGGTTCCAATGGAGTTGTTGGAATCACCTTGCTCTCCTAGAATCTTTGACTCTTGGTAAATGTCATACTTGGTTAAGCTTGCTATATTTGATTGATGAAATTTTACTTTGATGCTTGATATTGAAACATTTAAAGGCAGTTCATTTATGATATTATCCTTCTTGGTTTCCTTAAATCTAGTGGTCTGAGAAAAAGAAAAACTGGGAGCATTTTAACAATTTTAATTTGACTACGAATAAATGACAGTTTGATATGTTTCTTAGATCGATTCTATTGGCATGAAAGAAGATAGTACTTATTTCATATTTTCCTAAACACTTATTTAAATCTCTATCATATTCCGACATAGAAGTCTTGCATTCAGAAATCTCTAATTCTAATTGATCGAATAATTCATCCATTTTTATAATAATAATAATTAATAACTTCTCTTATTATAAATTATATACAAATATCAAATGATAAATAGTTCGGTTAATAATTCTAGTTGTTATTACAACCAAATTCTCGTAATTTAATATGATTTTAATAAATATTTAAATAAAATAAAACAAGTCATGCCAAATCACTTATTCAGAACACACCCAAGAACTTATGGAAAAGATTCCAGAGGTAATTTACTTCCTAACTCCTTAGAATGCAGAGTATGTGCAGCTAGATAAGGTTTGATCAGAAAATATGGTATGAATGTTTGCAGAAGATGCTTTAGAGAAAATTATGAATTGATTGGCTTTCATAAGGTAAATATTTATCTAAATTCAGTACAATTGATCAGATTTTTGATATATTAATACAAAATACGTACATTTATTTACTATCTAAACATTCTTTATTAATTTAAAATAAACTTTCCTATCTTTGATTCCTATAGATGTTTACTTAAAAAAAGGTGAGTATCACCTAATGATCCTAAATTTATTAAAGAAATAAACATTAAATATATTCTATAAATGCGATGAAGGGATTACAAAAATATATGATCCCAATTAATTAAGATTGCTTTGTGATATAAGTATCTTATGATTTATTATTTTAATATGTTAATTAACACCTTTACTAGGCCTAACCTAACGGATGCTTAACTTATTTACTAAGACATTTCTATATTAATGAGAAATTAATCTTAATCATGAATAGAGTAATCATTGAGTCTGAAATGAAATCTTCCCCAAAATTCGTTTAAAGGTAAGGTTTATGCTAAGGCTCTGTTTTATATAGCTAAAAAATGAAAAATCCAAGAAAGTCAAATGAAATTGCCTATGAGAGATGTTTTAAGTGTTTTGGTATTTAATTTCATTTAGTAAAACTAAAAAATATAATTAAAGATTTTGTATGTTGATTTTTATCAAATTTTTATATTATTTAATTGTTAAAATAATCATGATTAAAGGCGATTAGATCGTCCCTTATTCAGCCTTATATATTGATATGCAATATAGACATTTATTTAATACTTTATGGGCATACTTAAAGCCTGTGGATTAAAATAAATATATTTAGGAAGTAATTGTTATTCTAAAAGCTCTTTTTTTTGCAGATTGAAGAAATTTGGTTGGGAGGATTGAAAAATCAAAAGATTTTGATCACTCTATGTGTTAGAGCATCTACAGATTTAGTTTTGCAAGTAATTTGATTGACTATCAAGGCATTAAATTGGCCACCAGGATCAGAGGTAATCATTACTGGAATTAATATTCCTGACATGATTTAAGTACTTCGCCTTAATGGTATAATACCAGTACCTGTGGAAGTGAATGCAGACACTTTGGGATGCACACTGGATTAATTTAAAAAATTTTACACAGAAAAGGTACTTATTGTTGTATAATCAAAGACCAAAGGAATAATGATTTCGTATGTTTTTGGAGCCAAATTTGATGCTACAGAAATCATTGATTGGGCTAAGTCGAAAGGACTATTTATTATGGAGGATGAGGCTGAGAGTTTTGTGGCTCCAAATGCAAAATGTATTAAATTTTGTAGATGTTTATAGTAAATCCTAACGTTGACTTCTCTACTTTTAGTTTTGGTTCAATAAAGACATGTTCAGCCTTTGGAGGGTCCATAAGTGTGATCAGAAACAACGAAGCTTTGTATAGGAAAATGAAGGCATTGCAAGAATCATATCCAAAATGGTCTTAAAAAAAGTAAATTTCAATTAACCTGTTAGTTATTTCAAAAGGACTCTAAAAAATTTAATTCCTATGATATTGTTAAATAGCCAAAAAATTAATAGAAGCTCCAGGTGGGTGTTCATCAATTTATTCCCAAACTGGGACTATAAAGAATTTGTTGTCAACAGCATAAGGGGTTTCCAAAAGAATTCATCGGATATTCTTCAAACATATAGATTTAGAGTTCCTGATCCCATGTTAGTGATGTTAGCGTTGAGAATGAAAACATTTGATGTTGATTAATTCAACGAAGCAACTTAAAGGCAAATCGCGGGCTAAAGCATCCTTAAATAAGGAGGTCTGCTTGTACCAGGACATGCAGTTGAAGATAGAAAATTTTGGTACTCGTTTTGAAATAATCAATAAATTTAGGTTATATCCAGTTGTTGTACCTAATCCTGAGACTACATACAAAATATTAAATGCCAGAGGGATTGATGCTTATATGGGAGTAACACAGCTCGATATTGTGGAAAGTCCTATAGGAAGTTCGTATGAATATCCAAATAAAACTTTATCTTATTTCAAAAATGTAGATTAATGCAATATTTTTAGATATTATATTTGCCTATCCATCAAAATGCAGATTTGAAGTCAATTTAGACAATTTGCAAGGGAGTTGTAGAGGTAGTCGACATGTTGAAAAATAGAAACCCAAAATTGTGATTAATTTATTATTATTAATAATTAAAAGTTCAAATTATCAATTCAGTCTTTTTATATCTATAAGAAATATTTATTTAAAAAAGTCTTTAATATTATTTACTAAGTTGGAAAACAATAATTAATCTCAGCTATTTGATTAGAAAACCCAATAAATTCATTTGCAATTTATTTAAAATATCTTTTTTTAACACATCTAATTTACAGAATTTGTAATGAATTTCGATGATGCTTCTTTATCTTCACCTCATACTTTTAGAGTCAAGACTCGACAACAACTAAAAGGCATTCAACATTCAATCAAAAAGTCCAAGCGAAAATACTGTCACATTTCTCCTGAGATAAAGTAATAATTAATTTCCCTTGTACTCGATAAAAGGCTTAGAATCAAAGATGTATTCATATATTCTTATCAATCTACTCTAGGCTGCCATTATTTGTAATTTAAATTACTCCACTGCAAAAACCATACTCTACACTTTGAGGCATCGACCACCCAAGTAAGCTGGATTCAAAAAGTATTCAAGTAAAAGCAAACCCATATTCATGATGAAGACCTAAATCAAGGGAACACTCATCAATGAGTATGATTTTTATTCACATTTGAATTCGATCTGAAAAACTTTCAATATCATCTTATTATATTAAAAAGCAAGGAAATACACCCAAGTTGTAACCTTGGACCTCTTCATAACCTTAAGGTAATTGTCAAATTTATTGTCTTGTTGATTCAATTCTTCATTAAAAACTGAACAGCAAACAAACATGTAATTTACATTATTTTAAATGACTTATACTAAAATATATTATCTGATTCTAGATATTTTCCTTTTGGTTTCCTTTTTGCCAATTTCATTCATTTCTAAATTTAGTTATGCCAAAAATGAACTAAAAAAGATTTATATATATTAAGTCGGTTTTCAATGGACAAAATTACCTCTCATCCAATAGAGAAGTATTAATACAAATAACATAAAGAGAAAATCAATAAAATGATATTTTACAACAAATCTCTTGTTATAGTCCTTAAATTCTCATCTCTTAGACTATTTATAAGACAATATTATAATGAATATTTCCCTCTGTTTAAACAATCAGAAAATTCAAAAAAATATTATTTAAACTCATAGACAAATAGATTATAAAAAATACTGCTCGTAAGATTAAGGATATTTAGTACATAGGAGATTTTATGCAGATAAGCTATGTAATATAATGTTTACAATCAAAGTGATATAATATATTATGACAAAACATAATTGTCACTATTTTTACCTGTTCCTATGATGTTATTGAAATTCTCTTTTTAAATATCAATGAAATGTATTTCTCAATTTGAACTGATAATAATCTCATCATTACCAAAAAGTTTCAATTTGTAATTTTTAGAGTAGATCTGACCTATATTCAACAAGCAATATTCTAATTATGAACAATAAGACCTATATTTCTTTTAATAGAAGGACAAATAAATGTTTATACAACTCTTGACAAATTTAAAATTTCTAAAAATAAAAAGTATCTAGATCAAATACAGGTTTACAAAAATGAGCAGGAAAGACAATTTGATGTCTTTAATAGATTAAATACATTATAATTTTGACAAACAAAAAAAAACTTATTTAGAATACTAAAAATCATCCAAATATACACATTTAAATCATAACGTCACATTTACATCTTCAGATCGAAATTGTGAAATTTTTGATCATATTTTACAAATTTTCAATCTATGTATAACTTCCTCTAATATGCTAAATAACATTCAATATTAAATTTATTTTTCGTTAGAAATCAAATTTTTTTAATTAAATTTTAAAAAGAAATCATATTAAATTTCATAAACAAATAAATTCAAATTCTAATGATTTTTAAAAGTACCTATTTTTATTAGAGTTCCTTTTCTAGTAATGTTTTTTTCAAGATAAAGATTATGTTGGGATAGTTCTATTTATATAATTTTTGAGGCTAAAAGTCAACTAATTCTTCTACTTTGGCAATAAATTTTTATAAATTACGTCAATATGTCATCAATAAAAAGTCTTTTACTTTTTTCTTCCTTGCTCTTCCTAGTCTTAGGATAGACCTGTTTAGATCATAGCGGCAACGCTATAGATTGGTGGTTTATTTTGAAGATGCCAACTGATCCTACATTTAGTGCTAGAGGTAAATAAATCTAAAAATTCAAGGAATGGACTATTTGTATTGTGATGCCAAGAATAATTGTGGAACATTTGATTGGTAAACTGATCAATTAGATTATCTAACATCACCTTTACAAAGAACAATGGCTTAAATTGATTTTCATAATGATAATGTCATGAGTGTCTTGTGGAGTGATTAACCTTGGAACAAGAACACAATCTCAGACAGAGCTCATTCAAAGGGTATTTTGAGCGCAGGCATAAATGGTAGCGCATTTCTAATCTCTCATTCAACACCCACTTTCCCAATGCTTGATGATGCTTACGAGTAAATTTCCAATTTAAATTCATTAGTTAAATTGTATTAGGCATGCCATCCTCTGCTTAAGTTAATGGTCAACATTATATGTGCTTATCTATTACTACTACAGAGGCAAACAGATTGGCAACAGAATATATTATTGCTGAAACATTAACTAATCGAGCTAACAGTCCTGCTGCATTTGCAACTGCTTTCCCTTAATTATACTAATTAAAATCAAATTCAAGAACAAAGACATACAAGACAGAATCTGGAACTGTGTTATCAGTAATTATTAATAGTATATTATAGTCTGCACTACAAGACTCAATCAAAATTTCTACCAAAGGAGGATTTACGTTAACGGCTTATACAAAGAATGAAGACCTTGTTGAAGATTTCTATGCTGACGTTGTAGCGGCAGCATTAGGCAAGGACTTGATAATGGAAACTTGGGGTAATGGAACTGGAGGTCTTTAAAGTGCTGTATGTGATTAGACACCTAAATCATATTCCAATTTAGTCAGATAACATGGGGTATACTAGTTATATATTATATCAGGCATTTACATTCTCGTACACTAAGGATCATTCGAAGTATGGGATAACTGCAACTTCAACTAACGTATGCTTTTGTGACTTAAACAGATAAACCACCTAATAAAAAAGAGGAGGTGTTGTTTATTGCTTTTAACATAAGAGCTTATGGACTTTCATCAATTAATCATTCATAAGTAGGCAAACTTGCTGATTTAATTATAAAAATAAATATTTTTAATAATACACTATTTAATTTATTTTAATATTATATAAAATGCTATGCTGTTCAAATGCAAAAAAAATAAAAACATCACAATAAAAAAATGATAATAAATTGCAAGCTCATACAAATTAATAAGTATTTATGGCAATCATTTTAGGAGGAATCTCTTAATGTAAATGATGAAGCTTGCACATTTCATACTACAATATAAGTTCAGCAATTTAACACCATACAGACTTATAAAATTACTTTGGATCACTAAACTATCAGGTATTGTCTTTATTAATTGAACCTAGTAGATCAAATAGTCGTGGAAACAATGATCATGTTGCTTAATTTGTATTTGTTTAACCGGTTAGAAAAACACCTTTTATTACTTTTAGAAAAAGGGGAACTGATTCCTCAACCAAATATCTATCAACTAAGCAAGGATATACTTTACTGGTAACAAGTCTTTCGAATTGATCTCTTACTTAATTTTCCTATTTTTGTATTTTTCATAAATTCTTAATATAACTCATTAAGTCTCCATAAATTAATTCTAATAGATTGATATAGGATATTTGGACTGCTGATTATTTCTGATAAGTTGAAATTACTAATTTGGATCTCTTAATGTCAAAATACATAATTGCAGTAAATTTGATAAAAATTAGATAATCATTTCTGAACATTTTTCAAACATACTCTTATATTTCCTCTAATGACTCTGAAATTGAAAATAGTTTTATGCTTCGATGCTTTTTCAAAAGTCATCATTAACTCGAAGATATTAATTGTGATTTGTTATTTATTCTTTTATTGTCATCTATAAGATAATTCACAAGCTCAATATATCTATTGACTACATCAATTTGAATTAATATTCAAATATACTTTCAAGCTTTGGACTCATCTCTTATATTCAATTAAAAGTTGTTAATATTTTCATTCAGCAACCTATTCTTCGAAATAATAATATTACTATTATTATTTATTATTTTACATCAATACTTTCAAAGGGATACATCCTATCTAAAATAGACTACTTTTCATTTGTGAAAAGGATGGACGCTAATTGAAAAAATTAATAATCCTTTTTAGGACTATAAAATCTTTTCGATATTTCTAAAGCTTTGAAAGCAACTCGAATATTGTATTTATTTCTGAAGGTCATGATCTAAAAGATAGGAATTCTTAGGACATGTATTTTTTTAAATTTATTGCTCAATCCTAAAATTAGGCCTTTGTTTAGAACTATAATATACATTTCTAAACCTCTTTAAATTTATAACGTAATTGAAATTCATGAAAAGAGTTTTAAAGATATTTCATAATTTTTCTTACATTTATATCATTATAAAAGGAATGAATCATTTTATCTTCCTGAATATATTTTAATAGTAAATATTTAATTAGATATTCATCTGAAATGATAATTTAGGTGGATTACATAATTAATCTACAATAATTTATAATTTTATTTCGTTATGTTAATAAGTTAACTCAGGATAAGTTGATGAAAATTTAAAATTCGTTTTAAAAAATTATTATGCTTAAATCCTATTTTAGTCATTAAACATTGAGTTTAATATTGCAAAAATGCATGTATGAAAAAAATTTTACAATGTACTCGACTATTCTAAAGAGACCATTTTTAAGTAATCAAAAAATTTGTTTCGAATATTTATTATTGATTAAAGTTGTTATATTTTATCAAATTTATATCATCAATTATCTAAAAATAATGTTTTTGTTCTATTTCTTTCCAGATATACTTAAAATACTTTTTTGAAGTCCTTTCTTAGGGTTTAGTTTGGTGTTAGATTACTTCGTTGGGGAATTATGAGTAAGTGCAAACTTTGATAATGGTTTATTTTCTAATGGAAGGAGTTTCGGCTTTATTCTCTTTTCTCTCAATAATTAGATTGACGATATTGGAGAAGCTCTACTAATACTAGAATTATTGAAAGGAGACATATTCGTTGTTACAGATCTATGGAGAAGTGCTATATGATTCTAATTAAGTTGTTTAGGATAAGCTTTTATCTTACTTTACCCTAACTATGATTTGTCGACCAAGCTTTGAAGGGTTCTTGGATTATATTTCAAAATATTTTTATAAGCATTTTTTTTATTATAACTTGCCAATTTTTTCATATTAATTTCTTCATCTGTTAACTCCTCTTCTTCATCCTCCTGTTGTAAAGTAGGAAGGGTAATTTTATTTTTTATTTCTTTGTCTTCAATCTTTTTATCATCTTCTTAGAATTTATTCAGTCTAAGATTAACAGTGAAATCATCCTAAAAACCACTTTGTTTTATTAATTTGACTTTGCCATCTTATAATAATTATAATCTCAATATGATTTGTGATTCAAAAGGAGCTGTAATGGGCAAATAGAACGTTTTGAGTTTCTAAGAGAATTTCTACACTTTCATAATTTTTTAATCAGTAAAATATTTTTGAGGGGTTAAAGAATTGTACCTATGAAAAAGAACAGAAGAACTTTGAATAGGTTCTGAAGGGGTATAGGCTATCTCATTAGTGTAAAGACTAGATGGATTAGATGCGTTAGCCTAATGATTGTAAAATACAGTATGGTGATGTCTATTTTGTCTTTTTTTTGGTTTATATTCTTGTTTTTGAATTTTTTCAACAATATTTTTCATTTGGATTAGATATCTTTTATTCCTCAACTTCATACGCTTTCTTTACTCCGATATTTCATTCTATTCTTTCAATGCAGTAATAATATGTTGATAAGGTTGAAATTAAGGTAATACTGTAGTGACATAAAGCATTTTCTTATTGTGCAATCCGCAGTCTAAACATTCACAGGAACGTTTCCTATTGATCGTAAGAGAGGGATGCAGTGGAAACTATTAGGCTTTATTTGTGAATGAGCAGCGATTTCGCATAATTATTAAATATTAAGTTGAAATTAAAAATTATATTGAATGCATGATAATGATACTTTTATTTATAGATTTGAATTTCTCCTGTAAAAGCTGAGATGAAATTTTAATATATGAATTCAAAATATAAGTTTGCCATTTGCAATTAAAAAGCAGTGGAAGTGGTGATGATAAGGTGGATTTCTGGTCTCCTTATTGAAAAAGATTTGAGTAACCCTTAAATATAGAAGGAGGATTCAATTTTCTGATGCTGAAGAATATTAGAAAATTCTATCAATTAAAAATAAAAATTATATTGATATCATGAATCTCATTAAAAGACAGCAGTGCCAATATTGTTATGTGTCCTTGGGGATTTAATGATCAAACTAATCATTTAGTATAACAAAACGACATACCTGGTCTTAGATAAGTATCTGAACATTATGAATTTTTTGTCCTAAATTATTCCAAAAAAATGTAATTTACGCATTAATAAAGATATTTCTTGAGTAGATGAGAAGATTTAATTGTGTCTTGATTCAATCTTTTCTGTAGCATAAACTAAATTTAGATAACCTGATGAACTAATCCTAGCATTTCCTTTAATTTTATTTAAAAGCAAACCAATGACATATAGGAAGTTCAAATTTGAATTGGCAAATCAGTATTTAAAATTATATTAATAGTAGATGATTGAAATGATTCTGATGCATATTGATTAATAATAAATACATTTGAAATAATTGGAATAATTTGATACAACTATCAGATATTTAAAATTTAAAAAACCTCATTAATTATATTCAATATTTTTTCTTTGATGGAGTTATTTTAGAAAGTACAAGATTGTTTTCCATTATTACTTTATCCATTTCATTTTTCCAATACTAAATAATATTGAGTAAATACTTTCACTTCGGTTTACAAATCTTAATATTGCTTATTCCATTCATCTCTTAATCTTCTCTCTTTCTCTTCTTTTCTTTAAATCTGCTTCTCCAACTGTTATACTTTACATAAAAGAGATTAGTTTTCATATTCTAATGATTTGCTTCTCTCTAAGTTATCATCCCAGTCTTACAACTTTAATTCTAAATCAATTAATTTTTATCTTAACTCCTAAAAAATTTAAAATATTAAAATACTTTCTCTTTAACAGAAGACTTTTTTTAATTTAATTTATTTTTCAAAATCTCTATTTCTTCCAAATACAATTCTTCTTTAGTTGCCATATCTTTTAATTTCTTTGAAAGTTCTTAAGCAATTTTTGGTTCTGAAATTCTAGATTGTTGATTGATATTTTCCAATTACTATAATTATAGTTCATACTTTTAAGTTAATTCTAACTCTTTTTCTTTCATCATTTCTATATACATTAAACAATTTTACATTCATAATGTTATCTCAATTCTTCCTGCTCAGTGTTGTATTCCTATTAGTATTGATATAATTTATTCAAAGCATCTCTTGCTATCTCACTTTGTCCTTGCAATTCCTCTAATAAATTCAATTCTGTCTGTTTCAGTTAATGAATAGTCTCTTCGTATGTTTGTATTAGTTTTTCATATTGCTCCCTAAATTAAATAATTTGAATATTTACTTTGTACTATTGAAGCAATTAATATATTGTTAATTAGCTTAATCATCTTATAATTACTATCGTAGTTCTGAGATCTATTTCTCATATTCTTTCATTTTTTTAGTTAACTTATTTTCTTGATTTTTGAGATTTGTTTGCGATTTCTTTTACGTTTGGCTTTTCGGTTTCCCTTAATTCTTAGGCTTTTACTAAGGTTGAACATTTCCTGGTTTATTTAGAATAGGTCCTAAATTCTAGTAGATTTCAGATTCTGAATTGGAAGTGTCAATTTTTCTTCCTCTTGATTATCTCATAGAAATTATGAAATTAAATAATTATTTTATTAACAATTTATTTAAATACTATAATTGATTTTATTATCAATAAATATTTTAGTCAATTCTTTTTTAAACCTATACTCATTTCGTCATCCAAATCAATTCTTTTTTGATAATTATATTCCTAATAATTAACTGATAAATTAATAATTTTAGACTAGAAATAAGTAAGAAGAGATAATCTATATATGAGGAAATTGAATTCTAGCAAATTGATTATAATTTTAGGAGTAATAAATAAAAATTTAGATTTTAATACAATCTCCACTAATTGATTTATGTTAAAAATTAATAATTTTATATTAATAAAAATAAATTTATTTGGCCTAATGCTCAAATCTTTGGGATTATTGATTTTCTTATAGATTAAGTGTGTATTGTATAAAATAGATTAATAATTTCAGAAACAGCCATTAATTTTTAATTCTGATATCATTAGTTGCTTTATAATTGATATCTAAAGCTAGTTGGCTTCTTCATTTTAAATATTATCTTGCAATTAAACATTTAGATTTGTAATTTATTTTTTTTTCCTTGTTTATAATTTCCATCTCTTTAATGGATATTTAAAGCCTTCAATGATATGACAAATAGTCGATTTATTATTAGCTGTTTTAATGTGGATTAGTCTGTTAAATGATTCTTGTAAATCATTCAATAATTAAGAATTTGAAAATTTTTCAAAAAATGAAAAATGCTTATGTTATTTAAGAAAATGTTTTTTATTGAGACTATCTTTGAATAATTGCTATGAGGTATAGTTAATGATTTTAATAATGGGATTAAATAAAAATATTACTACGCTGGTTGTGATAATGAGAGAGGACATCATATAAAGAAAGAAACCTAAGATTGTTCCTACAAATATGCTGTTTAACTGTGATTAGAAAGTATTAAACATATTCTTAAATTCGATCTGGTATTTGGACAGTTTGCTTTACCTATAATTAAATATAAATACAAATGTTTACATAATAAAAATCAAGCCTGCTTCTTCTATGTTTTTGGTGCTTATTAGTTCCTCTTCTTTTTAATTATAAGTTTTTCTACACAAATATCCATAATCATTCCATACAGTAGAATCACAATTACTTTATGTGCTTTTCCCTTGGGCTTGATTTAATATCTACTAGTAATCTTGATAACCTAGATTTGTTATATTATAATCATAAATGTTTGAATTTTCACTAATATTCAAGGAACTCAGGAGTATTCTGCCTGTTGGATTTATTATAGTAAAGCTTACCTAATCATCAGAATAATTAAATTAGGTGAAATTCACATGAGAAGCTATTACTCCATCAAGCGACCCATCAATGTTTACTAAGCTTTTAGTTTGAGCAATCATTAAGAGTTTCCAAGTCCAATGGACGTGAGGCTCACTATAATATGTTGAATTATTAGTATAGTTATGCTAGGCCAATTATTCTAAATGTTACTGATACCAAATTCTCTCTTGAGGGTTGTAGTCAGAGGATAAATACGAGCCCGGCCAAACTGAGAAAAAATGAATATCATTTGATGATGCTATCATGATGTCAAAATCTTAATCAACAATAAGCACACTTTCTGTCAAAAATACACAGAGATTTTTGAGATTTTACAGTATTTTATTTGATTTAGTGTCTTTATAGATCATATAACAAAAAGAGGCACTGTAAGCATACTAATCCATTAGTTGTAATTAATTTAGACATTGAGTTGGTTACGAGAAGGTGCCCTATATTAGTTACTGAGTCATTTAGTAAAGAGTATTCGCTTTAACAATTTGTTATTGACTTCTGAATAACGTTTATTATACTCTATGAATGTTATGTGACATCATAATTTTAGTCCATTTACCATATTCCTTTTAAAAAACGTGATCTGAAGCCTCCATATAAAATTCGGAAATATAAAACATAAAAGAATAGGTTGAGATGGCAATTAAGCCAATCGTAAGAATAGAAATAAGAAATTAAACCATGCAGATTTGAGTTCGCAAATGCCAATCTTTCCAAAATATTTTGCCCATAGTATTAAATATTATAAAATTTCTTTATAAAAATTAGTATAGCAATAAAATAACAATTTAGAAAAAAGGTTTTTTATCCCATTCCAAATTATACTTATCCAATGGTTTACAAAATAACAAAACATTATTTAATAACTGTTTAATTATTTATGCATTTGGTTAATTAACTAAGAAGACAATTTTTTTATTTTAAAAAAAATATAATAATTTAATAAAAGTTGTTCTGATACAAATATTCAATTTTATAAAGGTCTAGAATTGTGCTGCTAATTTGTTTACAGTATAATATAATGAAGTACTTATCTTTGCAATTCGTTTTGGTAATGATACACAAAAGAGAAATGTGGATGTAATTTTATATAGTAATAATCACGGCACTTTTCTTTAATTATTCGAAACGACTTTTAATTTTCTTACTCTTACATCTTTTTTCGAACTTGACCGCACATTCTATTAAATACGTTTTTTATTAGTAACATTTGAGACCTCTTAATTGTAAATTCTTTATGAAGTATGTTAATATTTCCATTAGAGCTTCATTTATTAGAAAAAAATTTAGACTAGGGTAATTCTTGTTTCAAATCACAAAGTAACAGTCAACTTAAATAGTAAGCAAAATCACTAAATGAATGATTTAAAATGTCTTGATTGAGTATAGGATAAATTATAATCATTTCTAAGAATTTGCTATAAAAAAACAATGCCAAAAAAATAATTTCAAATAAATCGAAATTATTGTTTTTTTACTAACAATTGTTATCCATAATTTTATAATATCTTTTCAACCAAATTTCTTAAAGAAATTCATCCTAATCTTTCTACCAAATTAGCAAATTTTGTTAAAGACAATATTATCAACCAAGCCAATTTTATCTAATGTTTATTAACATTTTAATAAGTATAATCTATTCATCCTTTCTACTGAAATTTGGAATCGATATTTAAAGATTTCTTTTAGCAGTTAAAAATCCTATGTTAATAGCTTAAAAGAAATTTCAATTGTAATTATTGGTGTCTCAAAATTCGATGAAAATTTAAACAAATTTCATTAGGAGTTAGGCTTTAATTACACTTTGATTTTTTTGTCAATTTTAGTAAGAAATAAAGGATTACATCAAATATAAAGAGTTGTGTAATTTTAATTTTAGTTTAATTTTAAATATTCCTAAATTACTTTATTAGCATTAGAGTACTTAGTATTTATCCTTTGTGCCATTATCAATCTAGATGTAGAATCACAAAGCAAGTCTAATTTCTTAACCTTAATATTTCGACATATAAGCAAACTCTATCTATAAATTACATCATTTATTCAGGTCATTAGTATAAAATTGCAAACAGATTTTCAGACTCCTTGATATCAAGCTTAACAAAATTGAGTTGATTCCAATCAAATTTTCAACAATTCTCAATCATTTTTACTCTATAGACATGTGAATATTGTAAGTATATTAAAAGGTATCAAAAATTCTTACCAAAACTTATTTCTGAATGATAAGCCCTCAATTTTGAAAATCTACTAAAATACAACATAAAGGGCTATCCATATTTAAAAATATTTTGAAATTAAATTAGATATTTTTCAAAACTTAAATATTTTTAATTTATGATATATATTAATCCATGCAAGATATAAAATAATGTTTTAATACTTAAATATATTTTGCAATATTTCAATAAAAGATATTGAAAAATACTATCCGAAAATATAGTACTAGATTCTCTAGTTCACATAATAATTGAATATGTAACACAATAATATTAAATTTTTATAATAATATTTCATTTTTGAAATAATTATTTGATAATGGATCTGGTATTACTTCTCATTGTACTATTATTAATTATATTGAAATCAATGATCTAATCTAATCAATAGAATATAATTAATCTTTCGATTCTATATCAAAAACAATTTAATTTAATGATCGTATTTTAATAAAAAATAATTTTAAACAGAAAAATAAATCTCTTTGATGAACTTAAATTTCTATAATGATTGGAATTATCATAAGAAATAAAAGATTTATATGTTGAATTAAATTCTAGCATAAATTTATAAAATTTCAATTTTATTAATCTGTTATTTTTGTTGTTAATCCTTTTGCAGTGGATCTGGCAGCCATCTAAACTTAATTTGATATTATACATTTTATGATGCCATCATTACAGACTTTTAAGATGGACTTGTTGTCATTTTTCCAAGTGCATCCTATTAATACTTTCTTTTCAATTCTTCAATTTCTCTTTATTTAGAAGTTACTTCATCAAACTTCTTATTTAATTATTATTCCATGTTGCCTAGTTGTCTGTTTTTTGTTTCCAAATCATCATTTCTAATAATGAAAAACCAATTTTTACAATCTCTAAATTTCCCTCTTTTATTTACTGACTAATTCACTATTTGATTGATCTCTTTGTTCAATCTCCTTCAACTGATTTAATGTTCGTTGTTGTTCTCTTTTCAAATTTTCTAATTCTGTACTCATGTTATCATTTTCTTTTTTCTTATTAACTAATTAAGACTAAGCATCTGATAGATTGGATTTATACTATGATAATTCTCCTTACAAGTGATAAATCTCTTTGGTATTAGCCTATTATTAGGTTTCTAATTTATTAATAAGTTATTCTTGATCCATGGATTTATTTTTATATTATTCAGCTTCTTTTTTGATTTAATCATAATCAGACAACGGAACATTATTTTATTTAAATTATCTTTTCCATTAATCCATTTCTTAAATCTTGGCTTCTCTGTCTTATCTGGTTTCCTCTAATTCATCATTTAATTCAGCTACATCTTTGGTTAATTATTAATTCTAAGCATACTATTCTTCTAGTTAGGTTTACAGTTCTGCAATTTATGTTTCATTATTTTGGATTTGTTCTTCGTTTTAAAGAATGGTTTATTGGTTCTCCTCAATTAGTCTACTACAGTTATCTATTTACTCTTTTTGCTTTCTGATTTACTCATTAGTTGTAACTGTTAATGATTTTAATTCCTTATCTAATTTATCTCTTTCAAGTGTCAATTTTTGAATTTAACACTATTATTAATAGGTTTGATCATCTAAATCTTGGAGTCTTTATCTTTATTATGACATCTTCTCAAAGATGATTTTGATTTATTGTTCCAATTCATTTTTCTCATTAATAAACTACATCCTTTGACTATCAAGGATGTCATCTCTTTCTCTAACATCACATGATAATCTATCTACTTCGACTTAATATTCTTTTAATTTTTATTACAAATCAGAGATCTGATTCTTTTAAATTCTAAGAGTAGTTTAATTATAGGTTTTTTCTTTGTTCAATTATACACTCAAATTTTCTGATAGAGTTGATTTTTGTAATAATTCCTGTCTGGTTTCTTCTAATTATGATGATAAAGTAGAATTTTATTCTTCGATTCCAGCGATTTTCACTAATAAAGACTTGACATTTGATTCGCTCATAAGCTTCTCTTGTAACTATTTAAAACTTTAAATTTAATGTTCATTCTCCATTCTTTCAACCTCCTAATTCAAAGCCATAATCTTTTGTTCATTCAATTATAGAGCCTATTGAAATTCTTGTTCTTTTTATCTCAATATTCCTTTGCTTCTGTCCATCATTCGTTATTCAAAGTCTCCTCTTGTTTATTTAAAATCATCTAATTAAGATTTATATAATTGCAATGCTTATTCTGTCTAAAGCAAACGTTGTTGAAGGATAATACATTATTCAGTTGATTAGTTAGTATTAACTGATAAGTCTTTTAGTTTTTTGTCCTTTTCAATCAAGTCCTGCTCTTGCTATTGATTGGTATTGGACAGTCTTGCAATCTCCTTCGATTACACTTAATTTATTGATTTCTATTCTTGTAATTACTTCCAAATATCCTGATTTTGTGATGTTAAATTTTGAATGGATTATTCATGTTATTAATATAATTTACTAGTTTACTCTTCAGCCTGTTAATCTTTGCTTAGAACTATGTTGGTAATGTTTTGTTCGTATTATTTTTCTAATCTTAGATATTTCTCCTTTGAAATATCTAAATCAGTAGTAATTCTGCTTAGTTCTATTTGGAGTTATTCTACTTTTTTCAAGAGGAGCTACTCTTACAGTTCTTTATCAGCTATCACCTGCTTTTCAATACTAGATTATTTTTGGAATGATTCAATTTATTATTTTTGTTCACTTACTTTAATTTAGAATTCTTAAATTGATTATTTGTAATCCAATAGTTATTCCTAATACTATTTTTCGAGATGTTCATTTTCCTTCAATCTTTCAGTTTGAATTTTGCTGAATGTATCGTATTGTTGCTTCTGATCTTGTAATTTAGTATTCATTTCGATAATATATTTATTCATCAATGACTGTTAAAGCTATTCATATTATTCTCTAAATTTAAACGCTTATTCATTACTTCAGGTTTTCAAGGGATGATTAATATTATTTATTCTGTTAGGCTAATTTCTACTTATTCAGCTCGTTCTCTTAAAGCTTAAATTGTAGATCTCCCTTAAGCAATTCGTTTTCCTTCAAAAGTCTCAGATACTCATTATCTTGGGTTTCCTTCATTTGATTTTGTAGATGTAGGTTCTTATTTGCCTTTTCCAATTCCAAAAGGGTCTCATCTAATTAGGATTGCAATTCTAAAATTATAGAAAGATCGGCTACTTGCATTTATCTTATCCATTTGCAGTAGTTTCTCCTTATACTTTAGGTCTTGCAATTTGAGTGTCTATTCTGACGACATACGGGTTTTAGACAATGGAGATACTGAAGGTCTATTTGGAGAATGGTCCATTCTGTTAAATTATTTAAAAAATTATAGTGAAATAGGTTTTAAGAATAAAAAAGTTTGTTTGTTTTTATACACTATATATATTTGGATTTGAAATCATTTAGATAGAGAGTAATCAATCATTTTAGATGGTAGCTTGGCTCTAATCTTGGAAAATAAGAGGATTTTTTTAATGGTTTGTAAATCATGATATCTTTACATAAATCTGATAACTTAATTTATTTATTAGACTAATTATCTTAGAGAAGTATTTCATGACAAGAGTGTTTGCTCTTTCTGATGGCACTCTCCTCTATTAAGTAGGAACTGTGTCTAAGTCTAGTAGATTTTTAGACATCCTTTTTAAGATTGAGTTATCTTTAATTCAATTATTTGAAGTACTCTTCCATTAAAGATTTAAAGGAATGCTCTTATTAATAAATTTTAGGAAATTTTTGAAAATGACATTCATGATTCACATCAATTCTTTTCCTCTATTCAATTGGTTAGAGAATTTTCTTCTGTCGCAGTTGCACTAAGGATCTACTCTTATGAATTTAAATGGGAGTATTTATGTCCCACCCATTTTGTATTTCTTTGTCCTCCAAATTCAACAATTAAGTTATGGCATTCTACTCCAAACTATCCATCTAATCTATTTTTTTTTATATTTTATAAACTTTTTCTAAAATAAAATTAGAATCAAAGTTAATCAAGTAAAATAAGTGTCAATCAAGTACTCTTCAATAGTTTTTATTCAAGTAATTTGATTGTGTCGATCTAAAAATAAGATTATAATAATTTGATACATATTATGTTATTTATTATCCCTAACTTTGTATAATCTTACTTGTTTGTTCTTCAACCAAGAGTCTATTTTTTCTCTCTTCTAACAACTATTTCTGCAATTAGGTATCGATGTGAGTAGATGGTTAATAAAAGTTGAAGGATGTGTTGAGTTCAAGAGATAGAATTTTCATTAATTTATCGCAATTTTAGTTTAATTGATTATGCCATAATTACAAATGACTTTAGCTAATTTAGTTATGTGTCATTTGCTGTTCAATTAATTTTAGACTTTTGAGAATTTTGTTGATTTAATCATCTTCGCAGAGTTTCAATCTAATACTCAAATCTCTAAGATCAGCACTGTTATCTTTAATTTTTTGTTTTTCTTACTGAATATTATTTTTGTTGCTTTCCATTTTTGACACCAGAGACAGAGTATTATAATGATATTTGCTTTTAAATGGACTTGATTTATTAGGGGAATTTGGAGTATCTGCTCTCAATGTTTGGATTTCATAGGTTGTTTTTGACACCTTATGCTTTTAATTTTGCGATTTTCCTTTGGTTGAAAGCAATTAAGAAATGATGGAGTGCTGATTCGAGAACATACCCAAAGATAACTTCGGAGTATTGAAACAGTTAGATTTACTCATCTATATTGAGCTTTTATTGTTTAACATATTAATATTTATATTTTGTTGTCTTAATTGTTGTAAATTGTCATAAGTATTTGTTAATTTCTACATTCTCCCATTTCGAACATGGATAAATATGTTTTATCTTTTCGTATCTGAACTTCTCTATGATTTTACATGTGGTGGACTTCTCAACCTCTACTTCGTATTCCTATCCTTTTGCTTAAACCTAATTAAAACCAATATAAGCCTCACACTAATACCTTTCTGCGATCAAACGAAAAGATCAGAGTGCCAGATCTATTCTTGACTTTATGAGCTATGAGGTCATAGAAGCTGAGTTTGTGAGGCAAAATCATTCCATTGGCAACTATGATCAAGTCTTCTGGACTAAATTCCGTTAACTAATATTCCATAATGACCAACACATACAAATCCAAAATCTCGGATGATCTCTCTTCTGGCCATTTCTAGGAATTCCAAGATCGTCATTTTTTTCTTAATTCTCAAAGACTTGGAACAAGTTGAAGCATCCCAGTATTGGAATTAAATATCAATCAGCGAATCCTTTTACGATTCGACTTCCTTCTAATATTATTCTAAACATTATGCATCAAACAAATACCTGTCAATTATCTGGTCATCTCCTCAATTTTTCTTTCTCGATTCATATCTGGCAAATAAGTCGTATCGACATGGTCATTTTTCCCATAGCTTTTCTAAGGACTGCCCTCATCATCCAAATCAAAAGACAGCAATGTCGTCTTCTTCTAGTATTCTTCCTTTCGCTTTTATTTGAGTTCCAATTTTCTTTTAGTTTCCTCCTCTTATTTCTGCTTCATGTCCTGCATCACAAGATTATCTATATTCTCCCTCTTCCTCTTAAATTCTTCGCGTGTAACCAAACCCACAGTCTTTTGCTTAAATTCATCTTCCAAAAAGTCCTTATTTGATTAACCAAAACGCTCCTAATCACAGAGATTTCAATTCATCTTACTTTCATATTGGTTGGAGCCCTTTTCAACGACATCATCTCTTAGTCCTTTTTCAACTTTTCAATTTCATTTATGTCAATGTCTTTATACATTTAATATTTATATTTAATTCACTGATTAATTCAATTTTTACTATGTATTTACATTATATCCATATTATATTAGAAATGAACTTAACTAACTTCCTACTATCAATAATTTGGATGACTTTTTGTTAGGGTTCTAAATTATTGTAATTTACAGAGTATATTGAATTTATTTAAAATAGAATTTATTAAAATGCACCTTAAAAAATGGTTCGATCATTTAATTGATTTTATTTAGAGACCTTGCTTCATTTATCAATAATTAGACAATCTTTCATACCATTATATTGTACACTTAAATGAATTAAGCCATATGTATGATTCATAAATAGTCTTAAATTTTATGATAGTCTTAAAGTGGAGTCGGTTTATCTAGAAAAAGATAACCCATTCATGCTTTTATAGAAAACGATAACTTCTAATGAAGTAACTTTATTGGTTTATTCTGTAGCTACCAAAAATATAAAATTACTAACAGCTTACTCCTAGAGTTAATTCTGCTTCATGATAGGTTAATAAATTCATAAATTCTATTAAAAAGAAAGTGATATTTTTAGGTAATTCTATTAGATTGATAATCTTTATATACACATATCTACAATTTGAAGCATAAATATAAATAATAAATTTTAATGGAAACTTAATTAACAGAAAATAATCTTCTTGAGTTACGTAAAAGAATGATTAGCTTATTTGATGAGTGCATCAATAATCACAAACCTTCAACAACAATTACACTACTAGTAGGATTAACAGGAGCTGGGAAGAGTACTATTTTCAATTTCTTATGTGGTGCTGAGTTCGTCTATAATGGAAGACAATTAGAGCTAAAACAGAATTCAGATTAATTTTCAATAATGAAAGGAGGAATGGTATCTGTGACAAAAGAACCAAAATTCTATATGAATAACAATAATAAACATTTACTTATAGATTTCCCTGGATTTTAAGACACCACTGGCAATGTGGACTAATTATTATTTGATCTATTATTTAACAAGATTGTGTCCATGGGAGAAGTGAAAATCATTTATGTTATAAATAATCCTAATAATAACCTTCCAACAAGAGGGACTGACCTTTAAGCATTTATTTCACAGCTTGATAATCCTCATTTCAATTTATTATTGAATTGTTATAATGATGATTTGGATGATGAAGAATTAATAAACGACATAAAAGAATAATTAAAACAAACCAAATTTCAAAGTAACATTGATAAAATCATCGTGTAAAGAAAAGGTAAAAGAGACAATTTAGATGAAGTGTTTAAGGACAATCATAGATAGATATTCTGGAATTAGATTTAAGCAATGAATAAGGTTTAGATAAAACCAAGAAACATACCTAAGAGTTAACTCATAAGTGAATTTCTAATTTCTGAAGCAACTAATAAAATACAAGAAAATGTTAAGATTATGTAAGATTTTTTCAACATAAAATCAGATGAGACCAATTAACAGTAGAATGACGACATGTTAGCAGATTTGAAGATATTTAAAGATCTGATGCAAAATGATAAAAATTTAACAGCTTTACAATGGTTTGAATAGTTTATTAACATTTGTGAAAAACTGACAAATTCTGGTAAATAACAACAAACAAAAATAGGTAAAGATTTCATCAGTTTATTTTAATATTTTGAGTAATTTAAAGAATTCATCAATGGTTATTAATTATTGTAAACTATTAATGAATTTGGCAAACAAGCCTTCAAATAGATTGAAATATTAATTGATACAAAAATTGAATTAATCGAAAAATTGAAATAAGCTGAAGAAGAGAGACTAAAGGCTGAATAAGAGAAACAAAAGGCTGAAGAAGATGCGAGAAAGGAAAAATAAGAAAGACAAAAGGCAGAGAAAGAGAGACAAAAGGCTGAATAGGATGCGATAAAGGAAAAATAAGAGAGACAAAAGGCTGAATAGGATGCGATAAAGGAAAAATAAGAGAGACAAAAGGCTGAAGAAGAGAGACAAAGGACTGAAGAAAAGAGAAGAGCTGAAGAAAACAGATGGGCTGAAGAAAAGAGAAGGGCTGAGTAAGATAGACAAAGATAATAAACAGAAATTGATAGTTTGAATCGCCAATATAAATTGTAAGAAGAAAAGATTAGAATGTAACAGAGAAATTTAGAGGAACAGTAGACAAAAATGGAAAATTAGTAAAAACAGATGTAATAGGAATCTAAGAGAAATTTAGAGGAGCAGTAAAGGAGAGAGATCGAAAATAAATAAATACAGGAAAGGGAGAGACTTAAAATTGAGTAGGAACAAAAACATTAATTAATTAAAAAGGAGAGAGAGGCTAAGGTTATTAGTGAAAGTGTTTTGTATAAAGCTTCTGAATATTCAAATTAAGAACTCAATATGCGATTAGATATACTTATTGCTGAAAAAAATAAATATATTAATGAGTAATTTGAATTAAGAAACAGCTTATTTGGGGGGGCCGATTGGTGGTGGGTTTATTATAGTAAAATTGGAGATTATGAAAGAGAAATTTAATATATTCTAGATCATGTTAATTTTCATTGGATGTAATTAGAGTACTCATCACATGATTGAAATATTGGGAATGAAATAATATTTTTTAATTGCAAATTATCTACATCAAAATATTTACTCAATTATTTTAATTTATCATCTTATTATTTTAAGGATGTTATTTCTATAAGAATCAATAAGAATTACGTTTAAAGAATATGTAAATTAATTCTGTATTATAATTTTCTTATTCATTAATTAAATGCACAATAATACACAAGCTCAAATAGTAACGACATCACAGAATGCTCGCCTTTTAGAACTAGTGCAGAATAGCAGAAAACTGGTTCATGAGGGATAGATCTAAATTTGTTATATGCCAGATGCTCGGATTTATTTTGTAATGATCAACACCTATTGTCAAACTATCTTTCCAAGCACTCCTTGGGTTATCCTTAAGTCTGACAAAGGATTTTCTCTTCTATACCCCAATGCCACTGCTGGTAAGGATTTCCATGATTTTAGGATTGAATGGATTTCATTTAGAAGGGACAAGAAGGAGACCTCTTCTTAAATGCACTGCAATAACTAGTGCAAATAATACCTTTTGAAAATGCCATCCAAATTCCATAATTCAAATAAAGCATCTAAATTCATTGCAAAGATATCGATATCAACCCTTTGGAGAATAGTACTACAGCAGTGGGTTATATTAAGGCTGGAGGGGAGTAAGTATTGTACCTGATTTCTTATTAAGAGCTTTGAAAGAAGGCTTTAATTGGTTAGGAGATAAGATAGCCAAAGGAGTGGCAGCAGGAGGGGAATATATCAATTCAAAAGTGGAGAAAAAGGAAGATGTGGAAGTCAAGCCAGAAACAAAATTAAAAGTGGAAACCGCTAAGTCTAAGTTTTCATAGACAGTTGATGTAACTGGGGCCTACCTAAAATAACTATTCACTCCTGTTGTGTAAAAAGGGTCAGAATTCAAGTAAGACATAAACAAATAGATTGATAATTCGGATAGTTAAGGTAAGTAATGTTCATAACGTAATTAAAGGGTTGAAAGAAGGCAGAGAAATATTTGTGGCTAGTTGGGATGCTATGGGGACAGCTTTGACTGGTCTGGGATCAGCACTATCGAAGATTGGTGATTAGATAGGAACAAACACTAGAGTGATAGTTGAAAAGAAGTATGGGTAGGATGTCTCGGAAACATATTTAGGTCCTAAACCATAATAATAATAAGAATAATAATAATAATGATTTGAACAATAAATTTATTATTTTCATTCTTCAGCTGCTGCCTATTTAGCTTTCCATTCTTTCTCTTATTATAAGGCATAATCGATAGTTCGCTAATTGTATTTATATACACTATCTTTACCTTCTTATTGTTAAATTAGTACACCCAAAGCCATGGATAATAGCAAAGACCAAAGATCACAAAAGAATCTAATTGCTTATTAGTTCATTTACTTGCAAAAATGTAAACTTACCAAGCCCAGGGATTGTCAGCTACATTTCTACCTAGAAATCTCCAAAGGGCTTTCACTTTAGGATCGCTATTCAAACGAGACACTACTTAGGGTTTTCTTACTGCTATATATCTCATTCAATACCGAAGGTGGGCTTCACGGTTTATTAGTAGGGTATAGTTTTGAACCATTGAGGAGTGTAATCCTTAACATTGTTATAGATGAGACGACCGTACACCATATCCAATTGATATTAATTTAATTTATATGTTTGACATCCAAATAATCAAGGAAGGTATTGGAGACACTCCTAGATTGCACGAGGAAGTTTTCTGTAACTGACACATCTCTAATCTTAGTCTTCTTTATTGCTCACAATCAGAACGGAGAATTACTCACTAACTCACAACACACAGCTACTAAAACCATAATCGGAAGAGGATGGTTGTAGTCTGAGATTGAATAAGCTCTTAGTAAGATGAAGTAAGGGGAACGTAGTCTCATTAAGATTTATCAATCCCCAGTCTCCAAAGTAATTCTAAAACTATCAAAAGGAATTTTATAATTAATATGAAATCGAGATTATTAGAATAGGGAGAATGAAGAATAACCCTTGGCATTTAGAAGGGGAGGAGGTCTATGAGAGAGCTTTGGAATTGAAAGGGTTAGGCAATGGCGATATCAAACAATAATAATATCTAGAAGCCCAAAATAAATATTTGGAATCATTAAATTTAATAAAGACAGAGTATTGTGATAGAGAATTGGAATTGTAAGGGCAATTAAGATCTAATCTTTCTCTTACATATTTGAAGAATAAATAGTTTGAATTATGCATAAAACAAGCCACAAATGTTTTATAAGGATAACCTGAGAATGTTAAATTGTTACACCGAAGGGCTGTGGCTTCGATTTAGGTTGATGATTTTGAGAGGGCGAAGTAAATGAATATGAAAAATATGTAGAGTTGATTTAAAATTGGCAAATCAATTGGATCCTTAGAACGAGGAGGTGATAAAGGAGTTGCAGAGCATTGGAGAGAAGGAGAAGTAGATTAAGAAGAAATAGTAGGAGAGAGCAAAGAGAATGCTTTTTGGAGAATGAATCATTAATAATAATATGTTGATATTAATACTTTTTACAATATGTTAATCAGTTATCGTGTCTTTGGATAAAACTTGTTTATGCACAGAGATCTTTGTAGAAAATGATTGTACAGCATTTGGATGTAAATTCGAATCGAAATTATGCTCAAATTTGGGTTGCTCTGATGTTACATCAAGAGTAGAATGCGATTCAAGATTTGATTGCTCTTTTGATCACAAGACTCAAACTTGTTCTGCATTTTCCTAATGCAATGCTTATTATGTAGATGCTGAGGAGCAGTGTTTCAACAAAGGCAATCAAGTGATAGGATGTGTATCAAGTGGGAAGAAGACTGGAGGTTTTTATTAGTGTACAAACTATTTGGCAAAACAAATGAATTATATAGTCTGCTCCGATCAGCTTACCTCGTCAAGTTGCAATGGTGTATAATCAGATGGTTATAGATGTGTTTGGAAGAGTATAAGCAACGAATGTGTAGCATTTTAATTGGATAGTTGCAGTGATGCCTCTGATTTAAATGAGTCGTTGTGTAATGTCTCCTATTGTGTGTGGTTGAACAATGATTGCAATGAGAAACAGTGTAAGGATTTCACATCTTAGAGTTCATGCTCATTCGTTCCTCATTTGGATGGCGATTCATTTACGATTTGCACATGGTCAGCCAATTAGTGTGTTGAATTGAGTAGTGTTTCTTAACTTCAACAAAGCAATTGCTCAAGCATCACGTTGGGAACATACTTCTGGAACAATGTAAAGAATGAATGTATAGAATGTGAAGGATTCGGTAAACTATTTTTGATGAGTTTTATTATATTAATCGCATCATTCTGAATGAATTAAAATGTGAATATTATTTTTTAACAATAAATTAATGAAATAAAATACAGATAACGACAACTACTCAGTTGATGGTATCAATTTACATTACTCATCATTAGGTTGGAATTTCGATGAACAGTCCAATTTCATTAAATACACCAAATTTGTTATTCCCTTTGCTATCCTCATCAACATTTATCTTATAGTGATTACCTTCCTTTACAAGTCCATCTATCCACCATACTTCTATGAGATATTACTATACACCTCCATCTATGGGATAACTCTGTCGATCTTCAATCTATTCTGGAAATAAGAAAGTATTATTATCATTGTAAACCCTTAGAGGACACGGTAATTAGACAACTATCATTTGTATTAAATGGCTTAATGATTATTATGGCAATCTCCCTGATGATATTCTTTATTGCCTCATTCGAAGCTGATTACAATTATAAAATTGGTGAGAATTCCAGTTATATCAATCAAATTCAAGAATGGCAACAATTTACACTCCTATTCCGATCAATCCTATTGGCTTTTTTCCTACTTCTAATATCATATTTTTACATCACCTATAGTCTCTACCTTTGTTAAGATTAGCAGAATCTCATGATAGCTTTGCATATATACAATACACTATTTTTCATTACTGGAATTGCAATCAATCACTATTCAAAACTCGTTGGATTCTAATTAATTTTATTGCTCTTATTAATCTCCACCAGTGCATTAGTCTACAGTGCTAATCTGAAAAAGATCAAGGTGGCTTACTTTACTATTGGAGCTATTTTATTGTTTTATTTGGTACTCAATCAATACAAACACTTTTCAAATGTCAGACAAGCCAAATAAAATAAGGTATCAGTCTTAAATGATTGCTCAGCTCATTTAAGAAATCTGCACATGGACTTCTTATTTGCCAATACTAATTGCTAAAAGTATTAAGAAAGTACATCTTGTAATGATGATGAAAAAGCCTTCATGTGGGAAATGGATTCCAAAATACCTATTTCTTAGAGAGATACAAAGTTAGGATGTCTGAATCTAAACTGTTGTGGAATAGTGGCTGACAGATCCAAATTCAAATTGAATGTCGTCACTTTAGTTCATTAGTTAATTGGTTTTGCTACTCTGACACTTATCTTGTACATCTCATAGAAACCTCCATTGTTGAATACGGAAATTAAAATCTATGATTTCGTTTTTGGAACTATTCAGCTATTTCTAATCATAATAACAATCTTCTTATTCAGTAAAGAGATCAATTAGGATATCAATAAATTTAATTCAGTTTCAACTTCCAAATATTTGGATATCCCTAAAGGATGTAGTCAAATCAAGAATTTTGTTACTCTTAACTGTTAATTTATGTACTGTGATAACATTGAGTTAACACTCAAAACAGACTTTCCAATGAATTATTATAGATTAAGTAATTCTAAAGACTTTTATGTTGATGATTCCAATTTCACAGAATTAAAATTTATAGGTAAATTTGATGCCATCTAAAATTACATCTATTAAAATGTATTTAAATATTTCTATTTAGATTTATATGTGTGTTACTAGTAGAACAGTTAATATTGACTTTACAATTAAAAAATAGACTAGATTGCTCAAAGAAAATAGTTAAACTAATCTGATTTAGAATTAAGACATACTTAAATAACTCTAATCAGTTCGATTTTGGAAGTTAGACATTTAACTAAACATTAATTAAAACTACACCATCAAATTACTTAATCCAATAACCAATACTGAATATTTGTAGATTCAAAATTAGAATACTTTAAATTTTGTATAGGAATAATCCTACATATTAATAATTTAATCAAAAGGATATATTCCTTATGAATAAAACATATTTATTAACTAGAACACCTCATTGAATATAAATCTAATCAAATAATAGAAATAACTATCAATTATTCTACAAGGATCTAAATAATCAATGTTAGGTACAACATTTGCCACCAGTATTTACAAATAATACACAACAACAAAATGGATTGGATCTAATAATTACATGAATCTAGAATATGTTGATGATAAAACTTAATTAATAACTGTGGATGAAGTTGATTATCCCATTTTGGTATTTGTTATAAATCCAAATTACGATGCAATATTATCAATTTATGATGAAGATAGACTATTATACAAATCATACACTAACCAATAAAATAACACATAATAAGTGTTATGTTTATAGGGCAATAGTATAAATTATTTAAGATCACAAACAACAACAACTAAATTATTGCCTAATAGTCTTATATGTTAATGATTACTATTTAATAATTATTAATAAGCTATATTAATCATAAATTTGATCCAATCCAACATCTCTCTTTAAATAAAGTTTATTGTATTTATATCAGAATATGTATTATTTTAATTATAAAATTAAATGAATCAATAATCATCTGATCAAAAATTTGTTGGCATTTCGACACCAGTTTTATCAGACCAAGAAGAGGATGCTTAAAATAACAAACAAGAGTAGCAACCTTTGTATTAAATTAATATTATAGGATAGATAATTTCTATACATCTCTCCTAATTTGTTTAATAAGCTGTGGCCAGAAATTAAGAAATAGCTCTAATTATTGAAGGCTAGTTAAACTAATTTAACTGCTTTTAGTGTTTAGCAAGTAATAGAAGAAATTTATTGTTTACATTTCTAAAATGTATATAGTATTAATAAAAGTTAGCCAAAACAAATTAAAAACAAAATTAATTTCAAGAATTTCTGTACAGCTTTAGATGGTTTCCCATTAAAAAGAGAATTCCTAGCCAAAATACCTTTGATTAGTGATTTGGCTCTTAAAATGGATTCAGAATTTACGGATTATCTGAGTATGCTTTTAGAGAAAGTTGAATTAAAAAGGATATAAGTAGCAATCCTATTGGCCAATATGTTTTTATGTGTTATGCACTTACAACCTGATTATAAACAATTACCAGCTGTTTTCATTATGGCAAAATTGTTTAACCGATCAAACGAGGATAGTGGATAAAATAATATTAAGATTTAGAAGTTAAGATGCTTATTTTACTATTTCCTTCATGTGTTTTCGCCTGAATTCAAACCACATGAGAAGATTACATTCACCAGAAAAAAGCAGAACTTAACTATGATTAGTAAGCCCTTGTGCGAGTTTGTTTATTGCGAATAAGGATAAATGGAGAATGTGTAAGACTCTTTTATAGTGGATTTTGCAAATAAGAGAATTGGAGGTGGAGTCCTTAACTTAGGATGTGTTCAAGAGGAAATACTATTCTTGACTCACCCTGAAGCTTTGGCATCATTGCTAATAACTACTGAAATCAAGCAAGATGAATCAATTATTATTGAGAGAGTCAACAGACTAATTATGTATGAGGGCTATAAAGATAAATTTGAATGCAAAGGAACGGTTAAATAAATCCGAAGTGTCAATTTCATAGTAAGAAATTCATCTACTTTTATAGTGCATAGATGCAGGAGATTACTCAGGAAATTATCATTAGTAATACAAAGAATACAAGAGAGAGTTGACCAAATCTTATTGTGGATTTTATGGAATTGCTCGCATTTGCACTGGAAAATGGGGATGTGGAGTTTTTGGTGGAGAATGGCAATTGAAGGCGTTAATTTAATGGGTTGCTGCATCTATGGGAGGGTGCCGTTAATTGGTGTTTATCAATGATGAATAATATGCATACAATCAAGCATTCAATTTGATCAAGGGTTTGAACTCTAATTAATTGTGGGAATATATACAAAAATACTGTTAGAGAAAATCTTAGGAGGAATTGAATAATATCAATGCTATTGATTATATCTTGTCTTAACAACGATTTTGAGTTTAAGTTATATGTATATGTTTATACTATTAATTGATGCGTCATTGATCAATATCAAACTGTATGGGTATAAAAATGAATTGAATTAACTGTTGGTTTTCAATTAATTAATGAAACTAGTGTTGATCTTGATCAGTTTGAGTATACAAATACATGCCATCAGTTTATAATTGCAGTAAGTGGGTGGATGCACTTGTGAAATGGCATCTGCACAAACAGAGTGTATTCCTACAACATGTGATTGGGATTCAACATCATCGAAATGTACTCATAAAACCTGTGATAAATTTACTGTTGAGATGTGTGATCAATTGCCAGACTATTTTAAATGTGCTTGGAAGGATAGTTCATGTTAGGCATTCACCAAATGCTCTGATTATTCATATAGTGATGGATTCAAATGTTTCAGAGTTGGACCTTGCTAAGCTGTTTTCAAAAAGAATTCTGCTGGATTGTATCCATGCACAGATAAAACTAATGATTCAATGCATAGTATTGACTCTTGTGCTGGAATCAATCAAGAAGGATGTGTAGAAACAGTTCAAGATGACGGAAAGGTTTGTTATTGGAATCCAAGTTCATCAGCTTGTGAAGCTTGGAGTAATAGTGCTTGTAGTAATTTTGATAACACAAGTTAATCTGCTTGTCCAAAGTTCTCATGTGATTATAATACTACATCAGGAAAGTGTACTACAAGAACCTGTGACCTAATTACCGTTGAAGCTGCTTGTACAATGGTCTGGGATATCACACAACAGGTGGCTACCTAATGTAAATGGGTAAATGCTAAATGCATGGAATTTGATTATTCCACCTTGACTTAGCCTACCTGTCTAGTTGGGTCTAATTTATCATATAAATGGAATTCCTCAACTTCAAAGTGCGAAGTGTGTGTTTAACCAAAAAGCGATGATGATACTGATGATACATCATATTCTTCTTTGGCCTAAGTTGTCCTTGCTATTGTGATTTTTATCAATATATGAGAAATATAATTAGAAAATTGAAAATTCCGTTTGTCTTAAAATTAAATTTTATTAATTTCTATTTAAAAACATCTATTATATAAATTGTTTTAATAAATATGCAAAAAAAGTAATATTTAATCAATTTAGTTTATCGAAATTCCTGTCCTCACTAAATCATATTGAATTTTAAAATAGATTATTGTCAAATAATATAATTTTGGTTAAATTGAATTAATGGGTTACCATTTTCTTAAACCATTCTTTTTCTAAATCTTTACTTCCAACACAGAACATTTAAACTGCTTGGATCAATTACATCAGAAAAATAATTAAAAAATAACTATCTCATTTATGTTAGAGAGAACTCTGGATAATACTAATGTTGATGATATATTTTAAAAGTAAGATAATTATCGTTATTATTCTCTTTCTGAGTTTATATTATTAAATGATATTTTTTGTCACTAAAATATTTGTTATTTTTTTAAATTCACTCGTAAAAATTCTTCCTTACTATATAATATTGTTTACTCAAGCAGATTTGCAGGAATAATCTAATTAATCAAAGGGAGGGAAAAATATTTCCAATTTTCAAAGTAATTTACATTGAGTATAAAAATTGATTACAAAAAAAACAAGAGTTTTTGTTAAAATTAATTATAAATTAACATTTATATGAATAGGTTATCAAAAATATAGATTAACAAAATATTATAATTATCAAGTCATTTTAGTTTTGGTAGATATTAATCAATCAATTAAATTAAGAAGATTCAATTTATATTTGACTAATTATTAACAGAGCTTCATTAACTCCCCATTTAAAATCAAAAATATTCATGTCAAATGGTATACCTTTTTATAGCGTAGAATTCAAAAAAAGTAATTTATTCTTAAAATTTACATCCCAAAAACAAAAAGTAAAAGTAATGAAGGATTGTCAGACTGCTTATTTATTGCACTAATTTAGATAAGAGAGATGATTTAGAGCCAGACACCTTTATTGTCATTACTCAAATCAATGAAGAGAGGTACACATAATAAGGTTTGTTTATTTATTAATAATAATAATAATGCAAAAGGTTTTAAGGTTTCACTTTGGTGTCTTATCAAGACCTAAGTTGCACATTTTTGATAAGGGTGCCAAACACACTCCCTCAGGAATCAGAGCAACTATACATGGAGGTACTAGTTTTTCAGGTATATACATGGGTGGCATGCTTGGCAATATTGGTTCTGAATTGATATTCCCTCATAATCATCAGTAAGATTTCACATAGATTAAATAGATACAATTATGAGGATCATGTTAGAGAATTAAAAACAACATCAGGACCAGGATAGAATTGGCTTTTACACGATATGAATTATGATAACAAAGAAATGATAGAGTGGACTATGAAAAACTCGAATGTGGTTGTAAATTTGCTTGGTCCTAGAAAACATCTGAAAAATAGAAAGGATTTCGAGTGGATTAATATAACAGTGCCTAAAAGAATAGCTGAAGCATGTGCTAAAAACCCAGGAGTGATCAGATTAATTCATTTTTCAGCTTGTGGTGCAAATCCTCATGCAGAATCCCTTGATCTCCAAACCAAGTATATTGGTGAATAAGAAGTAATGAAACTTACGATATGTGTAGGTCCTTAATGCATTCCCCAATGCCACAATTTTTAGGCCAAGTGTGATGGTTGGAGACAATGATGATTTCGCTTATCATTGGTAAGTGTAGAAGAGATACTTTCATAATTTCAACATTGTTCCAGACAACTGCCAGGCCAAAAGATAACCTGTACGCTAATATTTTAGATAGTTAGATCTTTGTGTAAGATGTAGCTTAAGCCATGTTGAATGCTTTGAAGATGCCAGAAACAATAGGTTAGACATACGAATTGGGAGGACCTCACGTGTATACATTGTTAGAATGCTATGAGATGTTCCACAACATCGTATAGAGACCTCCTAAATTGGCTCATATTGATAAATAATTATTATTGAAAATAGGTATGGCAGTATATTTATTTGTAGCCTAATATATTCCCAATTGGAAGTATTTCAATATTGATTATATTTTGAAACATGGTGATGACATGATAGTGCAACAAGGATCTAAAACTATTGATGACTTGTGTGTCAGACCTTTGTCACTAACTTAAGCTCTTCAAAATATCTTTTGGGATATCCAAGCTCGTTATGGAGGCTCAAGTGAATTGTATGAAAGATGAATTCATATCTAATAAGTTATCAAAAATAATCATAATAATATCATTAATATTTCTGTAGTATTTGAATGAGATCCTTCTCCATCACGGGTTTGGTGAGATAGTCAACCATGCCAGCTTCTAGGCATTTCTGTTTCTCCTGAACATCTGAATACCCACTGCAACCGACAATCAACTATTTGGGATTGATGTTCAAGAGTTATTTTGTGGTCTGCATCCCATTCATAACAGGCATTTCTACATCCATGAAAATTAGTTTGTAACCCTAACACTCCTTATTGCATTTCTTCTCTTAGATCTTTGAAAGTGAGTCTTTCCCAGATGAAACATATTCTACATCAAATTATTAAAAGGATAAGGCGTACTTGCTCTACAATCCCATTAGAATCCTCTTGAAGGCGTATCCATTAAAGCAATCATCGTCAACAATCAAATAATGACAACATTGTGGAAACACCTCCAGGGCAATCTTTTGGCATTCCTAATTGAAGGTCGTAACTTCATCGACTTCCTAATATTGGGGCGTGATTTAGGGGATTTTGAAGCTGGGCACTTTTTTTTTGTTTGTTGGTATTTCCATCATTATATCGAAGTAAAAGAAAGAAAAATGATTATTTTGATCTTTGTTAGATTCTATATTCAATCCTGAACAACCAATATTTTGGGCTATCTAATTGCTAATCACCAAACCCAATCCTACACCTTGTTCATTGAGTTTCTTGCTCTCCTCTGAATTTACTTTTGAAAATGCTTTGAACAAAACCTATTGTTCCTCTTAGCTGATCCCTATCCCATCATCTTTGACTCCTATCCTCAGTTTTTAGTTGCCTTACAGATCAACTATTACTTGTATTCTCGTACAAGTAAACTTAAATGCATTGCTTAAGAGATTGACAATTATTTGTTTGATTCTATTTTTATCAGAGATAATAAATTTAGGAAGAGAGAGATTATAATCACAAACCAATTGCAGATCCTTTATTTTGGCTTTCAGAGCAAACATCTTAATAGAATCTGCAATCAGTTTCTCTAAATTAAAAGGTACCTTCTGTATCTTGAACTTTCCATTCTTAATTTAGGCCAAGTCCAACAAATCATTAGACAAATTCAACATATACTTTGAATTATCCAAGGCTGCCTGTAAATCTTCAGTGATTTCTACATTTTTTTGTATGACCTTGTATTGTAAGGCACATTCAATCATCTAGATGATGCATCCCAAAGGTTGTCTGTATTCATGACTCACAAATGAAAGCATTTTCGACTTTTAAATATCATATTCTCTTAAGTATCGAATCTTCTAACGATGAGTCACATCCCTACAGACGATCAAGATGGTTTTCTCCCTTTGTAAAGTGAGTTTGAACTCCATCAATCTATCATTATCTTGTCTTGACTACGCAAGATTCTGGGATATCTTTATTTGTTTCTAATTGTCTATGAAATTGAAATCCACATGAGTGTTTACAGTAATCGAGTCTTGTCTCCTTGATTTAATAATCTTCTCTATTAAGTCCTTCATGTTCATATTCATGGTTTAATATTTCTCATGCAATTGAATATCAGTCAAAGCCTACTTCAATGAACAGAACATGAAATCTCTAGTTGGAAACAGAGATTTACAGAGTTTTGAGGAGGAGAGATTTCCGACTTTTTACTGGGCAGAATCTCTCCTTGAATTGAAGTCATCAAAGAAATCTTGACTTTGTATATGTAGGGAGGATAGGTTTTCCAAGATATAAAGGATATCTACATCCTAATCTTTGCCAAAAAGTATTCTGGTAGCATTATTCATATACGATATTTTGTAGGTGTGAGTTTGTTCATCCAAAACATTTAAAATTATCAAGCCTTCCGAGAAGTATTCCAAAGAATTATAGATTATTTCTGGATTGATGTAATATTATTAAATGTTGCTAAAATCATCATATCCCTTTCGAAAGCTTTCTTTAGATTGATCTTAGGAAGGTTGATCTATTATAGAGAGTGCTTTTTTGGCCAAACCATCTATCTTGTTTGCTGTAGCAGTGTCGATTGGCACAGTAATTGTCTATTAAATTCTTTAGGGTTTCTTCTCCTCTATTCTCCCATTATCCAGGACGGACATTAACAAACAGAGGATTAGTTGTGGAGATTCTGCAGTGAAATTGCTTTGCACTTGAGTATAAACTATTTGAAATATACTCCCAATGAAAAGAGTGCCATAGTAAAGAGATCTGGGACTAATTATATAATATCCGGATGATCCTGTTTATCTAAATAAGTCCTTTGAGATGTATTAACACAATATTAATTATGCATAGGTGGTAACATTGAGATTTATGAAATTCAAAATTATCAAACAAATTAGATCTATTTAGATGCATAGTATGGTTCCAATGGCCTTAATCTAGGAATTTGCATATCGCAAAATAAACATAGTTATTAATAATATGCTTGCAATAATCAAGCAAAGCAGATTGCTAACTTCATTTCGCATTGTATAAAAATAGATTGAATAACAAAAGGTTAGGCAATTCAATATCAATCCTCTAAAGAATTCTCTGTCCTTCATTAATAAATTCCTTATATTACAAATAAATTATTAATATTAAAAGCCAAACATTTTCATAATATAATATAATTGATATTTCATTCCTTTCGCCTAATCCCACCTCTTAGAGTTCGCCATTCTCTTCATTCAACCCATATTTATTGAAAATCCAATTAATTATTTTTAATTAGATCTACTATTTAGAGGTATAATTATTTTAAAATAAAAAATAAAATAGTAAATCTTTGCGGATACTTACGAATTTGTTCAAAGTTTCATCTCTTTTAAGGTGTGTCTGTTCTGTATCTTTGTTGTTCCGATACTAAATAGAATAATGCTTTGAAATAGAGTTTAGGTTTATTAAATGCTGGAAATTATTATTAAATTAATATGATAATTCATTCTTATATGTAGATATTAATATTGATATAGTAAAATATACTTTTAAATCAGTTGATATTATGTTAAATCATAAATTCCAATTAGAATCTGAATGTTGATTAGGAATGAAGTCAAACTTTTTCTGGGATCCCGATTAAAAGAAGTTTGAATTAGAGTTAGTTTTAAAGAGCTTAAATATGAATGATTAATTTACATCCATCTCTTTTTTGTAAATTTCATTTTATTATCTGAACTGCTCAATTTAATCATTCTACAACTCCAATGTCTGTAAATGATGATTGATCTCATTGCTTTGTGTTTTAACTAATTGATTCAATCTATCTATTTCTCCCTACAACACAATGATTCTATTTTCTAATCCAAGTTTAGTCTATGTTAATTAAGAACACGCTAATTGTAATTATTCTCTATCCTTTTTGGTCAGATTCAATTCCTCATTCAATTGTTGCAATCTCTAGTCAATCAATTCCTTATTCTCCATATCTAATCTATTCCTATTCATGTTTAATGTATCAATGTCTCGTTCACTAGGATATGACATATATTTATTACAATAAGGACCTAAATGAATTCATTTGTTAAGTCATTTATGTCATATTCCTTTTATAATCTATTTACAATTTATTGATCTCCTCATCCTTGACTCTTACTAAATCATTCAATCTATTAATCTCAGATTGTTGTCTATACTCATTCCTTCTTAGATCATTAACATTGTTTTCCAATCTAATTTATTTGTTACGTAACTCCTCCAGTTCAATAAGTTAAGATGCATATTAATGTTTGAATCGATCAGACTCCTGCAATTAGTTTTCAAATGATTAATTCTATAATGATTGATTATTGTTACTCTCTATTTGATAATTTCAATTTAGATTTCATGATCCTTCAACCTCAGTAAATTCTATTCAATTTCAGTATTCCTCCTTTTTAAATCATCTATCTCTCTCTATCTTGACTCCAGTTGTTCTTTAAGTCTCTTGACTTCACTATCTAATCCTGAGGATGAAATTTGTTAATAATTGAATTCCAAGTAAGTAATTTTCTACTGCAGTGAATCATTCTCTTATTGTTTCATAGTATTCTGTTATTGCAATCTTTCAATTTCTTTGATCTGATGTAAATTGATCAATTCCAATTCATTAATTCTTGTAGTTTGATTCATGTGATTGATATCCCCTTTGTGATACTTTTATCTCCAAACTTCAACCTCATTGATTGCATTATTCAATTCCTCTTGTAACTTCGAGATCTAATCATCAAATTGTTTGCTCCTCAATTCAGAACTAATTTATCATAAGCCTTTTACTTTTATTTGATTTACGAGAAATTCTAATTGTAAATTCTATCGCATTCTGTTTTCTGCTTGTCCATTTGTTATTACAATTAATTTTCAAGACTTTGATACATCTACTTCAATTACTCATGCTCATTGTATAATTGATTATATTTAACATCCTTCTCGCTTATGTGTATTTACGATTGCTAGATCTTTTACATTTGTTGCTCGTTTTATTTGAGTCTTAGTATCAATTCCTATGTATAATTAATGAATTAAAGAATATTACATTTTTCTCCAACTCCGCCTATTGTGATTGATTAAAGTAATAATCGCATTGTTCCTTGAGCAATCTAAGATTTGGGTCATTGACTGACTTGAGCCTTTCAATTTCTTATTATTGTTATCTAATTTTTTCATTGAGCTGTTAAAATTTATCATTTCTTTAATCTTATTCAATTTTCTGTCTGCAAATAAATGATTCTTGTTCCACTTGCTTGATCCTCCTTTGCAACTCGGGATCATATTACTATTATTGAGGTGTTTGGAAGGACGGCACCGACGTGTAATGATTTAGAGGCACTTCAACTACTTCATATACTTTGGGCTTGAGCACTGTTTTCATCCCAGGAGGTGGTTGAATATTGCCCATTATTTGAAATCTGGACACTGGAGACACTGACTTATTTTGAGGACCTTACATAACCTGATGTCTTATTGGACTTGTATTATTATACATTATTTTAATGATAATATTATTTTATGTGTGCATTTCTCTATCTATAGGAGGATCTACACTAATGTTAACTCATTTATTCTTTTTCGATAACCTTAAAGTATTTGCCTAAAGAATCGTCGCGTGTCTCTCAATAGCAGATTTTTTTTATGCTTTCGGATTGCTCCTCTATGTGGAGCCAACATTTGATGGCTATAATGTCACTAGGTGAGTTAATCAATACTATTTAGATGCACTATCCAAGGAGCCTTGACTCAATTTGCCACCATTTGTGCCTTTGTCTGGAGTACATCGATTGCCTACTTCCTCTACGTATCAATCACAAGAGGATAAAAGGATTTGATTTTTTTTGAAAGATATGAAAAATTCATAATCGCAGCAGGTAACCCCTTATTCCTCTAAAATAGGTTTCGCCCTTCCTTTTTTAATTGCAACAATTCCGTTGTTTTTCTAATCCTACTCGCCCACACCTTCAAAAGTGCCTGCTACTTGTTCCATTAGTTCTAATGATGAAAATAAGACTATCGAAAAGAATAGAAGCTTAAGTCTATACCTGAATCTTACTTTATTCTACCTGCCACTCCTATCCTCAGTATTAATATCTGTCTATTTCTTATTGAGAACGTACTTTAAGACTAAAAGAATCAAGAGTTAATACGAATTATTAAATAAACAAATCAACATCCAATTGATGTTCGCTCGCAATTTAATACTCTACCCATTGGTATTATTTATTTGCTGGCTGCCATCTCAAATTGTGTTTCTGATCTTTGTGTTTAAGAATAGCTGGATTGAGTAAATACAGCAAGATTACTTTATACGCCAAACTGGACCCTATTACTACATAAGACTCCTATAATACGGAGCTAGTTTCTTATAAGGATTTTTCAACAGTCTTGTGTACTGGTTCAATACATAACAGATGAGAAAGAAGTTGAATTCATTAGAAAGAATCCACATAGATTACTAAAAAACAAAAACCTTTTTCTCTAACAACAACGACTTAAGTGAAAACAGAAGCAGTTAATTGTCTAATAGTTTCGAAAATCTTTAAGATATTTGATATTTTTTATTTTTATTTATATTTTCATTCTCCATCAAATAGATTGCTCATTCAACATATGAATGATACCAAGTCTACAATTTTAAATATAATCTCCTAAGAATTTTTGTTTTCAAACAATACCCATATTGTTTAGACTACCAAGAATTTATTGAAAATTTGGTAATAAAATACAATACATTTTTAATATGATATCTAATCTATTATCACTTTAGAAATATTTTTAGTTTAATAAAATGTCCGAAAGAGTGCAAAAAATGTTAGAAGAAATAAAAAAAAGTTTAGAATTTTAAAATAAAAACTAAAATTATAATCGTTTTCATATAAATAACGTTTTGGTTTAATTATCTTATGTTAACCCTATCAAACTTATGAATATTACTGTTGAGTTTAAAGTACTTTTCTATAAAATCTAAAGTAAATATGAAATTCGCTTTTTTCATTAATTGACTTAATATATAAATAATAAGCATTTACCTGACCAATCTTCTCTAGAAATAAATAAGTAAGAGAAATCAAAGAAAGCGCTTGCTGTAAATCTAAGAGATAAATTGGATGAATAATATAATTAAAATTGGTTCAATACAACACAATTGAGTTTATAATTTTTATTCAAGCAAGAAGAGATAATACTTAAAAGGAAAGATAATATTAATTCAAGAATTAACTCTTTGGGTTAGATTAATATACAGAATATCTTGTTCAAGCCTCTCTTGCAATTAAGCATTGGATTAAAAAGTCAATTTATTCTGGAAGAATAGAATATCGGAAAATATCCATTTTATAATAATATATATTTGAGATTGAGAATAATACAAAATATTATAGATACAGTAGAAATGTGTAGTCTAATATTATATTAAGAGAAGATATTTTAGATTTTTCGGATACAATATTTATCGAATATAATAAGTATTTCTATCAATAAGTCCGAATATTTAAATGCTGTTGCATTAGTAATTAATGATGCCTTTCAATTAGAATCATCAGGTAGCCTTTATAGTAATTTCAGGACTTGGTTGAGTGATTTTCACAATGTTTTGTTAGCCAAAAAATCGATTTATTACCATGATGACTTTGAATAATACATTGAGTGATTTAATTTATATGAAACCAATTTAATGTTTTTTAATATTAGGTATTATAAGAGTGGAGATAGATATAAAGTTTAAAAAGGTTCAGATCTTTAACAGAGTTTTCTTTATGATTACTTTATGCTTCAAATGGCTCGTTTTTTGTTAGATTTTGGAATTGTAAATATAAGGAACCGACTCTTTTTTTAGAAATATAAACCTAAAATATATATAAAAAAGTATACCCTAAAGTGCGAAAAGCTCTCAAGAATTCGTCATTTTTAGTGAATTAGAGGATGTGTGTGAGGTTACAGAGTTTGTTTTTGACACTCTGCATCAAATCAAGAAACTCTTGTCCTTTCTTTTCTCCCAACAGTTTGTAGATAATGAATTGTGATCTTAAGGTATAGGCTATAAGGGCTTTTGCGAAATTTTTATGGAGATTGGTTGAGTCCAAAACTTCATGAATTTTAGTATTTGGTAATTCTTTTTTTTTCTTGATTACTGTTTCTCTCTCTTTTTTAGATTGTTTTTTTGTGTCTTTGCTCTTCTCACTCTTTTCTACATCTAATTCTTCAGTATCATAATTCAACTATTAACTATTAGTAGGTTGATTGTCGATTATTGAAGTCATTATAGGTTCGACTTGATGTTCCTATTGATTTAAGGTCTAGGCTGGAAAATAAAAGACTGGACAAACAACTTATGGCTAATAGAATGGATAGTAGTAATAAGGTTATTAAGAATACAACATATTTTGGTAAATAATAACATAAATGATTTAACAATATATTTTGAATTCCACTCTAACAATGGATTTTGCGTTTATTTTATTATAATTAATAAAATAATTATCAAATTAATCAAATTACTAAATGATAATAATTCAGAATTAAATGAGGAAAGTACATAATTAAAATCTCTGTAATTAAAGGAATAAAATTATGAGAATAAAATTAAGAAGGAATATATCCCTAAGATTTACTACAACCTCAATTGATTTCTACCCTCACGACTCACGATGACAAGCCAATTTTAATATTGTTAAATGATGTAAAAAGATTAATGATAATCGATGAATTCAATCCATGTTTCATTCAGCAACTTCATTAGCTCCTTCTCCTTCTTTTGCTCCCTCTCCTTCTTTTGCTCCCTCTGCCTAACGTGCCTCCTCAGCCAACCTTGCCTCCTCTGCTAATCTTGCTTCCTCTGCCAATCTAGCCTCCTCTCTTGCCTACTCCTCTTCAATTCTTTTCCTTTCCTCCTCATCTCTTCTTTCTTACAACACTCTAGCTGCTTCATCATAATCTTCTTTAGTTATGTCTACTTTATTTATTCGAACCAAATGGAAATAAAACATTAGGATCTCTTATTTGAAATTATCAGCACCCATCTCATCCACAATTGGATTTGCCAACATGTTGAGAGTTGTTATTGTTCTGATTTTGGCAATCTTTTTAAAGTCATCAAATTTAGCTAATTAATTCTCTCTAAGATTCAGATAATATAATTGTGGGAATTCTATAACAGGAGTTTTAATTTTTGTAATCTTATTTGCTCTTATATTTAATTTTAATAAAGATGGTAGATTATTGAGAGATCTAAAATCTTTAAGTTCATTGCCTTACAAATAGAGTTCCTAAAAAGGATTATGAATAAATAACATACTTTCAATTATGGCATATTTGCTAATCCATCTGTAGTTTTCAGTTTGTTTTTTCCTAACTCAAGGATTTCAATATTTTCATGTCCCTCAAATTCATTTGCAGTAGTAATTTCATTTTCGATTAAATTCAATCTCCTCAATCTCTTGAGTGAGAGTGTAACAAGAGTATTGATTTTGTTTGTAGAGAGATTCAAGTATTGTAGGTAGGGGAATGCTTCAGGGTCCTTAAAATAGGAGAGACTATTAATCTCATTCTTCGAAGCATTTAGTGAAACCAAATATCTAATGAATTAAAGAGTATATCTACTTTAAAGGCAATATATTTGTAATATCCACAATTCTATTTTATGAGATATCAATATATCTGAGATTCAAATGATTAATCTAAAATATCCTATCTATGTCCTTTTCGGCTAGATTTAATTTCATATACGCATAAACAGTTTGAGTTTTGCTCAATCCTGAAATTCCTTATAAAACTAATTCATTAAATTTTGCAGTGTCTTCTTTCAATTTAGCCTCATATTCCTCTCTAGCAATTCTTTCCTATTCCGCTCTTTCTTCTCTTTCCTTTCTTTCCTGCTCCTCTCTTTCCTCCCTCTCTTTTCTTTCCTATTCTTCTCTCTCTAATCGTAACCGTCTAGTTTCTTCGTCCTCTTCTGGTGGCATTTCTGGCTCTTCCTCCTGAGGCTACGCTGGTTGTTCTGTTTATTCAGGATCCCCGACCTACTCCTCATTCTATTCTGGCAAAGGGTCTTGATCATTTTATTATTCTTGATTTTCATCATTTGGTTATTCAATTTATTCGTCACTCATATAAATAATTAATTATTATTTGCATTCAAAGATAAAGTAAATTTAGAAGATATATCACATATATATATATTAATTAAATCATCTAATTTCACACATGGAAAATAGTGAGGACATATTATTTGAAACCTAAGTAGGAAAGATTTTCCAGAATTTAAGCGTCTCATCTCCAGATCCTGTCAGAATAGTTGATTCATCTAAAAATAGTCATTAAAATCAAATACCTGGACTTGCAGACAAATAAAGCACTCTTTCAGAATGACCTTCTAATTAATGAATTCTTTTCATCGTCGGATATTGCCATAGACAGACTAAATTCTTTTCGTAACCATGAGTAGAAACCAATTCATTAACAATCTTAGAAAATCTCAATTTGCAGACTTGCGAATCGCAATTGATACTTGCAATTTACTAATTCGTGTGAGAACTATGAATTTTAATGGTTTTATCTTAATTTCCACCACCAGTAGCCAAGATACCACATGAATTAGGATTCCAAGCCAAAGCTCTTATTGCAGCCTTATGAGATTTGATTTCCCAAGATATATATTGGTTATTACTGTTACTGTTGCCTCCTCTCATTTACCAAACAAATACTTTATTATCATTACCACCAGAAGCTAATTAGAGTTCATTTCCATCGAAGGTGACTCCGCATACTTCTTAAGTGTGTCCGAGCAATTAAAATATTGAATAGTTGGGAACTCTAACATCGCAAATATTGATTGCTTTATCCTTACTGCCATATGCAAAGATATTAGGATTGGCCCAACTAATTGTGCTGATTCTTTTATTCGATATATTCATAGAACCACTGAAGGTATTTTTATTGTAATCCCAGAGTTTTAAAGAACCATCGCAACATCCTATGGCCAACATTTACCCATTTGTGTTCCATTGCAAAGATGTATAATATGCTGATAGTTCATTATTATCCATTGGTTCTGCCAATTGAAACACTTTGGAATTGTCCACATTATATAAATAGACACATCTTTATAAACCTACTGCAATTAGATTATTCTTTCCCCAATGGAGTGTGTCTTAGTAGAAATCGTCTTCTAAACCAGGTGCATCCAACACTTTTATTGGCAGGGTATCTATTTTTCTTTTTGGTGTTTCAAGTTGTTTAGCAGATTGAACTTTGTCGTGTTTTTATTTAGTGAAATTCAAAATGCTCACATGTTTATTCTCATCAATTTCCAAGACGTTCTCACTCAAAAGTTCCTCGTATTAGTTCTCCTCCTCGATTTCAAATGGCTATATTTGCTTATTGAATAAATTTCTTGAAACATTTAATGGGATGTATCTATCGCTGTAGGGTGATGCTAGTATTGAATGATCAGGAGTGCTTTATTTGTGATTGCTTTTTAATAAGGATTTGGGTGTTTTCCAAGGATTGAGATTTTTTGGAGAATAAAAGTCATTATTCTAGGGGGATTATATTGTAGTAGATTGATTAGTTTTATTTTGCTTTTTGTCTTTGGTTGGCGTTGCTAATTAATGCTTTTTGGGGGTGACATTCTATTATTGCGGTATCTATTCTTACTACATTTGAATTTAAATAATATAAATTTATTAACAATAAATTGCCACACTAAAATTGAGCTTATAACACAATAATATCAATCATAATGAATCGACTCTCATTTTTATCTGTTCTATAACTTTTCCATCGTACAACTCATCGTCCATCAGATTTCTATAGTCGTTCTATACAATATTAATGATTCAAGTACCTCAAAAGCATTTCTAAATTGACGAATTAATGAACTTGTTTATTCCTAATCACACTTCAATTTTTTGAGTGCCTCCAATAAAATCAAAATCTATTGTATCAACTGTAATTTGAAAGTATGAATTTGTTCTATTTCCAACCTCTGATAGATGGGATTATTTAGGATCTAAACGTGATCCTTGTAATGTGCGAGATAGATCCTAACCAAATCAATTTCCTTAATGTCGTGACTCAACAAAATTTCAAAGAACAACCAAGTGGTCAATTGAGTCACTTATAAATCCTGACATATCTTAGTATTTATTAATTCTATAGTCTCAGTCATTTTTTCCAATTGGATATACTTTTAATTATTGATTAGATTCTCAAAAAGCAATTTCATCTAAAACTTTGAATACTACATTAATACTTATCGTTTTAGCACATCTGTAGGCCATTCATTGGATTCTTCATAAGCTTTATAAATGAATTTGATCCATAGCTACTCAATATTCTCTTTGGTGGTGCAAAATGATTTCCCTAAGAAATTTTCCAAGTAATCCAAACACAGTAATTAGCCAAAGTAAATGTTGTTATCCTCGAAGAATTGCAGTATAACTTTGGGATCACATATTTCAAGAAGGATCCTCCTCTTCTCTGCATGATAAACTAAATTAAATCACTACTTATTTACTTTGACTTTGATTTTCATTAGTTACAATGTAATCGTACATAATGTCTTACAAAAACAATAATTTACTGAGATTCTACGCTTATTTTTCTACTTCATTTATATCGATTCCTTAGGCATTCTTTTGGAAAGTTCTGATAAACTCTTGTGCCTTGTTGACATACCTTAGTCTCTTTTTGATGGGCAATTTAATTTGAATGTCCTCGAGATTCATTTCTGGACATTGGGTTAATGAAAATTATGCTAATTTTAGCAATATTTGTATCAGTTAAGGATATACTTCTGAATTGCCTTTTGATGCTTTGGCGATGAATTGTTTCTTTTACATTTATAACTTCTCTAGATCATTACTACATTGTAAGTCCATTTCCTAATTGTAATCAATGTATTAAATGAATTCCTTTAGCTAATGCTTTAAAATGTTGTTAGCTATGGCTTCAGTTGGCTTGATTAGTTAAAATTGATTTAATAGTTGAAGTGATTCGATGAGGATCTCCTTTGTTTGTGCCTTAGTTAAGCCTTTTGGAGGGTTCAAATAGTATTTGATTAGATTATTGAATTATTCGATTAAATCCATAATGCAATTGCAATATTCATCACTCGATTAATCCTTTTCTTATTACTAACATTTCTATGCTAGATATTAGATATAGAATTTGAATGTAGCAAAAGGATACATGTAATTTTTGAAGCATTGTGTCAAATAAGAATGCTCAATTAGGATGGCGACTTCTTCAATCAATTTCAAAGCCTCTAGTAATTAGTCTTGTAATTCTGGTTGCAAATCCTTGTAGTACAAAAAGATCTCTCGCTTATCAAGCACTTTATCAATAGTAATTTAAGGAGCTTTGGACAATTTTAGGATCCTCTTAATTTTTTCATTAATCTACTCGTTTTGGTTAAGTTTGATCAAATCTATATAGTAAATAGGAGTGCTTACTTTTTTAGGCGGAAAAGGTTAAGATCTCATCGAATAGGTTTTAGACTAAACTAATTTTGAAATCTGCAATAGTAAAGAAATCAGGAAAGTGATGATTCATGTATTGAGCTGCTTCTCTAAACTTTGTTTTGTCACTCTTTATAATGTGTATCATTAATTATTTTAATGTTAAATTACCAACATTGTCACCACTAAGGACACTTTTTATTGATAACTCAAATAATTAAGGTTTATTCTGATAGCCGTTTATTATATTCCTGATTCCTTGCAATTCACCGAAAAAGTAAATCAAAAATTATAGTAATTATTTGATTTTCTTACAAAAAGAGTAGAGCACTTTCATTTAATTCTAGAAATAGATATAATACTTACGTATTCAACATCAACATTCACAGTAACAGCTAATGATTAATCTGAGTAATTGGTACTTCTTGAAATATCCAATCTAGTACTTTGTTCGAAGGTTTCATAAATATATTTACTGAATCCATTCTTGTAATTTTGAAATTAATTTTATTCATCTACTTATAGATCATTTCGTTAACTCTTAAGTTACTGGAAATAATTAGGTTCATTTTCGAATAATTTAATTAGTTTTTCAATTTATTTAAACACAGTTTGTAATTATTAGATAGAGTAACTCTCAATAGGTTTATTGCATTCTAAGTTATAGACTTTTTCATTGATGAATTTCTTGGTTGTGAGTGGAGCAAGGATTTTCCAAATTAAAGATGTGGTGCTTGATACTTTTTTTGATTTTTGATTTCTATCCTCATTAATTAATGAACGCTTAATCAAGGCAAAGTAGGCTTTGAGTGCTTTCTCTTTGATTATAGCTCCTTTGCGAACATAAACTTGTCCCGTAACCCAATTTGGAATCTTCTCATTGTCATCAAAAAACTTTTGAATATTCTCTGAGTAATGTATTCTTTGATATGCTTTCTGTAAATCCAATTGATATTGATGTTGAAGTTCAACGTTGATATAAAAATTCTGTTCTTCTTGGATTATGATTTACAAGATTTAAGCACAACTTTCCTCGATTCCATAGGCCCTGACCAATTTCTCAAGTGGGAAATCTGCATCGACTTAATCGATGAAATCATAATGTGTTACTTTGATGGCTGTAAAGAAGCAATCAATGGGTCTCTTTCTCACTATGAACTCCACTGTATTATCAGCAATGCAGATGTAATGTTCAGGCAGATTATAGAGTTGAGATTCATTAATGTCGAAATGATTGAATACTCGATTGACAGTCATCTTACCAATATTGTAAATATTCTTGGGGATGTCATTGCCATTTTTATTCTTCAACATGTCATTACCATTTTCATAGTTGATAATATCCTTACTATTTTTACAATTTAGTTCAATTTTCTCTATTGCTTCTTTTGATGTATCTCTATATATGGAGTACTGTATCTAATTATATGAATTGTATTTAGTGATTTGTTGTTCTAGATTTCTTAAATATTGAATGTGAGCCATATCCAGGAATTATGCAATGATATAATTATCTAAATGAAACAGGGACAACTATTCCTCTTTGTAGACTGACTTCAGAATTTGACTTTGTTGAATGGTCAGCATCTCCTTCTATTTGTATTGAATTCTGCTCTCATCCAAACAGACTCCATATGGAATCGTTGTATCAATTTTCATATAAGGATTTTTGATTTAAATGATCTAGAATTCTGGTTTCAATTTAATATACTGTTATTAGGTAACATTTGAATTTGAACTCCTTTATTTAAATTAATTAATTTCATTGATAGTTCTATTTTATAATTCAAACAACAGATGAAGTTGTAATTAATCCTTGGTTGTGATAATCAGGACTATCTTGTTGGTTTGGTATTGTCTTTCGAAAAAAGCATGATAGAATTGGAGATTGTGATAATCAAATACAGCTTTGAATTCCATATTAGAATTATATAGATGGGATTATTTTATTGTGATGATTTCTTAAAAGAGTTCTCCTTGAAGTCCAATGTCATAGATGGTTATGAATGTATCTTCAACATTCTCATTTTTGTCGAGTTTCTCAAATAAGCCATAACATATATTGAATTCTTCTTGCAATTCCAATTAGATTAAGCCTTGTTGGGATGACCACGGAGTCAGGTCTTTAAAAATCCGGTTGAATTATCTTTTTATTTTTTCTTTCAATTAAACAGTATAATTTTGAGCAGTATCAATAGATTTACAAGTGAGAGTGCCTGAACTGCCACCATAGATCAAATTGTCTTAAAAAAAAAGGATTTAGTTAATAATTTCTCCATTGACATTGAACACTTATTTTAGCAATTAAAAATTGTCCAGATCAGCTGTAAATGTATACAAAAATATGTAGAATTCAGAGGCGATTGCCATTGTCCATACATCATCTACCTATTAAAATCCAACGGCTGTAATGTAGTCTAGGTGTCCAATCTCTTGTTCTTTAAATCTGAATGGAAATTTGTACTTCTGATTATCCTACAATAAATTGGAAATGTTTACAGTATTGTAATAGTAATTTAGGTCATCTTGTAATGGGGAATAGAAATAGAATTGCATTTTTTTTTAATTGACCACAAAGTAAAGAAAGCCATCCTAAATGCCACTCAATGAATAATTATCATTAATTGCTATTGCTTCATGATGAAAATTGACGAAATGTCCTCTGTACAATGGAATTGCTAAGTGTATTTATGAATGGATACATAGATTGTTTGGGAGATGAACAGTTTATTGATTTCCAAAAAGTGTGTTAATGGGATTGAATGAAGTTGAAGATTTCTTGCTCTTCAAATCCTGGAAAAGCACTTATTGTGTTTAAGCCTTTGGTTTTGCATGTAACATATTTATTTTAATTAAATATAATCAGGAATGATGAGTTTTACATGGCGCCTTTTCATAATCTAAGATGTTGCGCATCAAATATGAGACCGTTGGACACTCATCCACTTAAACATCACAATTATACTTACTTGAATCATACATGTCACTTTATATACTGAATCTTTTGGTTTATGATTTACTTGCTTCGCCATCACTTGCTTCCTTAATTTCAATAATAGTTTTCAGAGTGGGTAATCCTTGACGCTAATTGTGGGGTTTGGCCTTCTGTTTGGCATTGACAAACCATTAATGCGTGAGAGCATCAGACAAAGAACAATTAGACAATAGCTTCTTGATCAGATCCAATTGACTTGATGAAAAGACATGAACATATTATGAATCTGGAGTCTTCATCTCTAAATAAAATATTAATATTAAACATGTTAAGACTTCGATGGTTTCGTCAATCAGTTCGTATTTTATTACTAATTCCTTCATGTACTTTTAAAACAATTTGTAAGGGTCACTTTTCCGCTATTATTATTAATGTGCATACTTTCAAATCTTGATTGATTTTCGTATAAAATGTAATGATATAAAGTAGGACTCCCAATTAATAAAGATCAGAATTAATTCCAGGTATTTAATTCTCTTCAAAGCCACTCCAATAATACTTATTCAGATTGACCCATTTCAAATATTCGCTTATGTCATCTCCTTACTTGAATGGCTAACAATTTATATTTATTCCATTACATAGTATATAAATCCAATAACCCCAATTTCCAAGGACTGACTTTCTCTATTGATTAATATGTTTAATGCATTGATGTTGCCGTGATATGCCTAATGCTCATTTAAATAACGCAGCAATAGTAAAATCTAGTAAATCAACTAAAGTATATGTATTTGATCATACTGTTGCTACTTGCACTTCCATGAATTGTATGTTCTCGAGTAGGAAGTTAAAGACCGGTTCTCCCTCAAACCTTTCAGTAATCATGACATAATTATTGGTGTCTTCGTAGATCCTCTTGATTTTTAAAATGGAATGATTCTTGCTCTCGTGCAACAACCCAAATGTCTGTTCCAGGAAGGGCTGTTGCTTATTGATTATGTAGGCCGAAAACTGCTGTCGATTCTTGGATATTTAGATCTTCTTACCTTCTTTTTGATGATAGAGTAGAAGTCTTGAAATAACTGTTCTTACAGCCGATATTTGACTAGAAGGTTTTTCATGATGCAAAATTGCTTAATCTAATTATACCAATGCTTCTGGATATCGAAATTGCTGAAGAATAGCATGATGTCGTTGCCCAGGAGGAGGAGGTAACACTTTTTATTGTTGTGGATCAGTTGTTTCCTCTTTATTTGATACTAAGAAAGCTGGATGCAATGACAATCGATTTTTAGGACATTCGGATATAAGGTGCATTGCTCTTTGAGTATGACCCCATCAAACATCACAGTTAAACTCTAATTTAGAAGTATTTGAGTAAGTCTTGGCTGATGATTCCATTCTTTCTGATGCTGACAAGTGATCAAACTCGAAGCCAAATTCTTGAACTCGTTGTAGTCGAAAGAATCCTCTCGACGATGTCCAAATTCGTTGGTGTTGGTCCTGGAGGGTCTGGATATGAAGTTCTGCATTTTAATTAATATTTATTTATTGTGGCAAACAAATAAAAATATGTTGAAATTGTAATCTAAGCTCTCACTCCTCACAGAGTCTCAAAATGCATTTATAAGTACTATGCATCTGGATCAAATTGGAGATTCACTAGAACTCACAATAATTAATAGATTAAACAATCAATCAATTGGAAATCCAGTGATCACATGATTATGGATATTAAATTGAAATACAGCAGGGGTTGATTGACATTTAAAAATGATGTAGTTATCAAATTTAAGTGAAGAATAGACATTTTATAAGAAGGGAGGATGTTGGAGAATGAAAGATCGTTTCAGATGATCCCTTAGACAAGTTGAGAGATGCTAAAAGTTGAGTTTGTTTTGTGATAAATTGGAAAAAGGAGGTATTTGGCAAAATTTTAGGATTAAGAAATTGAGAAGCGAATATATGAAACAATAAAATTAGAGAATAAATTAATTTCTTGCTTTATTTTCAGAATCGTGATGATCATTTATATAAATTTTATTAAAAGATATGAATAAATAACGCAAGACACAATTGGAGGAGTTATAGGAGAAAGAGAGTAGCTTTGGTAGAGTGTTCAAAGTGGCTGGTCCATGTAATTGGTGTTCATTAATTTAATAGTGGTTGTTGCAGAGAAGATGGCAGGTGCTAAGATGTTTGAGTTAGTGAAGGTTGGTTGGGATAAGCTTGTAGGTGAAATCATTAAATTGGAAGGAGATAATGCATCTATTCAATGTTACGAAGATACATGTACTCACAATAAGTAATTATGATTAGCTGGTTTGACTGTGGGTGATCCTGTGATGAGAACAAAGTCTCCTCTTTCAGTCGAATTAGGACCAGGTATTTAATACATAAATATCTAGGTATTTTAACATAAATTTTTGATGGAATTCAAAGACCATTATAAGTCATAGCAGAATAATCATCTTCCATTTTTGTGCCCAGAGGTGTTGATATTCCAGCATTGGATCAAGATAGAATCTGGGAATTCAAACCATCTTCACTAGTTAAAGTAGGTTCAATGATCTCTGGAGGTGACATCTATGGATCAGTCTTTGAAAACAATCTTTTTGATGAACATAAAATCTTGACAGCCCCCAGAGTCTAAGGCAGAGTCACTTACATTGCACCTGAGGGCAATTATACACTCAAAGACAAAGTTCTAGAAGTAGAATTGGATGGCAAGAAACATCAATATGGAATGAGTCACTTCTGGCCTGTCAGACAACCCAGACCCATCATTGAGAAATTGTAAGGTAATACACCACTCCTTACTGGGTAAAGAGTACTTGATGCACTCTATCCATCAGTCTTGGGAGGTACTTGCTGTATTCCAGGAGCTTTTGGATGCGGCAAGACTTGTATTTCTTAGGCACTCTCCAAATATTCCAATTCTGAATGTATCATCTACGTTGGATGTGGAGAAAGAGGAAATGAGATGGCTGAAGTGCTCAGTGAATTCCCAGAATTGACTATTCAAATGAAGGGTAAGGAAGAAAACATTATGTAACGTACTTGTTTGGTTGCTAACACTTCCAATATGCCAGTCGCTGCCAGAGAAGCCTCCATCTACACAGGAATCACATTGGCAGAATATTTCAGAGATATGGGTTTCAATGTGTCTATGATGGCTGATTCTACTTCCAGATGGGCAGAAGCCTTGAGAGAAATCTCTGGTAGATTGGCAGAAATGCCTGCAGATCAAGGTTATCCTGCTTATTTAGCATCTAAACTCGCACAATTCTACGAAAGAGCTGGAAGAGTCAGATGCAGAGGTTCACCTGACAGAGAAGGATCCATTACTATTGTCGGTGCTGTGTCACCTCCAGGAGGAGTATATACTTATTTATTATCCTTAGGATTTCACAGATCCTGTTACTACTGCCACTCTCACAATTGTCTAAGTCTTTTGGGGATTGGATAAGAAATTAGCACAAAGAAAGCATTTCCCATCTGTCAATTGGACCATTTCCAATTCCAATTATGAAAAGATTCTTGAACCATATTTCAATGCCTTCGATCCAGAGTTTTCTCATTTGAGAGTTATGTTCAAATAGATCCTACATGAAGAATCAGAATTGAATGAAATTGTCCAATTGGTAGGTAGAGACTCCCTTTCAGAAGATCAAAAATTGTCATTGGAAGTAATACTTTACCAATATCTTCTTAGATTGCTAAAATTATCAGAGAAGATTTCTTATAACAAGATGCTTTCAGTAAATACGATTACAATTGTCCACTTTACAAAACTATTGGTATGATGAGATGCATCGTTTCCTTCTTTGAATGTGGTAAAAAGGCCATTCTTGAATCTTCAGGAGATGCCAAAATTACTTGGAATATCATATTGAATCAAACTAAGCCACAATTTGTCAAGCTATCATAAATGAAATTTGAGGTATTAACTTTATTAGATTATTATAGGATCCAAAATAACCAAAATAAGAATTAATGAATTATTTCACTAAATTTGTTGATGAAATTAAATCAGCTTTTAGAAATTTAACAGATAAATGAGTATTATTAAAATTACATAAACAATTATCATCTATTCTTAGATCAATAAATGGTAAATACCAATTAAGTTCCTATTTAAGTGTGAAGTATATAAAAATATATTATGAATGTTACATTAATATATCAATTCTTAGCCATATTTTGACATTCTGATATGAAATATTAGTTAAAAGGTTTTATCATTAATTATACATAAAAATGGTTTAAATGACTAAAATATGTGAAATTTAATCAGATTTTTCATATACACCTCCTAACTTGGATATAAAACAAAAATAATAAGTGAAACAGGGGAACTATATTCTCTACTTACTATTTTTGGTTTTTAATACATTCATATAAATTTGTAAAGTTTTGTTAACTTAATTTATAAGAGTCAATCTATACCATTTACGTGTTAGTATAACTATTTTAAATATAATTAATTTCACACTTCATCAAATCTAACCTTCTTTTAATTCTGATTAAAATTAGCCTTGATGCGAAACAAACTATATTTTGTTTCTTTCTTCAAGATAGTCTTTTTAGATCCAAGTGAAATTACTTCACACGAATCCCTCATTATAGGTTTATCTTTAACAGCATTTTCAGTTAATTGTATTGAATCGACTCTATCCATGTCGCCAGTTAGCTCCTAAATTTCTAAACTACTCGCTGCTATTCTATTATACTCTTTTCCAGTATCGTCTATCATTAAGGATCCATTATTTTAGTAAGATTGTATTCTCTCATTTTCCTTATTCTAATCTGTACTTAAATTACTATTTTTGTTTAATATCGAAGCTTTGCTCTTTAATCTAATCTTTTCTTGCTATTATAGCTCGATTTTGTCATCGCCTTATGCTTAGCAACAACTTGATCCCATAAGTTTTAATTTAATATAAATTATATTCCCTATATGCAAATTCAAATGCATTAAGAAATTTGCTTCACCATTCTACAAGTTAGAACCAAGATTAGAATTAAGAAAAATTCATATTAGTCATTTTTTTAGAAGAAATTATTTGATTAAAAAATATACTAAAATCCAAAAAATTATCTACCAGTGCATTACTTTAAAGTGGTACAATTTGTATGAAAAGAGTAAATACACTATATTGTCTCAATAAACTACTCAGATCGCTTTGGGATGAAGGATATTGATAGGCGCACTCCGAATATGCATGTTAAACACCAAAGAATATGAAAAAGGGTGATATTGGATTCATGATTATCAAGTCTCAAATTTTTAATTTTATTCGGGGGGAAATGCTGATACTCTCTTCTTGCACACTTCTGCATACTTATTTGATCAGTTTCATTATTGATCTTGAAGTTCTTTTTAAAACTAAATTTTTTTCCAAAAAATTATACTTATTTAGAATTCACAAATGAAATTATCTTGCAAACATAAGCACTTGATACTATTCTTTTGAACATCTTTTTTTAATACAAGTGATGGACAATAAAGGGAATAATGATATCTTTTTCGAAAGGGAAAGCAATTATAAAGAAGAGGTTATCAAACTAACTAGGTCAATTTTTGGCATTTTTGAGAACAGATTAATAAGAGGAGTTCCTAATGGTACATAAATCAATAATGTCATTAAATTGAAATATCTGATCATAAATCTTCTTGTTTTAGGATATTCATAGGTGAGATATAGGTATTTTTTTAACACAATATATATCCTTAAAGTTAACAAAAATTTAATTAATTAAATTAATTATATTCATTTACAAAAAATTATTCTTTCCATCATCATTCACCTTATTTTATCAAAGGATCCTTTTTCTATCAAAGGTTTACAAAAACTTTAGATTTATAAATGGATATACCAATTATTTTCTTCATACAGAATAAAATATTGAATAATTGTTATTAGGAGAGACAATTTTATCTAATATAAATCTGGCGAAGCCAAATTTTTAAATTTAACTGCAATATTATTAAGTTTTCATAGGAAATACAATATTTTATCATTAAAAGCAGATATTTTATTCTCATTGTTTTTATTCTACACTTATACTCTTAATATTTTGCTGCCCATTTTCTAGGATCTTTCAGAATATTCATTCCTATTAAGTCTTACCTATTGCTTTTAACATACATTATGGTCCTCATCAAGTACCCTCTATGAATTGTGAATGAAAGGAAAAGCTGAACGACTTAGGTTCTAATGTATACTCTTTAGAATTCATGAATTTTTAAATAAAATTTATAACAAAAATTATAACGGGATAATTATATTTTGAAAGTGTGTTTCCCTTAAATTCTTAATAATTCTGAATAAGGACAATTATTCTTGCTTAAAGTCGAAATAAGTAACGATATATTTGTAAATAAATAATAGTTTTTTATATAGAGTAATGCAATTATTTGAGGGATAAAAAGTATGATATTTAAAGATTGGAAATGGTAATCAAGAAATTATGGATGAAATACTTCAAGAGGAAAATTCAAGAATTTTTATTAATGATCCTTTTAATCATTGTTAAATTCAAGTCATTCATTTATAATCATTTTGGAGAAATTCCCAATTTTTACATATATATATCTGTAGCTGTGTAGCTTTATCCTTTTAACGTTCTGGCTAAATTCTATATTCTTTCCACGACCAAAATTTGATTAAGAGTTTTTTTGGGTATATTGAAACTAATATATATAAAATCTATTTTCATTCCTAGAATTAACATTATCTATTTCATTATTAAATCGTTGAAAAGATAATCTTCTAGGAGAGCATTTAGAATATTACTTAATTCTTATTGGAGATTATTATTATATATTATTTATAAATTAGGGATTATTTATTTCTAAAATTGGATTAATGAGGATTCATCTATTATTCTTTTGCTTTTTGCAGCACAGTTTATTGATTGTTGGTAAACCTTTTTCTGACATCTTTTCTAAACATATCTAACTCAAAATATTTTTGATTTAAAATAAAGGACCCTTTATGCCTAGTTTAATATTAATAAATTAACAAATAATTTATTTTATTCTTAAGTAATACGTTATTATTCGTAGGTAGCACTTAATAATTCTTGAAATGATGAAACAACAAAATTAGAAATATAAATAATAGTTGTTTCCTTGAGATCAAATGAAAATTAAGCTTCATTTCAATTATTTGGAGTTATTAAGTTGAATCAAATAAAAAACAGTTTAACTTAAATTATAAGAGTATTTTACTGAGAATAAAAGAAATTCAATTTTATTAATTATTACATGAAACAACTAAATGGTATATAGGAATTATACTCTATTAGGAAAAATTGAAAATAAAGATTTAATACAACTATTTTGCGGAGAGTAAATGTAAATTAGAAGCAAACTTTCTTTTGAATCCTGCATTAATTGTGCTAAGATAATTTAAGGAACTATTAAATATTTTAGGAAATGAATCCCTCACTATTGAATTTATAATATAGAATATCATAATCAATGATTAAACAAAATAGAAATAGAATGTTATAGATATGCCAACATAAATATTGATTGATATTATAATTACTATGTTTGGAAACAACATTTTCTATTTTCAAGAATTCTTGAAGAAAGGTCTTATCACTGATTTAAGAATTTATTTTTTTTTACAGAATATTGACTTTTTTCTATATTATATATTGTAGAAGGAGTGGATCAGAAATATTCTTTTTAAAAATAAATAATTATAGAAAATAAAACATTGTATATAAATAGCTGATTGTTAAACTTCTCAAGATATTAGTAAATTGATTTCTATTCATCCTTAAATTTAAGTGAATAACACAACTCAGAGTCAAATATAGATTCTTAATTAAACTTAAGAAATGTAGAATTGACTTAAAATAATAAACATTTGTGGAAAACCATAATTCTATAAATTCGATATAATAATAACTTAATATTAAACATATGATGTATTGACCACTTGTTGTTTTAACATAGATCATCATTTAATCTAAATTAAGTTCAACCAATTTAATACTCTTAATTTCAACAACAAAACATAATCCAACTTTAGCAATAATTATTCTTTATATGCGGTTAATAAACTCAAGTGATGTCACCATAAAATCAATTTATAAAGTAAGTAGAACTGTTAAAGTATGATTCCATAAGATTAGCAGAATAATTGGAGAGAGCCATTTTTATCTTAAAATTTCTGAGTTCTCTTCTACTCTTTAAGAGTTTCCTTTAGATCTGTGTTTATCATAAGAGTTTTATTCTAATCTAGTAAGTATGATCCAACATGGAGGTTTCAAAATTCAACCGTATACGAATCATGATTATTTCGTTACGATATCATCCAAGGCTTCTAAAGAGGCTAAAAATCATAAAGCTAGAACAATATTCAACATATTGCAGTTTTATAAACTTTGCATCACTCTACCTATAAAAATTACCAACACTTTAGACTACTACTATTTTAGGATTCAAACAATGGTTATGTTATAGTTATAATAGAGTTCAGCTTTATCATTTTAGAAATTCGTTCAATATTTTTATACAATTCAAAAATTAGATCAATAAGATTAAAAGTAAATGTATTAATTGTTATAATTAGAGTCACTCTAGTATAGTGTGATATACCAACTAATTATAATGAAATTCTACTAACTATTTGTGAAAATGTGGAATCTTTGTGGAATTATAGATTATTCAATTGGATTTGGTTACTTTCTATAATTGATCCTCACTAGAATTATTAAATCAACAAAGGAAATGCGAATATCATTATCCTAATAATAGATTAATTGAGATCTGATGATAGTAATATGCAGCAGTTCTATTAAGTATTTTTAATTTTGGTATCATACTTTGATATCGGATTCAAAAAAAGTGATGAAATGATTTAAGAATCTCAAAGTCAGAACTCTTAGTTAAAAAATGTACAATGAGGAAAATCATAACACAATATTAATACTTTATATCACTAACATACGATTCAATATTATTAATATTTATATCTAATGACATCTCAAGCAACACAAGAAACCCTTGTACCTGTCTTTGTATCTTAAGATGAATACAACTAAATTCTCTAGCAGCCTTCTTACTTGCACCAATAATTGTTATAAGAACTATATCAAAAGAAATAATAGTAAACTTAGTTACAAGCAAACTTGCAAATACATCCTTATTTGTAATTACAACAATAGACTCTTAATCAATCACAAAACTAGAATGTATCAATTAACATACCAAAAATACCTACTAGTCCTAACTAATATTCTTAGCCTTAGGGATATCCATATCAAAATTAATAACTTCAATAATAGTTATTATACTAGAATCAAAATTAAATTTAAAACTAGAATACTGTTCCTATAGTATAAAAATAGCACTTGAAACATGCCTCAATTCAAAAAGCTGGAACCTAAGAACGTAAATTTTTTTATGAATCGTTCACTTCTTTGTTTATGGTTGAAATATGTATTTCGCTATTTCTTAATACTATTTCTGCTTTATTCCGTATATAAGTGGTTACAAGTAACTATACTTGGGGTCCTGGATTATGGGCAATTTTAATATTATTCATACTATTGAATTTGTTCATCATAACTAATTCAACATATATGACTCAAGTAAATAATTAGTATATCAATTTAGGGTAACAATCAAATGACGTTATATTGGATACATGTAGTTCTATATGTTTGGCTTTTGTAAGGAATTTAAACAGCTGTTTCCGGCAGTGATAGAATCTTTTCTTGGGACACCAACTATTTCTACTACTTTTACCTTTTAATTTGTGTTGAATTCATTTCAGTCAGATACGCAATCAAATACAAGGGAGTTATGAAACCTATCAAAGAATATGTCAGCTACTTAATCTTCCCACCAATAATTGCTTACTCTGCAGAATTCTTCAGTCAGTATTATCGCTTTTTCTATGTCCCATTATTTTTATGGCTACTCATAGTTATCCTTATAGGATTTGGATGCATTTTACTTATAAAAAGACTCGTTTAAAAAGGATATGTACATATTTATTCTAATATTCTTAGAACAACTTCAAGACTAACCATGTTTTTGCTATGGCCATAAGTTTTCCTATTTTAATGATTAGTCCATTCTATGATGATGAATGATGAACAGATCAATATATATTTATTATTCTAATTAGTAACAATAAGATTAAACGATTTATCAAACTTAGTTCTTCCACTTTTTTGGTTTAAAGAAATCCCTAAATTAATAAATATTAGGCTTAAAGATTATAGATTAATAAGCATACTTGCAAATATACTTTAAATTATAAATTTACATTTTAACTGAAATATATTTATCTAAATCTACTAATTTATATAGACATTAATATTGTATTAAAATAAAAATGTTATGAGTCAAATATGTCAAATGAATAAAATGAATAAAATTCTACTTTTTAAATAGATAGTATCAACAATATTAACCCAACAACATGATCAAATAATAATAATTAAAATAAGACATATGATATTTTAATATTCATTATATTAATGTCACTACAGGCATGTACTACATTGTCTTAGCCCAGGCTCTGATATCATTAATGCCACCAAAAGTATAAGTTCCAGTGACTGCTCCAGTAAATGCATTATTAAACTCATTTTTTCCAATATACTCAATGTCGACAGTATTCTAATCTTTTATCGTGAAGTAATCAAAACTCACTTCACCCTGATTTCCTCCCAAAACTACAATCAGATCTCTTTTCTGAATTGAATCTAATTCAATATTAATAATAATCTACCAGCCACTTACTTCAATACAAAAATTTAAGCTCCTGCTCTTGGGACACTCAATTTAGTTTTCTATTTAATATTTTCAATTGACCCTTTTTCAACATCCATAATTGCAATTTTATCGGTGACTTTCTCACCATTCGAGCCTCCGAAAATTAGAATATGCTTTTATGAAACAGGCAAACAAGATGAACCCAAATGATTTGTTACATTCAAACCTTATCTATACTTGAAATCCTTCCATTTCCTTGTTGCTAAATCAAAACATTCCACCTTATTGCTATGGAGTACTTTCTAATAATTATTTAATAATTATCTATACAATCTCTTCTTTCTCAATTGTCAATCCACCATAAACGTAGACCTTATTATTCAAAACAAAGCCTGAAAATCCAGCTCTACCTTAAATCATAGATTCCACCACTTCCCATTACTACTCTCCATTCTAATTCACAGGTCCCTTCTCATCGTAAATTTCACATTAATTTAAGATACCCCAGTCATCTTAATTCACAAATTGACCTCCAACTACCATATACAAATATTGATTTGTGGTTCCTGGTTTTAATAGTTCAAAAACTTTGTGATTGTGTCTAGGGAAATTCATCTGAGGAATGACAGCCACTTTCTCTCCCTCGATTTCATTGCCATCCTCATCTTCCTTTGTTAATCCTTGTCTCCACAACTCATATTTGATTCTGTGTCCTTCCATATGATCATGAAGCTGAATTCTAAAGCAGAAGGCAGTGCTTTAACCTTAATCATTATCTTGATAAGCTCCACCAGTAACTAGGAATTCTGCTCCATTCTACTTCTTAAGGTAAGATGAAAAGTAAGGAACACAGGGTGGTTAATCCTTGCTTATGAAAGCCCATCCAGCTATACAACATGGAGAATATATATTACGTTAAGCATCGCCAGTAGCAAAATTAAATCCGATTGATGGATAAAATTGTTCTTCTTATTTTTCCTAATCCACAAAAGGTGGATGGATCACAGTGGTGAATGTAAACTGATTTTATTCCTGCTTCATTTTTATTTAATTTATATAAAATGCAAATATTACTAAAGATATCCAAAAGATAAATTATTGAAGTAATATCCACACAGAGCATTCACATTTTCATCATCCAAATATCATCATGATATCCTCCTGACAGATACGGACAATTGGCTAAGGGTTTTCATATCTTTTGTAATGCAATAAAAAATTTGGCAAATATTCACTCTTATAATATTATATATTAAATCTTACATTAATCCATAAAAAACAAAAATTATGTTAAATAATATTTTGTTGGAAAGCAGAAGAAATGAAGAAAATCAGACACAAAGAAATTCTGAGTCTTCTGTTCCAGACAATTCAACTATGCAGACCAATAATTTATAATAATCCTCTAATCTTAATTTAACTACATAAGAGGCTGGCTCTCGTAATACTTTTACTTAGTTAGATTAAATTTACTAGCCCTTGTTATAACCCAATTAATAGTTATCTGGTCTGAATGACTAACAAAAATAGAGATTTCTTATTTAAATTACAGGAATTTGGGTGTTTCAAGAAGCTATTCAAATTATTATGTCGGTCATAACTATTTTAGATTTTAACTACGATAATTTGTTTTATAATTTTGACAAGGAAAAATATCGAGCATCATTATATCTCTTTTTCTTTATATTTGCCATATAATTGTTGCTAATCAGATTCTATAAACCATTTAGATGTGTACATATTCAAAATTATTACTAAGAAACATAATGCATTTTTCATATTCTTGATTTTCACTATCTCTTATGCCTTATGGATTAGCGGTCTCATCACTGCAGAACATTCAGATATATGGAATATAGAAAGCTCTGTCCAGATCGGCTTTGCTATTTTCATCGGTATTATATGCAATTTTCTTACCTTGATCACTATTCAATATCACTTCTCTCTGACCAAATAATAGATATCATTTTTTAGTAAAATACCTTAATATTTATAGGGACCATCAAGTATGTTTTTATTCCTCCCTTTATTTATGCCTTTATATTTCAAATATTCAATCCTTTTGATTATACTGCTGTGCTCATTTTCTGGATGGCCACCGAATTATGGGCATTCACATTCGGAGGGTTATACTTATACAGTGTACTACAAATTATAAATGGTAAAGTAAAGAAAGATAAATTAATTTTAGTTTAATCTCAATCAAGATTAAACAATCTCTGCAGCACTTTTAGCATTTATCAACATGTTTTTTCCATTCGGACATATTTGATATCATATTATTAATCATATTTCTTTTAGAAATTAACAACTTATTATTTATTCAAAATAAAACAAGATTAATCGTTTTCAATTTAGACTTACATTTTGAATATTTAATAATTTATTTAGAGAAAAAGTGGAATCTACTCTTTATGCAATAATGCAGTAGGTAGACTCTGATACTAAAGAAAAACCCTAAAACAATAATTTTTATAACAATTTGAATTTACTTAGTTACTAATATAACATAATATGATTGATCTATTTCATAAAAATGGACAATTATTCAGGTATTGTAAACAATAAGGAATAGGTTTTACAAACTATAATTTTGAATAACCTTAGTTATGTTTAAAATGTCAAAAAGTAAGCAGAGTTAGCTAATAGTAATAAAAATGGTGTCAAAAAAACCACTCAAAAAACAGGTTTTTGTTAAGGATTTTAATGATTAAAATACAAAAAATAAACGTAATTGCATTTATTTAAAAATGAGATATTCTTTTCTTAGGAACTCAATAACCATTCTTTAGGGAATCTAAATCTGTGATACATAAGAAGAATTTATTTTTATTTATTTGATATGTGAATGAGTTAAGAAATATTTTTGCATTTTTAAAGTCTATTTAACTTTTAAAATTAATCATTATAAAACTTATAACATTATATAAATTTCTTTTTAAAATACTTCAATGTTCTGAAGATTATTGACTTTTCTATAGATTTACTTTTGAACTTTAATTTAATATATAGAATTGTTTAGAAAGCATAAATATGTATGTTTAAATCTAATATTTGCTTAAGTAGTAAATAATCATTTCAACTTGCTTCATAATTAAAGACACATTTATAAATAGTATTTATGCAATAAATAGATGAAATGCAGTAAATAGATGAATTGCAATAACTTAATTTTTTTATGAAAATATTTCAATGAAGAATTTAATCTTATATTATTAATTATTCTTTTAATGGTGCTAGAAGCTTAATTATTAATTAAGAATAGATCATCGAATATTGTCATTCCTCCTCCAAATATCAAAAGTATTAGAGTGTATCTATTATTAGAATATGCGGATAAGACTGCAGAATATGTGGCAAAAAATGGGGCAACATTTGAAGATCTTGTCATGCAAAAGGAATTAAGCAATCCGAATTTTTGTTTTTTGAGAAGAGATGATCCTTATAGACCGTATTATGAAAATAAAATCACTGAGTTTGCAAGAGGATTAGTGGGTAAGAGTTCATTTCTAATCATTATTATAGCACCGATATAGGAGGAAGAGGATTAGAAAACAAAGCCTGCACCCAAAAACGAATAGCCTAAGAAAGTAGTAAAGGCTCCTCCTAATGACCAATATACAGTGGAACAGCCGAGAAATTTATCTGCCTTGGATCTAGATATTATTAAGCATACAGCCATATTCATCGCTAAGAATGGTAAGAAGTTTTTGGTTGCCTTGACAGAAAGGGAAAAAATGAATCCATAGTATGATTTCTTAAAACCTACTCATGATTTATTTCAATTCTTTTCAAATTTAGTTGATGCCTATACAAAATGTTTACAACCAAAAAAGGAAGAAATCGATAGATTGTTGACATACGTTTAGGATCGATAAGTAATATATTAAAGATGTCAAGAAAAATATGAGTACGAGATTTATTTGAAAGAAGAAAAAGATAGAAAGTAATAACAAGATGAAGATGAGAAATGTATTATTCGTGTAATTATATGATAGAATAAATGGCAATGATTGATTGGAATGACTTTACTATTTGTGAGACTATCGATTTCGCAGAGGATGATAGAATAGATAAGGTTTATGAAAAGGGAATCCAAAGATTTGATAAAATGGACTTTAAAGGTGCTGATTAAGCATAATTTTGTAATATGGTTGTCTATTTTTAGAGTAATAGCAAAACCTGGTATAGACAGGACAAGTTGTATCTAGAATCATTAATAATCCATAACAACCAAAAGAAAAATAAATTATAACCTTAAATTCAACTTTACAAAAAGCAGGTCAATAAGGGGATAGCAGTGCCCCAATCATTTCAAATTATCAGAGACCAACCACATAAAATGAATTAGTCTTAATAAAATGTGAGATTTGTGGAAAGAATTTCCCCAAGAATTAAATCAATGAACATATCCAATTAGAACTATAAGATCCTCGTTATAGTGAAATAAAGAAGGAAATAAACGAGAGAAGCAAGACTACAACTTTGTAACCAGGCAATATGATTGCAGAACATCTGTCCTAATTAAAAAAGAAAAGACCAGACATTTTTGAGGAAGATCATAGAAAACCACCACCACCTCCTCCACCTTAATAGAGACCACAACCTCCAAGACCAGCTCCTCCTCCCCCACCACCTCCTCCAAAATGAATATTATTAATAATTTTACATAATAAAAATAATTGCTCCTTCATTTAGGTTGCTACTATTATATTAATTTAATATATAAAAAATTACTTCTGATTCTCTAACACATATTTTGTAACTAAAAATAATTATTTGTTATTATTTTGAAATTGAATCAAATAGATTGTGAATTCAAATATTCGTATGTTAAACTTCAAAATTAAGATTTTATCAATAATTGTTTGATGATTAATGTGGTTATTCAAAAGTTGCAAAATGTTATAGACTATTCATTCAATATAATATTAATCATATATTAAATTACAATATTATTATTTCTATATCATATGAATGTTCATATTTCAATGGGAATGAGTTTAATATTTATTGGACTAAATAGATATATTTTAAACATGGAGTGTATTAAATCAACAGAAAATCATAATCTTCCCTTATTATTTCTTTTTATTTACTTATTCTGTTATATTTTATATATCGAATGTCACTAATTTATTGATGATAGTCCTTGCATTAAAATAATATTAGTATTAATAGACAATGAATTGTTATCAATAATTATGTAAATTAACTAAAACTGATTAGAGGAAATTTTAATTGGGTGGTGATTTGAACATCTGAGAAGTAGAAAGGTAATCGTAAGTTGATTATAAGATAATAATAACATGCAAAATAATAATATCAAATATTAATATGGTAGTATTCTATAATGAGTATTTTTGGTTCCTAAGTTTTGAATTAGAAAGGCTTTTTAGTGGATTATCTTATTAAATTTGGATCAAAAGGTTTCTTTGGTGTTGATGGTCTGACCAACCTTGAATTCATATATATATCGTTAAAAAAATATTTAAAATAAAAATGGAAAGTGTGAATTTTGCAGGAGATAATCCCCAACCTCGTTTTGGTCACACCATTTGTGTCATAGCCCCTAATAAGATCGCATTATTCGGAGGTATACATTGAATAAAAATTTAAAGGTGCCGTTGGAGATACAGGAAGGTATGTAATCACAGGAGATGTGTATATTGGAGATATAATTTAAAAAAAATGGAAGCGAGTTGAAGCTAGTGGAAATGTACCTACGAATAGAGCAGCACATCAAGCGTTAGCTATTGAATTAAACTAAATGATTATATTTGGAGGAGCAGTAGGAGGCGGTGGATTAGCAGATGACAATTTATATGTATTTGAATTAAGAGACGATACCGGAACTTGGGTCACTGTGCCTGTGATTGGAACAACACCAGGAAGAAGGTACGGTCATACAATGGTGTTAATAAAGCCTTATTTGATAGTATTTGGTGGGAATACAGGCTAAGAACCTGTAAATGATGTTTGGAGTTTTAATTTAGAGAAATCTCCTTATTCGTGGTAAAAGTTAGAATGCTCGTCAGAATAACCTGTTGTGAGAGTATATCATTCTGCGGCTTTGTGTTCAACAGGGTCAGCTAATGGTATGATGGTTGCTTTTGGAGGTCGTACAAGTGATCAAAGTGCTTTAAATGATACTTGGGGTCTCAGAAGACATCGAGATGGTAGATGGGATTGGGTAAGAGCTCCCTATAGATCATAAACTGAGTAACCAGCTTAACGATATTAACACTCAACCTTATTTTTAGGAACATTAATGTTAGTTATTGGAGGTAGGTCAAATAATGTAGGAGAAACATTGCCTTTTGAAATCTATGATACTGAAACATCTGATTGGTATAAGTTTTAACCAATTCAGAGATTCAGACACTCCTCATGGTTGGTGGAATAATTTTTATATCTCCATGGAGGATTTGATTCCGATCAACCAAATATTCCTACTGAGGGAATTCTAAAAATCGATTTGAGTAAGAGATTTGCTTAAACACCTCAATTATTAAAGTAAATGAACACTATTAAGGCTGATTAATCATTTACATAATCATTTAATCCTAAGCCTTCTTAGCCTTTAGCATAAACTTAAGATTAATTTAAAAAGACTAATTAACCAGCATCAGCTCAACAAAAAAGTAATTATTCTATTAACCATAGTCTAAAACTAGTATCAGTAAGTTAGAGTATCAAGTGCAACTAATAAAAATATTAGATTGGCTAATCAGGCATTAGTGGCTATGACTTATGGTCCTGAAGAGGATATAACAAATTAGGTCAAGAAAGTACCAATAGATAAATTACAAGATGAACATAAAAAATTAGGACCAGCATTTTCAGATCCTAATTCTTAAAATAAATCCCAATTTCTAGATTAGTTATGTCAACCTTTCATGCAGAATCTATTGATACCTAAAGATTATGCATAGATCCCTCCAAATTCTAATTTATTAACAGGCATTAAGAAGGAAATGATAATTAAATTATGTGATGAAGTTTAGAGGATTCTAGAAAAAGAACCAAACTTACTAAGACTGAGGAGACCAATAAAAATATATGGAAATTTAAATGGTTAATATCTAGATTTAATGAGATTTTTTGATCACTTTAAAGCTCCATACGATAATCTATATAATGGGGATATAGATTCCTAAGATTATTTGTTTTTAGGGGATTATGTAGATAGAGGGTCTAGATCTTTGGAAATAATTCTGCTGTTGTTTACATTAAAAATTAAATATTCTGATCAAATTCATCTACTCAGAGGACATCATGAAGACCCCATAGTTAATAAAATGTTTGGGTTTGCTGATGAGTGTTTTATCAAATTTGCAGAAGATATTATGGATCCAAACAGCATTTACTAAAGAATTAACAGAGTTTTTTAATATATGCCATTAGCTGCAGTTATTGAAGACAAAATCTTTTGCGTTCATGGTGGAATAGGGTAAACAATGAGAACGATAGACGAGATTGAATTAATATAAAAACCTTTAGAAATAGTTCACGATCCCAAGACTGTAATTTTATATATTTATTTAAGTATCAATAAAAAGTAGCATTGGAACTATTATGGTCTGACCCATGCTTATAAGAAGAAGAACTAGAAAATCAACCTAATCCAGAGAGAGACATATTTTAAAATAAATAGATTTTAAGATTTGGGACAAATAGAATTAATAAATTTTTATAAGAGAATTCCTTAAATATGATTATAAGATCACATGAACCAACAATGGAAGGATTTGAAAGATTAAACAATAATGTAATTACTATCTTTTCCTGTCCAGATTATGGAGGTAATTAACCTCAATGCAAAGGATGTAAAATATTATTCATATCCTAAAAGCTATTTTGACAATTTCAAAAAGAGGAGAAATCATCCCAAAAGTGATATTGCCTGCTGCTCCAATTCAAGAGCAACGTTGGATGGACTTGGAAGAGCCCATTTAGAGAAAAAAGGGATTTGCTAAATACTTAGTTATAGACAACAATGAAGCTTTGATAAGAAAACGACCAACTACTCCTCCAAGATAGAAAAGACCTTCGTCTTAAAAATAATTCAAATGATTTAAATTAATAATTTTGCCACCTTCAATATTCCAAATATTATTTGAAATTCTAATGGGGTTCTTAAAATTCTTCGATATTCACAAAATACAAAAATAATTCTAAGTATGAGAAGGAAACAAGTTGAAGAAAATTGTTATATTAGGTTTGATTAATAATATTCAATTGTAAAAGAAATCTTTATATGATTTCAGCTATTCGTCCTCTTAAGCTAATGATAAAAATTTAACTTTAGTTGGCTTATTCTCTGGAATTAATTGTTATTTAATTTCCTTCATTTTTTCCTCTATCTTAAATATAAAATTATACATTTCCTTCTTTCAAAATCTTCTTCAAATTTTCTTAGAGAATCTTCAGATGCTTCATAAACAACTTTAGCTGAATGAGACTGACCCTTAAGTTGAATTAATTGTGCCTATTCTTACTAAATTGTTTCTTTCTCTATAGATTCAATCTATTTAATTTAATCTACTTCCCTTTTTTTTTGAACCTTTTAAGTATAAGTATCTTATGAAAAACTCTACATATAACCATCAAGCTTCTATGTAAACTTCTTTTCCTTTTATTTCACCTGAATAATTTCTTCTACTTTTGGAATATCATCTATTAATGGACTTTTATATCCAATTGCCTTTGACTCTTGTGGATTCTCCTAAATTTTGTTATCAGCCTTAACATCATTCAATTATTGTCCCTATGATGACTCCTTTTGGTTTTCAATTTAGGGAAATATAATTTCCAATTCCTTTTCTTTAACTGTATCCACTAATTTTAATGCTTTTTTTAATGATCTCACATGAGATTCTTTTTATTACAATTGCATATCAATTTCTTCATTATTCAATATTTAAGTGTTAAGAGTTTCCTTCGTATAATTTGTTTATTCAATCGGTTAGTTGTTACTTTGATTCTAAGTTGTTTCTTTTTATTTTTTTATAATCTACTTTTATTTCTATTCTTTTTAATTACTAGGAGCTTTTTTAATTAGTTCTTTAATTGTTTATTATTAAATCTAAGGTTTCTTTTTTAAAGCATCTTGAAGCAAAGTTAATTATAATTCAAAATCAACACTAGATTATTATTATTACTTATCTTTTGAGCTCCAAAAGTATTCATCATCCTCTTCACTATTATCATCATAATCAGAACTCTCTTCCTCAATTATATCATCTTTTATTTCTTATTCTAACTCTTAGATTTCATCTTCATCTTAAGATTCTGACACTTCTTATGCATCTAATTAATTCAAATTATGATCATTTATTTATTCTGCTTCTGGAACTTCAATAAATTATTCGCTACTCTATGATGGTACTTGCACTTGCGTCTCTTTATCAAGAAATGTTTTCTTTAATTAATTACAAATTTTACCAAATCAGTTAACGTTTCCCTATTTTTCTCTTTTGTTTGTTCACTACTTTATTAAACCTCAATAAATAATATTTTTAAAATACTTGCTATGAATGACAATGATCTTGTCTATCCTTGACTGCTTACTCTTCCACTAAATTTTGGAGTATCTGCCTCATCATCAAATTTAAGATTGCTTCCAACAATCAAACACATCCCTATGGCTGTTTATTATACATCATTTGTATTAATTTATAACTTTGCTAGATTGTTACTCTAATCTATAGAAATATTAACAAATCCATTATGATGATAACCAACAAGAAAAGCCATGGCTTCTACATTTGACTAGAATTAAGGGTATCTGAATATAGCTTGCTGGGTAGCTCTGTAATTTGAACAGTTGATATAAACATCTTCGTCTGTAGTTGCTAAATATCTGTAAGTTGCATTCAAAGTGACAGCACTAAAAAATTGGATGATGAAATCATGCTGGGTTATATTTTTCACTTTTGCAAATAGAGCTGTTGTAGAAGTATGTTCTACCAAGGCCAAAGCCACCTAAGGAGGTTTTGCGAATGGAGTATCAAATCGGACTAGCTAGGATTTAATAGGAAAATACTTGATTATAAATTTACGATCCTTTGGCTTCCTCAAATTAAATAACTCCTATTTCTAACTCTCTTGTTACATTTGCATTTTAAGAAAGGCAAACGAAAATAAGTGTTATTATGATAATTGTTTTCATATAATTAAAATAAAAACGAATTTCTTAAATATAATATATTTTATTATTTCTCTATTGCTCAAAAGGTCTTTTTGACTGAACTCATTATTTTTCATGTAATTTAAAAAATGCTACCTAGATATTCAACCCATATAACACAATTCTGGGCTGTCTATCATCTCCATTTTTAAGTAAAAATTAATAAAATGGTTGATTATATGATTCTTAAATTTAATGAAATTAAATAAGACCAAAATTGATACATCTTATTTAATTTCATTTCTGCTATTGCAAATATACAATATGCTGATCAAAGTTGTATTGTTATAAATCTTACCATAGATTTAAAATTATTAATGTATAAGTTAATGAATGATTTATTATCACTCATACAAAAACCTTATTGTCAAATTCATCGTAATTAAGTAGTGTAAATTACCTGCTTAAGATGAAAATATCATAAAGATAGGTGTTAATATCAAATCATTTTTGACCTACCATTTCTTTCATAATTAACATTAAGTGTAGCTAAAAATAAGTTATTCTAAGATAAACATAATTAATCTAATATTCTCAATTCGATTGAGTAAGTAAATTACTTATTTAACATTAAATATTTTTAATCAATTTGATGGATTTCTATTGATATTTACAATTGTAATTTATTGTTATAAAAACTAAGTAATTTGACACATTAACACTATATGCCCTTTCTTTAATGTTTTAAGTATGTATAAAATTAATTGGAATTTAACTTTTTTACCATTTAATAGATATTTATTTAAAATTAGCAAGAAGATATGAGAATTGGAGATTTCAGATTTTATTTCAAGTTATTATAAGAATGTGAAAATGGAATTATATTGAATTGATCAAACAAATTTAAGGAATGATCATATTGATGAAATTAAAATTGAATCAGAAATTGATAATTACGTAAGTACTATCTTTCTCATTAAATAGTCAAAGCATACATATATTATGCAATAGATAATCTATTAAATATTAATGTAATATTTTTTCTATCAACAATAATCTTATTGATTTAATATATTCCAAATCATCATCCTTAATTTATTTAAAAATGGCTAGAATTATTCTATTTTGGATTTCTGATAGGGTTCCATAAAAATATGTAAGCACCTCCAAAAGAATTGCTATGATATATTTTAAAATAACAAATTTATTAATAAATTAAAAATAAATGGGAGCTTAATGTTGCACTTTACCAACAAAATTAACTACTCATGAAATAGACCTCGATAGTCAAAAGTTAAGAGGGAGTTCGCACACTCAAACGAAAAGGTGTGTTATAAATAAAGATTAAAAAAGTGATGAGGAAATAATTATTAATCAAAAAGAGAATTATGAGGATTTTTAAATTCTTGGTTCTGCGTCTTTAGATTTAAGACAGAATTATGATTAAAATGGTTGTTCGAATAAATTGTTTCATAAAGAAGGAAGTTAAATTGAATCAAGTATTTTAGATTTTATCGAAATAGCAATCCCAAGAAGTAAGTTTCAAAGGAAAATAACAAATTCTTCAGTTGGTTCTGTAAAATTGGGAGCAGAAGTGTTCATCAATCTCAAGGCAGGTAGCATTCATAAATATTATGAAACTGGAGAAATCTTAGGGTAAGGAGCATATGGAAAGGTTTGGAAAGTGACGCATAAAAACACTGGTAATAGTAGAATTGATTGATTTCAGGCATGATAAGAGCGATGAAGGAATTGAAAAAGAAATCAATAATAGTGGAAGAGCAACAAAGACTATTTGCAGAAATGAATATACTAAAGAATTTGGATCATCCCCATATAGTTAAACTATATGAATTATATTAAGATTAGAATAACTATTATCTAATAACTGAATATTTATAAGGAGGCGAATTGTTTGATAGAATAAAAGAATTCAATTATTTTAGTGAAAGAAAGGCAGCTGAATTGATGAGGCAAATCTTATCGGCAGTTGTCTATTGTCATCAGAGGAGCATTGTTCACAGAGATCTTAAACCAGAAAATGTGTTATTTGTAAATGATACTTAATTATCTCCCATCAAAATTATAGATTTTGGAACTTCGAGGAAATACGAACAAAATCAAAAAATGACCAAAAAATTAGGGACAGTAATATATATTACTAAATATTAGGCTTATTATATAGCTCCTGAAGTATTAAAACAAGAATATAATGAAAAATGTGATGTTTGGTCTTGTGGAGTTATCTTATACATACTTTTATGCGGATATCCTCCATTTACAGGTAAAAATGAGGATGAAATAATGCAGAAAGTATGTGAAGGAGAACTAATTTTTGAGTGTAATGTTTGATTTTCGACTTTAGATTAGAAGAGGATTGGGAAATGATATCCCAGGAGGTTAAGGATCTATTAAAAAATATGTTATAAGTTGACCCAAATAAAAGATTTTCAGCATTGGAAGCATTATCAGATCCATGGATTAAAAAGAATTAATAAAGTACTAAAGTGAATAAATCAGCATTGCAAAATTTGTAAAAGTTCTAAGTATTTTTCTTAATATATTTAGGCATAATCAGTTTTTACTTAAGCTGTTCTTTCATATATAGCTTGTCAAATGACATCTTAATAAGAATAGGACGAATTAGCCAAATCTTTCTAATTCTTAGATAAAAATGGTGATGGAATTTTATCAAGAGAAGAACTAATAGAAGGTTATATTTCTGTTTGTAAAAATAAACAGTAAGCTATTTAAGAAGTTGATAAAATTTTATCTATTGTTGATATAAATCAGAGCGGATAAGTAGATTTTTCTGGTAAATTTTATCTTCTTATTATTATCAGAATTTTTGATGGCAGCTATGAATTAAGAAAAACTGGTTTCTGTAGATAAGGTTAGAGCTGCCTTCAAAATTTTTGATGCAAATGAGGATGGGAAAATATCAAAAAAGGAACTTGAATTAATGATTGGAACAATAGAGGATGATATCTGGTAATAAATTCTTATAGAATGCGGAGCTCAAGGAGAAATTACAGAAAAATAATTTATAAACATTCTTTTGTATTAAAAACACTGAATTTATTACTATAATTAATTGTTCCTAACGTGACAATAGAAATTCATCCTTAAAATAATCAAAATATTAAGCATGCTGAACAAAATTCCCTGTCTTCAGTTTGATTCCTATGCTTTAGATCTTCTCCTTAAATATAAACAATATCATCAAATGGTTCTATGATTTATTGTATGGAGTTGTTTTTCAATTGCATTTATTCTCTATATTAATCTTCTACTTTCTTTTGTCTATCTAATAATCCTTCCATCAGTTAGATTCGTTATTCGCAAGGCATTTGTAACTAAAATCTTAATTATAGGCATGAATTACCTTAATTCGATAGGATTCGGACCCTCATAGAGAGCATCTTGAGATTCATCTCTATAGTCTAAGGTCAAGATGCAAGGTTTGATTTATTCCTTTGCGTAAGTCTTTAAATCAAATGATACAAGAACTTCATCTAATCCCATGTCTATTTTGCTCAGAATTTCAAATTTCTCTCCTCCATCTATCTTTTTGCCCAAAATAGTAAAATGTAAAGTAGTACTATTCGGTAATATTGGAAAGAAACATGTCAAATCATCGCCATAAGAATAAATAGATTTTTATTCTTAATCGTTCATAGCCACTTTGTACTTGATTTTATAGTATCTAAATATCTCAGTTTTCAGACTTTTATGCCTTGTGTAACTTATTGAAAGTCTATTTGGTTAATCGAACTTGATTTATTAATATTCTTTTAGAAGTTGAATTTACTATTATAAGGTTTGAATAGAGTCTGTAATGATTCGTAAATTGAGTTTAAAATCCATTATGATCAAATGGAAGAACATGATAGCCTGTAAGCACTCATTTACAAAATCGTGAAATGTTATTTCTTCATATAATCGATGTTCTCTAATATCTTGTTTTGATGGTTTTACTCCTTTCATAACTAAATACTTATTGGAGAGAACTTGCCTTTAAGGTCTAATATCAGAAAATGTACCATAAAAAACTATCTTCTGGGATTTTGTTAACGAAGTCTTGGTTCATATATTCATTTAATGGAAATCCAACTGATTATTCCAATAATGTTAATTTATTATTCATCTTCTCTTCTTCTTATTTGATAATCGATTTTCTTAGCTCTTCCATTAAATAATACTGTAGAACAGAAAACGATATAATTATAAATAATATATCAAAATATTAAAAATCAACACAAACTATCAAATACAACTTTATCAGGGTCAACTTGCTTTGCCAATGGATTTAATTCATAAATGGTATTTGCAAGTTATTTTGATTAAAATGTCCTTATTCCTTTCAATCCAATATAGGATATTCGGATGGGATCGTTGACTGTGGATTTAATGTACAATATAAGATTATTAACATTTTCAAATTTCGACACTTTGACTGCATTTCCAAATTAGCCATCTAAGTTTGGACTTAATACAAATTGCTATTTAAAAAGCAGATTATACTTCCACACAAGGTGTTTCTATGAGTCCAAAATCCACATTTGAAATGTTGATATAGGCCTTCATTAGGTTGGGTGCTGACTCTTCGTTTAAACTCACCACATTAATCTATCTGATTCTCACAGTCTCGTTGAAAGGAATGATAACAATAATTTCTGAATCTAAATCAGATTACACAAAATGATTCTAAATATGATATTCAAAATTGCCTTTTTTGTTTTATCTACTTCTGGTCTAATGATCAATTTGATATTTTGTGCAGTCTCATTCAAACAATCAACTTTATCAATTTCTATTTGACCATACAAATCATCTGCATCTTCATTAAACATATATTCCGCACATCCACAATTTGGACCATGTTAATGCTGCTGCATTAATTATATTATAAATTTAATATATAAATTGTTATTTATTATATTGCATGAAATTATATTAGAATTATTTCAAAATCCAGCTAACGCATATCATTTTGCATAACATTCAAAAGGATATTTAAGCATAAGTTATTTGATTAAAGAATAATACAACAATGGAACCGTGATATGAGTTTTAAATTTAAAATTAAAGCATTTTAATTAAATAAATAAAAGTGAAACTGTTATTTATAAAATGTATAAAAATTTATAATTTTTTTTGTTATGTTATATATGATCTTCTCCTCTTTAAGCTAGTTCGAATTTAAAAAAGGTGTTAGAGGATGATCTGAAATTGAAAGGAAAATTGATTTTACAAAAATGAATGATAATTGTGAATTAATATATCTCAATTGAAAATTAAGCTTAATCCAACAATTATTGCTCCGATTTGAACACCATAGCTTTCACCGTTTAAATAGTCCTATAAATATTAAAATTATGGATTGGTTGTAAATTATGTGCATGCAGTACATTTGCTATTATCCAATGACCATTTATAATTTAACATTGTTACAACCATACATGAAAGCATATCCAATTTTTCGACATCTGCAGCTGTAGATTCTTGACAAGCTGTACCACTCCAAGTGCATGGAGTAACTTTCAATCCTGGTAAATCTAATTACACAATACAATCGTCCTAAGTAGTAAAATCTGCACAACTTTTTGCTTAACATGTTTTTGAACTGTCCACATATGTACACATAGTTTCACAAAAGTCCTTTGTGCTTGAATAGTCACCACAATTTTGAGAGAAAATATCATATTATGTGCAAACAGAATCGTTGTTCATATGGCACATATTACCATTTCCATCTGTCTAATCACAAGTAGCTTTGGTTGTAAATGATGAACAATCAAGACTTTTAGGTTCGCCACAAGTTTCAGATGAATCTGTCATAGCACAATTGAATGGACTGCATGCATCACCAGTAGCAGATGCGCAAGAGAAATCTTAGCATTTGTCATTTACCCACATGCAATCAAATCCAAACATCTTTTCTTCACAGTCATCCTTTGATACTTCAGAACAAGCGTATGTGTGAGTTTCACATTTACTTGATGAAGTATTCCATTAACATTGATATGCTGACTTTGCTCCTGTGCATGTATCAGCTGATTTTAAGTATGTGCAATCCATGTCAATACAGGCAGATCCACTCCAAGCGCAATAAGGATAAAGATCGCATAAAGTTTATCCATATTCACTGCAAGCACATCTTTAGGTTAAACTAAACGAGACACAATTGCTCAAAGCTATTAAGCCAACTATTATAAAGATTCTCATTTTTTATTTAAATATTGTTAATGGAAATCAAATTTCATTAGCTTATAAAGCACAAAATCGTATCTTATTTATTAATGATTTATGATAACGATTTTTTAAAATAAATTCTCACATTGCTTCCATTTTTTCGAGCCTAGTTCATAAAATATATGCGTTTCTAATTTCTGGTAGTTAGATATTCGTCTTTTATGTGTTTGTTAATATAAAAGTGCCCTTGATATTAAATTTCTCAATTTGTGCTTCTCTCATATTTGTTTTCAATTCAATTTAGAATAGAATCCCTTAAATGTACATTTGCTTTGGATTTCTATTAGATTAGATGGGAATAGTTAAAAAGAAGCATAAAGCATTTTTAAACTTAACAACATAACATTATTCAAATTCATTTTCAAATAATATCGCACATCAATTGCCATGATATTTCTTATTTATTAGAATACTAATCGATTTCAACCAAAAAATAAGAACTTTTTTTATATATAACTTCTTCAATAATAATCATAAGTTTGAATAAAATATTTTTATTTAAATTAAAAAATAAGTTTATTTATATTTTTTATTACTGTATTTTAATTAAAACTGATATACTGTGACTAAAACTAACCTAAAATCAGTAGATAACCCTTATTGTTTAAAGATTAAGTAAGAATAATTAGGATTAAAAACATGTACCTAAAATTAATTGATCTATCATTTACATTAATAGCATACTATTTATAGAAATGGCTTCATTCAATTGCTAAATAGGAAATATCCTTTTGGTCTTTTTTTAAAATTGTAAACTGAATATTTTTATACTCATTTGCCCTCCAATTTATTCAGCTAATTAATATTAATATGAGACTCTCTCCTTTAATTTTGATTATTATGCAAAGTCATTATTAATTAGAGTTGTTTCTATAATTAAAATTTAATTATTAAGGTGTTTGTGGTTGATTGATATACTTTTAGTAATTCAATAGTTTCGAATACAAGTATTTAATTAAATTAAAATAAATATAAAAATTAAGAAGAAGTAACATTAATTAAATAAATTTATTTAAGAACATAAGAACAGATATTCTTCTTATTTACTCGCTTAGATTAGATGATGGCTTTTGATACTCTTTTGAAAATTAATTAAATATTATATTCCTAATATTATTTTAATGTGCACTTTATTTCATGGTTAAAATTACTCATAAGTTCTACTTCCTCTAGTTTATCCCATAGAAGATGTCGTTGTAGTTCCACCTGTCCTAGTTACTACCTTTGATGTTGATACAACAACTTCCTATTGAGTTAATATTAAAATATTTACCTTCTTTTATCCTTTCCTAAGAGCCTCTAATTCAGCTTGACACATAGTTAATTGTTCTTAGCATTCATTATAATCATGATTGACTTTGATGAATTTCTATTTCCAAACTTCTACTTCGGAGGATAAATATGTCACTTTTTCTTGGATAACAGTTTGGCCTTAGGATTCCAATTATTCATATCTAAGTCTCCAATCCTCAAGGTCTCCATCTTTGATTTTAATAGAATAAGCAAGTCTTTCTATTTCTGAGGATAACATAGCGATTTTAGTCTTTATTGATAGAGTATGTAAATACTTCATAATCTCGTAATTTGAGAAGCAATTCATTGTTTTCTTTTCTCAATCTACCATTTTCCTCCTACAATCTTCTGATTTAACCTTCTAAGTCTTAAATTTAGCTTTCAAACTTAAGTCTTAGATTGAAAAACTCTCTTTCTTTAGCAGCTAAGTCATCTGCTTAAGAACCTCTTAATTAAATTTCCCCTCTCATGGATTATAATTGCATTTGAAGTGAATCATTTTCTGACCTTAATTGTCTTAATTGAGCCTCTAAGAAATCTACTTTGGAGTTATCCACTACAATCTTTTCTTTTTCAACCACTTGGACTTCCTTTCTTTTTTCCAATTCAGCAATTAAAGATTAGAGGTATTCACACTCCAGTCTCCAAGGAGCTTCAATTTCCTCCTTTGAAACTACAATAACATTCATGCAAAGTGCTTAAGAAGCAACACAATTCTATTGGACAGAATAATTGCCTTAATATCCAACTTAAGGAATTGCAGCCATATTTGAAATATAACTTTATCCTCCCACAAATCCTTGTGTTTAAGTTCTTAAAAATTGTTAAGATTACATTCTGGGGATTTTGGTTGCACTTCTTTATTCCACTTCCACAGTGGTCGTCTTAATTTAACAGATAATCTTACCTAAACCTTAGGAGTTTCTCTAGTGATTACTTATTCCACTCTATCCTGAGTGATGCTTCTGACATTATCCTTGGCGCCTGATGTATATTGTCTTTGGGAAGATTATGTTACATATTATCTAGTTTGGAAATCACTCATTCGAATGCAAATAAATTTTATTTATGAGGCAATCAAATTTGTATTTTAGGTTTATAGTACTTAAATGATATAAATTGTAGATTTATTGGATGATAAAATGCCACCCCCAAACCAGTAAACCTATAAGACATACACAGATAAAATGATTAAAAATAATATAAATAAATATAAATATATAAAGTATGTCCTTGGCTTTGGCAGGAGTGGTGCCTCCATTATATGAACGAAATTAGGAGGCTACGATTTATATTGGTAACTTAGATCAGAAGGTCACAGATGACATAGTGTGGGAACTGTTTATTCAATGTGGACCTGTAGTTAATGTTCATATTCCAAAAGATAAAATTTCTGGAGAACATTAAGGTTATGGTTTTGTGGAATTTAAGAGTGAAGAGGATGCCGATTATGCAATTAAAATTATGCACATGATAAAATTGTATGGAAAACCCATTAAGGTCAATAAAGCATCACAAGATAAAAGGACCTAAGAAGTTGGTGCCAATCTGTTTATTGGAAATCTAGACACTGAAATAGATGAGAAAACACTCTATGAAACATTCTCTGCTTTTGGCCATATCCTATCCACCAAGGTATCCAATTCTCAATTATGTAGATTATGAGGAATCCTGAAACTGGAGTATCCAAAGGCTATGGCTTTGTGAGTTATGATAATTTTGAATCTAGTGATGGAGCATTAACAGCCATGAATGGACAATTTCTGGGAACCAAAATCATTCGTGTTGAATATGCATTCAAAAAGGATGCTAAGGGAGAGAGACATGGAAGTTAAGCGGAGAGATTGTTGGCTGCTAATAGACCTTTGGCACAAAAAGCACTTCTAGGGTTCGTTGGATATATGCCAACAGAATTGAGGATTCCTTTGCCTCCTCCACCTTCCATTCAAATCCAACCTTTGCAAGAAGGGTACAAACCATTCCCTTAACAACTACCTGTTCCTCCCCCACCTCCTCCTGGAATGCCAAAATGATTTACAGCATACATAATATATTTAGTTATTCAATTATTTTTTCAATTATTTATTTTTTGCTTTTCAATGACTTAGGCATATTGCTTTGTTCTTTATTAGGAGTCTACAAGGTAGAAATGCAATTCTTCTATGTTTTATTCATATTCAGTTAATGTTCTTGTATTCAGAATTTCAAATTTCGGTTTAGGAACTGTGGTCATTTCTGTTGACAAGGATTGCTTTGTTTATTATCCATTTTACTCCATTTATTGTAATAAGTCACCTAAGAAATTTATTCTATTTATTCTATCCTCCTTGCTTTTGCTAATATCTAATACAATTCCTTACTTTCCACTTACAACTGCATTTTATCTCTTTTATTAAGAAGTTGATTGTGCACTCGATGTTATTTCAGCCGCATGATAATTCTTCAATCGAAACGAAGGACTTCTCTTGATCTAAGTTGACAGAAACAATTATTAGTAATTCTAGACACACTCATTTAAATAATACCTGTGCAATTGGCCCAGCCTGTTGTTAAAACTATCATTCAAAACAAATCTCATCATACTTCTAATTGCTGCAATTCGCCTTAACTAGGTGTTCTGTTAGGACTTTGTTATGTGGAACATCTCTATTGACTAGAAGAATTCAATCTCATTCCTTGAGAACTCTTCGCTCTATTAGGGTCAATCACTCTTTGTCTTCTTCTCGAATTATTCAAATATGGTGTATATCGGATAGGGTAGATGTTCATTATTATTTAATTAAAATATTATATATGCACTTTATTCAAGCTTTTTTAATCTAACATGATTTCATAATCCAATTCTTCTCACTAGTACTGCTTAATTTATTATCCAACAGATGAGCACTTAACCAATCCAAATTCAGTTAATCTATTCAAATTGGCTTCTTCTCTTAACAATTTAAAAAAAGTTATCGCTAACTCAATCTTTAGATCGTTAATAGACAATCTTCACATTTTCACTTTCTTAAATTATTATATAAATTATTTTCATTTAATTATTATTAATCCCTATAAAAAATATGGTGAAACAGCAACCTCCAATAAAATTATATGTGTCTGTTACTTTATCAATAGAACAACATTTTTACTCTTCCATTTATTTAATAAATTTCATTCCTAACTTTATTAATTACATGTAATCTGTTTTCTCTAATTAATTTTTTAATTATTGGAATTAACATTAGATTAAAAATTTTAGATTAGAACACAATATCAAATAGATATTTTACTCATGCTTGATTCCTTTCAAGCTTTTTCTCTCCAAAATCAAACATAAAACCAGTTTGATAATGTATTACTTTACGTTTTAGGAAGAATTTCTTACTTAAATCTGATTATTAATAATTCAATCATTTCAAGCCCATATAGAAACAACAGTAGGTTAATTATCAATTATAGCGTATTCAATGGGTAAATATTACAATCATAAGGAAATAATTAAATCTCATAATTTATAACTTTTGAAGGCAAACATTTTTTAGGAATTACTATTTATATTATTTTCAGTGGAAATATCAATGTTACTCTTAGGCTTTTAAGATAGTTTTATTTGTAAAAGTAAATACCTCTTCTGATTCATTATTCAACCGTTAGATAAGGTTTTTGTTATGACAAGATCTATTGGGACTAATATAGTTAGAAAGGATGAAAAAATTTGATCATTTCCAATAAACAATTATCATTTCTAAATTATGGCAAAAGAAGTTATTAATATAAAATACAGAGTTAATATAACAATAAATTTTTGTGTTTTAGATTGACTCGAAAAGTTCCTTTAATAGAAATTTTGAAATCAACAAATTCCAAAAAACATCAAAAAAAACAATCTCAATCATTGTTATTCAAAATAAAAGCATGTTAGTGTTTATTATATCAGGCTTAGTTTATTGAAAATGATCCAACGCTGCTAAACAAGTAGGTATATATCTATTAAATAATTGTGATAGATTTTGAATAGATTTAAATAAAATAATTCGTTTATTGAGTTAAAACTAGTATAAAATTTATATAACAAATTATATAAATTTTAATATTATTCAATAATTAAATATGGATCTATTTTTTTAAATTTTATATTGGCAAAATCAACTTTAATATAGTGGTAGAAAGTCTAGATGTGAGATAGGCCAAATCGACTTCCCCACTTGATTTACAGTTAAACAATGCACTTTTGATTCAGTTTTAGAAGAAATTGTACATCATGAAAAAAGCCCTAATGTCAATTTTAAATATTTCTATGTATCATGATATCAGAAATTAAATTCCATATTATTTCAACATAGCCATTTTATAATATATTGTGTATAAAAATTGACTCAATGTCTATTTAAAAGTTGAGAGAGTCAAGGAAATTGACAAAAGCAATCTTGAATTGATACTAATTAGAAGTAAATCTAAAAAATATACAAATTCCAAGTGTTCAATAGGGATCATTAGATTGATCAATTAATTGTTTATTTATTTGCATTAGTTCACATAATAATAAGATTTGTTTTTTTATATATCGAAATGAGACTATATGGTATTAAATAAGAGGAACAAACAAACCAAGCACCGGTCAACATTCCAAGACCACTTCCTTTCTGTACTAATTATAAGTATCTTCTATTAGTTTAGACAAACGAAAATTTGATTTCAATTTAAAAACAGTGGTCTGTTATCCAAAAATTTGCAAGTGCCCTAAGCAAGTTATAATAAGCTTAAAACAAAATACATAATTAACCAAAATACCCTTTTGTGTTACCACTCTCTATGAATGAATTCATGGTAAAAAAGTCGATTTATCTAAGGTTCATTTGGGGTCCAACAAAGTAGAAATAAGAATGTAGAATGAGATACCCCCGTTCTATCCCCCTTTTTAGCCTGTTCAATACTGTTGTCCTCCTCAGGTCAGCTCACCTACTCCAACAATCAGACTTCCGATACACAAGAAGCGGGAAGTGAATGTCTTACAAGACTAGAAGGATACAAAGAACATTCCGAAGAATTATTGCAAGAGCATCATAACTTTTGCTTGTAAGAATCAAAATCTTTGTCTTCAAATTCTCAAAGACTAGTTGAAAGTGATAAAATTCTTGGAAAAGATTACTGTCTACAAAAAATAACTGTTAAACATAAGGATTTTCAGCAGCCTTTTACAACATTCTGATGACCCTGAAGAGGAGGAGTTTAGAAAGGCTTTCAGAATAATAAGGTAAATTCAATAGTATATAAAATAGTCGGATATTTATCAAGAAGTATGCTATAAACTATATTTTTAACTCCAAGATTGTGTAGCATAACTGGCACATGAGATATAGATCATAGATATATAAAGGAATAAAAAGCCCAAATAATTTTTCACACATTAAAAACTTATGAAAAAAATTTGATTGAATCCATTTGATTATAAAATATTATTATTGAATAACTATTGCATCAATTAAATGCAAATATTTCTATTTTTACATTCATTTCCAAATCGACTTAATAGAACAATAAGCGCCCTATTTCAAGTGTTTAGAGACCAAAACATTGATGAAAAGTCATATTCGATTTAAATAAGGTCTAGACAAACAATAAGATTTGAAAAAATCTTACAGGAAATGTAGAAGAATATAATGCAGAGGGATAGATTAAATATAATATAAATATATTCTAAAATCATAATTAAAATTTCAATAAAATAAATAATCAATTTTAATAATTAATAATCATATATTAATCAAATAAATTAATACGATGTCCTGGAATTAAAATAATATTCAAAGCTCTTTAAAGAATAAACTTGAATTTCTGTCAAATCAGTAAAAGTCTATGAAATAAAGAATATTAATAGAATTTAATCTAAACAATAAAAAACACTACTCATAAAGAATCATATCGTTGCAACACTTCTTCACATTCTCTCAACTCATTTACAAATGTTTGATTCTTTTTGACTAGATTTGAATACAATTTCATGATTTCCTATCTTTATTCGAATGTATAAAATTTCTATTATAAATAATTGTAATCATCATCAAATAATGTAAGTCTTAATTAAACTTATTCAACCTCAAGAGCAACCTCCAATGACTTTGTAATGCAATCAGTATGACGCTACTTACAATTACGTATCTCTTCATAAGTCTAATAAGAATGAGTCTAAATATGGGTTAAGGATGAAATTGAATTATTAATTAGACGAATATGACAAAGAAGGATCCCAGGTTTATCATTTGACCATACAATTAAACTATGTGCATACGAAAATGAGGAATATCTGTTTCTGTACTACAAACAATATATGACACTTAGGGTTTATGTTTTGGAAGTAGAGTCTAAAAATTCATCTTTTTCCATTTAAACTATTTCTTAGAATTATCCTTCAATCTAGGAAACCCAATATTGCTTAAAGTGGATGACCTTAAGATATATAGGTAACCATCTAAAATCTCCATTTAATAAATACTTTTTAGTTGGTAATAAATATCCTATGGATGGGAATCAAAAATAGGTATGTTCTGATTAAGAGCATTCAAAAGCAGATCTTAGTATTCATATCCTAATTATGATAATGAGTGTTACCATTCAACCAACGATAATGATGAGGAGGTAAAACAATCTAAGTGCTATCCATATTTAATTAAGAAACAAAGAATTCATGAAAATGGTTTTCTGTGTTAAATTATCAATTTTTTAAAAATAATTCATTTAAATATTTGATTGTCTCTTAGGGATTATTGACTTATTATCCAATGGTTCGTTCATGAATGTAGATTTCATGATCATTTCCACCTTCAAATGTTTTGTCTCCAAAAAAGTACACTTTCTCAAACTCATCTAAGAATTTCAGACAATAAGTCTTATCCCATCCTTTTGGGAATACATCAAAACTAATCTGTCCACCGATTGAATATTTAAAATTTAATTCCTTAAATTCATTCTCTAATTTCTCTATCAATTACTTTCTAACCTAATGTTGATGATCATATTATTCAAAATCATCACGCTCTTATTATGAGCAATTTCGTCCTATTGGTGAAATATTAATCATTCCATTTCTATACTCTATGAATGTACCTCTTTTTAATGGTAATTGGATTTGTGATAATTGTAACAAAGTAAAATTGATGAATTTCTACAATTGATCTTCACCAACAAATTTATTTAATGACTGTGTATGGAAATGCTCTCCATTTTTAAATGAATAAAGACCATTCTCAGTAAATACAAAATCAACCATCTCAAATACTAATCAAATTTATCTTATATTATTACCATCTTATCCTACCTGATCTTTAATCTTGTGATAATCAGATCCTCCAACTATACCAACATAATGTAATTTACAAAGTGACTTCAGAGTATCAACCATACTCTGTTCAATCTTGTTTCTTGATTTGGTTAGAGTCCCATCCACATCAAATAAAATTATCAATTATTTACTTCTAGCCATCATATAGAATAATATTATTTTATTTAAGTATTTTTGTAATAAATGAACAATTTTCTTATGTACGTGGTCTTTTGACAGAGAAGATTTGTATTATCTATAACTTAGATAATATAATATAGTATTTTATTCATTTCATGAAAAACCTATATATATAAGATATAAATTAATTTTTGCAAATTCATTAATAGAAATTTGTTTCTAAATGAAAGGTTTAAATTATAAAAGCACATAAACCTATAGTTACGAAAAATCGAATGAAGAAATGAAAAGAATATTAGAATATGATGGACTAAAGAATTGGTAATTAAATGATGATTGCAAGATTGTTGAATATACAATTGATCATTCAATGTAAATGACATTAAGTTTATTACTTTATTTACAAGTAATCTAATTTATATTTTTTAGGAAATTAAATTCATACGATTAACTATTGCTTAAAATATTCAATTGTGTTTAGATATTTTGAATAAATATTAAGAACTTTAAAAATAAAATGTTTAACATAATTATTTAAGTTCTGATAGAATTTTAATAAATCTAACAGACAAATAGCATTAAATTACTATATTCCCAGGAAATTTAATTTATACAATACATTTTCTTGGATATGATTGTCCTTTTTATGAAAGAGACAAATATAAAGAGAGTAAAAAAATAGATGATTAATCTATTAAGGAAATCATAATTAACATTATTTAATTTAGTAAAAAAAAAGAGTTGATATCAAAAGAAAAGGGAAAGTAATTAATAACAGATGAGAAAAAGAGAGATGAAAAATAAAAAAAATTCAATTAAAAATACCCAGATCTTATTACTATTTTCAAAGGTTTATTGGATGAAGGAATATTTAAATCATTCGACATGTTTATTGAAGCATCCAAGATTATCTTTGAAAAATATAATAATTAAAATAATAAGTATGAAAGATTGGCTGGTGTGGACACAAGTTTAACAAAGACTAACTTCAAGAGATCAAGGAGAATTCCTGATGTTAGTAAGAATTTAGAATAGATTTAACAATAATATTATAAAGATGGATAGTCTTATGAATTTTAACAAATCTTATAAACAACATTCCCATTAATTACCAACGAATTTAGAACAGCAATAAGGTATGAATATTAATATCCTCCAAAAATTGATGATACATATTTTAATTTAAAATAGGAATTAAGTATCAATAATGAAGAAATGATTAACTAAATAATAAATGAAAATAAAGATGAAATATTGAAGGAATTCAAATTTGAATTAGATTTATAATCAATCAAAGATGATATAAATTCATAATTACAAGATAATTAATTAAAAATACTTAATTATTTCCTTAATAATGTTAAATTTTCTTTATAATAGCAAGATAACAAATAAAGTATTTAACATATTTAAATTCAAATTTAAAAGTTAAAAACAGAAATAATTAAGGAAGTAACCATATAAACGTTGAAAAATTATGTGGAATTATAGATATTGTTGTTAATTTCAGACTTAATTTGATGATCAGAATTTTATATTAATAATTGCTATATTTGGGATATATAAAGAATTAATAATTTCAAACTGGAAATCTTGAAAGTCCTTTAAGATCCTCACTTTTGACAAATCTTTTTCCTGAAGTAATACCATTTTCAGCCTTGCATTAATAATTGTTCATAGATTTAATCTCTTTTCTCTTCTTCCCATGACTTCATCTTTTCTTTCAATGATTCAATAGCTTCATTAATTGTTTTTTTCTAGAATGCAGCTCTCTCCTTTGTTTTCATTGAAAAAAATTTTGCTTGATAAAAAATCAATAATTTCCAATCCTATGTAGCCATTACTTGTTGTTAAAGTAACAATTAAGCTCTTGGTTTTCCATTAATAGTTGTTTTGGGAGTATTCAAAATAATAGCAATTCCATGATCTGGGATTGTAATATTGAATAAGCATGTGTAATTCCAATTATAGTAAGTCTTCCAATCATATTGTAGATGAGTATTGAGATCCTTATTATATCAAACAATTAATTACAATTTAAAAATCTATAACTTATTGGACGAAATGTTACCTTTCAGATCTATTTGCTAGGAACATCTTTTCAGCATTTTAGCAAACTTATTCAAATGATTTTAAATTCCAATGAGGATAGAACTGTGTGATATAGAATTTAGCCTATTTGAAAGCGAAATAATTAGCTAAGGGAAAATAACGTTTTAGTTGCCACGTTTTTTACAAAATTAGACCAAATCTCTTAATCATTACTAAATTAAACATGAGGTCTATACTTCATTTTATTATTCTAAAAAAGAGAATTTTACCATATTTTCTTTAACCCAATTTAAGAATATAGGATCTGAGCAAATTCAGAATAAATGGCTGTGTAAGCATAGTATATCTTAGAAATATTATAATGAAATAAATAATCTAGATTTTTCTAAGTTTTCATATTGATCGAAATACTTTAAAACAAATTATTCTTAATATTTATAAGTTTACATAGTTCCAGTTTAAATTCCATGATTACCTTTTGAGAGAGCATATAGGATATGAACTAATTAATACTCATCAGGTTCTTGTAATTAATATTCTAATAAAAAGATTAAATCATTAAAGTCTTGATAGAGTTGAATACATACTTGGAACTTTCAAGAAGGAAATATCCAGAAGAATTCTTGTTACAATAGTAAATAAATATTTTTAACCTGTTAAATTAAATTATAATAATCAAGTGAATATCAATCAGCTAAATGATCTAATTAATCAGCAAAAATAAAATACAATAAATCTTTAAGACTTTAGCATATTTATCATGATTAAATATTCTAAATGCATAAAAAGCTTCAATAGTTTAATCTACATTCAATTTTTCTTGAGAGATAGTGATGAATTTGTGGTTTAACTATATTTCAATAATTCCGAAATCTTTTAGATATCTTCTTTAATTATCAATTATTATTGTAGCATCCATGCAATTTTTTGGATTTCCTTAAAGTTTGCCTAAGAAATTGCATCCTTCAGTTTAGTAAAAAGATCAGGCAACTTTTTATCGTGATATTCGATGAAATAATTTGGATGATAAACTAATATTCCAAGACAAAAGCACTCCTCCAATAAAAAGTCAATAAATAAGAATTCAATTATTTAATTAATTTATGTATTAAATTTAATGATTAAATGTAAAAGGTAATAGGTTGTTGTATAGCTAAGGGAAGATAAAACAATCAACCAATGTTTATACCTGTTAGATAAATGATTTATATAACTATTACTATAATCTCATATTATCTTTGCCATTTCTATTGTATAATAATAATAGGCTAATCCATACACTATTATTATAAAAACCACATATGACATTAAATATCCATTTATCTAATTCTAAATCACTCTAATTGAGCCAATACTCAAAAATATAAACCTAAACTCATTTTAAAATAATACAATCCAATTGTAATCACTTTGAATACAAGAATTAATTTTCGAGTATTTGAAAATACAATCCTTGAATTTTCTGGAGTCACTTATAAATCATACTAAAATCTATTAGTTATTAATGATAATATAGTTAATAAAACAAAAAAAAATGTGCCAAGAGTTGGGATTGCTAACAAAATAATTTTATCGCCGGTTGCTGTCTATTCTCCCAATGCATTATAAAACACTGGAATCACTAAATCAAGCTATCAATGATTTATTTATTCACTACTTAATTGTACAATTGAGCAAAGAACACCCACATCAATATTAATTCTATAATTGCTAACACTTCTAAAATCATATCGAATGCATCATAAGGAGGTATAGGTTATTAATCTGTATAATATCCCTATGAGCCCCCAAGGAAGAATGGAACGTATTTCTTTCCTTAGTATAGTATAGTTTCAACTGGTAAATGTGAATCCTCTTTTAGAAAATTACTTTGTGATCTATCTTGATTAATCATTAGTTGTTATTTATAATAAATTCTATATTTGTATTAATATTAATATGAAAAGCATTAAAATTTTAGTTAAATAGATCATTTAGATTGTGATCAAGAATTTAATCCTGCCATTGAAAAAAAGATAAACTAATATTTAGGTAAATCTAAAATTGTTCATGAGTTTTGTTTAAGATTTTAATAAATTTGTTACTACTATCTGAAAAACATTAATATCATATTATTGCTTTTATCAAGTTTACATTGAGTCAGGACAAGAGATTTTTTTAATTTATCTGAAAAGGATACTTCTAAATATATCATTACTTATTATTCTCTTTATTAAATGTGTTTTCCTCGCTGTGTTTAAATTAATGCATAACTAAGAAAGAACTGATGTTTCTAATTTAAATTACATCAAATACAAATTTAAGCATTGATATTTGCTTAAATCTAATTGAACTCATTTTAATTTTAGTTTAATCCTCTGCAATTAATAATAATATTTTATAATCCAATTTCATAAATAAACTTTCTGTAAATAGGATCTAAGTAAAAGGGTTAATTTGATTAAAAATATTTTATAGTATTTTTAAAGCCATTACTAATTTATAATTCCAATTTTAAAAGTCAAAACTCAAAAAATTATATAATTATGAGTATAAGTGAAAAGTAAAACACAAAAAATAAAAATAATATTTTTTTTTTATCTATTAAAGTTATAAGCAAGTTACTTTCGGTATTTTGAATCTGACCAATATAAATACACAAAGAATTAAAATAATAGTTGAATCAATATACCCTTATTCCTCAAACTGAATCATAAAAATTACAAAAAAGGGTTTAGTTTCAAAAATATAAAATTGATAAATTTCAATTATAAGAGTGCTTAATATGTTTAATTATTTTAGAAATATTATCAAACGATAATTATGCTTTTGATTTTCTTTTTGATCTTCTTATTAAGTTAATCGAATATTGCATAAATTAGAGTATTAAGTTGAAAATTGTAAATTGAACTGGAAATAGAGGAAGATTACTAAAATGATTGTGAGAGAATTTAGAAACTAAGCGGTGTTGACATCTTATAATTCATATCCTTTAATCAAAATATTAGAAATTAAATATTGTTTCAATTAGTAATATAGTTTAGTTTATTCTTTTAATATTTCCATTTTTAGATATTTCATTAAATTTAAAAGTTGTAATTTTACTAATGCATCAATCAGTATTCCACTCTTTTTAATGATAAACTCATCTGAAATCCTATCTATTATTAATATTACAATTTTACAGAATTATAAATATATTAGTAATATATAATATTTTTTATAAAATGAAAGACTTTAAATATGAGAGTTATCTAACCTACACTTATAATAGACCAATAAAGGAAATGAAGAGAATTTTAGAATTAGAAAATTTCCAAACATGGGACTTTAATCAATAATAGAAAATAGTTAAGTATACTATCAATAACTCAATTTCAATTAAATTAAGTTATTTACTTCTATTCATTGTAATATATTTTATATCTTAGGAAGCCGATTTCTTAAGATTTTCACTTGCATAAATTATTTAATTAGGAATCAATATTTATAATAAGTATAAATAACTTGAAAATAACTAAATTTAACATAAATATTTAAGTTCTGATCGAATATATTTACAATTTGAAAATGAATCATAAGCTATGAGTATATTGCCATAAGAATTAAGGTATTCAATACATTTTACAGGTTATGACTGTCCTTTTTATGAATTGGAAAATTAAGACTCTGTTTAGAAAAGCGATGAATAATCAGTTAAAGAAATAATTACACATATTCTATAAGTTGCCAAAAATAAGTTTAAAGAAAAATATAAAAAAATGCTTTAAAAGTAGAATGGTACTGAGAGGTTTTAATAAATCCTTTAGGCCGAAGAAGAAATTTATTAGAAGATATATAATGAGGGAATATGCATATCGCTTGAGCAGTTCATTAATAAATCCAATGATATATTTACGTTATTTGACAATTCAAACAATTAACGATAACTATTAATAGGTATCGACTTAAGATTTGATGAAAAAATATTTTGGAGAAAGTTTAGATCAAAACAAGTAAGTTAGAATATTGTAAATATTGTACAATCTACTTATTCAAGTCTAAAATGGATCAGAGTTGAATAGCTTTTAATCGAAACCATTCCACTAATAATGAGAGAAGTGAAAGAATCTTATATTTACTCAGATTAAATTCAAGCTCAAAATAGACAATTTATAAATCTTTAACTTATAATTGGATGCATGGATATGGAAGATATTAATATTCAAATAGACAAATTGTTGAAAAAAGCTTAAATAACATATAAATTCGATATAGATAAATAGATAATTTTCTAAAAAACTATCTCATCACTACCCGATAGATTAAACATTTTGAATTACTTTTATAATAATATTAACTTTTAAATAGAAAATAACCAAAAGCTAATTAAACTAATTGATAACTTAAAATAAAAACTATTAAATTAAATAGTAGAAGAAAATATCAAAGAATAAATCGACTTAAACATCATTTAGTTGTTAGAAGAAATGTTTTGAATTTATATAATAAATAATTAATTTTCATATTTATTTTATATATTCAAATTTTGAAATAAGCTTCTTTATGATGAATTCAATAATTAAATCAAATTTTGTATAATTTCACAGTGTAAAAATAAATAATATAGTTAAGTATAATAAATTTGAGGCCTTTAAAATTACAAGAAAATTAGAAAATTACATTCATAAATAATAATTATAAAATATATTATTATAATTCTATAATGAAAGGTTTAAATTATAAAAGCACATAAACCTATAGTTACGAAAAATCGAATGAAGAAATGAAAAGAATATTAGAATATGATGGACTAAAGAATTGGTAATTAAATGATGATTGCAAGATTGTTGAATATACAATTGATCATTCAATGTAAATGACATTAAGTTTATTAATTTATTTACAAGTAATCTAATTTATATTTTTTAGGAAATTAAATTCATACGATTAACTATTGCTTAAAATATTTAATTGTGTTTAGCTATTTTGAACAAATATTAAGAACTTTAAAAATAAAATATTTAACATAATTATTTAAGTTCTGATAGAATTTTAATAAATCTAACAGACAAATAACATTAAATTACTATATTCCCAGAAAAGTTAGTTTATACAATACATTTTCTTGGATATGATTGTCCTTTTTATGAAAGAGACAATTATAAAGATAGTAAAAAAAAAGATGATTAATCTATTAAGGAAATCATAATTAACATTATTTAACTTAGTAAAAAATAAAAGTTTGATTGACAAGCAAAAGGGAAAGCAATTAATAAACGATAATAAGATGAGCGATGAAAAATAAAAAGCATTTAATTAGAAATACCCAGATCTTGTTTATATTTTCAAAGGTTTATTGGATGAAGGAATATTTAAATCATTCGACTAGTTTATTGAAGCATCCAAGATTATCTTTGAAAAATATAATAATCAAAATAATAAGAATTAAAGATTGACTATTGTGGACATAGGCTTTACGAAGTAGTAACTTCAAGAGATAAATGAGAATTGAGGATGTTAGTAAGAATTTAGAATAGATTTAACAATAATATTATAAAGATGGATAGTCTTATGAAATTTAGCAAATCTTATAAACAATATTCCCATTAATTACCAACGAATTTAGAACAGCAATAAGGTATGAATATTAAAATCCTCCAAAAAATGATGATACATATATTAATTTAAAATAAGAATTAAGTATCAATAATGAAGAAATGATTAACTAAATAATAAATGAAAATAAAGATGAAATATTGAAGGAATTCAAATTTGAATTAGATTTATAATCAATCAAAGACGATATAAATTCATAATTACAAGATAATTAATTAAAAATACTTAATTATTTCCTTAATAATGTTAAATTTTCTGTAAAATAAAAAGATAACAAATAAAGTATTTAACATATTTAAATTCAAATTTAAAAGTTAAAAACAGAATTAATTACGGAAATAATAGTGTAAACATTGGAAAATTTTGTGTAATTATAGTTAATGTAGATAACTCAAGATATGGCATGAAGTAATTTATCATTAAAAATACAACAACTAGAATTTTTGTATCTAAAATTATGTTCTTTTATCTAATATATTCTTCAATAATACTTTAATTTTATAAATGATATTATATAATTTTCAGTTAACAAAACAGTCACCTTTGATTTCTTAAAAATTATTGGATAGTTTGGTCTATTAAGCAAAACAATATATAATTAGTTAAAATAATCAGAAATTTACGAACCCCAAAAATAGGTTCTTTGTATATTATTTTAGAAAATATTAGCCAACAGGATTTCCAATAACTAAAAGTCGGGTTAAAAATAATAACCTAATCTCCTAAATAAGCAGCGTTACAATATTATTGATAAACGTTTTAGATTTTTATTTCTTATTCAATTTCCAGACTACTTCAACTACCTAAAATATAAAATTGAATTTGAATTCAGTACTACTGTTTTATTCGACTGATTAAAAAATACAAAAAAAAGAGCCTCTATTCAAATAATGACATCATTGTTATTTCATTTTTGATATAATATTTCCTTTGTTATCAAATTCAAATTAATAAGCTAAAATGACATTCAAAGCAAATATTCCAATTACAAGTAAAAATATTTCAGAAAAACTACTAATATTTGAAAAAGGAATAAAGCTCTTTATTTTTTTATTACAAATCAATGAGATCCATACCAGCATTCTGAGCCTTAACTAGTATAATTATGAAAGAGTGGGGTTTAGATCTGCAATTGGAGAGGAAGAAGTTAAGATAGATAGAATCTGAATAAAAAATATAGAGGTTCCATTGAATTCGCCAAATAAAACTAAAGATTGGAAAATTCATAATCATCTTATGATGAACCAATTTTGTTCAATTTGCAAATATCACTACTTTTTATAAAACTATATAGTTACTTAGCCATGAATTGAGGGACTAATCTATTTAAAGAGACCTCTTATACTTATTATAAAGGTGATATAAAAAATCCTAATTATAACTGTTTCTCAATAGCTTCACATTTGTGAAAAGCCAAGACCTTTAATATAGAATATGGGATGAAAAATATAGGAATGGATAAAACAATATTTTTCTGTATTAGATAAATTACGAATATGCTTGCTTTACGATTATAGGTTATTCACGACCCAAAAAATATGTTAGCAGAATTAAAAGTTGCCTATAATTATTACTCTACTCAGGAAAAAATGCTAATAAGAAGTTACACATCAATAAAAAGAGCTTTGTAACAAAGTCTATATATCCATTAGTTAAAAATTTTAAGAGCTTTACTAATCCTTTAATTAATATTAGATAATTAGCAGCTAGCTTCATTTAATTAAATGAGTAAAGTATTATCTTAACTAAATTAATTACTTTAATTAACATATTATTTGAAAATTAAGAAGTATTTTGTTATAATTAAAGAATTAATTGAAATTAGTATTATGATGATAAAATAAATTAAGTAGGGATAAATATAAAAGAATTTTTTATTTTGAAATTTAGAAATAATAAATTGTGCTTTGTAGTTGTTTTTGTTTTATTATAATTATAAGAATCAATGCATTTTATTTTAAATTAATTAATACTATATAATATGAAATAAAAGTTATGATGTATTTTGAAATAATGAACAAAAGATTTAGTAAAATTGAAATCTGATTGGGGTTTATCTCCTATACTTTAAAATGCATCTTAAACGATAAATTAAGATGAATTAAAATGAATAAGCCTTAAAAATATTTACATATTAAAAATACATTAAATTTATTCAAGAAGCAACAAATCATCTATAATTTTGTAATATAGAATTGATTTTTGACAACAAAAACATTAAATATACCTTATATTTATCATAGAGAAAGTATAATTCGAGAGTTCTTAATTTTAAACGAATATCGTTTATTGCTATGAAATTATTATTTATATCTATGTATTTAAAGTTTGTATAACTCTAAGTTTTGAGAACTTGGATTTTGATCAATTTAATTTTGGACTTAACTTTTGATTATTTTAAGCTATTTAACTCCTTGCGTTTTTTCTTAACCATAATTACTCTATATTTAAGATATTTGATATTAATTTAGCTAAAGATTGTATTAACAGCTATAATATTAAATATTTGAATTTTATGATTTATTTTTGATTTATTTATATATTTGTTGTATATCATAAATTTCTTAAATAATTCATGACTATTTTAAGAATATTTTCTACCAATAAACTTATCATAGCAAATAGATGATTATAATACGAAAAATACAGTAATTTGTAACTTAAAAGAATACAAAATTTAGTACTGTTAATTATGTTTTATAACATATATATATATTTCATTTGTCACTTTTGCAATTGCTGATGAGTTATTAAAATGAACTCAAAAAGGTGTGCAAAATTTCCTTTGCTTCTGGAAAGAGAGGGCTGTTCTCTAACACAGAACTCATATATTTATGTTGGGGCCATAAATTTAGAATTTTCCTACCAATAATTCTTGAATCATTGTTGTTTGAAAGAAGTTCTTCTTCAAGTTCCTTTGGAATTTCTTGAGATTCAACATATCGTAGAGCCTTATAATATCTATTTTTAATCATATTAACTGTTTTTCCTGAGAAATACCTTGTTATTTTATTGAACTTAGGTCCTAACTTCTTAACAAGCAAGATTAGGATTCTATCCTCTTCAGCGGAGAATTAAGAAATTTAAGCTCTTGGTTTGTAATCAAGAAAGGCCTTTTGCTTCTCTTTGATGTACTTATAGATGGCACTGCTTCTATCTTTCTATCCATATTGGATAGTTTTTCTTCTTTATTTAAATTACTTGGACTTAAAAATTCCATCTTCTAATTGGAAATGTGGTTGATGATGGAATTATGTTTAGTAAGAGCTGTCTTCGTCGTTTGAGGCTAAGCTAGAGTTAGATTTTGAAGAGATTTTAGAAATCATTTGTTTCAAAAAAATTATTAAATCCATTTTTATAGTATCCCTCATAAATTGCAAAATTATATCATATGAATTTTTAATAAATTTTGTGAAATTATCATTTTATTGCCAAATACTGATATTGCTGTCTAAAATTTTAAACAGCATTAATGTTTTTGGAAATAATCATAAATTTATTAGAACATAATTTTTAATTTTATAGTAATAAATTAAATCTTAGTAAAAGAATGCTTAAGTATTAAAATCCATAAATAATATATTTTATTTATAAAATTGCAATAATGTTTGTTAAATAATTGTTTTTTATTTAGAAAAAATATATCTGCCCTTATGAATTATGGTGAAGTCTAAGATTGATAGATAATTTTAGTAATTTTAGATGAATTCCTATTATTTCACTTCATAATTATCTGAATTTTCAAATAAAATGGATCTTAAATTCTGATAATCAAGAGAGAGAAGAGTTTTGAACCAAACAATAAGTGATAAGGATTAAACAAGTAGAAATTAGTCTGAATCTATATTTCATAAAAATCAATCAAATTATTGTATATGTAAAATTAACATATTAGAACTTATTTGGTTTACGGAGATTCTGGATCCGGAAAGTCAACTTTTATCAAAAGCTTAGGAGGAATCGACTCTGACAACTAAATGCCATAAACTGGAGGACTTGGAGTGGCTGTCACTATTGACCCCGGAAAAATTTACTTTATATAGGATGAAGTTCTTGGAAATGTATAATTGATCGATACAAGAGGAACATGGGATCCAGGATAAACTAATAACGATTAAATTCTATAAAACTTAGTGAAAACTTTACTAGACTACAGTGTACATCAAATGAGTTAATAAAGTATTGAGTTGCATAATTTTAAAAGTTAATCCAATCTAATAGTTGGATGGGATCCTATATATTCATAATAGTTTTATAGATCGTTATGCAAAAGATACTAGGATAGCCTAATTAGGAATATTGATTGGCAGCAATTTGCATTCTTCGACATTGACAATCATGACAAGATGTAAAGAAATAGAGAATACAAATTTAAAATACAATTTCTACGAATGGAATAAGAAGCTACATAAAAGTGAATCAGAATACATTCATTGGGATAGTGTAAATCCTTTAGAAAAGTAAAAGGAGAAATTAAATGAATTATTACTAAATTTAAAACCCATTCCTTTGAGTAATATCAAAGATGCAAATGAAGATATTATTAAATTAGCAAAAGAATTGTAACTAAAAGATTTGATTGAAATTGAAGAGCCTAGAATCAAGACAATAATAAGATAGTACACCAAAGAAAAACTAAAGAAAAAAACATCCTATACTAATGTAACATTAACAATCAATCCTCCAAAAGGCATCATAACTTAGATTGGAGGTAATGATAATTTTTATAGAATCTAGGATGGGTTCCCATTAAAATACCATTCTTAACCTAAGGTGGAAATCTTACGACCACTTCAATTAGAATCGACGCAGATTTCCCATAAAATTCATTGCCTCCAAAACTGATATTGTCTTGTGATCTTGATAAGAGTTTAGATGAAATAAAAGGGTAAAATTTAGAGATTATCAAACATGAATTCGTAAACAATGGAGATTATTACGATGCTAACTTTTAATACAGATGGAATGGAATCAATAATGATAATGCTGGAAGAGTAGATTTGAAAATAAAAATGGTCATTCAATATAGATAGATCAAATAAAAATAAAGGGAAGATAAGGAGGAATATTTTGAAAATGTGATGAAACCCAGATATTCAGACGAGAAAGTATTTACATAAATTAATTTGAATAGCCTTATATTTAATAAGCTATGGAGTAGTAATTTGATCATTTGTATGTTGGAATTAAAAAGAATTTTGAAAAATAATGAGTAACTATTAAATTATTATTATTATTTATAAAATCAATAAAGATGGACTCTGGAGGTGCAAATACTTTTGTTGTAGAACCTAAAGATGAAGAAAAGTGATTTTGAGTCAATATAATTAGATTCTATCCATCTAAAGTGAGAAAACTAATTCAAGAAATTATGGATGATAAATTAAAAAACGAAACTTATGATGCAAACAACACTCCTAATTTAGCAGAAGAATTAGTAAAACGAATCAGAAGCAAAGTAAGAGATTGTAAATAAATTATTTCTATTTATTTTAAAGCTATCAAAATGCCAAGATTTAAGGTTGCAGTTTAAGTTATAATTGGAGAAATCAAAGGATAGGGATGCAAAGTCACTTCCAAAAACCTTTGGGATCCAACTTGGGACAATTACGCATCATATTCATTTCAAAATGTATTTAAGTCTTCTCATCATTAAACCAATAGGAAAGTATCTATGGTGTAGCAATTGTATTTGGAGTCTATTATGAATGAATTGATATTAGATAGAAATGGATATCATTTATTATTAATTTATTAAACTTAACTATAAATTTATCTCAAAAATAAAAGGTATAATTCTACTTGACCTAGCAAAATATGTCTTGAATATTCTATAAAGTTTGATTATCGATGGTATTTCTAATATTAATTGGCATCTACATCTGATTTTATTCTACTCTTAAATCCATTATTACTATAATTCAAAAAATTATTTTATGGAAAAAGAATATATTGGGTTGCATCTAATATTTTCTTCACAACCACCTGAATGTAATTATATTCAAATTCCAAGAATAGTGAGGATCTGTCAACTTTGAATAAATTAATGTGAATGAGTAAAAATAGATTAAACAAAATATATAGACTAAGATAAATTTGTTCATCGTTATCGTTTTATAATTTATGAAATAAAGATAATTATCTTAATAAGAGAAAAGATTAAAAATGCAAATACCATTTGATAATCTTTTAATAAATCTCTTCTACATCAGTTTAAAAGCTTAAAACAAAATAAACCAAAATATATTATCCTAGTTTTATGATCATAAATAATATAAAGTAAAAATTTGAATACTTGAAATTATGGATATGAAGAGTGATTGATTAAATTATATGGCTTAATATCAACATCCTTTTAATTGATACATTTATCTTTCCAAAATGATGTGTATTCTTCCTTGATAATCATTTATATTATAAAAATTAAGACTTGAAAACCAATATTAAGAAATTAATGATAATCACTGGTTTATCCCATTATCAATTTTTGTGAATTATTTATCTTACATGGATGTAGTAAGTGAAAAAAAGGAAAACATAACTTAAGTTCGAATTTGGAGGATGTCTTTTTATTCTAACATGATTGAATTGTTTTATAGGTTTTTGCTAGAGAATATTAATAATCGAGGCATAATGAGTCCAAAAATTATAGAAATAGATGAGACATATGTTAAAAATAATATTTTTTGCAATTATTTTATAGTTTATTTATTTTAAGGAAAAACGAAGGAAGAATAGGAATGAAATGAAAGTTTGAGGAGTTTTAAATATTTTAAGAGCAACCATTATTAGTTATTGCTGGGATCATAAAATGGTTATATTAAATTAAATTTATATTGCTTAAGAAATATCTAGAAAATAATTGTTCTGATAAAATTTAATTTAAGGTAATTAATTCACCTATTTTAAATTGTTCCATGAATCTTAAAAATATTTCATTAATAATTTTAATAAAAAAGTTTTCAAAATGCCAAGAAGAAGTGGATCAGCATCAAGATCAACAGCTAGCCCATCAAGAAGCACTGCTACAGCTGCAAGACCAGCTCCATAAGCTTAAGCTCCTCTCTAAACTCCAGCAAAATCTGGAGGTATGCTTTCAGGACTTGGATCAACTTTGATGTAAGGAATGGCCTTTGGAGCAGGTTCAGAAGTAGCTCATTAAGCAATTAGATCAGTCATGGGTGGATCAAGTATGATTTAAATGTAATTTAAATAGGTCATTCTCAACCAGCTGAATAATAAACCCAACAATAAGCTCCTTAATAACAATAATAAACTTGTTCGAGTGAGAGTCAAATGTTTTCGAATGTAAGATTTTAAATTAAATTTTTAGTGTTTACAAACTAACCAAGATATCACAAGATGTCAACCATATATGGACATTTTCAAAGAATGCTAAAAGAAATACAACTTATGATGATTTATTATAGATTAAATAGCAATTATATAATATATTTTCATTAACTTGCTTAATTTGTTTATTTCAACTTCAATTGTTTTTACAGTTGATCGATGATTTGCTTCTCTCTCTTAACCTTCTATTCATAATTGAATATCATCAAAGCCTTGCCCTATTCAGCATTTAAAATTTGCATTTCCTTCCTTTATCTAACAGCATTCATTTTCCGATGTTTATTTCCAGACATTACATACCCTAACCCTTCATACTTTTCGATGTCTTCCGAAGTCAACCCAACTTCTCCTCTTCTTGGAATACGCTTGCCTGATTAGATATAATATGCAATTGCAGCCCCTTCTCCAGGTAATAACTGACTGCCGTAATTGGTTCTATGCTGTAAGTTTTTATCAAACAACAGAGGCATAGGACCTATTTAGCAAGATTTATCATTTTCTTCTTTCTTCTTCTGCATTTCTTCATTTAATTTTCTAACCTTCTCAGCAAAAGAATCGTCAGAGTCAGTTTCTGAATAACTGAAAGAATATATATGAAAATTTACTATTATTCTTCTTCATCTTGTTCTTAATCGATTTCTTCTTATTAATTTACAACTTCCTCTTGAATCACAATCTCTTTTGGCTCAGATTGTTATTCTCTTTCTTCCGATTTAGATGGTAGTACTTTTTGTAAATGTTCTCCTTTCATAATAGCATCCAATTTAGCTCTTCTTAATTTATCTTCTTCTTATTTCATTTATTCCTCAATGATATATCTTTGTTATCTTCTTTATTCTTTCATTATTGCCAAATCTGAATATATAATCAGTCTGTACCTTTACGAACTTCTTCTGAATCACTATTGAATTGCCAAATGTTTGATTTTTTTATTGACTCTCTCCTTTGTTTTCTTTGAAGCAAGTACTCCTGATATGAAACTTTAGCTCGTTAATTCTTCACTTCATCTTCTCTACTCCTAGAAGTAGATGAAGACGATGACGAACTTCTATTTTATTATTTTTTCTTCATTTATATAATTATTAATATATTCAAAGAATTATTGAAAAATTTTAATAAATGATAACTAAAATATCATAATATATATATTTTTATAAAATTAATTTTATTTATTAATATCATAATATCTATTAAAAGTAAATTATGATTCTATTTAGATATGAGTCATTGTTCAAAAGATTAATAGCACAGTTAATACACTTCAGCAAATACAAATATTTTATATTTTGATCTTCCTGGCTTAATTTCAACTAGAAAACAAGCGAACTACTTATACAATAACTGAAACTATAAATAAAGACACACCTCCTAGATTTATGTGCCATCTGAATAGCAAAAACCTCATTTAAGATAACATTTTCGGCTTAGCATAATATTAAATTTTATTGATTCTAATATAAATTTAACATTTTAAACCTTTTAATTATTTTCAAGATAAAGATAAGTAATCAAAATGGAAGATCCATATGATTTCATGCTTGGAGAAAATTTATTAAAATCCCCACCAAATTTTGAAACGGCTCATTATCATAATGTAAATGGATAATTTAAACTAAAGAAAGCTCAGATTATCCATAGAGAAATAGTAAATAACTCAAATAGATGTCCTTGTTGTTATTTACCAGTATAAACAATAAAGTATCCGATTCTTGTTGATGTAAATGTGTTCAGCAATTGTGGCACCTCATACAAATACTTTAAATTATTGAAAACCTATTTCATACTACTAAGCATACTTTTGTAATTAGAATATCTACTTCATAGCATTATAGCCGGATTATACAATTTGATCTAGAACAGCAAAGGAGATTAATGCATCAACGATTAAAGTTGTAAAAACAATTTGAATAATTAGTTGTCAATCTTGAATAGATTTGACCCTGAAAAGTATTTTATAGAGATAATTCTTAGTTATTAAGACGATGTTTTGGATGTATTATATGCAATCGCATTTATTGTATAATTAGTCTTCATCCGATATATAACACACTAAACAAACGATTATTTTAATGTGGATCATGATTATGATAGTGAAAAAACAATACAAATATGCTCCTTAAAAATTTCATCCATAAATACTTAATGGAAAAGAAATACAATATTAGAACATTTTAGAAATGGCATGTTGGAATCAATCCCTTTTCAATATAATATTATTGATTGTTGTTTAATTTATGACATTTATCACTTGGAGAATGAACTGAAATTGTAAATAAGAGAGGTCTACAAAAAAGAAAAATCACGAAGGTTAACCATTAAATTAATAGATAGGTCGTTGTAAGATATTTTAAGGAAGACAGTAAATTAATTTTATACGATGAGTAATAGCAAAAAATATTTGAAGTTCACAGGTAGTGTATATATAACTCTTTCTGATTAAGTAATAAATTTAGTTTTATTTTAGTAAGAAGCTATTAATTTTAAAAAATAGTTTAAAAGGAACTTTTGCTTGGAACAATGTCCAAGACCTTCAGATGTAATATGGAAGAAAATTAGATCGAATGGTAACCCTAAATTACAATTAATCAAGACTGCAATTGCATTATGTGGATGGTTACCTAATATTGCAATTGAAGTTGCTAAAAATGATTACATTTTGTCAAATCCTGGAAAAAGTTAAGATTAATACTAAATAAATACACTATTGAGTTTGGTAACTGCTCTCATTTTATTTCTTTCTTCAAAAATTTGTATTCACACTATTCACAATTATGTCAAATAAAGTTTCTAAGATTCAAAGCGTCAATATTGGAAATAATATTTATAAATGAACGAAGTTATCATATGTATAATGTTTTATTTGGGACCCCCAATATTTGTTGCTGTTTACTCTGGTGAAGGTACTAGATAAGAAAAATTGTGGAGATCTGGTGGGTTAAGCGAAGATATCATTATGATTATTTTAGTAAATGCAGGTTTATAGATATTATTTACTATAATGGATATTGGACAAGCTTGGAAATTAATAAAAATCATTTATTACAAATATTTCAATAAAGGATCAAATTTAACATAATTTGAGGCTAATAAATTATTTTCAAAAAAACTTAATTTTAATAAAAAGAGAGTTGATCTAACTATTTTGGTTTTTTAATGTAGCTATTATGGTTATTTGTTTCCGATTTGTTATCCTATAACCCTCATATCTCTTTTGATTATCTACTGGTTAAATAAGTATTAATTTATAAATAATGGAACTAATCAAAAGATTCAATTTAAATATAGATTATCTAAAATAATGACATTCATGGTGATTGCAAGTTAGTTAGGATCCACTCAAATTATTAAGATTACTTACTTGGGTTATACCTCTAACTAAGCATTCAACTATATATATTATGCTAAATGTATTATTTTAATATATTTATTTTGGATTAAACCTGAATTGCTATTTAAAAAGCGAACATAAACTAATAAAACAAATTTAGATTTAGTAAGTAGCCTTTAAAATAATGACTTATACCCTAAATATAATCCAGTCGTCAATGAAAATCATTTGAATAGTTTATCATAACAATAATCATCATTAGATATGGTTGTATAACTTAGGTTATCAAGATAATAAAAATATTACGAGGCTCTCTAAATTAAATTGCTGAGAGAAATTGAAGAGTTAGAGAAAAGTGAATTATCCACCGTTCAAAAAAATCACATAAGGCCTATTTAAGAGGATGTCAATTGATATTATTATTAAAAATATTATATCCAATTATCTATTATTTTAAATAAAATAAACTAATATGATAACTTTAATCATTTTGAAGATATTTTATTTATTCTATACTATTTTATTAAGGAACCCTAAACTTCATTAATAGACAGTTAGTTTAACATTCATTTATTAGAAAATGATAATAGATTTGGACTCCAATTATGTATTTAAATTTAGTGTATTTTTTATTAATATGAATGTGGGAGTATATTTTCTATAATTATTTTTAATAACCTAATTGGTAAATAGATATTATGGAATTTTTTATTATTTAGTTTATATTTGTTTTAATATATTTAATTGATATGAATCATACTATTGAGTACTTTAATCTCCAGTAACACAAACTGTATGAATATATGGTTGGGTTAACTTAAAATGTAACAGGAGTTGAGAAGATTGTAAATATATGAAATAATTAAAAGTTTGCAGAATTGATCGCATGCCTCCTTGATTTTAGTTCAGCAATCTCAAGTATTGGATAAAAATTTCACTCTTAGATTAGCAGTGGAAATGAACCAGATATCTTAGTTTGCTTATATCAATAAGTGAGCAATTACTTATTAAGATTATCATAAAATTGGGATAATACAGCTCAAAAAATTAAGAGTGAGATTGCAGAGCCTTACACTTAATTTGTTGTGAATTTCAGATAAACGAATAGAAGTTTGAATAGTGAATCCAAAAAGCAAGTAGCAGAAATAATAGAAACAAGAAAGGAGATGTGTAAAACATAAGAGGAATATTGGAGATTGATGAAATTGTTTGAGTAGAAATCTGAATAGGCATAATAAATGATAGATCATATTGAAAAAGGTAATGCAACAAAGGAGGATTTCCAAAAATTATTTAATAATTCTCTCAGAATTCAGGAATTGGCAGATGGAATGGAGAAGGATTATAAGAAATTATTATTAATCACAAATGAAAGGTGGAAATAGTTTCATTAAGAATGGGATTCCATATTTACCAATGTTGGTTTAAATGAATAGAGTAGGTAGAACATAAGACATAATATAGAATCATGTTTACTAAGTAGACTGTTAGTTCATTGTTAAAATTATTGCCTTTTGATTAGGATTAATCATAATTTGAAGAAAAAATATCAGATTTAGAACTTAAATTGAAATCAGATCAAAAGATACCCATTAGAAAGTTGATTGAAAAAAGAATGCAAATTCAAGAGGGCTGTAACAAATCTATTTAATATCATAGCATTTAAATTTTCATATGAAGAATTTGTAAGTTATGAATAGTGGAAGAAGAATCACCAAAATCATGATTAAGTCCACCCATTATAATAAGTATAGAGTTAATGGACAATTGTGGGTGATAAAATCTCAGAAGAAGAGAAAAAGCTGGTAGATAAATATTTATCATCATTATTTTAAATTGATCTTTCAGATAAATGCGAATAAATAATAAAAATTAAGTAGATTCTTTAGAAATCTGCAGGCAGAAACTATTTTATTAATTAGTTAAATAAATTACATACTAAATCATATTAGGAAAAATAAGCAAGTAAATCAACAATTTATCATAGGATTCTATTTAACATTAACGACAGAATAGTTTATGGAATTGTTATAATTAATTAGGCATTGGTTAAATTATGTTGATTTGAATGAAATCTATGAATCAGAAGATATCTATGATTTATTATTAAAGGCAATCAGAATTGTTAGAATAGATGGAAAAGAGAGAGTTAATCTGGCCTCATAATTATCAGATATTCCTCTATGGACTAAAGTTGATAGATGGATAGAACTATTTTAGTTTATTAGTGCCAAGAAAGTTGATGAAAAGAGAAAGCAAGCTCAATCAATCATGTAGTAAACCTAAAGCACTATTTTAAAAAAAGGTGTAAGAATTATTGGCAAAGGACTATCAATGATCAAGAACTTTGGATCTCAATAATCTAATATGATGGAAGTAAATGAAAGTGAAATCTGTTATATGATATTAGATGAAATAAATCTGTTCATCTATTCTCTAAAATTACCTTCAGAATTATCTGCAGAAATAATTATTTAAATAGCTTCATAATAATAATAAATTGATAAAGATCATGTGGTTAAATTATTAGAAAAATAAGAAGATTTTCATAACACCTAATGGAAGAAATTTTTCAAATCAGGTAAAGTAGTTTTAACTCACAAAACTGAAAAATATGAGAGAAAATAATTATACATTTATGAGAATAAGGTGATCTAAGGATGTGGAGCATGTTTAAAGTAAGGATTGTTTTATTATTAGATTTTTATCCATTCAAGATCAACCATAAAAGTTACTAACTCTTAATGGCAATTTTAATAGATAGTTGAAACATAAAATTAAGAAATTCTATTTGGGCAATTCTTAAGTGTTTTCAGATGAATCCACTCATTAATTGAGATTGAGATTAATGTCTTAGGCTTTAAAATTGAAATAATTGAACATTGATTATGTTGATATGAAAACAAAAGTAGGAATCGAGATGGATATTAATAATCTCTATGAAGAAACTATTAAGTTGGATGTTTAGAGAAGTCTTCACATTCATAAAGACAAAATTAATTCAAATGTTCTTTAAAGTTTATTAAGAATCTATGCGTTTTACAATTAGGAAGTTGGATATTGCTAAGGTATGAATTACATAGCTGGATATTTGTATTTGACTTATTAGGATTAGGAAATTGCATATAAGGCTTTTGATAGAATGATGAATCTCTATTTCAAAGAATTATATATTAATGATTTTTCAAAATTGGTAAAGTCAATAATCAATATAATAGAAAACTGGATTTTATGCATTTGAAAGATTACTATGTATCTTCTTGCCTGAATTATCTTCACATTTGAAAGATTAGAAAATTGATGCCTCCTATTATGTGGCTTCTTGGTTTATTACTTTATACTCAAATGTATTTCAATACAGTTAGAGATCAGCCCTTTTGAATGTTATATGGGACTTATTTTTAGCAGAAGAATGGAAAGGTAACAGTGAGTACTAACATAGGATTTTATAAAGCGACATTTTATATATTTTCATTGATTCAATAGTAAATACTTAACCTTGAGTTTGATGAGATACTTCATTATTTAGGACAATTGATAAAATCTGAGATGTTTAGTATCAGTACAGAATAAGAGTTAATTTAATATATGCAGAAATTTGATAAATCGATTAAAGCCGATGTATCAATCAAAAAAACAATTCTATCAAGATTCAGGATCACTAATAGAATGTTAAAGAGTCTGGAATCAGAATATCATAGCTTTTAATTGAAGTTGAATAAAAAGTTTAATTAATGCATGAAGAGATGAATTATGATATCTATAATATAGTATAAAGTAATTTAGAATCGTACATCAACCTTTGTCAATCAAATATTGAGATTTATGTACTCTCGTCTATGATAGATTTAAAAATCTCCTACTTTTTATTATTATAATTCTTTATAGAATTATTATGATATTATTAAATATCTTGATTTAATATTCTTATATTTGATTTATAAGACATAGTCTGTATATTTAAAATCATAATAAACTTTTAAGTAGACTTATCAAGTCTAGATTTCTGAGAATACTTAATTTCTTAAGAGAAGTAAGTTTAGAAATTTTAAATTCATTTCCTCTATCATTATTGTCTTTGCTTAATTAAAAATTAGATAACCCAACTCAACTTGTTTCCTACTTTAGTTCACATAAAGATTTATACATGATAAATGTATATATACCAATGCGTACACGGATCATTTTGAAATTAAAATTAAATTATTTTACAGATATGCCTCCCAAGAAGACAATCCAAGAGCCAAATGTCAATGTTCCAAATGGAGATGCAGCAAAAGGAAGAGATATCTTTGATTAATAATGTGCTGCCTGTCACGCTTTTGAAGGAGATGACAAGACTGCATCAGCACCAACCTTAGGGTAAACCCTTTATTAATAATGGTTAGAGGACTTTTAGGAAGAAAGGCTGGATCAACTCAATTCCCATATTCTAAGGGTATGAAGGGTGCAGGATTCAATTGGTCTGAAAAGCACTTGTTTGTGTTTTTGAAGAATCCTTCAAAGTATGTTGTAGGTACAAAGATGGCTTTCGCTGGTCTCGAAAACGAATAAGAAAGAGCCGACCTCATAGCATACCTTGCTAACAATTGAGCAATATATAAATATAAGATAAAATTAAATTGTGGCTATAAGAGAACCAAATTTAGCAGCTCTTGTCATAATTATACATGATTCAGTCATTGTTAAATATTTGGTACTACTCGTCATTGTAGATGTTAAGTTCTTTTCTGGGGTCGAAGTTAGGATCTTTTGCTTTTTATCTAAAAGAATAAATAAAACAATTTTAACCTTTGTAGGAATTGGAGTTCAGTAGGATCATCTCTATTGATTGGGCTTTTAGGCAATTCGATATGTTCCGATAGATCTAGTTGCTTCTTCTGTCCCCAATTGATGTAGTGGATAGTGCACAGAGTTCTGGAACCCCAAGGGCCTTTAGTAAAATTAGATGCAAACCTTGCACCACAATATTTACACCAATCCTAAGTCAATAGAGGATATATATTACATTAGTGTATTTGGAATAGTCAAAGTGCTTGACTGGAATGATTCCCAGTTCTTCATAAGAATAAGGATGAATATCTTATTTGAATTGTTTCCTTTAGACTTTCTTGACAATCTTTTCTTCACTATTGCTTCTACTGGAATCCAATTACCTTCTATCACTGGGCATGGTTTCATTTTTTTTCTCATAAATTCTTCTGGTTCTGGCTGTGGTTCCAAATTATTTAAAATCCAATTTTGCTTATTTTTATTTCTTTTAATATCCTTTAATTGATATTTTGACTATCATCTTTCCTTCGAATTTTTCCTCCTTTTGCTTGGCACACAAATCACAGATCATAACCTTCTTTCCAATCTTCTAAGTTTTAGATTTCACTTCAGGAGGTGCACATTTACTATGAAATGATCTACAACATCTAACACAATGGATTAAGGCTGTTGTTGTATTAGAAGAATTAACCTTACAGAATACACAAACATGAGAGGGACATCTAAATAATTCAACATTTGAATCCAGAGTCTTAGACAATGGATTAGCCTATATACAACTCAAATGAAAGTATCTATTACAATTAGCTGTTGAACATTTTGAAATGGCTGACTTATTTTTGATTTTCTTCACATTATCTTCGAGAGGATCATTTTCATCAGATGAAGCTATAACTTCTTCTTTCTATTTCTTCTCAGGAGGATATGTTCCTTTTGATTTACACAATAAACACACTACTAGACAGTTTCTGCAATCAGGACAAGAATATCTAATATTGACATTTTCCTTCAATTATTCTTCACTCCAATTGAGTTCAGGAAATGAATGATTATTTAGAAAGTCTTAATCAGGACCCTCAATATTGATATATTCTGTTGTTTCCAATAGATCCTTGCAAGCTATATGGAAGGCTCTTCTGCAATGTCCCATACAGAACACAGAACAATTAGGTCTTTCACACACATAACACAGTTTCTTAATTAATTCTTCCTTGCTTTTTGATGCCAATCTTCTAGCATCTTCCCCTTGAATTTTCAACTGTCCTTTATTATTTTCTACCCAAATCCATGTCTGTCAATTTCTTGATTCTCCTTGAAGGTTTACTCAATTCATATATCCAATTCATTGCTAATTCTCTATAATTTTTGGCATAATTTGATGAATTAATTTTATTCAACAAATCTGTTAATATTTATTCATCATCAGTGCTATAATTAGATTAACTTAATTTGGATTCTATTAATGAATTAACACAATCCCCTACTTCCTCCATATATTTCTTCTATTCTTACAATGACATATGTATATCAAATAATTTAATTAATTTCTAACATCTGCTTTCCTGGCTTTTTAATATGATTTTCCAAAAATTTGGATCTTGAATACTTATTGACTTATCTGTTTTCTCAGAAACAAATGACTACTTCGAAACTGTATAGGATCCATTAATCAGAGAGTATTTGGCAGTTCTTGAATTCTTTTCTAATATTTCATCAATGTTCTTTTCTTAAAATGTATCTCCCATTTAATTGTTACTTAATAGACCTATGATTCCATTTTTCAATAACACTTCCATATCTTATTTACTCATCTTTTTATCATTCTTGTTATTTTTGAATGAACTTTCACATGATTTGAATTGTCCACTCATAAATATAGCTTAATCTAATCCTAATTTTTTGATTGCTCTTTCGAACATCTCTGCTTCATAAGTATCCTTAGTAATCAATCTATAAACAGTGACTTCTTTTGATTATCCAATTCTATGAGCTCTAGCTGTTGCTTAAACATCATTTTAGGGATTCCAATCAGAATCATAAATCACTACTATTTCAGCAGCTGTCAAATTGATACCTTATCCCCCTGCTTTTGTAGACAATAGAAATACTTCTCTCTTTTTCGAAGGATCATTAAATCTATCTATGGCATTCTATCTTTCTCTTGCCTTTATCTGCCCATCTATCTTTTCATACTTCACTTATCTAAATTTTAAGTACTCTTCCAAAATAGATAACATCATTGTAAATTATGAAAAGATCAACATTTTCTTGCCTTCATTTCTAAATTTATTCAATAACTTATCCAACAGAATCATTTTCCCTGAACTCTCTACTAATTTATTAATATAATCATTTTTGTTTTAACATTCCTTTGTCAAATCATTCTACATTTCTTAGATTAAATACGGATGATTACAACATTTTCGAAGTTGAATTTCTAAGTTATTTAATGAAGCAGCATTGGCAGCCCACTAAGAAAATCCCTGTTCCAACATTGACTTATTTCTTTCATAAAGTGCTTTGTATATGTGTTTTTATATAGTAGTCATTTCAATATCTATAATAGTTTCTTACAAAGGAGGTATCATCTATTCTACATCCTCCTTCTGTCGTCTCAAAATGAATGGTTTAAGCAGAACATTCAATTTTTCCACTTAATCAGAGGTCTCCAATTATCCATATTCTCTTTTAAAACTCGTTAAGTTAGAAAATGAATACGGTTCAATGAAATTGAGTAAACTAAATAATTCTTCAGTATTATTCTAAATAGGAGTTCCAGTCAATAATAATGTTCTTTAGCAACAAAGTTTTTTTAAAGATTACAAAATTCTTGCATTTGAATTTTTTAATTTGTGTGCCTCATCTACTACAATATATTGAAATGGTATATTAATGAATATGGTTTAGAAGTCTTGCATGAAGACTTCATAACTGGTAATTAATATCTAAAACTTATAGATTTCCGAGGCTTAAAGCACAATGCCTTTCATGCTAATATCAGTGTAGAAGAATTCATATTGTCTACACTATGTCCTTCCAGCAGTGCTTTCTTGATCATAATAGAGAACAGCATTCAAATTAGTCCATTCCTCAACAGTACGTTTCCAATGTTACAATGTGGATAAGGGTGCTATGATTAAAAAGGGTCCTCTATAGTTTTCAAAATTGTATAAGTGATTTAAAAATGAAATAGTTTGTATAGTTTTACCAAGTCCCATTTCATCAGCCAAGATAACATTCCTATCCTCATACCAAGCTCTAATTAGCCAGTTCAAACTATCAAGTTGATAGTCTCTTAATAATCTTCTATCCTTATAAATAGTTTGTGTAAGTTAGGTATATTCATGAGGTGGTTTTCTTTGATTCAAGAAATACAATTAATTTCTAATCTCACTGATTTAGTGATTGGATAATTTCTTTTTTCGAAGTCCTTGTTCAAAATCTACGAGTGTTTTATGATTAGAATTCTATTACATCATGAGATTCCTTGTTTCTTTATCCAAACTTCTATTGAATTACTTAAATTCTTAAATCTTTTATCTGCAATCTATCAAAGATTCAGGTTCCCATGTGGCTTCTAAATAAGATAAGTGTTTCCATTTCACTAAGTAGAGACGATCGGGTTCTTAAGACAACTTGAGGATTTCTGATTCAGTTAAGGTTTAGATGTCGTCGGAATCTAATTGTAACCAATCAAAAGATTTATCTCCTGGATTCCAAGCTTCGATGTCCGGATCAACATTATCCATTTGTTGTTGGAAATCTAACATTTCCAATTGCATTTCTTAAGCAACATCAATGTCTTTAGTCTAGAGTTAGGATTTGAGATAATCTTCGAGATCGAAAATGTCCTCACTCTTGATTTCTAATTTTAGATTCAATTTATCTGATATGATTGATTCGATTTCAGGCAGATTCTCTTGAATAGTGTATTATTTCTCATCGATGATATTTAGGACATTAAGCACTAATTCATTGATTTTCTCCTTCTTCAATTCAGGCATGATTTCATTTCTGTGTGCATCATTTACTTTACTTTTGTATGCATCCTCATTGATATATCTCTATTGTGATTACTTTTATTCATAATTCTTTTTGGCTTCTTCATACCATTAATTGTAGAGTACAATTGCACATTCTCTCAAAGTATCACTGATTTATTTCATTTCACTATTTTCTTAATATTCTTGATAGGCACTTCTAAATACTGTTCCCAATTCATTCCAAAAGTCATTGTTAGTCTTGTACTATCCCAAATATAAACGATTATTTATGGTGCCAAAATCAAGGATTGCTTTGCTTTCCAAAAAGTATACTCCATAATGAACTTGATTCCTACTGAAATTGAGTAAATGAGACATCACTTTGGTTAGACTCTCTGCCCATTTACCTTTCATTTCGGATCCTTTTTTAGGATGGACAATAGGAAATATTTCTGTACATGATAATACTCGATCGACTTCTTGAAATGCTGGATCAAAATATTGAGCATCAACAACTTCCTCAAATTCCTCCATAATGCGTTTATCAAACACTTTATTGAATCGATTGATTTTCTACTTCCCATTCTTCTCGTTGAGGATCTGACCATTATGAATAAATTCAACATACTATCAATTCATCAAGCCACTTTGGTATGGAAATAGCTTCGGTCTTTTGTATTTGACCAAATATTACAGATCCCCAGTGTGTTGGTCTGTTTTTCGCCACAAAATTTGATCAATCTCAGGAACGAATATACGCCTTGATTCACTTTCTAAAGTTGGTTCATTCATTGACTCTTCTTCCTCACTCATAGTAGCTGCATAATTCCTCTTGATCGCTCTGGCAGACCGTCTTTCATTACTAATTCCATTTTACTCTTCACGGTAGTTTTCTTCTTCCATTAAGTTGTACCTACTAATGTAACTAACATGTTATACTTTCTCTTCTACTTTTCTCGTAGTCTATCTGATTGTCTATTGGTTGGGTCATTCTCACTTTCTAAATCACTCATTTATAAAATAATAAGGGACAAAAAGGTAAAAAAAAAACTATATGATAAATTTTTCTTCTTTTTTTTGAATTTCAGATATATATGCTCACAAATCGGCGCGCATTTAATTTTTTCATATATTCTATAAATATGATATTGTCATAAGTTCAATTCTCACAATTCTTGTCACTCTTTTAATATTAATATTTTTATGGATCCAAAAGCTCAATCCAAAAAATATTAATAAAAAATATTATATGTTTCATTTCACTCCAATAACAGACTAACAAAAGAACCTTATCCTTTTACTAATACCCTATCGCTATAGATTAAAGTTGTGGTCTATTTCCCACAAATATAAATAATTATTTGATAATTCTCATGACTAAATAAAACACAATAACCAAGAAGATTCAGGTATTCTATTCAAAGAGCTTTAGGATTATGTTAAAATTTGGATTCAGTAGTGCTAGATAAACAAGTTAGATTTTAATATTTGATTTTTCTTCAATAAGAATATTACTGAAAGAAAATATCATTTATTATATAACTAATCCTTTTAATGAAACCAAAACAAATGATATTGGAATTTTATTAATAAACTTTATCTTTTAGTACAATTACAATGCTTAAGAACCTGTAGTTTTGTTCGTTAAAGCATCTATGCACTGTTACGAACTAATACTTTTGGAAGTATTATCTTTTACAAAGTCTTATTAGTTCAGATTGAAATAGGAGTCATCAAATATGATAGGAGCAACTTTTATATTAAAAATTAAGAATGGGATGATTTACTTTAAGTTGGTTTAGATAATGACAGAAACTGATCAGAAACTTCATGATGGTAGAAATATTTAAATGATAAATTAATTCTCTATAAATATTTACTAAATAAAATTTATTTAAAGGTAAATTTAAAGTTTTCTAATTATTATAATATTTTTATTCAGATTGGAAATGTAGTTACAAAAATGAATGCATTTTAAGGAAATTAACTGATTGATACAGAAATGTATTTAGACCATATTACCTTAAAACTGATATATAATTGTAATATTATTGTGAGTCTTTTTAATTAGTAGCTGATTTGTATCTCATAAAAACAATAGATAGCCTATTAATCAATTCGGAATATAGTTAACTTTTTAAATTAAGATAACTATTACAAATTCTTATACGAACTTGGAATCTTGATCCATGAAGTAATAGAACAAACTGAAAGCATGGTTTTATCAAAGAAAGTATAAATATAGATAAAATAAAAAAATGAATAAATAATTGAATAACAAATCATTACATATCCGCAATTCTCCAAAGAGCATTTGCTAGTTCTTGTTTACAGACAGATACAATATGCTGATCTTCAACCTTACTTTAATAAGGCTAAGTATGCAAATAAAGTCCAGTACTTATATGTTTAAGTTCTTATATATATAATAATACAAACTTATAATTGAATATTATTTGAGTTCTCTATCATCTGAAATGATTTACCATTCATCCATATCATGTTATACACAACCTACTTCTCCCAAGTCATTTGTAGTTAATAAACATTTTAAATATGATTGTGTGATCGGATGATAAATATGAATTTTATTTTAAATCGATATGAATTGCCACCAGTCATATTCATAATTACAATTATTACAAGTGCTTACTTCATTCGATTTATTATGTTCATGCTTGATTGCATGGGAATGCAAGTATCTTTGAGTATGTAAATTGTATAATTTTATTTTGTGGTGCTTCTCCATCTTGATGCCTAATGGCAACCTATCAAAATTTATGGTTGCACTATGTTGAATCTGAAATTACGAATTCAGTTCGACAGATTAATTTTGATCTTATTCTGTTTCTGGGTCTTCTTTTATAATAATGCTTTCAACTTAGCTCAATAATTCAGACTTAGTTCTTTTATGAGATATTTTTTGATCTAAAAAGTCTTACTCAAATATTTCCATTCTTGGATAGTCAGAAATAGAGGAACGAGAAGTTTACTCTTTAAAACAATTTCCCATTTTTATATATTTATATTGATCAGCAAATTAAATATTCAATAAAATAGGTCAAAATAATAGTAAAATTATTATCGAAGAATGGAAATTAAACGCTTGGGATCATTCCATTTTATTTGAATAAATAATTTTGATATGATTGAATTCTAAATATGTTAATGTCATTCTTTTTTTGAATTGAAAAAACCAAATACCGGAGCATCTGAAAAGGCTTTCTTCAATTCTGGGGGAGGGGGCATCGATGATGTTGATTATTTAACAGGAGAAGATGCTTTCAAATTGAATTACTTCTACTGCTATTATTAGGTATTGAAATTGGTGTTATTTGTGTTTGTGTTTTTGGTTTGAGTTATAGGTTTATCATTATTCTTTTTTCTTTGATTGGGTCTCTTACCCTTTTAATATGGTTCTATGATAAAATAGAGTGCATACTTGAATAAGCAAAATCATATAGATCATCATTTACAACCTATTCTGAATCTTTTAATAGCTTAGATTAACAATATTAAATACATCAACTAATTATTTGGCTATTCTGGGATCCATAGTATCCAAAGTGATCATAGTGATACTTCTTCCCTTATCACCAGCTCTTCCTGTTCTACCAATTCTGTGGACATAATTATCAATTTAATTAGGGAAATCGTAATTGATTACTAAACTAATGTCTCTTACATCAAGTCCCCTTGATGCGACATCAGTAGCACATAACAATTTGCATCTTGAAGATTTGAATTCCTTCATGACATAATCTCTTTATTGTTGAGTGCGATCACCATGCAAAGACATACAAAAGAACCCATGTTCAGACAAATAAAGTGGCCAAGTCTTCGCAATCCTTTTTGGTTTCAACAAAATATCAAAACCTTATCTTTATTTGATAATTCTTCCAAAATATAAAGTAATCTAAAAATAGATATTCAATTTTATACTCTTCCTATTTTTCATTTTGATATAAACAGATTGTTTCTTATGTGATGTTTTTGTTAATTGTGACTTCTTGACTTCCAATGTATAAATTAATTGGCTCATTGTGACACAAATCACACGCTAAATTTTACACTGTTCTTGGCCAAGTTGCTGAAAAGAATACTGTTTGTCTATCTTCTCTAATATAGCTATCAATCTTGCGAACTTGCTATTCAAATCCCATATCTTTTAAATATATAATATCATTATACCAAGCATGCGATCTGCTTCATCTAAGACTAAATAAGTAACATTATGAAGATTAGTTACTTGAGCATCTAAGAAGTCGATTAGTCTTCCTGGAGTTGCAACAACAATGTCTGGATCTCTGGCTAATGCCATCTCTTAAGGTCTCTTATCAGCTCCACCATAAATACAGGCGGAATTCATATTGTATGCTTCAGAAAAGTAACTAATATGCTCTAAAATATGTGTTCTTTTAGTACCTTATATTTGCATTGCTAATTCTCTAGTAGGCACTAGTATTAACATCATAGGGCCTCCCTTTTTACGTTAACATTCTATATGAACTAATCCTGGAAGAAGGTAGGCAATTGTTTTGCCAGATCCAGTTTAAGCGATTCCTATTAAATCATGTCCAGACATAATGATTGGAAATACTAAATGTAATTATACTAATTTAAACCTGATGCTTGGATTGGAGTGGGTCTTTAAAAAGCTTTGAGTGATATACGCTTGTTCAATTGATTTGGAAATTGGCAATCTTTCCACTCAATAAATGGTTGGGGCACTTCTATTTCATTTGATTCCACCACAATTTAATGTTCTTCTAGATACTCGCCGACAACTATGTCTTCATAGATTCTCTAAGTTGGGTCAATAAAGACTTTCTTGATAGGTGTCGAATTGACTTATGGTCTGGTCTGGGGGTTGCGATTCAAAAGCACTTGGCATATTACGAGCACAAGATACCAGCAAAATCTCTTTGCTTTGTATTATTATTTTAATGGTCCATTAATTAATTATTAAAATTAAAAGCATATATTAATATTGTAATGATATAAAAATAAGAAAGCTAAGTTTAAATGGATTCATAAAGGTAGAACGATAGCCCTCAATAATTAGTGTATCGAGAATCACAAGAGATATTTGGATTTAAGAAAAGTTCTTAAAATGATGACTTTGTCAGATCACCTCAAATCTTGTATGAATTTTACTCTGAGGATCCGATTCAGCTTGAACTTTTTAGAAATATGTCATAAGAGCAGCAACAACAACACTTAAGACAAGAAGAATCCTAAAGATTTATAAATGTAATTGAATAACCTGACCAAACTCAAGAAGAAAAAGATTCTAATTTGGGGTTAGAGCAGGAACAAAATTAAGAACAATCAAAAATAAATGAATAACACTAGCAGAACATTCATACTCTTTAAAAAAAATAGGAGAATGAAGAATAAGCATTTAAATATTTTTAAATCTTACAGAATGATCCCAGTGAAATCTAAAAATTACAACAACAGCCTTGCAATTGCAAGAATAGTGGATGTCTAAAGAGATATTGCAGATGCTTTCATAGCGGTAGAATGTGTTTAAAAGAATGCTAATGTTCAGAAGATTGTTAGAACAATGAATAACATTAAGAATAAAGAAATAATGCAATTATACATGTTGATTAAAAGTGTTATAGAAATAGAAGGATGCCTCGAGATGCTCTATTTAAATTGGATGTAATATATGGATGTTCTTGCACTAAATCTAAATGTAGAAAAAGATATTGTGAATGCTACTTAAGAAATTAGAAATGTACAGACAAATGCAAGTGTTTTGATTGTTGTAATCAGTCCATAACTAAATAGACATGAATGGTTTTAAAATGACCTACCCACCTTTCCTATGATTTTTATAAATTAATTTATATAATTATGTTGCGGCTATATTATTAAGCTTTCAGCAAATTAATCAAAGTAGATCATTTAGCAATGACTCCACATCAATATTGGATTGCAGCTGGCAAAGGGATGGAACGACCATATACTGGAGAATATTGGTTTGTAAATTTTATAATCTATTTAACCAGAATCAAGAAGTTGGTACCTATCATTGTAAACATTGCGAGAATTAATTATTTTCATTTGACACTAAATACAAATCAACTACAGGGTATGCATAATTTTGGAATCACATTCCTAACAGTGTCAAATTAGAGGAATCCAATGTTAAAGTATTTACATCATTACTACATTTTTAGGAAGAAAGAGACCTATGTTGTGCAGGATGTGATAGCTTCGTTGGAAAGGTCTCTTTCGATGGACCTCCTCCAACATTCATCAAATATAGTATTAATTCAGCTGCCTTAAATTTCAAATTGAAACCCTTCTAGGAAGACCCTTACTTTAGAAAAATTGCGAGAAAAGAATAATAGGCTTAACGTTCTAAAAAAGTGGAGCACAATTATTTAGAAAGCAACAAAAATTTGTGATTTATATATTAATCAAAATATTATATAGAGTAATAAGATTTATGCATTAAAATCATGAATTATTTGCTCTGTTATATTAATTCTTTCGCAAATACACAATAATTCAAAGTAAATCAATGATTTGTTGAATAAATTATGATCAGATTTAAAATTTCCTAGGTAGAAGAATATTACTGAAACATTTGATTAATTGCATTTATAACAATGAATTAAGTATGTAATTTACAGCAATTGATTTGCTATAATTTCATAAATAATTCTTTCACAAATTGTTTATACAAAATAAAATATAATTAAATCAAATATATTTATAAATTAATATATCAATAGGGAGAAGCAAATAAAATAATGTATAATTATTATTTCAAATTTATAAATTTAATTTAATAATCTCACACTCTCTTCATCATAGTTACTATTTCAAATTTTATTTGTGTATTTCTATTAAGTCAACTAAGAATGTATATATTAATGGAAAATACAATTCTAAGTAAACATTCTGTAATATGATATCTACATATTAAAATACACTTGTGAGCTCTTTTTCTAATTATTTGTAGTGATAATGAGAGTATCGTTTATGTAAGCGAACGATGCAATGTGCCAGCTTGCTCCTCAGTATAATTAATTGATTTAAATTATAACGAAGATCATCGTGGATATCGTCAGATAATTCTAATTATCCAATGATATTAATGAAATTCTCTGCAATCACAAGAGGCTAATTGATTTCGTTGATTTGAGAATTGTGAGGTTTATGATTGCTGGAAGAACAAGCCAATCCCATTTGAAATTAATTAAATTTATAAAGAAAATAGCTTTTAATAATGAGTGAACATTTGAAATTGAAGAAAATAATATATTCTTTCATTAGTTTCAGACTATTTCGCCTATTAATTAACATTTTTTATATAGAACTTTGATTTTTTTTTTAATTCAAAATTATAAACAGTAATTAACAAAAGAATACTATTCAGAATTGTAATATTACAAAAATGATAAGAAAACATAACTTTTTTAGATTTTCACAATAAAATTTAGTAAGCAATTAATGCACTTTAAATTCTAAGTAGATGTTTTAAAATGTGAAAATTATAAATATAAATTTGATGTTAATAATCAAATAGTTATTCTGATAGACATCATTTCAACAATTTTAAAGGATTAACTACTTTCTTATCTTTATTGATTTAGTGAATAATTTTAGTATTAATATTAGAATTCATGAATATGTATGTATATTAAGTATTTAGGAATTTGTGATTAATGAGATTCGTTAATTAAATTATAATGATTGCAGGACAGATAATTGAATTCTTTTGGTTAATGAGTAGTTTAGTTTTATTTGGCTATGCTGTATTGTCAAAGTTTAGATGGAAGGAAAATGTACATTAGAGTCGCAAGACGAGAATGAATAGCTACAAATCATAGAATTTGCCTAGAAATTAATTTGTGATTGAGGGTGAGAATAATGTAATTTTTAGAGGCTGAAGAACAACAGTAATGTAAAAGTGAAGAGGATCTTCCATAGCAACAATAATAGCAAGAGGTAATCAATTGAAGTGAGTAATTTAAGAATTAATCAATAGCATAAATAATAAGACCGAAAGTAAATTATTTGATTAACGTTCATTTCTTATTATCATCTGTGGCCATAATAAATATATTAAATGGAGGAGATAATATATTTTTGTTGGTCATGGTAATCTTATATTTGGTTAGTACAATTATGATAGTGGCCAAATTCAGTATGAAATGGCTATTTATTCCTTAACTAATGATTTTGGCAATGATGATAAACTACTTGATAGTTATATGATTATAATATATTCATTTAGTAAATTTTAACAATTCTATTAATATCTCCTTAGATAGCATATTGATATCTTAAGTGTTCAATATCTTCTATTTATTATCAAGTAAAAAGATCATAGCATTGGCTTTCAATTCTTATGCAGAGAATTTATCAGCCAAATTAACAACTTCAATCACATTTTTTAAAGAAATGTTCTTAATCTAAATAGATAGCATTATAATATATACTAAATGATCTTCACATAAATTCTTAAGTCTCTGCAACATATACTTATCTGCTAATGCAAGCAAGTCTTAAACAATATAAGAGTCGATGAACACTTCATCGGTATAAATGTACTACAGGATTGCTAGATGATGAAATTGTGTGATGAATACCTTTGAATACATTAATAGTTGTATCAGTGATAGCCAACTTATCGCCTAGATTGAATTGTTCATTTAAAAATAGGGTCTTGAAATATTCACAACGGGATGCCAAAATGATCTTATGCGCATAAATCTCTTAATTCTCAACAAAGAATGTGATATCACTCAATACAGGAGAAAACAAAATGCTGGAGAAGTCTTGTTTTAGGGTTGATTCTGCTAGTTTAATAGTGGACTGTTATTTAAGCATATAGACATCATTATATGATTTCTCACTATCATTGCCTCCGAAAATCACAATAGTATTCTTATAGGCAATAGCAGAATGTCGACATCTGGGTCTTGGGGGAGATGATTGTTAAGATGTGTTCTCTTTAGATGAACATCTAAAATGAGGGAGAATTTCTTATTCGTTGATTACAATATATTCCCATTGATTTTCAGTGATATTGTACATGAAGACATCATTTCTCCATTGTTATCCATCATATCCTCCAAACAAATAGATCTTATTATTCATCATAACAGCTGAAGCACTAACTCTTGGAGATGGCGTACTTCCCTTTGGTTACAAACGTGTCCAGACATTGTTTTCGATGTCTAATTAATATAAGTCATTAAGTTGATGAGATCTATCAGGTTCACCACCAAAAACATAAATTTTATGGTCGTAGATTACTGAACTATGTTATAATCTGCCTTAAGGTTTCTGTCCTGTGGTTTCTACTTAAGTCCAAAAACATTTTACTAGATCAAATTTGTAGAGATCACTCAACCACATTTTACCATCTCCTCCTCCAAAAATATACATAAAGTCTCCACAAATATTGGCTGTATGGAACTGTCTCTTTGGAGGAGTATTCTCTGATTTAAGATGTTACCAATCTATACAAACAACATTCATTTATTCACTTGGAGTCATCAAAATAATATCATCCAATACTGTATAACCATTCCATCCTCCATAATAGACAATCTTATCATAATAATTCTAAGCACTGTGACCCATTCTTACATCTGGTATCTATCCACTCACCTTGATTTAGGATGTCCAACTAATCATACTATTATTGCATTACTTTAATCTTTTTAAATCCAAAATATGTATATCATTGCAGAACTTCTTCCTTCCTTCTCCTTCCTTGCCTCCAAAGATGATCATATAATGTTTAAACGTAGTCGCCGTATGACAATTCCTACAAGTTGGCAATTATGATGCAGTTGTCGCCTTTATATTTTCCCATTCATAACTAGCAAATGTAACTAATAATACATCACTCACTCTTACCATCATCTTCTTTGTTATCTGTCATCTCCGTCTTTCTCATACAATAATCCATTTATAATTATTAATATTGTTTTTATAATTAATACTCATCTAACCTTCAACTTTTATCTTCTCTTGTTTTTCACTCTCATTATTAAATATACTCCTGAACTAATTGTAATAGTTGCTATCCATGGAATAGATATATAATAAGGTGTATCTACATATTAAATATTTCCAGCATCCTTTAAAAACTTGATGCCAATGAATGTCTCTTCAAAGAGAGTCCACACAACCAAATATCTACATTAACCTGATTAATCTTAATTCCCCTTCAAATCATTCCATTACTCCTACCAACTCAGTACTCCCATTTCAAACCAAACAAATAATCTATATGATACCATCCAACATTTAGGTGGAACCCATAATTAACTCATTAAGAAAAATCCAGCCAAGAAATTTATAGTCAATGCTAACCAAGTACCAATTGAAGAACCAAAATATTTATAGTCATGCCAAACCAACTATTAAGTAAATGATTTGTCCTTTCTACCCAACCAATCAAATTATCCAATCCCTAATTTCTTACTAACCCACAATCCCAAAAACACAATTAACGTATTACCAATTAATACATCTAATAAAACATGATACCACCAACATTCTCTAAAATGTGGTAATATATGCTGCCAAGATAGTTCAATTACCTCATTAAATATTTACCAGAAATTTAATAACCATGCATCTCTTAGTAAGAAGGCCAGTAAAAACCAATTTAAACAATGCTATAGGAAATAATGATCTAAATTATCCACTATGTTAACTAATTCAAACTCACAATTATTATCGTAAGTGGGCATATCTTTTGTAACCTATCTTCCCAAACTCTCATCACCCAATTTTATCAATTATCTAGCTTCCCTCTCATTTTAGAATATCAAAAATATCAAAAAGCATTATAACATACTCCAAACCAAAACATAAATCTCCAAAATTCTGAAAACCGTTTTATTGGATCATTGTAAGGTCTCAATGAACCCATCATACATATAAATAATATGCATCTTACAATTCCTCGGTATCTATTTTTCATATTATCATAATCTTTTTATAAGGGAAATAGATTAATGTGGAAGCGCTTAGAAAAATAAAAATTATTCCTAATATCTCATTTATATGAATAATTATTATTAGTTTATCAATCAGATATCCATCCCGAAATAACAATTCCAAGTCAAAACCATTCCAGAAGTCATTAATTTTAATGCCAATAGCAACACTTACATGAATAAAATCAAATGTTAAACTCAATTAACTGACGAAAATAAAATTGAATAACACATTAAGATATTCAAAGATTAATCAACCTAATGTGATTTAACTACATTAGATCAAGCTACCTAATATGATTAATTATCGGAACAAGAGGAATAAATCATATAACTTGTAGAATCAAAAGTCACTTATACAAATTGTCTACTCTCATAAATGGAGTCCATTGATATGAATAATTTTCAGCCAAGATAAGCAGCCTCAATTTTCTAATCAATAGTATACCCCTCTACATTAATGACTTTGATATAAGAAAATAATAATACAATTTATGAATAATTGTTGGTAAACCAAAATTAGACATTTTTAAATGCAATCTCATAATTGACTAACAATAAATAAATCAATGACATAAGAAATTAGATATAATAATGTTTAGATATGCTTATTCTAATAAATAAAGGTTTAATCGACCAACATTTTCGGAAAGATTATAGCATTGTTGATTAATTATCATTTAATGAAAACTGTTGTGAACAATAATCTCCAGGATGGCTCTTAACACCCACAATCAAAATTGCAGACAGTTAGAACTTCTCTACTGATTCGCTTATCATTAATAAATGATTTACTATCTAATTATAAATAAAGATAAAGTCAATTAAATATATCATCTACGCAGGTTACTAACATTCTTAATAATTATTGATTTTCTAAAAACATTATATGAGCTGATCTTCCAATCATATTGTCAATAGTTCTATTTCTAATAATAGGTTATAAATAATATTACTCTTTCAAAACGAAATTAACATCTAATCTTCTCACTTATGTTGCTCTCATTCCATTAAAAATATTATCAACCATTTTCTCATATTTTCTTGAGTTCTTTATAATTATAAATATAGATACTTAATCACTTCTTTCAAAATTCTTAGAGATTCTTGCACTCTCAAATGGAACATATGAATCCTAGGCTGAACTAACAAATAGGATATTCTGGAACCAATTTAAACCATCCTGTCTTGACAATTGATAAAGGAATGTATTTTCAATTTATTCAGCATCAGTCATTGCTAATTATTATAAAGAGACGGATTTTCTCATTCTTTTTAGAAACCATAATCCTGCATCAATAAGTAAACTATTATTGTAACCATATCCTAGATGGGGACTTGACAAAGATATGTATGTATTCATATTGATCTTGAAATCACTCAAATGTGGTAATGCAGCTCTGACAATCACTCCTCCCATTGAATGACCAAGAAAACTGATTCGAAAAGGATTATTCTTTATCCAATCCAATATATATTATTTAACTTCCTAGGCTAGATTCTAACCCATGTCAGAGAGATTTCCATCAGTCAAATCTTCATTTGCTCTACTCATTAAATAGTGATGATTTGGATATTATAATTGTAGATTATTCTTAATTAATCTCATGTCCAAAGAATTTCCTTGAAATCCATGTACCAAAACAATTAATTGCAAGATTTATTCTTATTAAACTAAAGGCTAACTAATCTGATAGATTTCTTCAAATAACACAGTTGCCTACTTTTAATCAGAGAATAGATTTTCATCAATAATATCCAATTACTATTCCATGATAATAGGTTTTCTTCTAATTTGATCACTAACATCTTGATGTTATTTTTGACATAATGTTCCATTGGAAAAGGAATTACATTTAATGACTTCTCTAAAATATGTTTCTCCCCATTTATCTTTTATTTTAACTTGATAGTCTTGTTGTAATAGTATTCGATATTATTTTGAATTGTTTTATATGATATTAATTAGTATGTTTTGTAGTTCAAACAGAACAGAAGAATATTGATTAATATCATTTTCGATTAGAGTAGATAACAGGTTTTAATCTCTAATGTTCTTTAAATTTAAAACATCAGAAATTAATATATTACCTTTAGTATGGATATTCTCTTTAATAATTGAGGATTCTTGATATTGGATGTATGAGAATTTAGGAATAGTAGGTAATTTGGATAATTCCTCATATAATTTTAGTTAACCGCAAAGCTTAGCCACTTATTATTACAGCTATTCACTAGTTAATCTCAATTATCCAATATAGTAATCAAAGAACTCTTGACTCTTAGTGAATTTGTTAGTGTGTTTATGAAGGAACTCTGTAAATGTCTTCGGTTGAATTGATATTTTAGAGCTATTAGCTTTTTGGAATTCACTTAATCGAAACTTAAAATCTTGAAGATTAGAATTCACAGTGCAATGAACCTGACAAAAATGATTGGTATCAAACATGATTGGAACATATTCATGTACTCCCTTATAAGAATTGCAGATTCTCCCTTAAAATGTAGCCACACACTTGAAAAGAGATTCTTCATTAGGAGGACCTCCAATTTTAGCTAGATCTGCACACATTAGTTCACATATTAATTTGAATTCATGTTCATAATGAGGAGATGCTGAGACTTCTATTTTAAAAATGCAACTTTCATCTATCTCTACTTCTTCTTCTTAGAATCGTATCATAAATGTTCTAGTTTAAAAGTACTGTTCGTCAATCTGGCTTGGTTGCCAAGATTCTTTTTTTTTGTTATTATTGGTTTCAAAGTAATTGTAAGGAGTGGCTTACTCACCATTGGATTTGATCAGAAATCTCAAGTAATAGAGTCCTTAATTGAAGAGATCAATGTTTTTAAATGACTCTACATGAATAATATGTTCATATGTTGCCCTAAGCATTTAATAAATTAACTGTTAAAAATATAAATGGAATTGAAACATCTGAATAAATTTGTAGAGGAATACAAACTCATCAAGAACGATAAATTAATCAAATACCTTCTCATTCTAGGCATAGGGTTTGTAAAGCATAAGCTAGAAGATATAAATTAGGAAGCAATCAAATTATTAGCGAGTAATTTTGATTTATTATCTAGATTCATTCAAACAGAAGTCTATTCATTAGGAATTGAAAAATTTGAGAAATAAGGTTCTCTCTCTAGAGAAGCATATTCAACCAGAATAACAAATTAAATATCACAGTCAGCCTAAATTAATGCCTCCCAAAGTTACACCAAAAATCACTGAATAAATTCCACTTTAATAGAATGTTAAAAAGGCAGTACCATTTAAGCATCACTTGGATGATTCTGAGATGTAAGAATTCTTAGTTTACTATAAAGCAAATCAATATTATGGAATCAATATAGCGACAATCATATAAGCAATAATGATTCTTAACATTAACCTCCAAGAAAGCAAACTATTGATTAATAACCGATAATCCCCAAATATTTACCAAGAAACAACTCACAAACTGAAATACATCCTCTATCATAACGTGAGAACAGCACCAGACAAGTTACTTAACGATCATCTCATCATTCAAGTCAATTTGACAGTTTGCATAATCGAAATTCTCCGAAATTCAAAGGAGAGAAGAAGAAGAGCATATGCAAAGAGAATAAGGCATCTGGGGGAGCGGGAGGAGTGCCTAAACATCTTAGATAAGTGTAATCAAAAATAAAATCGTAAATTCAATATGACAAAGAATAATATAAATCCAATAATAGCTAAAAAGAAGAAGAATAGACAATCAACATTGCCAATAGTTCATTAAATCCATTTAATAATACCCCATAAAACAAATTGTTTTAGCCTTGTCATTCTACTCATTTTGGCAGTGGTTAAGTGTCAAGTGCTAAACTCCAATAATAATAGATGTAGATTTAGGATTTAAATAATATTACCGAAAGGAAAGTATTCAATCTTGATGAAATTGCATCTTCATTTTTGAATTCTCCATTCATGAAGAGTCAGATATCTCAAAGACTGTTTGCGAAATAAGAGTCTGCCTCACAATCATCATCATCAAGTACATTCTCCTTATTTAATCCGAACAATGAACTAAAAAGTATGAATATATGACTTATATTTTTTTAGACTTCTTCTAGTAATTAGATAAACAAGTAGGAAACTCATTGTCCTTTTAATTTTGATTTCATTTTATTTATACATTATAGTTAACCTTTATCAAATATATTATTTGTTCTATTTTTATTTCTTTGGTTGTCTATTTATTAAACTGATTTAAGAAATTTAAATTGGAATCATTATTAAATGAATTTATTGAAGTTTCTTTATGGAGAACCCTCGAAATAATAAGAAGTGAATTAGCAAGTACAGAAACATATAATCTACTCAAATGAAGATGAATATCAGGGTGAGATTCTGAATGATAAACGTCATGGCAAGGGAACCTATAAATTTGCGTCAGGGAATCGTTACGAAGGGTAGTGGAAGAATCATCAAAAGCATGGGAAAGGTAAGCTCTACTACAAGAATGGGGAACTGTACATAGGGGATTGGGTTGAGAATAAGAAGTGCGGAGAAGGAATGCATTTTTATATAAATGGGGATAGATATGTTGGAGAATGGAAAGATGATTAGAGGGATGGTGCAGGAACTTTATATTAAGCTGATTAAAATATATTCCATGGTATTAGAAGATAGATTATGCAGGATAGTTTAGAATGAATAAAAAGTATGGAACTGGCTATTACTTTAACACTCGTGAGAAGAAATATTACAAATAGCATCACGAATCTGACAATATCTTAGATAGTGTGTATATTGAAGAAGTACCAACCTATGTGCTTGAAAAATTCCATATAAAACCAGAAAGACACCATTTAGAGAGTGAGAGGAGCGAAGATTGCGCCATTAAAATAGAAGCTAGTCCTACAATATAGAACGATAGTGATAAATAAAAGGACATGCAACCTAGTGGATAGAGTGGTTAAGGGGAATCCGATCCTTAATAGAAAGAAGAAGGTAAATCATAGTTAAATTCTTTTGGCACTTCATAATAACATGGATTTTTGAGTTTATAAGTATTGGAGAAGTTGGAAGAGTTTGAGAGTTAAAAAAATAGTAAGATTATTCAAATATATTAAAAATATAGTGTAAGAATGGTAATTGGAGGATGTTTGCAATTGGTTGGATTCATTACATTTAAGTGAATATAAAGATGAATTTATTAAAAACTAAATGACAGGCAAAACCCTTTATGCTTTAACTGATAATGATTTAAAATAAGATTTGGGAATCTCAGTATTGGGACATCGAAAGCAGATTTTGTAGTCTATTGAAGAATACAAGAAATACTATGTGAAGTTCATGGGGGGGAAAATCCTATTGAAGAAGCCTTTAGAATCTTTGGAAGATAGAAAGGGAGTTTTTAATTCGATTGAACAATTGAGATTTAAGAGCCTCTTTTCTTATATGGAGAAGATTGAAGAGGAGCAAAATGAACATCATGATAACAATATAAGTTAATCAAGTAGTGATTCCCCAAGTGCCAATAAGAGGAAGAAGAATATTAAAGATATTCCTAAATCACCAACGAGATCTATGTCTAATGATTCAGATCAAGGAAACTTGAGTGATAATAATAAGTCATTGAAATTGAAGAAACAAAAAAGTAAAAGAAGCAAAAAGTAATAAAGAAAATAAACATTGGATTTGTAGAAATCAGGAGAATCAGCAGACGATGAAGATGGTAAATAGCATCTAACATCACCTGTTTGTATATGATATATTATATATTTAGAATCTCCAAATAAAGCTAGTGTGAATATAAGTGAATAAAAGATTGATATGCTAGTATTGAATGAATGCTCCAATGTTGTAGAAGAGAACAAGGAGAAAGATAGTCATCCAATTAGTGAATTATCAAAATAATAATCAACAAATAAATAATAGGAATTGTAAGATGCAATGTCATCGAAAACTCCACCTTAACTCACTAATAACAATGATGAAAATGCTACTTAATAAGAAAAGTTATAATCAATTAGTTAACAATTGCAACGATAGAAATCAGAAGTTAATGGAAGCAAATTTTAAGATTAAGACACCTCAAGTTAAGAATCTGATGTGTCTGGAAATGATTCAAGTTCAGATTCATCAGATGAAGAAAAATACAAAAATCAAAAGAGATCTAGAAGATTAAGAGAAATTAATAAGAAAGAAAAAGAAAAAGATGATAGACAATAACATCACCTGCCAAAAAAACTATTAGTGATGCTAAAAGAATTTGGAATCAATGAAAGAGTATTAATAGTATTTCATGAATTGATTATTGGATAAATTATTGGTGAAGGAGGTTATGGAGTTGTGCATAAAGGAAAATGGCTTGGTTAAGACGTGGCCATTAAATCGTATGGAAAAAGAAAATCCCAAGGAAATTTGAAATACAAGTTGTAAATGGCTGATTTCCTGAAAGAAGTAGAAGTTATTTCTAATCTACGTCATCCAAACATAGTGTTGTATATGGGAGTGTGCATAAGAAAATAAAATTATTATTTGATTACCGAATATCTGGAAGAAGGAAGTCTTTTTGATCATCTTCATAAAAAGAAGACTCACATTGATCAAAAAGCGTTGATGCAAATAGTTGAAGACATTGCCTTGGGAATGAATTATCTACATGGTAGGAAGGTTATGCATTGCGATCTCAAATCGTCAAATGTACTGATAGATTAAAATTGGAATGTTAAATTATGTGATTTTGGGTTATCTAAAATCAATAAGAAGATAGATCACAAAGTAAACAAAGGGGCTAGAATAGGAACTCCTAATTGGATGGCTCCAGAAATTATGAGAGGAGAACCATATCAAGAAAAGTCCGATATTTATAGTTTTGGAATGATCCTTTGGGAAATTATAACTTAGTAAATACCATATGAAGGATTGTCATAAACGTAAATTATTGGATCTGTTGGATATGGACAGGATTAAGTTATTATTCCTTCTAATAGCAATCCTCCAATACTACTTTAAATAGCCAAAAAATGTCTAAAGAAGAATCCAAATGAGAGACCTACTTTTGCTGATATTGTAAATGAAATTCAAATGGGACAAAAAACTGATGCTAAACTCAAAAGTAATTTCTTTTATTTATTTATATAGAATAAGCTATAAGGTAACTTATAGATTTTTTTGAGTGATCAGAAAAATGAAAAATAGTAATCATATTATTCATATATATTTATATAAGTATTATTATTAATATCTTTAGATTTGTAATAAGCTATTCTCTATTCATTCAACTATAACTCTATATTACTTGCGATAAAAATTGAAAATATATTTTAGATAGATAAATTTTAATTTATATTGAGAAAGATTCTATCAATCCTGTTTCGAAAAATAAGTATTGAGAAGAATTTTTAGAGAGATAATGGAGGATGTATAGAATAATAAGTTTTGTTGAAAACAAAATAAATGGAAAACATTTGGAATCTAATTCTAATTATTTGAATTATCATCATTTATTTTGAATAATAAGGGTTTTTCATAATCATGATGTTCATGTTTTATTGATAGATCTAAATCATATGTAGAAAATAGATGCAAATGAAGTTACTGCTGTTTATTAATATTAATATATGAATAAAACTTAAGTTTTAAAATCTCTAGTGTTAAGACAACCAACAGAAAATTTGAGAAGATTGCATCCAGTAGCATAATAAAAGAGAGAGTAATACTCTTAAACACCAGAACCACTTCAATATAAAACAAGAGAAGAGTCTCCATTCAGAGTATTGAGATCTTAGAATGGAAATCTTCCAGTATACAAAAAGTTTTTTGTGAGAAGTGAAGTACCAAGAACAGTAATAAGACATATAGAAGGAGATGTTAATGAATTCATCAAGGAATTAAGAAAAGTGTGTTCAAATGCAGATGTAATTGAGAAGGTATAAGATTGAAACATTAGATTAGGTTGGAAGAGTTGAAGTAAATGGGAGTCATACAATAAGTGTAAGAAAATGGTTGACATAATTAGGATTCTGAGAATAATATATATATAAGAGAAATAATATAATTATATTATTTGTGTTGTTCTTGATTTAATATAATTCTCAATTGCAATCCAGACATTCATACTCCAGCATTAATTGTTTAATGTCAATAGCTCTATTGATTCTGACTATTTTGTCTGTTTATCCTTAAACTATGGTAATCCATTCAGGATATCTGGATATCAAATTATTTATAATTGTTAAAATTCCATTATTGGAATTCAAATCATTTGACTTTTTGATCAGATATTTCTCAATATTGATCAAATACATATTGGATACATCTCGAAGATGAAAGTATTGTTATAATTCAATAGCAATTTATTTTAATTAGTTGTTACTTTATGAATGTTATTAATCTCTCATGATTGTGTGAGTAGAATGTGACTCTTAATCTTAGTTTTTTATGTCTTACTAAATATTCTCCATATTTGGAAGAGGGTATAAATCTATACATTCTCCTTTGATTTGGATATAATCAAGTAATTTCTATTGAAAAATAATGTTCTTATCATCATTTTAATGAAATTACTAATCTTTTATGCCCACTTCTAAACTAAGCTTCTCATTTTAGTAATATTTCCAAACTAAACGAAAAGCATCATTCCAAATAGATAGGAATTACTGTAAATATTGAACTTTAAATTCTATTTAATAATCCTATTTAAATTAAATAACTATTTCTTAAAAGGCTAAAGTCTAATTAACTAAGATGGTGTTTAAATTGAAGAACATCTTACAAAATTATTAGTATTTGGGAATAGCCACCAATTACTAAATGGTTTTGATATTTTAGAGTCTCTCAAATCTCTATCTTAAGGATTCTTTAAAAAGGATTCTCGAAATGCCAATGGCTGATTCCCTCTTCTACTCAAGCTTCACCATCTTTTTATAATTTTCAAATTATTCTATGCCATTTATAGTTAATGAGTCTTCATATAAACCTTTTAATAATAAGCATACAAAATGTACTCTTATTTTTGGTCTAACTTTTTTGAAAGTACTATTACACAATGCACTTCCCCTTAGCTTCTTTTTTCTCCTTTTTAGAGATGTGCAAAGTATTATCAGTGTTTCTATTTTCACTAATTCCCATTCTCTGAAAACTCATTAGATTATTTTATTATCTTATTTTAATATCTCTTCCACAAGACACAACATATAGTGAAAATTAAAATGTGCATTTTTAATCAAAATCTAGGTTTGAAAACTGCATAATATTTCATTTAACCCTAATACATTTCCTCTCTCTCCTCTATCTTCATATATTTCTTATCCTCTCCTATAAGTCGTTCCTATACTGATTTGTAGAAGTTTATCACGTGAGGTTTCTAACCTTCCTTTTTCAAAAACTAAACTATCATCAACTACCATTTACATCTAATAACTCAGCAATTGGCACCCATCTATAATCCATCAACTCTTAATCACAAATCTTGATCTATTTATCATCCAAACATTTCAATTAAAACGCAAAGTACATATCTGTCTTCTCATATCTAGCATCATGCATCTCTCTAAAATACAACACATCCTCTACTTAACACTTTTATTATATAATTATTAATATTTACATCTAAATTTGTTTCCTCTTTCACCTCTCTTAAGACACCCTAGATCAAAGATTCCTTAAGGTCCAATAACCCTCCTGGAGTACCCCATGCTCCCATTCTATGTCCATTCTTTTCTTGCACAAGTAATACACAATTATCCTTTACAACTATCCCTCCGACCCCAATAAAATGTGTTGCTTAACTAGGCAGTCTACTTTCACCCTCAAGTAGCCATTTTGAAAATTTCAATACAGTTCCTGCTACTCTATGCATTTAGAATCCTTATTCGATTAAGATCTACATATTATCTTTGTAATACTGGAGCCAAACGTAATTAGTCATTCTTTAGTTCAATCCAAATTGCTGTATTGTTACTGGATTTGTTTTCTCCAATTAAGTTGATTATCTTTTATTTGAACAATGTTGGATTGTTAATGTATTAGTTTAGATTACTCTTTCTGATATGAATTTAATATTTACATATGACATCCTTTAAAAGAATCCATTATAATTACATCAAAATTACTTATTTTACTAAATGAATGGGTGAAGAACACAGTACTCATCAATTTCTTCATTTTTAATATTGAATTATTATTCCAATTTAGTAAGAACTTCAAGAATAAATGTTAGATTAATAATTTTTTCCAATTTACATCAAATCTTTTTTGTTCATTTTATTTGCCTTTCTCAACTTTAGTTATTCAATTTTCGTAACAATTATTTCTTATCAAATCAACAATTCATATTTACTTAATCTTCTATAAACAATTCCTTATAAATCTAATTTCCTTTCCAATACTACTCCTATAAATCGAAGGAACAAGGATTATTGCGTAATAATAAATAAAATAAGATCTTTATAAATAACAAAAATAAAAATTATGGAAGAATAACGCAAGAGATTGAACTCTTCAATGACTTATGAAGAATATGTAAACACCTTTGATAAAGCACCAAAAAAACCTTGTTTAAAACCAAAATAAGAACCGGATGTTGGAATGGAGGATCTAGATTTGCTTAGTGATGCTTAAACAGAAATAGTAAGCATAAACCTTATAACCTAATAGCCTTAAGTGAAAAAAAAAATATACTGCGACCCAAACACAGTAATTTAAGAAGTTGAAGAAGATGGCAAAACACCTGTAGTTTGGGTAGATTAATAACTTACTCCCAGCCCAATGAAGATGGCAAGATAAAGAACATAAAGCGAGAATATTTAATTTACTTTTATAAGTTTTGTTGAAAGAGAAATTGAGAGAAAGGGATCACGCAAATTTGAATGAATATATTTTTGTGCTAAAATATTTTTTATTATTTCTGAACCTTCCTATAATGGATAGATCAAATAACTTTGATTTGCCCAGAAACCCACGATTACTCTTGTTTGCATGATTGAAATAATGTAATACATCTGTAAATATATTCAAAAATTCACTGAAATAATAGTAAATTAAGAACTTATAATACCATCTATATCACTATTTTAATTCTTTCTCTAACACCTTTAAAAACACCCTATCCTAATGTATTAAATTGTTTTCTCTTTTAAATCAAACATTCGAATATCAACAGATCTAAAATTTCCTGTTTACTCTTCCTTCAAGATTTATCAAAGTGAAATAAATAATAAGAATAGAATCAATATGAATATAGACTATTAATTAAGGGTTTTAAAAACATTTTAATTTTTATTTTGAAATAAAATTATGATTATCAGATTTCTATTTATAAATCTGAAGAAAAATCTAGAATACTTATTTATAATGTTCTAATTTCATAAGAAAAAAACATAAAATTATTAAACTATGAATAACCTATTCATAAAAAGTCTTTAGTTCGATTTAATGGTTGTTATTTGCAGTAAGGACATGACTTTCTTTTATTATAAGGCGCTTATAACCATTTCATTAAGCATTCCTGATGAAATTTATGATTTCCTGGACATAAATATTGTGCTATTTGTTCTTTAGATTTGAAGGAATCATAACATATTGGACAGAGTTCTTAGATTATTTCTGATTTTTCATTCAATTAATATGTTTTCATTATTAAATTTTATTCCGTTTGTAATATAGCTTTCTGCATCCATTTCTCTAAAACAAACTTAATGATAAGGTATTTGACAATGCCGATTGTAACTTAATATCTTATAGAATTTCTATTTATAATAAATTATTAATTTTACATTACATCTTGAATTTCTTCTTCTTAAGTCGTCAGAATGTCCCAAATCATCAATCCCAATCCAAAACAATATAGTAAATACACAATATCTTCTATCCACCCCATATATGTATTCAATTTTTGTTTTAACAATAATTTAAATGAATTGATAAAATCCCTTGTACGCTATTAATTTAAAGTAATTATTTAAGGTATTATTAAAACATAAAGGATGGATGCACCTAAACTTAGTATAAAAATCAAAAATAAAAATGAGCATCTAAACCATGCTAATGTGAATGGCAATCTATCATTTATCAGGTTATCAAGGTAATTTTTGCAATAGTATACTCCGTGTATTAAATTCAAACAATGATGAATTATTAAGTAGAATTTGTATTGCTTTGGAGCTATCAATAGCTTTTCTAGGTTTTACATTATAATTATTAAAATTCATAATAAAAATCATTTATTATCGCAATTGTTATGTTTCAACTGTTAAATAAAACCTATAAACTAATAGTTGTAATAAGTTTCTTTATCATATGAATAACATAATTCAATTTTATAATTATAACTGTTATAATTTAAGCTGACTGCAGTTTTGTTTGATTTTTATTAAGTGGTATTTATTACTCAATCCTTATTTTTAGATTTTCAAATTTTTGGTTAAAGAAAGTGACACCTGTTCAACTGATTTGTCTTTAGAAGCATTATTAGCATTGTCCTTATTTTCAAAGATATTACTTAGGATTCTTTTCTTCTCTTACTCATTATAAGGGAATTTCATAGATTTACCACATAAAACCAATTAACTTTAAATCATCTCATGTTCATTTCGAATTTAACTATCTCTAAGAATATATTTTTTATTCTCATAATTTGATTTTTACTCTCTTGTTTTAGATGAAGACAGTACAATGTTCTTTAAATGAGAAAATATCTCACCTTATGATTCTATGCCAACAGAATTCCCCACATAGGGTTCTTTATCAGTCTAGAACCCATCTTAAAATGTCCTAGAATTTCTGCCTTCATTTTCTTATTTGCTTAATCTTATTTTATGAAATATATTTCTTTTGTTTTACTTTTGATGGAGTTTTACTGGTAAACGATGTACCGAGCAGATTATTTGTTTCTCAAGAGTGGTTTAAATTTATTGGTAATTTTTAAAATAGAATTTGGTTATCCTCTTATTAAGAGCATTATTTTGATCATTTAGGATTTTCCAATACTTTTCATATCTAAATAGAGTAATTTCTTGAGTGCTTTCTATTGGAATAAATACATTTTTGGTTTTAGTTAAACAACAAACGTAGCTTTTAAAACCTGATATTAAAAACTCTTTTGTTTATTCATCTAAATTCATGATATCGTATGGATCATTTTTGTAAGTAGGCTTATTTTATAAATAATAAGTTAAGTGTATATGATTTAAGTATTCCAAACTCTAGATTGGATCTTAACAAAACTTCTCGTTTCTATTTGTGATTAAATCAGTTCTAGTTTATATAAATTAGAATACTATAATGCTTCATTTCTATTTATGGATTTAACTAAGGAATCAATTTAACGAACCAGTCTTTCTTTTTATAAATTGATAATTAGTTGTATGATTTCTGTTGTGCTCATTGTAGAATTGCTGGCTATTTTGAATAGTTAATTTCTTTGCATTGGTAAAAATTATTTTCTTTAACTGAAAATTGGGAAATATAACTATTTACATGTCTTAATACTTGCAATTTTTAGTAATAATAACCTTGAATTTTTATATATTTTTTCACAAGTTTCTATAAAAATTTACGAGGCTCAGAATAATTCAATAATGTTTGGGATTCTATTTAAATTCTTCTCTGCTCCACCTTTAAGATCTTGTATTGTATTTTTTACATCAAATACATTCGATCATTACTCGACATTGAATTTATCTAAGCTTCCAAAATTTAAAGGTGAAATATGTATTCTTATCTGCTAGCTAATATTAAAATTATAGAATTCATTATATTATTTATTAATATTTCTGAATATAAATTACAATAAGCACTCCAAGATTCTTTAGAATAAAGTCTAATCTAAATTCACGTACTATTGATTATATATACCCAATATAAATTTAACTTTTAATTAACATTTAATATTTTGTAAACATAATAACTAATGGTAAATTGAATGCCTATATAAATAGCAAGGAGAATATCCAGAAAGAGCCCAGCCTTTAGCTAACGAAGAAGTAGAACCTTAAATTTCTAGAACTTGCATAATAAGCAGCTGCCTTAAAATAAGTAAATCCTGATTACAATCAATAGTTAAAAAAAAAGGAGCCAATGAAACTACCCAAAACATTAAATAGAGGTATTGCAGAGTTGGTTATAATTGGCTTGCTGATACAACTCCATTAAGAAATCGTTCTTCATTTGCCATTATTATGCGAGGGACAAGGTATTCGAAATATTGACCAACTTAGAATGTCCCTTATGTTTTTGTTAAGAGCAAGGTCGACTTAGGCAGAATGTGTGGTACAAGTAGAAATGTTGTGGCATGCTCTATTATAAAGGATAAAAACTCAAGAATCAATTAAAATATTACATACCTTAAGGATTTGTGCGAAAGACTCCAAATAAATTAAGAAGCATGATCAATATAAAATATGTACATTAAACAATGATATTAATACTATATAACTTGTAATACATAGAGATATTTGATATTTCTATTTGTATTGTAATCTGGATATTAATATGGTCAAAGTATATATCTATGTATTTATTTCATTTTCATTTCTGTGGATTGCTTTTCTAACTAATCTTTAACAAAAATGCCATAATAATTTACATGAATAATCTTTATGATTCCCTAACTCTTTGATGTATTACATATCTATACCATATATAATTTGATTAAGTTAATATATTTTTATCATAACTTGTCATCAAAGTAAAATACCAAATACATCTATTAAACTTAGAATAATTATCTCTTATTTCAACATTGAGTATATTTTATTTTAAAGAACCCTTTCAAAAATTAGACATTCAGTGTTAGTATGGTTTTTTTGATAAAGAAATTGCTGAAAAAATTTGAATAAAGGAAATCAGATGAATCTTTTCAATTAAAATTTATGTTTGAAATTACGAAAGTGAAAATAGGTATCATAAAGAAATAATTCAGATGAAAAGAATAAGATAAAAATATTTTAATATCAAACGACTTAATAAGTAAATTATACTATAGTTGAATCTAGATTTATCAACACCAGAGGATACGTCAAAATATTAATCGATTATTGACAAATACAATGCTTGTTTCCCCTATTTCGTTTACTTTCAAGACATCATCATTTATGGATATATCTTTGTTGTAATAATTACTGTATTTTAAATATTTTATTTAGTAAGAGCTTTATCAAATTAAAATATTTTCTTAAATAAGTTACCAATCATATTTAATGTAGTTAATTTTAGAAATTAGTTCTGAATTAAAATATTTCTATTTTAAGTTGGTTAATTTGTTGTAACATATTTTACATGGGTAATATAATCAACTTTACAGAAATTAAGGTATCATTGTAATTTAAGTTCAAAATTATACTATGAGTAGGAAAAAATTGTTAATTTTATAAAATTTGAAGTTTAAAGTGTCATACTTTTTGAATTGGTATTTTCTATATAATAATAACCATCATAATTTTAAATAAAATTAATTAAATCAAGTCTTGATCAAGCAAAATATTTCTTGTATAGACCATTCGCTGAAAATTCTTTTGGAAAAATCAATTTTTTATGGTACACCTTGTTTTGACAAGGATTATTATTTTGAGGATATAATTCTGAATTTTAACTAAATTATTCTAATTGATTTAATTAGCTATTCCATTTTGATTCCAAATTACTATTAATAGGATTGCAATTTATTCTATAAGATTGATACTAGTTAATATTTTGGGTTGTTTCTAGTGGTTCAATTTTTTTATGTAAATATTAAAACTTTTTGGTTAGATTTACACTTTTGTATCTTTTATTCTTCGACTTAGAGAGAGATGGTCTTTCTGTAGCAATTTCTTCAGGGATGTCTTTACATCTAGTATTTTAAGATAGAACTCTCTGAAATTAATTTTGTTTTAATGGTTGTAGGTGAAGTTGATCCTTAATTGGCTTTGCATTTTCTTAGAAGATTTCTTTAACCGAACCTGCTTTTCTTTTGATAGACAACTTTCTTTAGGTGCTTTATTGGTTTACAGGGATTGGTTATATCGGGGGCTTTTTATAAAAGGTAAGTAGATAAATATCTAACAATCTATAGAGAATAATAAATAAATAAAACTGCTATTTGTTATCTGGAAATTGACACGATGCAAGGTCTTTGGTTTTCATAAAAATAAAAATATTATTGATTAGAGCTGAAATATAAAAAAAAATGTTGACGGCGAGGTTCGAACTCGCGCCCTTTCGGACTGGAGCCTTAATCCAGCGCCTTAGACCACTCGGCCACGTCAACTTGTAATGATAGGTTGAATACTAATAAGCATTTAACTGACAAAACCTAATAATTAATTTATTAATTGAATAGAATGTTAGCATAAAGTGTACAAGGCTAATTGTAAGGTCCAAGATTAAGTGCTGGTCCAGGCTAGAATGTTTAAATGGGATTAGGAATGATTCAGCCGACTTTTGGACTATAATAATAGAATTCATAATAAACTTTTGTGCCTTTAAGTGCTTAACTACCTTTTCCAGGAGTTGGGCAATATAAAGGATAGTTGCCTCTCTAATTTTCAATGCCACTTTAGGGAGTGAATCAAGGATAATTATCTCAGCACTTAATAAATTATTAATAACAGCCATTAGTTGTTTAAAATTTAATTTAACCTTAACCATAAGTCTAATATTAATAATAAATTGTTCAACCTCCTCCATTGCAAATAACATAGCCAGCTTAAATTGAGAGGAAAGTGAATTATATTCCATAAAAAAAATAAATAGTGAAAATGGAGGAACAAGAAATAGAAGAAATTGTTCCAGTGGAGAGGACTATTGTAGAATATATACCTGTTTAAACAATCATAGGTATAAATATTAATTAATTTTTAAGAGAAAGTACCAATTCCTGTGGAAATACCTTACGAAGTTATGGTACCAAAACCCTATAAACAAGAAATTAAGTATCCTAATCAACAAAACTAATTTATTACAGATGATATGGGAAATCCACTTTCTAATCCTGAAGATTTGTATAAAAACAAAGTTCCTCCTACTTAAATCACAGGTTATTAATAAAAAGTTACAGAAAGTGATGATGGAGATGATGATGATTAAACAGATGAAGATGATGATGAATTGATAGAAAAATATACACGAATTATTGAGGAAATTAAACAAAGAAGAAGAAGAAGAAGACATAAGTAAGGATTGAGTTCTGATGATGAAGATGATTTCAATTTTAGTAAATTTTAATCGAAGTTTGGACCTCAATATGGAAATTAAGGTGGATTTTATGAAAGTAGATATGGTAATGGAGGGGGTGGATCCAGATAATCATCAACCATGCCGAATAGAGGATATCATGGCAGAGATAAAAGCGCTAGAGATTATTTAAATTAAAGAAGATGAGAATTATTTGTCACTTAAATATTATTAATTATTTAATGGAACTTGATTTCCTATCACCTAGAGCAAGAGAAATAAACAAGAAAAGGCTGAGTCTTTTGTATTCTCTAAAAAACTAGAATATTGAATAAAATGACCCTATCAATGAAAACGTTCCCTTCATTTAAAAGCTTTCAAGTGATCATCCGTTGAAAGATGTAATCAAGGAGTGCCAAAACAATGTGAGAGAGGGTTTCCTAACTCCTTTAACAAATGTATGTCATATAATCATTTAAGAGGTCTTCCAATTCTCTAGAATTCACTGCAAACATGTTTGTTGAGGAATTATTGGACAGTATCAAAATAAAGCATCTAAAAATACTACAGTTAGATGAACTCATCAATAATTTGAAAAATAATATAGAAATTCTTCACAAAATAGATGCTAACAAAATATTCGTCACTTCCAAAGAATATTATCAAATATTTATACTCAATTAACCTAACGATGATAATTATCAATTGTATTTAAATGATCAAAAATTATACCCTTAAATAAAGTATACTTGTCCATTTGATGCTAAACAAAAATTAAATTTTGCTTTATTTTCTAGTAATAATAAAATGCTTGAAGCTATTTCAGTTGACATGATTTATGTATCATTTGATATTTTATCAATAGTAAATATGTCATAATTGCGTAAAACTGGAATCAGATGAATATCTTTAGACACTCCAAATTAGATTTTTTGAGGATTCAAATAATCCTATTATTTATGATTTAAAGTATTTAAAACTATGTTATTATAGGATTTCATTAGTGTTCAACATGACAAGAGATTTTAAGAAAACAATAATTAATACTTTGAAAGAGGAAATAAAAGAAATAGATTATAAAATTTTAGATATGATAGAAGTCATAAATAGAATGTTGGAACCTTTTTCTAATAATGGATTCAAATATTTAAGATATGAAGGTTTAATTGACAATTAAAGCATGTCAAAAAATAGAAATCATTGTTGTAGCATTTTCTGATCATATAATAACTAAGTCTTCAACTATATTATTAAGATTTAAATTAAGTCTTATTTTGATTTTATGTTTTTTATTTAATAATACATCATTTCCTTAGAACTCTGATATATTCTTTTATAGATGTTTTAAACTTTAAATTATGAGAAGTTCATCATAATTCCCTTTATTAATAGTGAAATAATTATATTCTTTAGAATTTAGTCATCTTATATTGTTCTTTTGATTAAACCAATTTAATCAAAATCTATAATCACTTAAATATATTATATTAGATGAATCAGCCTAATAAATAGCCTATTTAATAGCAGCCACAATAAGCAAATGCCAAAAGGTAGTCAGCTATATAATTGAAAAAATATATCAATCAATTATAAGGAACAGGAGTTTTGGGTAAAAGAATATATAACTTTCAGATTATAAAATATTTGGTAAACATCATGACAATGTGTATTTTGATCAGGGGGAAATGGAGAGAATCTTAAAAAAAGTTCCTGGCACTTAGAATGGCAAAATCTCTGTGCAGGATCTAAAAAAGAGAATGTGTAAGAAGTTACAATAAAATAGAATTATGTAATCCCAATGCTGATATATCATTAATAAACACTGTTTTTCAAGGAAAACAAGAAGTCAGTGCCAAAGATATTTATGAATTATGGAATGGCGAACCTATTACAGATTATGATCCATTATAAGAGTGTCTGAATTTACTTTGTGATCAAAACGAAATTCTTGATCTTAACAAAATGAGTTAACTAATGGAGACTTTGGGTTATTAAAAATTAGATAAGCAAGATCAAGTTATTTTAATTGAAATTTTTGACATTTACAGAGATAAAAAAATAGATAAAAAAGACCTAATGGCTATATTTACTTATATTTTGTAGCATACAACTGGAATTTGATTATGATTTGAAAGTTTTCTTTTATTTAATTATTTTGCATAAATAAATGAATTATCAACAAGATAAAAGAAACTCAGTAATTAGACAAGAGAATGTAAGGGGCTCTATGAATCAGCAATTATAATCTCCTCAACAACTTGATGTGGTCTAAAGTAATGAAAGGCATACTGGCTGCATTGAGAGGATGAGGACGCTAACATAAGAGCTATAACGAATGACAGAAGCACTTAGACTTAAAAACCAAGATGTAATGTATTTGTAATAAGAATTACAATATGCTAAACAAAATTAGGTATAAGATATAAATCTTTATTTTAAGTAAAATAACCAAGGCAATGAAGAATTAATCCAAAAATTGCAATTGGAAAGGTAGAAGTTAGATTAATTCAAATAGATGAAGGATTAACAACTAGGAGAATTGGAAGCAGAACTAAATAAAATACATAAAGAATTGAAAGACGAAAGATTATAGAAGCTTGAATATGTAAATCGTTATTAGAAATAATGTGATGAAGTAGTAAGATTGTAGAAAGAACTGGAAAAAACAAATCAATAGGCTGCAAATTCCAATGAAATAGATTAATTGCATGCACATATTGATGATTTATAGCATGAAAATGATGAGTTAAGATTAAATATGAATAGTCTCTCAAATAAAGTCTAACAACAGTAGTAACAAATCGCTATTTTGGAAGATTAACTGACCCAATAATAATCATTCCAACCATCAAAATTACCTCCATCAGGACCTACAAGTTATTAAATGCCTCAAATGTAATATTAATAGTAACAGTAACCACAAACTTCAAATTATTAGAAGATAACTACTTATACAGTAGAAAGCAAAGGAACAAATAAACCAACTGAAGTAAGAAAATAAGTAGTCTCAACAGTCAATGGAAAAACCGATACATATGAATATTCATCATAAGACCCAATAAATCCCAAAGATTCTATAAATTCTAAATTAGATTTGATCAATTAGAAAGCTAGCTAGAATTTTGAAGCAAGAAATTCTTAATTGCAAAATAATATATCTGCTTCATAATTGCAAAGAGGATCTAAATATTTACCAGAAACTTACCAGAAGGAATTCACTGAATTTAAAAGCAAGGCAGAAACCAAGCCTGTAACAGAGTACAAAACCACAACTGTTACCAAAACCAACAATAAATATTCAAAATATTGAAGAACATTAAATATTCAGTATATATTATATAAAATAATCATTGTATATAAGGCGATTAAATCTTTTTATTACTTGTAAAAAATCTATATGAAATGGTTCTTGATTATTTTGTATTAGGAGTAAAATACCCATCTACTAATGAATATTTTTTAGGATATGCAGTTGAAGTTCTTGATGAAAATTTTACTGGCGAAGAATAGATTATTGTGGTATTTGTTATCGAACGAGTCAGCTTATTATGTTCAGTCAGAATATTATTTAAACTATCAGTTCTCTCCGTTTAGAAGGAATAAGATATTTTTGAATCCATCCTTTTCAGAGTATTTTTTTCAGGCTATTTATATTTCTTGAGCTATTTTTAGTTTAAGAATGGAAGTTTCTTATAAATTTTTGCTTTTAATAATTCGGAAATATTGGGTCTTGATAAATCATCATATTATAATAAGCTGACTACTAAATTAATCAAATTTTAGGAATAATAATGAAATGCTGAACCCAAAAAATTTAATATTTACTAATAATGTATTACTTCTTTATAAAAATCTGTGCACTTTGCGACATCTTAAAATTACTTAAAAACCAATATTATTACCTTTGCCACTCATTATCGATACTAAAACAATTCCAAATTAATATGAATCCTACTTGAAAGGATTTATTTATAGACAAGCTAGATGGTTTTAGTAATCCTTCATCTGTTAAGGAGTTAAAGAAATATTTGAATTATAATTTCCTAATGTTTAAGCATATGTTGATAGTATGTTTGGTAAAGCACCATGATACTATGTTTAAATTAGGTCATACCAAAATTTTTAGATTTTTCTCTTTATCAAAAAAGAGGCTATCCAAGGTGATATTTTAGTGGTACTTATTCTAACACTCTAGATAACCAAAAACATTTGAGATTTATGTAATTAACTAATAGTATCATAAATTAGTACTTTCCATATAAATGACTCGGCAACGTATTAACCATTCTATTTATAATCTTAAAGAACCTTCGATAAAGTGATTAATTAAAATTCATAATAAACTCTATACTCTTTAATTGTTCCTTAAAATGTTTATTCTTTAATGGTACAACCATAATATTTTAATAAATTTTCGTGTTTCATTGACTTCCTTTCTATATGTTAAGTATTAATAATATTTTAATCAATATCAATCTAAGTAATCTATTTTGCTTAATCACTATGTACTTTTGAAAATATCCATTCTTAAGGATTTGCTTTGTTCTTCCATATTTGAATCTATCCAAAATATTGATGTCTCTTAGAGCTAATGTACTTAAGGTTATCCTTTAATAAACTTATATTAGATGATATGTAGTCCTCATTTTCTAAAACCATAGTATTTCCCATTTTGAAATTTTTAACTTAAATTATTAAATAATTTTAAACAGTCTAATATTGAATGTTAATATATATTAAAATTATGTAATCTAATTAGTTATAGTTAAAATAGATCAATCAACTTTCTATTTATCCTCAACTTAATTTGCCTATTTCATATTATTTTATGTTGATTTTTTTTTCTTCTCTCCTAAGATTTCAACTTCATAATCATATTCTTCCCTATATCCAGAGTTAGTTTTTTCTAGTCCAAGACATTTGCTCATTATATCCTTGACCTTCTCAGCATAGATTTCCCACTAAATACTTAAAACAATATTTTACTCTTTTCTCTTCAGGGTACTATTCCAACTTTAAATAAGCAGGATCATAAAGACCATCAAATTCTATAATTTCTAATTCATTTTTCCATTAAACCAATGACAATAATGTAGTTGCTATATAATAAAAATTATGATACCATAAATGCCTATGCAATCCATTGCGACACTAAACCTTCTTGGTGAGTACTTTAAACAACATATTTTAACTGGTTGTAATGGCTCAAATGCTCCCTTCTTGAATGATAAAATGTAATTTCCGTTGGAAGTTGTTCCTTCAGGAAAAATTAACACTGGAGGAAATAGATGCCCTTAATTTATTAAATTCACTCTATTCAAAATGTCTACCATAACTTATCTTCTATTATTTGCGTTTTCCCTCTCAACAAAAATACTTTTGAGATTAGTTGTAATCCAACCAAAAACTGGATATTCCTTCACAGTGTCTTTAGAAACAAATGATGGCAAATATTTAAAAACGTAGGTAATTGTGTCATACCAACTAACATGGTTTGATACAATTATTGATGGCTGACTTAGATCATTGATTTGGGTTTAAACATAGTCTTAATCATAATCAGAATATCTAAATTGATCTATAATCTTTACTTCACGACTCTCTATTTAATTTAGTAAAAACCTGAAAAAAATAAGTACGCTCTAGCCAAAAATTACAGGGGCGATCTTAAAAACTTATATCTATTAGCAGGCCATGGATTTTCTAGTTTAAAGTCTATTATAATTATATGACAATTTATGAACCTTTAGTTGTGACAAAAAAAACAAATGCAAAAGCGAATAGCGACCCTAGTACAAATATTAATCTAAGAGGTAACAAGACAATGGCACCAAAATAGATCTCCAATTTGTTCCAATTTTTATAATCTGTTCTTCTAAATGGCTAAAACCTATCAGGAATATCTGCTCTATGATATTTAGGATCTTCATATTTCTTTAATAAGGATGAATAAACGTAGATTATTAAGGGACAATAAACTACGATATAGAGGAGGAGCAATAATTCAATCATTTAATTTATGTAAAATTTTGATTACTTTTCCTTTGATTTTAAATGGAAAATTAGTGTGTATGATATTAGAAATAGAGGCAAAAATGACATACTAAAATTGCCACCTATTAATAAAATTTTCAATTGAAATGATCATTTAATATTTGATATTTATTGATTAATTTACATGTTATTATTATAATAAGAGTACTTCTAATAAGCCAATTTACTAATTCATATAAAAATCATTCTCAAGAATTCTTACAATTTATTTTCTTATTAATTAAAATAGATCAATACATTTTATACTATTCGTTATGTAGCAATTCATAAATAAAAAATAAAAGAGATTTTTTAAAGAAATTTATTTTAATTTCTCAACTCAAGTTATAAATTATCTATACAAATTTATCTTTATTTTTTTTATTTAATTAACATACTTTAATTTTATAATATCTGTTTAAAAAAAATGTGTTTCTTGGCTTACGCATCATCAAAATACTAAAGAAGCCATAAAAAAATCAAAAATGATGGAAAAACACCATCAAAGAGTATTGGAGAAAAATTAGAAAATTGAATTGATTGGTAGGAATATTGGATAACTGAAATAATGCACTTTTGAAAATAATCAAATAAAAAACAGCACAACTTCTATGGCTTAGTTGGACAATTAATTAATCCAATTTTAAATATGGTTAATGTTTCTTTTGCAACTAAAGTGAATAAAAAAATGTAAAATAAATTTTTGGGAAATATAATAGAAATAGTGAATTAGTTTTCTAATAGATAACAACTTATCGTCTGCGAAGATTTTAATTATGAAGATCTCGGAGCTGGAGTCATGATCAATTTGTAAAGGATAATATAACTTTTAACAGAAAATAACTACATCTCACATTAGTATCTGTAACTGATCATATCTTGATATTAATGGAAGTTAATAATTCTGCTTCACACAAGGGTAGATTCATTTGATCACTGTATATTAGGATTTGAATTTGAAACCAATCCTCAATGTGATTGAAGGGATAATATCGAAAAAGAGATCAATAATACTGTCAACTCATTATGTAGAATAAAAATAGAAAGATATTTGAATAATTTTATGACAAATACAAAGAAACGGTTTGTAAAAAAATCCTAAGTAAAAAATTAGAAATTTGATAATTACTTTGATAAACTAAAAATATGTTTGAAGAATGATGAGAATGAATTCATTAATATTTAAAAGCCTCTCTAATCCTGCTTCATTAATGAAGATAGATAATAAATTTCAGGAAAAAAACATTCATAAATTGCATTGAAATATTAGATAAATTATGAAACATTGAGCATTATTGTGAAAACGATTCCGTGACTATATGAATTAATTCAAAAGGAAATAGAAAAAATGCAAAATAAAATGGCCTCTGATAAAGCTATTTCATTCGATGTTATAACATCAATTCATTACATTTTCCAATGAGAATACCAAATAACGATATTTTGAACGAAAACTCATCTACAATCAATAAGAAACTTGGATAGGTAAGATTTTGCCCATTGAACAAATCTTATCATGAAATAGCTCTAAAGGAATAATTATGACCTCTAGTTAGAATAATGAGTCCTTTATTAACATTCATGGAACTCCACTTTTATCAAAGGCTATTTAAGATATATAATCCTTAAACCTAAACAGGTTTGAATTCATGTAAATGTTTCTGATGTTAAATTGGATAAAATAAACAATAGTAAAAGAAATAAATGTTTAGTATTTATTGATTTTACAAGCTCATACAATATTTAGATTGTATAAGATATTAAAATATAGTAAAATATTGGTTGTATAAGGAGTTGATATTTTGGAAGCTATTCACAACCGAATTGTTGATGTAGATGCTTGTAATTTATAGAACGAGATATTTTTATAAATGGTGTTCATTAAGGATCTCTAATATAATCAGCATTATTTAACGTCTACTGAGAGGAATTCTTAAAAGATTTACTCCAAACAACTGGCAACTCATTCCAGTTCTCAGAATATGATGACTATCTTGTGCTATTGATTGTGTAGAGAAATTTTGGTTTCTTGCTTTCTTAATTAAACAATTTATCTTATTAATGGAATCTACGAATCAATTATAAAAAGTGTGCCATTATGGCAAAAACGAAAAATGAAATAGGAATCAATTAGTGAGTCTCCTGTTGTGTATAAATATAAGTATCTGGGAATAGATATCGACTACAATGGATCGACTTTACCACATGTAATAATTTAACAACAAAAATTAATTTTCTAAACTATAAACTTGGTTCCCTCTCAAATGCTATTGAATTCACCTAAAGGTTGGTATTGAACCGCACTTCTTATATAAGGCTGCCGCATATTCATTTGAAAATAAATCACTGTCAAATAAAAAAGTAAAACTTAGGAAGAAATCATTCAAATAAATTTAGATTCCCACCAAATACTCCTGATATTTTCGTTAGATGCTCTTTAACTACATATTAATCTTCGATAAAAGATGATTTGATTGTAACATTAAAAAAGAAAAAGACAGAGGAATAGATTAACAATGGGAAGGCTTACCTTAGATGGCTATATATATCAAGCAACCAGAATTAGAAATAATTATTAATATTAAACTTTTATTCAAGTTTGCTTGATCTAAATCCCCCAAACATGATATAAGATGTGCTTTCAAACACCTTTAACTAATCATCTTTCCATTACAAGGATAGCTTAATGTTAGAATTATTTACAAAGTAGAAATAATAATTCAAGACCCGAAACAGAATAAAGTTCTTTAAATAAGAAAAATCTTAGAATATAAACCAATATGTTAAGAAAAAATTATAGAAATTGAAATTTTATCATTCTCATCCTACAAATTTGGGTTAATAATAACGATTAAATTATATTATATTATATTATAATTTAATTGTACTTATAATGAGTTCAGAGCGATAAATTCATGAATCCAAACAAATACAACTCTTTGTACGGGCTTTAATCTAATCCAATCAGATAGAATAATAAATAACAGATGACATTATCAAAACAGTGTTATTAAACACAATCCATCATACAGTTTCTTTAATAAATGTATTGTATTAACAATTTGAAATTTTGCTTAAAAGAATTTCAGAGTTTAAAGAAATGCAATAGAGATTAGTTTAGTAAGCGATTAATGATCCCCCTATAAGAATGCCAATTTTCGAGGAGAAATCAGGTATTTATGATAATTCCTAAAAATTACTCCCTACTAATTGAAAGAATCTATTCATAGATCTTTAATTGTAGAAGACCCTGAGGAGGATAGTAAACTAACTCTGAAATTGGAGAAAGGGAAAGTTGTCAAAGCAGATTTTAGATACTATAAGTGAAAATATCACATCATATTTCTTATATTTAATGGGAAAACCAAGTAGATAATATTATCGGAATTTACTACATTTAAAATTAATAAGAGATGAGAAAGAAAAAAAACTAAAGAAATGTAAGTAAAGGAAGATAAACTATTTTCCGAAAACCCATTTTAGACTTTAGTAAGTAAAATAAACATTTAAAAACTAATTAAAGAAACCCCAAATAAATTTAAGGAAAATCAGAAGGCTCTTTAATTTCGATCTTAATAAGATAGGAAAGAGGGAATTAGGGAAATATTTCTGAATAATATGGGTCAGGAAATACATATAATTATCATCGAATAGCTCTCACACATTCACTACAAATATTTTTGGAAAACACCTAATAAATATTAATTAGAAAAAACTTAAAACCAAATAATAATTATGAATGATGCCGTACATTATGTCCACTTTATTCATAGGAAGAACAAAATTATGACTAAAGTGGAAATAATATCGTCAACTTAAATAAATAATCCAGGAGAAGCTGCACCCTGGTTATTTAAATTCTCAATTTACTTAAACCATTAATATTTTAAGTTGGAATATATCCTCTCTAAAACCAACTACTATGTAAATTATTAAGGAATAAAATCCCGACATAATAAGTTTGTAAGAAACCAGATAACTATCATTTTATAAATAAATTACAAGTCACTCATGGTCATGGTGGTGGAATTTGCATCGGAATTCACAAGCAATTTAAAAGTAGAGATATTTCATATTTAATTGATTTAGATGACATAGAATTTATTTTAATCAAATTTTTAAATTTGACTACAGAATTATTCATCCTCAACTTATATTCAGCATGATCTACAGGATTCAGATAATGATAAATAACAATAGAAAAGTTTATAATCTCCTTAAAAATTCTGAAAACTAAAGCACTTATATTAGTTGTTGGAGATGTTAATAATAGCAAAGTGAAAATATGCGTCCTCTAGGATGTTATTCCATAAAGTTAAATGACTTTCTGCAGAAGTTACAACAACATAATGAGATAATCAAAAACTGATATCTTTCTCTTAAACTCTGGAATTCAGAATACTAATTAATTTAGGAAAGTGTCATACTATAATTTGCTGTTATATTAAACTAACAAAAAAGTTAAAAAGTAAAATAGTATACCAGTTCATTATTAATAATGCTGCTGTTTACTCAGTTAATTCTATGTGCCAATTTGCTGAAAATTTCGAATCATGTCATAAATAAATATTGGAGAAATCTCATTATGTTTAGAAATATAGAAAAACGTTTGGGATCATAGTCAATTGAACATAAATCAATAAAAATCTTAGGAAATCTCAAAATTAATTGATAATAAGCTCACAACTACCAATATGAGTAACTGCCTAATTTGGATATTAACTTGTAATTATGGACAAAACTTACTTAAATTGGATTAATAAAATTTGTTAAAGTTAATCAATATAATTAATTTTCTAAAATTGATACAACCAACAGTAAGCCTTTTTGAATTCAATAAAATGTAGCCAAAAAGAGGATACCTAATAATTGATTTAGTAAATATTTGACCTATTGACGATTGATATATATCGTTGAATTATAGCTTAAACAAATTGACTAGCCTTTATTGATCTATTTCATAAATTACATTATTTAAGTGTATTATTTTGATATCTAGGAATATTTTTATACAGTCCTGGTTTACATTATTATATATTAATTAGTTTTTTATTTGAATTATATTAAATCATCCTTAGTATTCCTCACCTAACTAAATTAATTTTATTTCATTTTGGATATGAACCATTACATTTTGAATGAAACCATATTTTTTTTTTCCTTTAATTAACAATGTATTAATTGAAAAATCGTATTTTCATCATAAGGTTAATTTTTGTATACATTTTCTTTTAAAAATTCAAAATTTGCGAAAATGGATGGGACGATCATCAAGAATTATCAAAAATTTCTAGTTTTAATAAAATTTATTAGCCTCTTCAATTAATTTTTCTAAAAGTTGTCCAAAAACATTTTAATATACATTTCACAAGCAGATTTAATGACATTAAAACCCATTCGAACCGATGCATCCAATTACACTAGAATTTCTTTTAAGTTAACTGACCTTATAAATTTGTTATTTCTTGTACTTGCCAACATCTTTGGTGTTTTTATTGGTGTGAGAATGTGTTTCATCTAGATATAATGTTTATTTTATATCAGATATAACATGATGCAATATGATTCTTACATTTACTATCTGTCTTATTTAAAGAATCGAAAACCTCAAATACTAAATTTTTATATTTTATATTAATAGGTTGAGATGTTTCTTAAAGTGAAAGAGATATTTCATTTTCTTTCAGATTGAATTGGATCTTGAACCTTGAATAATTGTATTGTGAATTCCATAAGTCTATTACATCTGACATTTTAATAGAGTTTTCAAGTCATTAAATATGTTCCTAAGTGAAGTAAAATTAAGTGTTTAGGTTCTGGCTGTTAGAACAAAGGTTGTAAAAGAAAGTCTATACTATAAATCATCAAATTGAAGAAACGGGGGCTGTTATAGAAGAAGACGCCAAGGAATAAACAAAGTTATAAGAAAAATTTTAAGCCCTCACAAAATAGTTAGTTGAAATTCTTCCTCATATCCAAAAGTAGGAGGACTAGGATGAAAGAAGCAAGCCTTCTCTTAGAATTTCAATTTGCGAGAAGAAGTATTTCCTGAATGATTATATTCAATTTCCAGCATTATTTGATTATGTTAATCAATTTATTTTGTTAGACTTTCGATAAAAAATATGATGAAAATGTGATAGTTTTAAAAGTTATAAATTATAAACAACCCTTTAAAGCATATATGTCAATCACCACAATTACAAGAAAAATCTCATGATAATGATATTTTTTATAAAAAGTTCTACATTCATTCTTTAAAAAATAATTTCATAGCATACTATTATTCCATTAAGAAAGAAAACTAATCCCTATAATCAACTAAACACATGAAATCTATAGTTATCAATGATATTAACTCAAAATTATTGAACATAGTCAAATGCATATGGCATATTAAGAATATAAAAAAGAAGAAAATAAAGGAATTGAAAATCTAGAAATAGAATAGATATTAGAAAAAATTTTGAGAGAAATAACAATAAAAAAAAAATAAAAGAGAATATATTTATTATTATAAACAATAAATAAATTTGGATTATGAATTAAACAATTTCGAATGTGAAGAAGTAGTTTAAAAGAAGATTTGGTAAATTCTCAAAAATTATCAGAGTAAAAAAAGTTCAACTTAAAATGTTTAATATATAAAGCTTGACTGTAATATTAATAACACCTAATTTTACTACTCTTAAGAAATTTACAGGGAATATATGATTTTAATTTATTTATTTATTACTTTTGGGATTATTCAGAGATAAATAGTTGAAAATACAATTAATTGATAAAATTTGAAAAGAATTTGAAAAATAGAGAATAATTCGATCCAATAACATCTCAATTGCATAGATACTGTCTGTATATATTTTAACAGATATTCAAAACTATAAAACTTAAGGAGTTCAATAATCTTAATTCTTAGAGAATTAGAGTTTGCAGAAATCATATTTTTCATTTTAAAATACTTACAAAAAATAATTTAGACATTTCTCCTGTTACAATTAATTGTATTTACCAAATTAACATTTTAATTGAAACAAACCATGATATTTCTTTCGCTGCAAATTTTCTTATATTAGAAAATTCATATAGTATTTTTTTTAATATTATGCACTTATAATGTTTTATTCTTCTTATTCATTTCCATATGAATATTGTTTAATGAGTTTCATTCATTGTTTCAGGGTCGAAACTGTCGTTTTCCATTTAGAGTTCACCCTTATGTATTTTTTAGAGGATCTTTTATTTTATAGAATCTTTAAGTTCGATATTCCTTTCATAACTCTATTTTGTTTTTAAATTTTCTATGCCCATATCTTCTACTTATTGTCCAAAATTTCTTAGTCTATTTAAAACTTCAGCTTATGTTTCCACCTAATTTAGTTTGTAATATATTAAAAATACTTTCTAAACTAAAAGCAATTTTTCTTTTAAAGATTCCTCTTTATCTCGAGATTAGATTATAATCTCCAATTATTACAATTAATCATGTGATAAGGAAGATGAACTTTAAAAATACGAAGCTTATCCCTCCAAAATTAAATTTTCATCATCTGTTTTATCTAAATTGATTTATATTTACTACCCTGCTATTAATTCTCTGCTATAACTTCTCTCTCTGTAGTCGTTACTATTGTGGAGGTCTTTTTGTTGCCATTTTCATTTGGAAGATCAATACCAATTGGATTATAATCAGATTTGTCATTAGCTTCTTCAAAATTTACTTCATTTATCGCTTTATCCTATTATTTATGTAATTCATTCAAGGGTTATTGTTAACTCATCAATAATAATAATGTTAATAATGATTAAATTTGTAATTAAAATATAATAATCTAATGAAATCATTAGCTTTATCGTTAAGAATAGGATTAAATATATAGCCGACCTCTTTTAATTGAAGCATAAGGTAAATCAAAGCTATAGATTTTAAAAGAATTTATTGTATTTTTGTTTCTCCTTTATTTTTACCCTTTATTGCTCATATTGATTTTTCAATTCAGATTCATTCTCGAAAATATATTGGGTATAATTATGTTTATTAATAGTTCTAAAATATCTTCAGCATTTTTGAAAGCAAAATTTATGCACTAAATTAAAGATAAACTGAATATTGTGGATCTTAATATTCATTTCTTGCAACATGCTTAAATACAAAATCTTCATATATAATCAATTAATTGCTATCATACTAAAATCAATTATGGCTAAACTAAGGCTAAAAAATCTGTAATGGATTTAAATGTACAAAAAAAACTAAATAAATTTGAATATAATCAAATAGAGTAAGTAGTTAAGTAATTATAAAATATTGTAGAAAATCTTATGGATATAATAAATATTTTCCTAAATTTCAATTAAATCGAATAAATATTGAAAAAAATCAATAATTGAATTAGTTTTGACTATTTGAATTCGTACAATTACATATTTAAAACATTATGAATTTCAAGAGGTTATGATTAAGTTTATAAATAACAAAAGGTTTGAATATGAATAAATCCAGAAATACATCGAGATATATTATATATTAATTATCCTTTATATTTGAGTTATAGTTTCTTAAATATTCTGTTGTATTATGAATAATTTTACAAAAAAAAGTGAAATCGATTTCAACATAAATAACAAAAATGATAGTCTCATTCTAAACTTATGGAAATGCTATATTTTATTCATACTTAATAAGAAAATTGGCGTACAAGATAAATTCCTTTAATAAAGTATATACAGGAATTTTATATAAAATTTCTGTAAATCCACTGTTACATTTTATTCAATTTTGTTTTTAAAAACAATTATCAATTTCCA